ACAATTTTTCCTTTTTCCTTCTTGGTTCGAAGCATTGCACTGTGTACCTCATTGTCTCCTTCACTGTTTTCTTTTCCACTTTCAACTTTCTCTAACATTTTGTCTTTCTCGTCCACATTAGGATTATAAGTTACAGCAGCAATAATAATCAGACAGCAGCATGCTGCCATGATCCTAAAAGTATTTCTCCAACCAACTGAATCAAGAAGAACCTGTGCGATAGGGCCCCACATAAACATTCCTAATGATGGCCCCATTGTAACACTCCCCGTAGCAAAAGAGCGCTTTTTGTTAAAGTACATAGCAACCACAAGAAATGCTGAGGTGCGACAAGCACAAGCGCCCAATCCCGTAAGAGTACCATAGGTGAAGTATAACAATTCCAAGTTTTGTACAAATGATGAGGTTACAAGCCCCATCATAATAGTCAGTGCTCCAGTGATGGTAACCAGTCGACATCCAAACTTTTCAGTAAGGTGTCCTAGCAATGGTGCTGCCAACAGTGACGTTGATAAGGCAAGAGAACTCACCCAAGCTGCAATAAAAATCATCAGAAAATCATGCTGAGTTATAAATTAAGTTTCTAAAAAATATGACACAGTCAAAAGCTCTCACAACATGCACAGCACTACTAATGACTGCAGGCTTAGCAAAATCCTGTTTGAAGTCTCGAACAAACTTAATTTATTAGATTCATTCCTGTAAGGGCATGCCATTCCATTGTTAATGACTGCAGACACACAGGAAAGGGTTAAAATAATTATTTTTATCTTTCTGTTCCTATTTTCTAAGCTCTCATAAGCTGGCAATGCGAAGAAGAATTAATCCTAGGCACTTATTTTGTGTGAAGAGAGAAAAAGTGGAACAAAGTTTCTTTTTGTCTATGGAAGCAACATGACAGCATGTCTTACATTCAGATCTACGGATCCAGAGTTCGAGGTGCTGTTAAGGATTGGCCACCATGTATTTACATTGGGTTTAAGCATTGGAGTTAATGACAACATCCTGAAACTTTAGTCATAATATTAATTTTTGTAGTTCATTTCTGATCTGTGGCCTGCACCACAGATGGAACTAAACTCCTGGTTTGAGAACACGCCATGATTACCCTATTAATTAAAAAAAAGGGCCATTATCAATTTTCTCATCAGGTTGTAGGAAAATTTGCAATGCATTTCCAGTAATTTGTTGCGTCCATTGGGGCCTAGAACAATCAGTGCCGCTTCGCAGACATCACTATGTAGGCATTAGTTTTTTGATATACTGTAAATACATCATTATTAATTATTATTATTGTTATTATTTCTGTGACGTCGAATACTATTGATCTGCAACTTGCCTGTTCTCTCGCGAGTTGTTCCAAACTCTTGCATTAACACTGGAAACAAGACTCCAGAACTACGTAAGATGCCCATGTTTATGATTTGTGTAAAAGTTGCAGAAATGCAAACAACTAATGACCATCTTGAGTCTTGCTTATGTGTTGCTTTCAGGCAACAGTGAAGCAAATGGAACATCTCTCTTGGTAGATTGAAACTGCAATTTAAATAATTTTATCTATTATGTTTAAACATAATCACTGTGGATGATACTGTCGGTTGTGGAGGCTTATAGGTGGAAGTGGTTGTGTTATTATCTGTAAAAAAATAATTATTACAATGTTGTGCATATCATATTTGGATGGATCTACCGCCTTGGCCTGGTTTTATAATATTTTTATCATACCTTATTACATGAAATTTTGCGACATTAATACAGCGATTTTCAAAAATCCTGATTTAGTGGCACTTTAATTTAGCAATTTTTTGTAAAGTTTGGAACCTATAGTCACTTAATTTTTGCGATTTCACAAACTGAAACTTTGGCAAATTAGGGTATTTTTTAGGACGACAATAGAACATTTATGCGGTGAAATCAAAAACATCAATAGCTTTATTTAAATCAAAATCATACAACATTCTGAAACTGCTGTCCTCAGTCTTATTTAAGTTACATTGTCACAATGATGCACGTCATAATCGACTGTCAAATAGCATATGTGTGGAACTGACCAGATAGTGACAATTTAGTGACACTTAATTTTGGTGCATTTAAATTCGCTACATTAAAATGTCACCAAAATTTCATGCAATAAGGTAATTATTTGCTTTTCCTCCTCGGGAATGGATCTGTTTTTCCCTTAGGTTGTGTAGGAGGTGATTTTCCATTGTCAGACCCAGAAATATGACTGATGACCATGCACCTCCAGTCTTTGAGGCGGTGAAGGCGATTATATGGAAATCACCAATCTTCCTAACATCTGTTTGTCTTGAACTTTTTTTATACAACTAGGGTAATCAAGACGATCCAGAGGATCAAATGGAAACCAGGCTTTGGGAAAACCAATAGGCCAATTCCGGGTTCCAAAAACTATCACTTTCAAAACGAGGTTGATGTGCAAAACCTTACTTATGAAAATGAGTTTTATTTTGCATGAATAAAAAAAAACATTTTCATATCAATAGCTGTGCACTTAGTCTCTCTTTGACACAGAGGCTTGAAGCAACTCGGAAATAGCCTATTACATTATCCACTAGATAGAAATTCATTCCGTGGATTATGCTATCCACCTTCTAAACTACTGAGGTATTTTTTCCGAAATCCCCAACTGGGGAGAGGCCCGAGGACTGGCCATTCATCCCACGTTACACCAACAAAATATCTGTTTATCCTGAAAACAACTTCGTGAAAAGAATAGAAAAACTGCTTACACCTATATACCGATTGCCATATTTAATTTTGTAAGGAATTATTCTACTTTGCTAGCATTCGAAAGGTAAGCGAATCTGCCCTCCCCTCGCCCTTTGACACTCCGAACCAAAACACAACAATACCACGTACAGCAAGGTTTCAGTTGGAAAATACAGAAAAAATACTGCTCAGACGCTAATCGGTATCTTACCGTGCTTTTGAAGTTTGAATTTAGCTCAGAAGACCGGACGTTTATACCAAAAACATTGAATCATGGCATGAGTCATGTGAGACTGTCGGCCCGTGAAAGTTTTTAACCGGTTGCGCAACCTTTGCGAGAAGGAGGACTGGTTTCAAAGCTGGTGATTGAATTCCTGACGGGGGTAGGGGCAGGGTGACGCAATGGGGGACGCCACGACTGGAGAGCGAAGGTATGAAAAAAATGGGTGGAGGCCTTTAACGACAATATTTCGTTAAAACTTAGCTTATGGCTGTTTCAATAATTATTAAACCTACATATAATGAAAAGAAGAATAAATAGAAGAATACTAAATCATCACATTCAAACATTTTAATTTATTCTTCTTTTCATGTTAGTTTAACAATTAATAGATACACTCCCATAAGCTAAGATTTGACTGATGGCGATCTTTTTTATCCAAGGTTGATCGATCATACACGGATTTTTGCAATGGTCTTGCACCTTAACTTTTAAAAGTGTAAGGGCAAGATCTTTCCCCTTCGAACGTAACTCTTAATTTCTAAAACCGCCAGTAAAGCGCCAGACGTTAGCATTAATATACGTTTAGTGTTACGTTTTATCAAAATAGCCGCTAGTCACTCACTTATACTGGGAGGCTACGCCCGACTACAGGCCAGGGGTACCTTTTACAAGCTTTAGGTAGATGAAAGGGTAGGTAGTTTTACTAGTTGAAGTATATGAAGGGAAAAGTAAAGAAGACGTTCTGGTTTTGTGATTTATTTATATTCTAAAAACAGTGCATAGGGATGCAAGGTTCTATACTAGGTATGTGAAAGGGGTGCCATATGTCAATAGAAGGTATAGGAAAAGGGTACCTTTCCGTGTCAAAAATTGTATATAAAAGTCAAAGGGGTTCGGCGCGGAGCCTCCCCGCATAATACGTTTTTGTGCACTCCCCCCCCACCTCTCCCGAGACCAGCTCGCGTAGACACCCAGTTACGCCACAACGCACGTGCGTACCGAAAAAATGTCAACAAAAAAGCAAGAACAAAACAAAACAACCAAGCAAAGGCCAAAGGAGTAGAGGGTAAATAATAAAGAATTGCTACAAAGGAGGTGCATTTGCCCATGTAACTTCCCCTAAATCGATTTGAGCTTCTTTCCGCTATTCTTTAGCCTAGAACTATGATTAGTACGACTATCTAATATATTTATTTTAAGATTTACTGTAGCTCTGCCATTGATTTTCCCGTGTGTAATTATGATAATATTTTGTTCTAATTACCTAACTGAGGGACATTATACATACATACATAACCTTATAAACCGTTCTAGTGCCTATTGGCTCTTTGGGCTTCCATCATTAATAGAAACTGAAAAAGTTTAAATAATTACATTTTATTTGATTTGTACAATTTATGGCAAACAAAACAATGAACAAATAAACAAATTTTTTCAGATAGTAATTATTTTTTCAAAACAAAGTACACTGTTTTTCCTCATGGATGGTAACCTGCGGTCAAGTGTTCAGTTCTTTGTATTTCGAGGGGGCGCGAAAGCAGCGGGCAAAGGGGAAAACTTCGCATTCCAGAGAAAAACCGCTTGATCGCAGACACGGTCCTGCGACCACCAAGAGAGATGACTACCTCACCACACCGCGCATAAAAACCGGAAATTTAACCAAGCCATCTGCGTGAAAAAACCCCTGGGATCCCTGTTCGATCATTGCAAAGGACCCATGGTGAGTGACATGGAAGGTCCAGGAGGGGGAAAAGAGTTTCAGATTTCTGCGCCTGGGCATGTAGGGTTTATTTGGGAGGCGTTACCGGTATCTTAATATAAACAGAGAGCCGGCACTTTCGCTTGCCATCCTAGTCAGTCAGCCAGGATAAGGACATAAAATTGGCCTCTCGAAAGTAGGTTAGACGGTCTTTCCAGGTACGGGTTGTTTTGTTTCCACCGCAGACTAATTATGCACATAATATTGTAGACCAGACAATGTAGATGGACATCGAGGCAGGATTTTGTCGGTTGTGCAGGTTTTAACATATCGCTTCATTTTACAGTGAATCGTAGTCTTTCAATAACTGCAACAACGCCGGACAAACTGATGGCGATTCAGGTTAAGACCTGGGGCTGTTTTTCTTCCGGCTCTCCTCGCAAACGAGACAGTCTTTGGTCATGGTTGGTCTGTGCTTGTGCTTTGATGACTTGGGTTGCGTCGCTCGGCCTTCTCTTCAGCTTTGGGATATTTTTACCAGTGTTTATGGATTACTTTAACGAATCCAGGGAAGCCACAGGTCAGTAAGTCCATAGACATTTCGTAATTCATGTAACGATTTTAATTTTATGGCGACTGAAACAAGGTTGTGTTCGATTGAATGTTTTCGGGAAAAAGAATACGCATAAATCACCTGATAAATTTTTGGACAAATATGAGCTTAATTATTCATGTACGCCGCATTACTGGATATTACCCGAGGGGCATTCAACGAAGTTTGGTCAAGTTTGTACGGCGACACTCCGCCCCGATGTCCAAGCCCCTAATCCCGGCCATTTTTGACAGAATACGTACCCCACTTTCGTATACCTTTCGTCAAACAAATACCCCTTTCCTCTACCTAGTTCAGTGCACTGCATCTCGATCTTTAACTGCTGTAAATAATAATAATAAATGCAGCGTCTTGTCAATAAATCACTAAACCCAGTTAAACATTACATTTTGTCTCTTTCACAGCCATAAAATGAGTCTGCTAGCTCTTAATTCACAGGAAAAAATAACAGATTCCCATTATTGGATATTTTAGGACATTTAAAGAATACCCATAAAAATCCCAAATTTTGCAAAGTGAGGCAAGTCCCAACCAGGGAATTCCCAACCAAGTTCCCTGGTTGGGACTTGTCTCACTCTTCCAAATTTGGGATTTTTGTGGGTATTCTTTAAATACCCTAAAATATCCAAAAAATGTGAATCTGTTATTTTTTTCCTGTGTTAGGGCCTTTCTACAGACCGGGATGACAGATTTCCCTTCTCTTTCATATACTTTAAGTAGTAAAACCCTAGCTACCCCTTCACATGCCAGAAACCTGAAAAAGGTATACTGTACTCATATCGGGAGGGGCCTTCCCGTATACGGCCATTATAGGAAGTACCAACGGGGAATTTACTATGCAAAGAAGTCAAAACAAGTGATTTTTAGAGCTTATTCCATGTATACTCTTTCTGGAATGGGGTCAATCTAAAGAATTCTGAGTCTGCTGATTGAAAATTTTAAAACCGTGACTACATTTAGTAGATAGCTGCATGTTGGAAATTGCATGCGTCATTAACAAATGTATTGGACCATGTTGGTATCTTTCCAGTTCAGAACATAAATAGCGTCCTATATTGACTCCATCGAACAAAAACAAAAGACATAAGAAAATAGTTTTTTTTTCGGTGAGAGAGCTTCGCTAGAACCAACTTTTTTCAATGTTTAAAAGCAGCTATTACAGCATGTGCGACATCTGATTATGTGCTACTACAATTTACCATCCCTTGCTTTCACAAGGAAAATGCTATCATTAAACTGCTACGTATATATGTCGCGCTACTTACTATTTCAGTTGTAGAAATCTAAAACGTGTCTTTGCATCAATTGAATTTCAAAAATATTGGTACACTTTTGTTATTTGCTGGTTCATAGCAAATGATTTCCAATAACGTGGAACTTGACATTTATTATTTTGGTATTTTTCTGCAGCTTGGGTTGGTTCTTTAGCCATAGCCATAACTTTCTTTACTGGACAAGTGTCAAATGCTCTTGTCACGCGATTTGGTTGCCGCATCACCACTCTAATCGGCGGAGTATTTTGCACAGTGAGTTTGACATGCAGCTCCTTTGTAGACAACATGAAGCTTCTTTTCTTCACGTACAGTCTTCTGTTCGGCTTGGGCTCCAGCTGTGTATTCTCAGCAGGTCTGGTTGTAATAAGCCAGTACTTTAAGAAGAGACAGTCGCTTGCAACTGGTTTACTGACAGGTGGACATGGCGGTGGGGTACTAATTATGGGACCCACATTGGAGGCCCTCATAAGAGCCATTGGTTGGAAGGATGCTTATCGTATTATGGCTGGCGTTGCCTTCGTTCTCTGTTCGCTTTCCATAACGTTTGATCCTAACGTGGAGAAGGACGCTGAAGAGAAAGAGAAGGGCGAAAGAGAAGAAATCAAGGAGGGTGAAAACGATAATTTAATTCGTACCAAAATGAAGAAGGTCTTTGATTTCTCTGTGTGGAAAGTGCCTCCAGTGATAGCTATCGTTCTTGCTGCTTGTGTAGTGGAGTTTGGCCATTTTGTTCCGCAGATTCACTTGGTAAGTGATTATATTGCTATAATTGGAAATCAGTTTAGGCCACACGTATCCGGATTTTTTTTTTTGAATCCGCAACTCTTTCGTTCCGGATTTAAAAATTTCCTCGTACTTCACGTATCCAACCCGTATCCGGATTCACTCTAGTAACAGTACTCCTCTGGGAATATTGGCAACAGAGCATGGGTCGTAAAGCGCGCGAAATTTGCATCTTGCTCTCCCTTTCACGGTAAAGAACTGGGCTCGATTTTGTTACCTCACCGTCCACAAGATTCCGGATTCATAGCGTATTCAAAACTTTTCACTCTTGAGAGCGGATTCAAATAATGTCCGGATTCGTATGCCGAATTCATCGCATACGTCTGTACGGAAGCTTTATCCGGAAAGAAAAAATTGGGGGATTAAAAAATATCCGGATACGTGTGGACCGGTCCTTATTAATGTCACTTTTCATTATATACCACAAGATATCACAAGTCGGTAAGAAAAGCAGATAAGTTATGTCTCGTATGGGTTAGTTAGCCTTGGAGCAAGCTCTCCGGGAACCTTTGGCTGCGGGGCCCCTCGCCGCCGTCAGAGCTCCCTGGATAACTTTCTCGTAGGCTACGTATGAGTTTATATGTTTTTAATTAATGCTAGTGTAGACTGTAGTTCGACTTTGTAATACAGTAAATGCATAAAAGTGTCAAAGAAACCCTGGCAATTTACCTTCTTTGCTTGTATGCCATGTTTTCCCAGTGTAGTTTAGATGACGTTCTCAAGGAAATTAGCCCTTTTTCTTTTAATAAATTATGCGTACACATGTAAGAACGAAAACAATTTGACAAAAATTTTGAATGAAAAGTTTTTTAAAGTAAGAGAAAATAATCTTTATTCTGGGGAAACAGACCATACAAGCTTCAGGGGTCCATGAGGTTCAGAGTAGTGGTGTTATCTGGCTTACTTTTATTTCATTCCTAACCTGCAATTCAACAATTTTTTATTTATGTGTTACTTTTAGATTCGATACTGTGAAGACCTTGGGATTTCGGCTGAAAAAGCATCAAAACTCTTTATTTACTACGGTGGTTGTTCCGCTATTGGTCGCGTGCTTGCTGGCATTCTTTGCAGCCACAGGAGAATAAATGCGTTCTTCATCTTCCAGGCAGCTGAATTTGTGGCAGGGCTAAGCACAATTCTTGTAACTCTAACTTCTTCTTACTCATGGCTTGTCGTTTACATAGTGATTTACGGACTCAGCGATGGCTTTTTCTTCACCAGTCTAAGTATCAATCTTCTGACTGCCTGTCCTTTGAAGACTCCTGCAGTTCTCGGATGGGAGATGCTGTTAGCGTCCTTGACCCTGGCTAGTGGTCCTCCGTTGGCTGGTATGTGTAATGTTAGTTGTAGACTGTACTAGGCTCCCGGACGTTCACGGCAAATGCCACCCGAAAAGACAGAAAGTGAGAGGGGTTTAGGGGTTTAGGTAGCCTCCACGCCTCGCAGGCGATCGTTTCTATTTTAATTTGTTGCAATTATGTTAGCCTTTGCCAGGCTCTCAGATAGTAGGGACGTTGCGATAATAAAACAAGCCAAGCGAAAATAAAACGCGCGGGATCTGGGAAAGGGGCCGGTGGCTCTGAAGGTTAACTCTGAAGGGCATCTTCTCTCTCACCAACTCCCGCTCATTTTTCGCGCCACTTTTTACTGCACTGCTGCATTTTACTAAAGTTGAAATTCTCTACAACGGCCACCTTGGGAACAGAAGAAACTCGCCGTTGTAAAGAGGTGTCCGTTGTAGAGAGGTGGCCGTTATATATAGCGGAGGTTCGACTGTACATTGAAGCCTGACGAAACAGGTTACAATGAAAACCTGCAACAGGCGATTGTTTTAGTTTTCCTAGTCACTGTATCGATGCAACGCGCTGTATATATATTTTCCCTTGTTTTTGAAAGAGTAACCCCAGCTTTAAAATTTGATTGAATTTTTTGAAATGTGACTGTTTTGGGGAACGACTATCGATTTTGTACCCATTTTAGTTTTGCTCGTGTATTTTGTACAGTATCAAAACAATCAATCGCTGCCTTTAAGGCCAGCATGGCGTACATACCTTCCGCTGATAGTTCAAGTAAGGTTGGACGATCGTTTTAGTTTTCCTAGTCACTGTATGAACTAACTGCGGCAGGCAGGTGCACTTCCACCTACAATATAGCTTCTGAATTTTGTTACAGTTTTGGTGCAATGGAGAATTTATAGCCCGATGTCGGAAACTCTGCTAGAGAATTTACCCGGCGCTTTTCGATAACTTGCTGAGTACCAAACGTTTCTGAGAAATATATTCTCTGCTTGATCTCAGATCATATCAAAGCCTTCATCCTAGTCGTTTCATTTTAATTATTTAGGTATGGCAGCAGACATGTTGGGTTCGTACGTTATACCTTTTCAAGTAGCTGGTGGTATCACTATAGTAGGATCTTTTATACCTTTTATGTTGTTGTGCTACAAACGCCAGGATAGCTACACGTCCTCCACGGGGTCAGGAGACGAAGAGGCTAAAAAGCTTGAGGAAGTGGCTTGATTTAAAATAAAAATAGATTTTTAAACTCAGTCAAGATGGGGCAAAATTTTTGTGATAGAATATGCCAAGATAATATAAAGTTAATTTTTTTTAAAAAAGTTAGAAATTGGGGAAAAGAGATAGGGGATTGAAGAAAGAAGGAAAGGGACGCTTGCTATAAGAACCCCCTTTTGTTCATGTCTGAGGCCGCTGGCACTTGCAAATGTTCTGATTGGTTGAGCTACAATAAGTAGCTTTTTGACATGAATTAGTAAGAAACAACCAAGATGCAGGCTGAGAAGCACTCGCTACTTGTGATTGGTCACGCACTGACAGTTGACGTTATCGGATTAGTTAGGATATTAGTGGGCGGCCGGAATGCAAAAACACCGGAGCGACGGAGTCAGAGTCGGAGTTGCAATCAGAAGCGTAGAACTTTACTTTCTACGGAAAACAGCATTCTGATTCCGCTTACGACTCCGACGTTTGCGATCACGTGAAACCTGGATCGTCGGAGTCGCAAGCAGAAGCGGAACAACTCAATCAATCACAAAGCGTGGGAACGTGTCTTGAAATTGGTTTATCCTTCCGCCTCTGTTTCCGACTCCGACAATCTGGTTTTCACTAGATGATAAGAAGTGATTCTTCTAACTCCGATTCCGTCTCGTGCTTATGACTCCGCTTACGACTGCGATTTTTGATTTTCACAAAATCATAAGCGCTCTTACGACTCCGCTTACGACAGCGACTGCGACTCTGTCACTTGTGAAGACCAGCCTTTACGCGACTCCGCTCACGATTCCGACTCCGACTCCATCGCGAGTGAAAACCAGCCTATGGAAGGCGTTCCATTTCCCTTTTATCTTTCGCTATTTCATCTTCCCCTCCTCTTCTCCCCCCTTTTTTTTTCGCCCGCTATAGGAGGCTAAAAATGCAGATAATTACGAAACTACAAATGAAAAACAGAAGGGCGCTCGTAACGTTTTCGGCAAATATATGAAAACTATATAGGCAGAATTTTCAATACTGAGCTTTTAAAATTCTCTTCTGTAAAAACATGGATGAAGCTATATGCTCCTTTAAATGGCTGTTTTGATAGAGTTTGTGAATACACTGTATACATTTTTAAATCGTTTCATTCATACAGCAATATTTAATTCTAGTTACAAAAATGTTCAAAAAATAATGACAATGATTAAAAGAATGGCGCTTATAACTTTCTATGTAAAAGAAAATACAGTAAATATGATAACTTCGGTAAGAAATCTAGGCTAAAGTTATTGACTGTTGTAAATCTGAATGTAATATAATATAATAAAGGAGCAATTTAATCAACCAATCAAAGCAGCATGTTTTAGCGCCAAAAGCAAAAGCAAATCACTTAACATTTTAAGACCTCTTTTAACCGCCAAGAAAAAACAGTTCTTTTAGGCGGGGCCCAACATTGCCTTTTTATCTCTTTGGAAAATGTATTATGTAAAGATAAATCAGAGATACACCCGCAAAAGTCTTTCATTTCACTGTTATTTCAAGCCTGAACAAGAACCAGTAGTGATGCTAGCGCGCATACCAGTAGCAGGAGACTGCTGACTACAATCCTTGAGCCTGCGTTACAGTTATCTGTGTCACAGCAGGAAATATCGCAAGTGACCGAGCCACCAGTGCCCTCCCTGCAGATCGGATTATTAGCACTTTCGCAGGTTATCTTGGGTGCACAGCCTTTTTGAAAAGATTTCACTCCACCAGCCATGTAGTGGACTTTAATGCACTGGTCTTCGACAGAGGAACACTGGGTCTTGGTTGAAGAGCAGTCGTCCCAGGACTTTTCGCTTACACATGCATAGCATTCCAGGCTTGATGCTGAAACCAAAGGCAACAAGTAATATGTCATGAGAAAGATGTTACGTTTATCCTCTGTTGATTCGTAACATTAAGAGCGTGGTTAGAGTAGAAAATTAACCCGTCGATCGCCGAAAGTGCTAGCTGCTAAGAGGGTCCCAAGGAAATACCTCCAGAACATTGTCAGGGGCCTATAGCCCATGGGCTGCTTATATTGTTAGGAGTGGAGCAAGCAACTCTCGTACTAGGCCTACCGTAAATTTCCGAAAATAAGCCCCGGGGCTTATATTTTTCAAAGGCCCTTTTTGAGGGGCTTATTTTTGGAGGGGCTTATCTATGGAAGGAAATTTGCGTTTCAAAATCGATTGGGCTAGCCTTATAGTTGGAAGGAAATTGACCGTTTTTGCTTTATTTTAGTTTGTATTTGAGGGCAATTTCCAAGTACAAGTCCCCGGGGGGCTTATATTGGAGGGTTTTTTTGCGTTACGAGTTTGGGGGGCTTATATTTGGAGGGGCTTATACATGGAGGGACTTTTTTTTCGGAATTTTACAGTATGTCAAGGCGTTTTCACGGATCGGTTTTATTTTAGATACATTTTAGAGCACTTACGCGAAAATGAAAGTTCCGTTCCGTTCATGAGCGCATTAGAAATATAAGATGCGACAAAGGAAAACTAAACGCCATTACAACGTCAAAAAGTGTCATGACTGGTTTGTGGGGCCTGAAAGATATTCTAAATTCGCGTTAAAATCTAAAAGCTCTGAAATGCTGTTTTCAGCAATTTTCATGGAATATATTTTAGAAAAAAAAACCATTCCGATGTACTGTGGATCGTTTTCAAGCTACAGACTTACGCTTTTGTGTTCTTGCTACAAAAACCAACCCGGCAACTAACAACAAAACATTTCAAAATAAAGGTAAAATCTAGACGAGGCAAGTGCCTGGTCTTACCTCTTGTTAGCTACGACCCAGAGAAAAACATAGGTAACAAACAAGAAAGGGTTAAGCTATAACCAGGAGCCAAGTATATTTTGGAATTTTACAGGTGCCATATTGGTCACTGATTATGATTTATTTTTCCGTTATTTAAACTGAGTCTGTCAAACGCTGTCGCCGGCAAGGCAAAATTTGCTTTGCGAATATGACGATGGTAAAAATGTAAAACATAGAATTTTAAAACTAACGATCGGAGCAAAGCAATTAGAAAAAAAATAGCAACTGTCGTTGACTGAATCAGAATTCAGAATCAGGGATTACTCCAGTGGAAAAATATGTTGTCAACGGGGGGGAATGCATTTTAGCTTAGCGAAGAATATTACCCAAATTATTTCTTGATAGTATTTTTCTATTTCAACCAAAATCGTCTCAAATTAAATGATACAGCTGTAGTGCCTATATGTGGCGGCCAGCAAACAGCAGCAAACAGGATCTACCAATCCAAGTATTATATAGTGTCAATATACATGATATATAAAGTCCCCACAGTCATGTAACGGAAAATATCAATTCTCTTCAAAACATTAATTCTAACGTAAAATGTTTTTTGTTCTCAATACAAACTGCCTCCTTAATTTTCTCACTTTAGGGTTGTTATTAACCGTTGTCATTGGTTCTTTGGGTGGAAGGTAGAAGTAAAAATCGATTAATTTGTACGAATGGCATGTAAACCGTTATTGTAACGAGTTATTTGACTTATTTCAACGAAAAAAGAGCCATTTGCTTAGCGACTTGTGTCGAACTTTACTATTAGTTATTTTTGCTAAAGAAATAAACTAATGATTTGTATGACTTTGCACAATGACGTATCTGTCAAGTAATATTAACTCCGAAATAGATAACAAGTAAATTAGACCCAGCGTTACTTCAGAAATTTTACAGCTAGAATGCTGTAAGACTGGGGACGTACAAACAAAATGACTGGATATGGATTTTCGTTACTGGATGCTATCAGAAAATTTAAGAAAGGTGAAATCGATAGAAGGCGCCTGAGGCCTTTATTGAAATCGGCCGGCCATATATTACTGAAATCCGCAGGCCGCAGCCGGAGAGTTAGCTGGTCGTACTTTAACGCCATGGTATTTTGTCTCATTTTCGAACGGGACCCGTTTTAACCATGAACGGCTAAAAAATATGCCCTGTTTTTGACAATATTTCCCCTTGTTCGTAGCTGTATAAATTGGCATCGATTTGCCAGCACTATTATATTTGTTGAGCGGTAGCTATAATTTTTTTTTCACTCAGCTTACCGTCATGAACTGTGACACCGATCAGAAGAAAACAGGCGATCACTTGTATTTTCATGGTCTTTCCTTGAAAATTATAACCAGCTTCAAACTGTAATTAAATGTTACCTGCTTATGCCCTTTGATAACACTTGTGCGGTAGTAATTGCTCCTAGTAATTAGGATTAAAGAGAAAAAAACTGTTTTTGAGGCACTCCCTGTATAACTTCTAAGCCAATCAAATCATAGTTGCTATAGTGACTGAATATTTCTTCAAGGCTTGTCTGGAATGTCATTAGCCTGAGAATACAGTCGTATCTCATCGCTACCAGCTAATGAAGAGAGGGTTTGTATTCTCGCGGGCTCACAAACCTCGGTGTTTTCAGCGTTTTATATGTAGTGACAGTGACCGGGGAAATTAATAAAGTGCTGGCCCTGGTTGTTCAAAAGATGGATAGCGCTATCCACCGGATAAATCACTATCCAGCGTATAAGCATTAAGGAAACCAATTGCGCTATCCACTGGATAAAGATTTATCCGATGGATAGCGTTATCGACCTTTTGAACAACTGGGGCCAGGTCTTTTGATCTGCCTGTCTATTCCCCTGCGTGCAAAGATTTTATGTGGACAACTCAACTTTTTTTTAAGGTCAAGTACTGTAAAATAATGTCTCTCGTCCGGATTTTTATAAACGAGAGAGCGGGTGTGCCAACCTCATCCTCAGGGGATTTCCCTAAGAAAATGGGAGGTCGCCATTTTCTTAAGGAAAAGCCCTCAGGGTACGAGGTTGCGTGCGGGCGCTTTCTTTGTTTTTGCTTTTTCGTTATTTCTAACTTACCCCCACTAAAATGCTTCACCTTAATCCCACATTTTATGCACTAAATTAAATGCTCGGTCTCCCCCAAAAAGGTAACAAAATGCTCGCTAATATGCTCAAAACATACAGCAGCACAGAAACGCTACGCCACTCGAAATGGAGAGTTTGCTCGCAGGCTTCAAGCAGCAGAACACGAGAGTACCTGACCTCAAACCCCGACCATAAATGGTCTTTGTATTTCAGGCTGGAAGCCCTGGGTTGGAACTTATGTGGGATCGCGAGAGAGAGGGACCCGGTACAGGAGAGCCTGCATATCATTATATCAAGAGCCAGGCTGAAGAGTACCTAACCGGCTCCTGCAAACAAAAAAGGCCTCGAGCTTCATGATGCTTGAAATTCTTACATACTTCGTTCATAAGATTGTTCTAATCAAAAAGACAGTTTTCTTGGACGTCATTTTGACTTCTCGCTATGAAACTGGCGGATGATTTAATACGTCAATATACAAAACCAGTTGGGTGGGTGGGTGATCGGACTTAATTGTGGCTTTAACATGAATAAAAAGTTGTTTTACTTTGAAGAGGAACGGAATGCACCTATTTTGCCACCTAAGTATAGCCTGCTTAGACTTCGGTAACTGTTTAGGAGTGATTCATTGAACATCTTTTTTTGCCCATAGATGGTAAATTTATTATACAGTGCTAAAACCGCGGCAATGCGTGACTATTTTGAACAGTCACGAAATCCGGACTACTGAATACAAAGTATGTTTTCCAAACTGTTCTTTTGAACAAGGTTTTCTGCGCCACAAAGCGCTTCGAAGAAAAGGCTCTTAGACTAAGTTTAGTGAAATAATGAGGCGAGAGAAACCCTACATGGTTTGTTGAGTTTTAGAAAACAGATTGAAATGACAAGGATTGTATTGAGTGTATTGCGTTACCGCAAATTGGGCGCAGTAACTTGCAGGGGTGCGGGTAGCTACTGGGTTTTGTTTTCATTTCAAATAGATAAAATGGAATTAATTTTGTAATTCCATAATTCAGTTTTACCTACAATATATCTTTTGATATGTTGAGAAACAATAGGATCTGTACCTAAAAAGCTGAGAATTATAATTTTTAATTTTCTAAACGCCCCCTACCCCTACGAAAACAATGAACTGTGCACGCTTGAGTAAGCTTGACAATTACCAATTTATCACGTAATGTTTGAAATACAATGAATAGGAATTAGGGCAGGGAATGTGTGTTATTTTCATTGTTTGAGGCATCATTCCTCGGCTTTGCTTTCTCTCTTCGCAGTCCGAGCGATCAGTGCTAATTAATTTCCCGTCCAATAACCTCTGAAACAGACTGAAAATCTAACAGCAAAATGGTAAGTTAATTGTACTTAGCGTTAAGTTTAAATTAAAAGCATGCCGAAAATAACAGACTGACACTCGCTTCATCCAAACGAAAGTTGTCTTGAAATCATAGATATATGTTAGCAATTCCGCCTGTTGAAACATCGAAATGTAACGTATTTTGGTCTGAACTGCAACAATTTACAGTAATCCTAATATATTAGAGAGAGGGGATTACTTAGGGCCTATTACAAAGATTCGAAATCAAAACAGACGATTTGACTCCATGCAAGCGCCATTTTATACACGATCAATCGCCCTTGATAATTTTGGCTTTATGTATTTCCATTTTTTTAAAAGTCTTTTCTAAAACATTCTTGTCTTGAGAGGATTTCGCATTTGGTTTTCAATTCAATGGGCGCTAAAATTGCATGTCTTTAAATGTATATTTAAAACAGCAAGGCATATGCATGTGCGCTGGTGCTTGGCGGAATCTGAAACCTATGAAGGAATGAAAACAATGTCAATAGCGGCTGAAATCAAGTGTGTCACAGATCTCCTATTTGTCAGTAACCTCAGTCCACGATTTTATTTAAATGATTGGGTTCCGGGATTTTAGTAGTGTTTTTTGAAAAATCTAAAGTTAGAATTACAAGACGTGTAAATGCCGATGCTAATAAAAAATTTTTTTGCCTTGCGCTCCAAAGTCTCCAAGTAACAAAACAAACGTTATAATAAATGTTTCGTAAATGACTAAGACGGTTACCCATAATTATTCTGGTGAGAAAATTTGTACAATAAATTAATTTACTTACTGTATCAGTTTCTTCAATTTTCTTTTGCCAGTCGGCGTCACTAAGCCCGGAGCAGCTAAAAGGTAAGGTGTTGTTTTGAACTGTTGTTAAAACAGTCAACTGTCCCTATAGAGATGGTCACCGCTGGGACAACACTCAGAGTTAATTTAAGATAGGTGTCTGCCTTACAGTGGGTTAGCCCTTAAAGACCCTTAACCCCTGATATCCACACACTAATTCTCTAAGCAGATTTCCATAAATTTCCTTGAAGAATTATTGGGGAGAATTTGATCGAAGATCAAAGCATTCTTATGGCCTTTTCAATTATGCCAGCATTGATATTATTAGGATAAAATTGATGCTGATCACTACAAGGACTTAAAGGGTTACGGGAAATGACCAATTCTAGGTGTCCATTTCAGGGAGGGTGTCTATTAAGAAACTGTACTGTGTTATAGCTGTGGTCCTAATAACCATGGCTACTTATTAATAGTTATGAGGGGGGCATACGAGAAACCACCCACCCGGAAAGCCTATTGAGGGTCAGTTCTCAGCCCATAAATTTGATACATCAGTGTGTGCATTTTTAGACAAAAATCAGAAACAATTGAACATTGTACTTTACTATCCAAATGAGACACCACCTATTTGCTTATCAGAGAAGGGGTTACATGAAGACACAGCCAGATAAAGTAGTGGGTCTATTCTCAGCAGAATAATTTTGACCACTTTCTTACTGTGACTGTTACCTGGGGGCAGAGTACCAAAAAAATATTCGTTCAAGGGAAAATTAATGACAAAAAATTCATACATGCTGAGTAGCCCTAAAAACTTCTTTTTGCACTGGCATTAAAGAAAATTAATGCAAAGGGAAATGTTTACTGAAAAATTTCATGTGGCTTGGAAATTCCCTAGCCCCCCCTCCCATCCCTTTCAACTCTTCTAAAGGCCTGTCCTGGAGGCAAGCATTAGATTAAGGTTTCACAAATTTGCTTGATTACCAGTAATAACATTTATTTTTGTTTTTACTGTTGTCTTAGCTATGACATTATTTTTCTGGTCAAGTATTATAATGGGTACAAATTATAATCCTTTACTTATGATAATTATCACTATCATTACTTGCAAATTTCAATTCATTTCATTTTTTTTTTCACTTCAGAATTCAGGGATGCATTTAAAATCTTTGATGTGGACAACAGTCAAACCATCACAACTGATGAGTTGTTGCTCGTCATGAAGAACCTGGGAATGATGGCCACAAAGGAGGAGGTGAAAGAAATGCTCTCAGAGGTCGATGAGGATGGTATGCATTTTAAATTTTCTGCAGGGGTTGATAACATTTGAAAATGTTTAACCAGTGCAGAGTGCAGTATGAAGGGGGGGGGGCGGTGGGGGGAGAGGTAGAAAAGGCAGGCCATATTTAAAGAGAATAGCCTGTCATGTAGGAGCTAAAAATGGGGACGGAAGGGGAAGACAACAGCTAAAGAGAAAAGGGAATCCCTTTTCTCTCCACTTTTAACAACTGCCATGCAGGCTAAAAGAGAAAGGTAGCTTCAGCATGCGACACTCAGATAGAAAACTTTTGGTGTACAGTCATAGCTGCCGGGTGTATGCAAGTGTTATTGTTATGATTATGGAAAATTGGTAAGAAAACCAACAATAATAACCAGCACATCACAGGGATACTGGGTTGGAGGGAAATGTAAGAAATTTTTGGGAGAAGATGTGCCACTGAGACCCCTAAACCCTTAGCCTATACCAGACCGTGTTCAAGTGAATTTTGCTCCCCTTACTGGACTAATCTCCCTCTCTATAAACCTAGAGTCACCATTTTAAAAAAACTGCTTGAGTTGCAGTTGAATTAATTCCGGTTCTGGACCCAAACTCTCAGATTTTTATACCCCATCCCGGACTAAAGTGCTTGAAAACCATGCCCTTCACAGTGGCACATACATATATAGCCTACATGGCACCCCCCAAGTATACTTGGTCCTGGACGTACTAGCTCTTTTAGTTTTTTTTTTTTTTTTTTTTTTGGGGGGGGGGGCATTTTTTGTTTTAACTTGACGACACTTACTTTGATTGCGTTCAGGAAGTGGAGAAATCGACTTTGAGGAGTTTGCTGAACTTATGGTCAAACAGATGAAGCAGGGCAGTGAGCAGGAAGTGAGGGAGGCATTCAAGGCCTATGACACTGACAACAAGGGATACTTCACAAAAGATGAGCTTCTCAAACTCCTCAACGTCGTATCACAACAAAGCAAGGACATCAAAATCTCCAAAGCTGAAATTGAGGAATTAGTCAACTTTCTGTCCCGCAATGGGCGAGTTGACTTTGACAGTAAGTGAAATATTGTAGTGCAGTTTAGTAAAGTAGGACAGTTAAATGATGCCACGTGGGAAATCTTTCGCAAGGCGGTTTAACTTGGTAAGGGACAAGCGATACATTGGCATGGAGCTGGCGTTAAACGACACAAATATCACTAAAACTACTACCAGAAAGGTATCAACGCCAACGTAATAGAAAAATCGGACATGGACACGACTTTCTCTCTTGATACATGGAGACAGGTCCGTTCGGCTCTCCTCCCCCAACCCGCCATACCACCCCCACCTAAAAGGACCTCTTGTATAAAACGTGTTTGCAATGGCGACTCACGAAAACTTGCATCGCTCACAGTAGATATTGTTAAGACGTAAAAATGCCACACCATTTTTGCTAACGACATTTTTTTGCTAACTTTTGCAGAGTTTGTCAAAGAGCTTATGAAGTAACCTGGTGAAGACCGTGGGAGAAACTGCGAAGAAATACTACTCAGGATGGCATTTCTTGTATTTGTTGAAAAAAATTATTTTATTTTATGGCTGACAGCACAGTCTAGGAAAGTGCCCGATTTTTCCATCTCAACGGGTGAAAAAACCTGATGCTTTCAAAGGCTCGTGATGAAGGCTCGTGATTGAAAAGTATTTCGTAGAGGGTTTTTCATGTGCGAATAAACTATTGTGTTCTTTGTAGTTGATTTTGCTTCGCTCTGTTTCTTTTTTTCAAATCTAATTTGTTGTTTGTACATGTCTCAAGATCTTGGTGAAAAAAGAGGGGCTACTGCCTACTGCCTGCTACTCAGTCACCATTTTTTAGTAAAGATACTACTGGGGAAAAAAGAATAATGAGCAAAAATACAATATCTACACAAGAGACGTTTATCCATTGGTTCTTGAAAGATAAGCCCCCTGCATTCCGTGGAAATTTCCAAGTGAAAGGGCTTTGAGGATGGCCTGAAAACTGTCTTTTTATTTGGTGTTGCTCTTTCTAGCACTGCACCGGTATCGGGGAGATACTGACGCCCGTGATTCTGTACTTAAGTCCCGGCTCCCTGGCCCTGTAACCAGAGGATCTTAATGGGGCCGGGTTTCTTTTCGTCACTGATTGACAAACCTCATTTCAAGTGATAAACTTTGTTATTCAACTTACTAGTAGTTTAGAGCCAATGGCCCCGCCCACGCGAATCCGGGCAGGCTGAGACCGCATTCGAAAATAGCCGGTTTCAATCGTCAACACGAATTTGCAAATCTCGGCTCTCGTTCAGCGGATTCACTGGTTTTTGTGTGGATGGTAGGCCGATTTGTCTAAGAAACAAAAAAACAAAAAGAAAACAAATATTCTGATGGGGGCCTATATTAATTCTTGTAATTTTACACGTACTTGAATTGCAAATGCTTTATATTTGCTGGGTTAATGAAAGAATTAATCTTCGTGTCCATTGTAAGGCCTATTGTGTTCGAGCGAAAACGAACAATAACTGACGTCACTCCGGAAAATTTATGGCCAGGAAGGATTACAATATCCACTCAATACCAACTAAAGAGGTTTATTACACCGAGTTATCTACTCTCGACTCGTTTTGTAATATAAAACGTAACTGCAACAAAACAGGTCGCTGGAGGACAACCATGGGAAGTGTCCGAAGATTCAGCAACGGAAGAAAGATTAGCGATGGGGTAGGCAAACTCAGTCAGGGAACCTCACTGAAACTTGCTAAACAATGGTAGATTACTAATTATTATGGCAAGTTTCTGCACTCTTTCTGATTTAGCAAAAACGTTAGCTTTTTGAATTGCGAAGATAGGCTTTGCTTCCGACCTAGTGGAACCTTTGGTTTAAGTCACGTAATTTTTATTTATTCTATTTTGTGCTTAAAATTCTAAAGAAATTGAGCATACAAACGATCAGTGATGCGGTAGTGACCGTAGTGAATGCAATAAAACCGTTTTGATTGTGTAGACAGTCAAAAGCTTGTCAAATCTAGCGAAAACTATCTTGAGAAACTTTCGATGTTTTAAAAGAAGTGCGAACGGCTGGTAAATACCTTCAGGCTTCAAACGGGGTAATGTACCATCATCATATACCGGGTGTAACTCTGAAGACCTGTTTTGTTAGACCAAGCGGGCACAGAGAATAGCTAAATCAAAATCATGAGCAAAGCCGGATTTTATCGGTGGGTGGTTTATTTAAAGGCGACAACCCGGAGAAAGAAGAAGCCGTGCTGACTTTCGTATGTCTGTTTCTTTAATCTGAGGAAATAAGTCAAATTACTTTCTGACTTACCAGTCTCTAAATCCAAACTTTTTAAAATTCAACATTATCAACATTTTAAAGTAATAATGTTCATTATCCCTATGCTAATGACTTGAGGTATGCGTATGAATTTAATAAAGAAGCAAGTTCAATCTATTTTGATGATGGTCAATAATAACGACAATTCTGTCACCTGAGGGATATTTTTTCTTTTTTTTTTCAGAGTGAACTTTCGCCTGACGTTGTCAAAGGTAAAAACTGCTTTTACATGTAACCCTTGCGTATGAGATCTGAGTAACGATGTCAGTAATAAAGCTAACCGCAAAGTTAAGATGTTCCAAAGTTCGATATGTTGAACCAGTTGTGTCTCCTGGCCTCTTGAACTCGGGAGCAATATATTGCTGGCAAGTCAAGAGTGTCAATATTAAGACTATTACTGTAGCCTGCGTCGCAAGCGTTTCCGTGCGGTTTAGGAGCAAAGAACGAGGAAAGATAGTCAAAGAGCGCGCGAAAAATGGCCTAAGTAAAAGAGCGGGGAGGGGGTGGGGAAGAAAGGAAGGAAACTTCCTTTTTTCCCCTTCCCCTCCCCCCACTTTCATTTTTTGGCTCTTGTCTCATTTCTCGCGCGGCCAAAACCGAAAATCCCGTTCCTCGGTCTTTCTTTTCTCCGAAAGCAAAAGGAAACGCTTGCTACGTAGGCTACTATTACTGCGCCTTATAAATGTTGTAGCTTGAAAAATCGTGCTTGCTACTGACACGTCTCGTTTCCGTACATATAATTTTTGTTTTGCGGCAGACCGCAGAAAGACATCGCCCCATAAGAAAATTTGGAAAGCCTTCTGGAATCTGGAATCTGGAATCTGGGAAAATTTTGCTTGTAGACTCCAGAATCCGGGAAAATTTTGCTTGTGGAATTCGGAATACAGCACAAGGAATCCAGAAATCCGCTTACGATTCCAGAATCCAGAATCCAAGTTTTACTGACAAAGAGTGGAATCCAGTTCCTAGAATCCGGAATCCATGGCGTGGAATCCAGGATAAAGACTATCTTGGACTCCCTTTGGGGTGAAAGACAACCGGAACACTGCTTCCTAGTTATGCCAGTACTTCGTGACTGTGACACGAGGTATTTTTTCGTTTGATCTCAACGAAGATGGCACACATGCTTTGGACGATGTTGGAAATAATCCTTGGAAAATGTTAAACTTTTGTTGTTACCTTGTTATAGAATTACGCGAGGCATTCTCTCTGTTTGATCGGGACGGCGATGGCACAATCACCACAGATGAGCTAGGGGTTGTGATGGAAAATTTGGGAATAAAAACGAATCAACAGGACTTACATGAAATGATCCAGGAAGTGGACGAGGATGGTAAGAGACTGATAAATCAAATACTAGGGGCACCCAACGTCAATTTTCGGAAAATATCTGTTCAGAAGACGATTTGAGATCTAGAATTTTCGGAACATTTTTTGTCAGGGTAAAATTTCTTGCTTACCCGCCTCTCCTAGGATTTTCGAACATCTAAAAAATGGTATAATTGCCCATTTTTAACGGATTTTTACCCTAAAAGGTCACTTAAAATTTTCGGGAGCCTTTTTTCTGGCTGAGTTTTTCGAAAAGGTAAGTATTGAGCCCTATAATTTTCGGATCACTAGACTTTCAGATAGGAAATCCGAACAGATGAAAATTTTTAGGGGATAAAAATATGCCTATATCTACCGTTTAAATACTAAAATACGTTTAACAATGCTACTCTGGCTACTGTGTTTAAGTGGTTTTAAACGATATTCTCGTTGGGTGCCCCTGAAATATTCTTGCAAGAATTCCAACTCAATCTCCGATTTTGAAAGACTTACCGTTAGCAACCGGAAGCGAAGAGCAAAAAGGTAGTTTAACAGCCTCGTTGGATGCCTCTAGTTCAGATTGTAGGAAGGCGGTTAATATTTTAAATTTCCTTCCCATTTGATCATAAGATAATAACATCAAATGTTTGACAATTTACCTTTTGACTCGGACATCGTTTACTTTGCGAAGGAAAAGCCTTGAGAACAAACAGGTGACAAAGATGCAGTAAAAAAGGTGAAATGTTGCGACTGCCCAAAGAACTAAACAGATTCTCTGTCAAGTGAAATAGGTGAATTAGATTACCGGTAGTGTAAACATTATACTGTCAGATCCCGTGGGAAACGGTTAGTTTTGTTTTCCCAAGAGTCCTGATGTTTCCCGAGACGAAGTCGAGGGAAACATCAGGACTCGAGGGAAAACAAAACTAACTGGTTTCCCGAGGGACCTGACATTAAGTGTTTTGTTATATTTCTAGACTTTCACTTCAACAGCAACAAAAGAATAACCGGAGCGAACCAAAACAGTCGACTCGGTACTTATACTGACTTATAACAACACAAATTTAATTCTCAAAAGTCAAAACCACTGAATGAATAATTTACAAACAAAAGTACTTTCCTCATATTATCTGCATCTTTTTCCTCCACTAGCTGCTGTTTTTCTTCTGGGAACTTATGGGATAACTTTAAAAATCGTTGCTTTTTAGCTTGAGGCTTCGTTTTTGTGTTGTTGTGTTCATTCACGAAAAAGAAAACTGGGTGGACCTGGCGGTGTTTTTCCCGCCTTCTGTCACACCACTTTCCACCATGCTTTGATCACGTGCTGCAATGTATCCCGAGCGGGATACATCGTTAATGTATCACGATCGGGATACCTTTGATTTTAGTCAAGGCCACGTGACCAAGAATCAACCAATGGCAGTCCCCGTTTAGTTGAGTGAAAGTCTAGGAATATAACAATACTAACTATAAATTTTTTCATGTCTTTAAAGGCAGTGGCGCTGTTGATTTTAACGAATTTTGCATGTTGATGCAGAGGAAGATAGCACAGGAAACCCAGCAGGAAGTCCTGGAGCTGTTCAATATTTGGGATGAATCCGGGGAAGGCGTCATGGAGGCCGACGAACTGCGGTGTCTTTTGAACAGAATCCCAGAAAGGCTAACGAGAAAAGAAATCGACCTGCTTGTTAGTCAAGCAGACACTAAAAAGAACGGAAAAATCAATTTCGAAGGTTTGTATGTTTGTTCGCAGTGCAAGATTCTGGGGGGACTACCCACCCACCCCTTTCTTGATCCTACATTTTGCCCAATTTGAGAAAATAGTGTTAAAGTTGAATCAAGGGAAGGCTAGGTGGGTGGTTTTGTTTTTTCATTCATTTGGCTTATTCAGTTTTCGGCAACGTACCACACAATGGCATTCATTGTAGCAGATCTTTTCGAGATCTTGAATACCGAAAAGTGTATAACTATCTGACTATGGAAAAAGCATCAAGCCTATAACTTAGTATTTTGCTTCCAAAAAATGGTGCCAATTTTCTGCTGGGCATGAACATATTAATTAGTGAATAGAAGAATAATTTAGAGAAATGAGATCGTACGCACAAGTTTAAACTAAGTTGAACTCCAATTTTTTTTCTCCCTTCAGACTCTTTTCTTTATTACTTTTTGCACACTATCATTAATTGTTATGTTTATTTTGCTTTATATACAGTAATAATTCTTTATATGTTGTATAGTTTGCCCTTTCTCTGTAAATTTTGTACTTATTAATTTTATTCTCATTGTAATGTTTGCAACCATTCGACCAATGTCGCAACAATGGCTTTGGCATCTTATTATCGTTAACTTGTGCTTTGTGTACTTATTTATCAATAAATAAATAAATAAATAATAAATAGAGCCAAGGGTTTTTACCGTTACCTCACAATGGCGCTAACAGAGAGGAGCTTATTAGCAACAACGACAGGCGACGTCATTAAGAACGGCGAAAAAAGCAATAGGTTTAGATTGGCAAAACAACAACTTTGCAGGTGCATCACGCCTTTCTGTACATTTCTTTGCCGTCACTGCACGACTCCGACGTGAGAATGCCTAATTTCATGATTTGTCCGCGAGGACGGGAAAACAAGACAACAGCGTTTCCTTTCTTCTCCTCAACTTCGATACAGCCTTTAGAATTCAACTCCAAAAACATTCGCCAGCATTTGACGAATTAAACGAGATGGAACAAGCGGGATAAGTTTGAGGCAAAGCAAATTACATTTTCATGTGACGTTTTAATTCATAGCTGTCGCCGTCGTTGTTTCTTAAGCTCCCTTTCATCATCTACACTAGGAAAGGGTTTAATAATTACAGCCAAGGATTTTAAAAGTTTTTTAAAAAAGCCTGGTTACTGGTCCTGGGGCCCGTTTCTCGAAAGTCCCGGTAACTTAACGGGCCCGGAATCATATTTTTGAATCAAAGTCTCAAGAAAAGTAGGGTGTGTTCTGTCCTCTAATGAAGTCCATTTTGTTTCGTTAGCTAATAACTCTACTGTATAATTTTCAAAACTTCTAAAACTCCCTTCTAAAATGGAAAACAAAACAGCTTAACGGGCCCGGTAATTACCGGGAGCTTCGAGAAACGGGCCCCTGGCCCGGCCTGCCGGGGAACTCATGGCTTCCCGTTTACCAGGCCTACACTCTGCCAACTGAACCAAGCTGGCCAATCAGAGACGGAAAAGTATTTTGAATGAATAAAAATTAATCGACTTATTGTTTTTTTTTGTAGAATTCGTGAAAATGCTATCCCGAAAATCAGAGCCATGACCATGAACTGGGAGAAGATAATGAACTTTAATACCACGAGTATCAGGCCAAATAAAGTTTGATTTAAACTGTGGTACAATAGAAATCATTTTCTTTTTGACCGTTAAAATTAAGTCCTGAGTCGCATTATACATCTATACGCGTTGTGGTTGATTATCAAAGCTCTCCACGAGCATTGGACGATTTCTTAACTCACTTAGAGCTATTTACAGCGACAGGAGCCAGCAAAACGCGAAAAGGAAAGAACTGTAAAAATAGAAAACGAGGAAGAAGGATTTTTAGTTCCTGATTCTTATCATTCTCTGTTTCAACCATAGGCGGCGGAACAGGGGGGAAAGGGGGTCCGTAGTCCTCCCCCCTCACCTTTTGGTGCCGAAAACACATTTACCGATGTATTTGACAATACCAAATAAAGACCGACTTCGGAGCTCACATTTTCTGTCCTTAGACGACTCAAGTACTACCTAAGAAGCACCATGAAGCAGGACTGCCTGAACAACTGCCTACTGATGCATTGTCACAAATCGATTACGGACAAACTAGATACTGTGAAGTGTCGACAATGACGTCTTAACTTGAACATTGACCGGGGAAGGGGAGGGGAGACTCAGTACACGAGGATAAAGGAGTCTAGAAGATGCAGATTGCGCACATTTCCACGTGTCGTGACTAACGTTCCGCCAGTTTAGAAGCAACCAATGCTGTTGCTCCAGAAAAAATCTTGACTTTTTTTGTTTGGCTTTCCGAAAAAACTTCCAATTAGGTCATTTAGGTCTTTAACCAAAAATATGGACGTAGAATAATAACCTGTAAATTGTCCGCTGCTTAAGTTCGTGAATTAAAACCAGCTTTTAAAACATTAAATTTAGGGGCTGACCACAGACTTTTCAAAGTGGTGTAGACTGGGTTTAGGTGATGCAGTCATAGCTCAGTTTTTGCTGTGTAAATGTAAGTCTACTAGCTCGATAGAAGAGTTTTGCTTTCTGGGATATTTTTTCCTAAATCACCTAAGCCTTCTTTTCTTAAGTGAATTATAGATTTGTGGATCTGGCTCTGCGCAATGACTATACATTACAAAGAATGTACGGCTTTAGGGAGCATATAATTTCTTTTTCGATTTCTCAAGTAAACAAGATCTTTCGGTTTTGAAATCAGATTGTAAATACCGCAACGTGTCCAAAATAAACTCACAATTGACGTCACCAAGACGTTTCTGGAGACTCGACTCTATTATCTTGCACTGGGAACGCGTAACAAGAACACGGGTTTCCGCTTTTCGCACGGGCAGGTCATTGGATCGTTGCAAAAAGGCCAACATTTCAACAACAAAATAAGCCAATTTAAGCTTTTCTCACCAGAATGCTACTTAGGTTGGATATTAACATGGTTGCAGACAATTTATACTGCTTTTAACTGACAAACCAACCATAAGAGAAAAACAGAAAGCGGAAACTTGTCTCCACAGTCCCCACTGTCATGTAAAGGTACCGGAAATGTGGAAATACACATTAAACCCTCAGCTCTCTCTCGCTGTGATCTTTTCTGTTGATAAATTCCTTTTGTCCATTGCGATGTAGACTCTCGCTATGATCTCAGATCAACTTAACAAAGCATTCCTATAGGGTGACTGAATAATTTACTGAGCCTTTAACCGACAAAATAGATAAACAAGTTACTGAAGATCGTACATTATAGCATGACATCATTGTTGATTTAAGTATCTTGGATTCACCAGATCATTCATGCTTGTCCCTGTCCGCAAAGCATGCACGAGTAGCATGATCGTGCGATAAAAGACTTAAAGACTGCATACAAGTGGAGTCAGACATTTGTGTTGTCAGCTGTGTTGCAGCAATTGACAGACCCGTTGCAAGACATCTGAGGGAGTAACAGACTATAAAAAGCATCTGGTACAGTGTGTTCTAACACAAGCAGCTTGTGTCATGGTAAGTCTGACCAATAGTATAACAAATTTGGTTTAGTCTTGAACTGAATAACTCAACGTACCGTTATCATTGAGATCTGAACGTGTAGTAAACATCCTCAATTTAAATCATGCGTCGGTAAATGCTCCCAGTACGAATCAGTGTCCGACTTCGGTCTACAGGAAAATTATCTCAAATCATGTAAGACTTTGTTAGTTTGCACGGATCCGCTGTCAGTTTCGCTTTCGCTAACCTTGATCAAGAACTACTGTATGGTTCTCTTTCATTTCACTGCCCTGATTCTGTCCTTAGATAGAGCTCCGACGACTACCTAATGAGCAGGTACATGCGGATCGATAATGTGTTCAAAACGACTGCTAACGACAGCATATCCCGGCTCTACCTGAACGAACACATTTCACCAAGACTTCATTTTTGTCTTGTTAGGGATAGGTAATGAGGTTATGTAGGCTTTTTACTTGCCAAGATGAGGTTAAAGCTAATACTGTTCAATGCGCAGTTACCAAATGAGATTGTCGTTAATTATAAATTAAGAACTACGTTCGTCATTACTTTAACCCAATGACCCTTTAATTTTTTTTTCGGTGAGGGCATTCTAGAAGATGTAGGTACAGACAACGCGCGTAAAATCACAAATCGTTTCGGGTGATAACACTTCTTCCTTTACTTTTTCAACTTGCTCTAACAAAGTAAAAAGCCCCACTATCTGTTTTCTTTCACAGGAGTTGACGTTAACTGAAGGACAGATTGCAGGTGAGATGATGACCCGAGCGGCACATTCTGATCCATCCATTGTATCTATCTAGTTATGTTATCATTGTAAAAGATTTAGTAAGATCTGTATTCGAAGTATGTTTTCAATGCCGAGATCCTACGTCATGATCTTGTAGACGAAAATACAGAACCACCATTTAAAAGGAACTTATTCGGCATTACTAACTATTACATAGGCCTATCTATTACGTTGTATAACTAGAAATACGTTTATCGCAACACCTCGCGAAGCTGTATAAACAGGTTTCAACTTTTGAGTCTCTGAATATGTTCTCATGGAGCGTGTGATCAATCAATGAAACCTCTTTAGCAGTACTTTTACATCTTACTATTTGCGTTCAGTATTTTTCAAAAAGAAATTTGCTTGAAATTTTTTTTTGGCTTCGCAGAGTCACTTACTGAAGCCAGTTAACTGAAGAGTTTAAAACTGAGTGCCCAGTGAACTTATCATATCTCAATTTTTTCCGTTAAGAGATACTGAAAAAAAAATATGCTACTGTGGTGCTATAACTGAAAAGAGCACTTATCGTCAATGATTACTGCTGTAGTATTTACTTCACATTGCAGAAAACAATTGAAATATCCCTGCTGGACCCTAAGAAAAATGCTACTAAAAGCCCAGAGGGTCAATAGCGTTCTGTTAAGCGGCCACATGCGTTATTATTTCATCCACATAAACAACAGTTACAAAGTTAACGAAATAAACAGAATCACGTGAAGAAGCACCCGATTAGTTTTTTCGACACCAATAATTGATATTTCATCTCTGCTCGCCAGAAATTTAATGTAAAATGTGATGATTCTTTAAGTGTTTATGTTAAATGACTATCGATGCGCAAGCCTTGCCGTTAACTGGGAATGATAACTAGGTCCACGTGATTTGGGTTCAAAGTATGGATGTTGAACCGTTTTCCTTGTTTGTCTGTTGTTTGTGTTTTTTTTTCCCTCTTTTAAAAACATGATCTATAAATGTTGGCCGGGAAAATTAAAGCGCTTGCCGCGTAGCAGCAATTAACTTGAACAACTTTTTAATATCAGGTTATTGCAAGTTTCTCCTTTATGACGTGTCAGCCTTGTTCTTATTTGACAGATTTCAAGGAAGCCTTTGCGCTCCTTGATAAAGACGGCGATGGAACCATTAACACAAAGGAGCTTGGAGTGCTGATGAGATCCCTGGGTGAAAACCCGACCGAGCAGGAACTGGAAGAGATTATCCGGGAAATTGACATGGACGGTAATTTTTTACCCCTTTTGTTGTACTGTTTCAAAAACGAGCAGGAGTGTATTAACAGGTTTAAAAACACGAGGCGATGCGAGTTTTTTGGATGGCTTCAAAATCTCTGTAATAGATCAAATCATTCTTACATTTATATTTAGGATTGGGGTTCATGGTCTAAAAAATTTGACGTAAAGTTTAGCCGTGCCTTAATCAGATATAAAGACAATCCCCAAACATTAATTTCTTTTGCTTTTTCTATATAAATTATTAATGGTTTTTGAAGCTTAGTTTATTAGCTGTATGTAACACTGTACTGACTGTACTGGTTTTTGTTATTGTTGTTTTGCCTTTTTTTGGTGTTGTTGCTTTGTTTCAGTCGCACAGTTTTTTTACCACACCACTGTTCATTGAATGTTAAATTTTATTTAAAATGACTGAGCCCGGGGGGGGGGCACTTAAGGAATTTCGGGGTGGGGATGTGCCGCTGGGAGCCTGGAACCCTTAACCTTTACCAGAGCTAGTTCAGCTGAATTTTGCTACCCTATACTAGAGTAAACTCCCCAAATCCCCCTATCCTAGAGTAGCTGTGTACCTAGTCTAGATAAAATCTTCAACCAATTGATCAGTTTCCTGAAAAATGATACCCTATTCTAGACCCAAACGATCCCATTTATATACCCTATCCTAGAGTAAACTGCTTGAAAACCATATCCTTCACAGCGGCACGTACCTATATAGCCCATATACCGCAGTACCCCCGGGTGAGTGAGAGAGAAAGTAAGTAAGAAAGTAAATACCACCGTGTCTACAATAGTTAGTATAGCTTTGAAACCTCAGGTTTTTTAACATGAATCGACCCTCTATCCACATGAAACCACTGAATCCGCTCCCGGGGAGGGGGTGGGGGGTACTTCCTTATAAGAGGCTAATGGGGATGTGCTGCTGGATGGGGTCGCATTTTCACTACTGGATTGACTACAACCGGGTTGCATTTTCAATGGAGTTACTAGAATGGGGTCGCACACTCAGTTTGGATCTTTGGGGTAAGAAAGTTCTTCACATTTACGGTTAGCAAACGTACCAGAATGTGCCTTAGGGGTAAAGTAAAGTGTTCTTCATTCAATATAAGGTAGATACATAAATAGAAAATGACTAGGCTGGGATCGCGAAAATTACATATTTGCCCCAAAGTGACTAAAATGGGGTCTATAATTGGCCACAGCCTAGATTATGATGGGGTAGAGACTCTGAGAGGCCAGCGGCAAATCACCCAGCAAAAATTAACCCAAGTAAACCACCCCGGAAATCCATCAACCAAACCGCAAAATTTTGAAACCACTTTCCAAAATGCTTTAGCGCCCGATCAACACGAATCCGGGTAACAAAACGTGCGGTTTCAAAAATCTCCGGATTCTTGCGGACGGGGCTTAAAATTCAGCGTATTTATTGATGGATTTAGCGAATATTACCGATTTTGTTTAAAGGGAACGGTATCATCGACTTTATGGAATTTCTCCATCTGATGGACAAACGAATGAAGGGAATTGACACAGAGGTAGAGATTCGAGACATGTTTAAAGTCTTTGACGTGGACGGAAATGGTTTCATCAGCTCAGAGGAGTTTAAATGGACCATGATGAACCTTGGTCAGCAGCTTACAGAAGAAGAAGTTGAAGAAATTTTAAGAGCAGCGGATTTGAACGGAGATGGACAAATCGATCTTGAAGGTTCCCAATGAATTCTTTTTTATTGTCTTCACCTCTATCATGTTAGTGCAACAGGTCGCACTGTTTATGGCGTCAAGAGTTCTTTAACTTTTTTTTTGGCCCAAGAATAGGCGGAAACAGGTGGAGGTCAATTAGTCGTGGGATAGATATTTCGCTCTTTGATTACCCTCATTTTCTTAGCCAGTTCCATCCCCCTTTCCCAAGTCGCGCAAGTCTTATTTTCGCTTTGCTCGTTTTAAAACGTCCGCACTATATTATCTCAGAGCCTGGCACAGGCTATCATTTTCTTGAATAACTCTCACGTTTGTCAAACCTTTATTAAACGGTCAACCTGTATGAAGCGTTCAGTAAGCTATTCTCAAAGAGTGATCGCTTAGTACAGGGTTCCCTGTAGACCAGTTAGGGGAAAACCTTTGACACCAATGGAAAAAGCACCTTAAAAGATACCTAAAGTTGCCAAATTTGAAAATGTTAAGTCTTAAGTCAGCCTAGTCCCTAGGCGTTCTCTCTTGCCCCGTTGTCCGCGCGAAGTCTGGGAGTGAGAAAAGAAGTAGCTTCGCAACGTTGCGATTCAGTTGTTTGTGCCCCACCATCATGAAACGTGTGTAAAATTTTTCGTCTTTGCGGACCTATATCTTTGTTAGGTTTTAGCAAATTGCTTTCAAATTGGGCAATTTTACTAATTTTAAGTCGCTTTTTGCAGTGGTGGTGACGGATTTTCGCTAACTTGTCCATGTCAAAAGTCGAAAAAAAAAACATAATTCTGGTATTTTGTACATTCTATCCATTTTTAAACAATAAACATGAATAAATAATTCGGACATTTTGTTTTCGCATAGCGAGCGACGTCTTCTGCTCTTCTCTTAACCTGAACTGCCACCCCTTTGTCTTCACACGACGTCGATAATCCAAAACTTTTTAGCGGGGGGGGAGATCCTAGCCTGGGTACAGACGCTCTCTCCCCGGCTGTACACAGGCCAGGGGACCTATGATCAGCCAATAAGAAAGGGAAAGGTGTTTTGATTGAATAGTTATGTTCTTTATGCCGGGATCTTTATCATAATTAAGGGTCTTGCTTATCAGGGTCCCCCCTGGACGGATTCAGTTGAAGGAGAGTTTTAGATCCCGCACAAAGTTTCAGGACTTACAGTTTTGCAGTGCCATAGCTGATAAAATTGTCTTTAGTCGAACTCATTTGCTATTCACTGGTATTGTATCGTTTAAATCTTCTTTCAGAATTCATAAAGATGATGTCATCCTAGAGGTGTCCACCATGTATCTGCTTATATGACGTACAAAGTTGCTGTCTCCAAGAGCAGTTAATGAACACTTTATTAGAGTCAAGAAACCTTTAAAGTCTGTAGATGAAGCTTCATTAGTCAAAACCTGAAATACGACTAACTGGGTAGCACAAGGAAAGTCGCTTCAGCTTGTAAAGCTGGCTTTAATGATGCGACCTCGACAACGATATGATCGTGCATGATAATATGTTAGGCACGTTTATTTCTTTATTAACCGTAGACTAGCCTTTCGGGTCAAATTTGATTGCGTTTTTTGTTTAGTTCAGTTTTTGACCAATTGTATTAGGCAAATGAGTTATTTTCGCACTGTTTGGGGTCGAAATAACTGACACAGTCTTATAATTGTATATTTGTGTGGGTTAAACCATTAGTTGACTATTGACAGTTAATCACAAAATTAAAACAAACACGTGGGTTTAACTTTTTTAAAGACTACAAATCACACAGCCTGAATGGCAGGCGTTCGAAACGATGCAAAGAAATCGGGCGATGAGTCACGTAGTTCTAGTCTCCCTGAATTAAATCCCGCCTTTGTTCTGCCCTTTCCGCGAACGGCTGCCAGGCAGGCTTCAAATTGCAGAGCTCGTTTCTGAGCTCTTTATCTTAACTGCAATGTCCTCAGCCAATTTTTTAGGTTAGTAAGGCATATATCATCGAATCACTGGTAAGAATGAAAACTGACGAATGACTTTAATGTAATGACAAACTTGTGCTGCCGACATAAAGTGCGAACTTTTTCATCTATCAGATTTAAGTTAAATCACAAATACAGTTTTTTGACAACCTCTTCGAAAAAGTCTCGATTTTAATCAATGCTTGATTTCGCTATTGCATTTGGCATGACGTGGGAACCAGTTTTGCTGAAAACGGTAAATCTGTAACTTAGGCCTGCACACACTGAAGGAAACTCTCGCCCACTCAAATAATTAAACAAAATCAAACACCAATTTAATCAGGAGTCGTTTGAAATAGTTAGTGTCTTTTTCGGTGAAGGCGTAAAAAGGGCTAATTCAAGAGTAGCCTGTTCCAGGCGTTCAGATAGTAGAGCGCTGCGGTCAGTGGGGAGCGAGTAAATTGTACACCGGGAAAACGCTGAACGCCTGGAACAGGCTAATTGAAGAGAAGAACTTCCCTGAAGCAAAATAAGCTGTCTGTTACAAAGGGATTTTCGAACAGCGGAATTTAACCTTGTACTGCTTGTACTGGAGCCATTTCCCTGCAAAACAAAATTGATATTGTGCGCCTCAACATCATGGCAAAAAATAGGTTTCTCGCGTACGATTTCCAAGCAATATCATGGTTCGTGACATATATAGTACAAAGCAATTTCAAAGTTGTTCTGAATTAAATGCAGGCATCTAACAGTTCTTTTGTTATCTGTTGTTTATTTTGAATTTTTTTCTTCTGTCTTTCTACTAAGGAGTTTCTTCCAGGTACTGATTTCATTAACACTTTGTTCTCGTTTGTGCCATTTTTGTCTATCTGCAAAAACAAAAAAAATCAGCATGCACTGCATTACCACCTGCAGTTAAGTGACGTCCCAATAAACAACTCACGTTCCAAAATTTCAGCTAATTTTCGGGTATTCTTATTATTAACTTTACGTAACGTTAATTATTGATTCCGATTTCAGCTTTGCTGTCTACAAATGGAAATTTATTATAATTCAAATGTGACTTCGCTTTCAGCTCACTGTCATATCATTAGAAGGAGAAGTAATGATTACTTTGCATAACCTTACCCTCGTAATGGATATATATATTAACTCTCGTGTATAAAGGTGTCGATTGAGTTGCGCTGTATTTAATATTCATGCAAATTGTAAAGTGGTCCTTGCAACATGACTAACAAGGTAGGGAGAAACTTTCTGTTTCCAACGTTGGTAAGGCAAAACTTCAGCAGTGAAAATTTCTTTACTGGAAACCGTTTAAGATTATCGCTATTTTTTAAGGTTAGCTTATAACTTTAAGTGAGTTTAAAATACAGTCATTATAACGTAATATCAGTTGCGATATCGAGCTTCACTTGCTTCTAGTAAATTCATAAGTTTAGCATCCTTCTAAACGAAACTGTTAATCGTGTATCATCGTTTATCGTGACATAAAATCCGAGTGGTTTACAAGCCAGTTTAACAAGGGATTATAAACACCATTTTTTACAAGAAAATATCCGTCGCCATTTTAGATGTGACCTGTTTAAGGAAATACCTGTTTCTAAGTTACCCGCAAATTACACAAAAATGTCATAGCAGCAGAAGGGAAATCGAAAACCCGTTGTACATCAAAATTATATTAATCAGATTACTCTCCAGGGAAAAAAGCAAAATTTTGAAAAAATTCCAAATTTCATGCTGTAAAATACCAAAAAAAAATGACAGAATTGTGTGAAAGTACTGCAAGAGGTTTAATTTAAATGGTCGCACAATAGCTGATTTCGCCCTTAAACAAAAAGTGAGAAATAAGCACCAGGTGATCTGGAACTCTGAGTAAAAGACAAAATCTGCGACAAAAAAATTCCTTACAAACTTTCTGATAAGGTTGATCTTTACGCATAGCAGTTTGAAAAATAATGAGTAATGTCATGTTTACCTTAAACCTGGCAGGTTTCATCGCTGACATGGCGACGTAGTTATGTATTATGACCGATACCACTCAGGTGTAACGTTAATATTTTAAAAAGGTATAAGTCTGATATTTGCTGATATACCTGAGCCTCACGTATTGACCGGGAGGAAACAGTGATACGCGTTTTGAATTTAAAAGGACTTGAACAGAATTCATTTGTAGCAATTAAAAAGAGAAAACTTAAAACGTTTAGACTGGATTTCCTTTTAACGCCTGTTAAAACGGTGGAGAATATCAATGAAACAATGAAGTGGCTCAAAATAATTACAAGTGATAACCAGGAGAAACATAATTAAAGACCTTATAAAAACAAACACATTTCGTATCAGTATGGGTTTTTACGCAACTAAGGCTAGAATAACAGGGGCGTAGATCGCCGTTTCTTTCTCATTCCCTTAAAAAAAAAACTGAAAGTTAGCAACCCTCATTTTCGGCAACAGGCTACGAGCGATCCTTAATTTACGTGGAACGTAAATACGGGGCTTATTTGGCCCGGTAATGTCCTTAATCTGTAGTTTCTTATATGCGGTTTTAACTCTTCTCAGATAGTTCAGATTAAAAATGATTGAAAATGATTTTACAAATGTCGTCAGTAGCCTACTCGGAATTTAAGCAGCGTCTTCAACAGAAGATTCCGCAGAAAATATTGAGTGAAATTGATTTTTAACCTAAACCTGCTTTAGGACCACCAAGGATAAATAATTTTTCACTATCTTGTACTACTAGTTTATAAACTAAGTTGGATAACCGCGACACTCAAACTGAAATGTTCCGGCAGGAGTCGGAAAACCTCGTCGGTTTTTCTTTATTCTTTCCATAATAATAATAATCTCGGAAACAAGAATCAGTGGCGTTTCTTAAACGCAGATAAATTTAAGTCCAAAACTTAGAAGGGCTTACACTCATCTGAATAGATTTAATAACTTTTTTTGTTAGATTACACTGTACTGATGATCTCCTCAAGAAATGATGAAATCGATTCTGTATTATCCTTTTACCGGCCCGGTGTTCGTTAATTAATAAGCTGTTCGTCGTGTTTTTCGACTCTGCCTCTTTTGCACTTACTAGGTAGACAATGATATAAGGCTCAGAAAGAAACTCAACTGAATATGAAAGAAAGCAAAGGCTGAGGAAAGGAAAGACTCGAGCGACAGTGCAAAGTTCTCACTATAAAAACAGTCCTATAGGATTACACATAACATCACAACATAACATTACCTTTATTTAAACATACTATTGAAAATCATATCCGAGGCATCCTCATCTTTAAACTCACTCATTCATCTTTACCGTCTTCAAACTCAAGTCCAAGTTCCGACTTCCACCTAACTTCGGAATTCCGAATTTTCACTTCCCATCTTCTCTACTGGCTTCATTGCTGTATATAGATGTGACTGCAAGTTAAAGCAGGGATACCATTTAGCAGATATTTTGTTTTCAAATCAAGCGACTGAACCCCTCCGCCAACTACAGAATATATATAGCTATATAAGTTAACATGCGAGACCACAGTTTCGAATCCTACATATTGCATGTTAGCAACCACCCAAAATGCGAAGAGTCATCTACTTTTTTTGAGAGAAATAAAATGTATAGCATGAAATCTGTATCTATGTTGTTACTAAAAGTTCTTCTCTTACTCTGAGTCAGGCGTAGTATAAGATTTACGATACCGCTTAAACAAAGATCAGAAGATTGTATCAGGTGGTCAGTCGCTTAGAAGAGCCGTGTTAAAAGCAATTTAAATTTCTAAAACCGTCAACCTTAACAATGGTTGCGGTCGCTCACAAGAGGTGGCCGTTTGTGAGAGGTTCCAACTATAAGGCTTTGACTGGGAAAATTTTGGTGTTTTGGATTGGTGGTCGCTTATAGGAGGTGGAGGCTTACGACGCGGGAGGTAGTCGCACATGGAGGTGCGACTGTATTCTCATCAATAGAGTACTAAAGTGTGACATCATAAAAAAAAAAAAAACATTACCTTTATCTACAAAACTCCATACAAACCCTTCTAAATTTTTTTTGGGTCGACCCCAAAAATTAGAAGGGTTTGTATGGAGTTTTCTGAGCATAATTGGGCTACGATCTCAGAGACAATTTGCCGCGAAATGCTCATTTTTGGCAAGTAGGCCTCTTGGACATTGTTCGTTCAGAATATCCTAACAAATCCCATAATTTCAGAAATTTCATTTTTATGACGTCATCACTTTAGTACTCTATTGCTATATAATGGGATGGCTGAGGCATGACTTCTGAGTCAATCCCTGGTCCCGTTAGTTTGTTCGAAAATGGTGCATTTTGATTGGTCCTTGCAAACAGCACGCACTCGAGCAGCGGAAATCGAGCCTATTGTGAAGTAGGAAGTTGGAAGCCGGAAGTCGGAAGTCGGAAGATTGAAGTCAGGAGTCGGAAACTGAAAATCGAGAGTTGGAAGTCGGAAATCGGAAATCGAAAGTCGGAGGTTGAAAGTTGGAAGTCGGGAAGCTCCTCCTCGGCTGTCGCGGTCATTAGTTACCTAGCTTCCGATACTTCTTTTGGGGGTCACAAAGTACGATAATAAAAAATTCATACATGCCTTGTTGTTAGTCAGGTAATGGCAAAGATAAAAAAAAACTCATCAAAATTTTGCAAAATCCGTTTTAAGAAACGAATACTCAAAATTGCTGCCAGGGAGGTTTCATTTGAACAGTAACACAAACATATATAAAGTAGAGTCCAGAGTCCAGTCCAGAGTCCAGGTTCCAGTCCTGCTTTTAGCCTATGCCCCGGGTTAAAAGTTAGAGAAATGGATAATGCGACCCAGGAGGAGTTTAAATTGACTCTAATTAACTTTTACAAAACAAGCTCTGCGTGATAGCCATTAGCATGATTAGCTTGCATTTCAATGAACATCTGCCAAACGATAGCCTAAGGGCGACTTCTGAGTTTGAAACACCTTTCTGGATTATTCTGTGCTCTCGAAAAAAACACGAATTTTCTGTATTCAGAACAGGCGTCAACTGTTGACTCAGGAACAGTAAAAGGGAAATTAGACGGACAGAAGTTGTCGTTCGCACAGACGACATTTTGCCTCGTGGTTTGGAGAATGACTTGTTTAAAAGCGTAGAAAACTCTTCGCATTTAAATGCAGAGACACATAGTTCAGTATTTGTCGATCAACAAATGTTTCAGCTCTCCTTGCTCATTCAAACAAGTTGCAACTTGTTAAACTAAACCACGGATAGAGCCCACCTAAACTCTCATTCAACAAAGTTGAACTACTGAATGCTAGCTGACAAATTCAGGGATAGCTTTCTCGCTTTCTTTCAGTGTAAGGAAATATGGTAGACACTTTTTTTTTGCTCCAGTGGTGATTTTTTTTTATCGGATGCCTAGTTTTCTTGGTGTGCTGTTAGTCGTTTATCGTCACTGAGGACGTACGCCAATTTCGTTGTTGTTTTTAAGAGTCTTTTAACAAGTGAAATTCGACAGCGACGCATGCCGTCAATATTCCGTTTTATTCTTAACATTCTGCTCCCTGGAGCAGAATTTTTGGAATATATTAAGCAGTTGTTCCGGAACTGGAATAGCAATACGTCAATCGAACAGTTTTTCTGTGCGTTCCTTTTCCAAGAGTACTCGGGTCAATCGTTGAACTCCTGCACTCGAAGTCATTTGAAGTTCCCTAGTAATAAGTGAAACTCAACCGTGAACGAGAAGCATAGGCGGGAAAAAAACCATCACTAGTGTTAACGTGTTAACGGATAATTAATTATGGTGAGTTAAATACAGTTTTCATCTTGGGCCTTTATATTGAGATAAAATTTTCTAATTTTCAGTATAAGATAAATTATAGGTGAAAAAAACTCATATTTTCAGTAATGGGAACAAAAAACCATGTTGTATAAGAGGAAATTTTTGAGAACTAGAAGGTTTTTTTAAAGCTTTTTCCGTATTGCTAAAAGTTGGACTCGACAGGATCATGGTCGATCGTCGAAGCCCGGCTTAATATCATCAAAAATTGAGTATATATTCCTTATTAGCTTTATCAGAAACTTCTCGACGGACTTCGTTTATTACAGACGAGTATTTTCTCGAGTCAAAACAAGTGCAGAATGTATTGATTCCGTATGTAATTCTTCTAAATAGTACAAAGTGATGTTTTTTATAGGCATTTTGGCTAATGGTAATTAAGGGTTGGAGGCTGATATGGGTACTTATTTACCCCCAACAAATAAAACACAAATACTGTACGAATCGTACCCAGCTGAGTGTAGATAAAGAATTTCGAGCACATTCTAAGATTCTAGCTATAGCCTGAGCAGCTGCTGCTTTTTTTCAGGTAAACTAAGAACAACAAGACTCTAGTTCTTTTTAACATTCAAACCGTGTGTTCTTTTGCATTTGAAAATAAGGTACGAATAACATTGGCAGTAACAGCAATTATTGAAAAGATATTTTATGCCCTAGGGCGGTGTAAAGAAATCAAATTTTTTCAGTAAGTGAATGTAAGGTTAAAGTAACTATGAAAAATTCTTAAAATGGTCGCTGAGGATACTCTGATTACTGAAACTAGTCGCACCGATCAAACAACCAGCTTTCACGAGAATTTCGCACAAAGCACTAAACAATAGAACTGATTATATATCATTAAGAAAGTGTAATTCTTCTCCAATTATAATTAAATGCGTTGTTAAATACATACTAAGATGAACAAAATTCACCTTTTATTTCCTCTTTGACCGGCAAATTTTCAGAGAAATGTATGATTTTGATGCTATTCATTAATTCTTTGTAATTGATCCAATGAAGCCCCTGCAAGCGGTCAGACTTTCTAGTCTTCTCGGATAAGGATGATAAACCGTAGGCCCCGCCTCATAACCCTTTCACAGATACATTCTTTGGGACGTTAAAGAACCAGCCACAGTGGGGGGACGTGGTCCCCGGTTCGGTGTGGTGATCTAACTACCTTGGAGGGAGGGACTGTTCGCTGTTGTGATGCAACCCTGTCAAGAATTGGCGAACCTAAGTAAACGTAACTGTAACTGAAGTGTATTTGATATTTGTTTTTCTGTTTATTGACTGTTTTTGTATTTGTTGCTCCAGTTTGATATCCCAACTCAAGGGAAAAGACAGGCAGCCAGTAAAGCATCATATATTTGGAAATACTTCCATTTAGCAAATTAATATTGATAAAAAAGGCATAAAAACTCAGGTACTGACCCGCAGAAACATTTAGCACTGAGCTACCTTGACTGTAAAACTAAGAAGGTAATAATCCTAGGGCTAAGGGCATAAATAAGTTAGGAAATACGAATGGCTAGGTTTCCAGAGAAAAAATATGCCTTTTTATTGTTCTAAAGAGGTGGGGGGAGGAAAATCCTAAAAATTTTAGAAAATCCTAATCAGAATCAATATTTATATTTTTCATAGGCTTCTAATTTAACAGAGCAACAAATAGAAGGTAAGAGTCTTGACTTGACTTTTCCTAGACTGAAATAAACCGTACCAAATACTAACATTTTCTTGAAACATGAACACAATTGAGCAGGCAAAACCCTGTTGATATTTTTCATTTCAGACTTCAGAAAAGCATTTCAACTTTTTGACAAAGATGGCAACGGAAAAATAACCGCGGACGAGCTTTTCGACGTCATGCGATCTTTGGGTCAGAAACCAAGCGACAGTGAAGTGGAGGCCATGATTCAACAAGCTGATCAAGATGGTAACTAGTCAGACTTAAACACATTTATATGCTCGGGAGGGGGAGTAGGAGGATTCGGGTCACTCGTCGTTTTCAGGAGCACCCAACGAAGGTTTTCTGGCAAATATCTGTTCGGAGCCCTCTAGAATGGCTAAAATTTTCGAGAGCCCAAGAACAGCTAAAAATTTCGAAAATGTTTCGTGGTGACTGTTCGTTGGACTCAGAGTTTCGGGATTTGTGTGGTTTGTTCACCTAAGAATTTCGGATTTTGTAGTAATTTCTAGATCACCTAGAAATTTCGTAGCTTTCGTAGTAATCTCTAGATTCTGATTTCGGCACCTAGAAATTTCGTAGCTTTCGTAAACCAAGAATAGCAAAATTTTTAAACCCGGCTGACAGTCTCATAAGCGAACATTTCACACAACTGATTTAAAACCCAACGACCCTTTTCTGAGGGTACCAGGCTTACCGGTTACGCGTACGCGAGCGCATCGCGTGAATAGCGCCTGTCAGTCCTGTGTATCGGTCGATGGACACTCAGGACAGTATCGTAGCAGGACTACGGATGGAGGGATAACCCAGACAACGCTATTGTAGCACTGTTCTCGGCATCGCATGTATCAGATCTACTTAATTTTAATAAAGCCACATTTCTGACATTTACAGTTACAGTCCGGCTGTGTAGAAAATAGGCAACTTTCATCGTTTCAGTGAAGTTTAGCCCGCGAAAACAGACGTTTTTCCAGCGTTTTTTTCTTTGCTCGCTCATCGCTACCTGGGGGGTCTGTGGGGAGGGGGGTTGGGGGCGAGGAGCGAGGTCAAACAGGGTACAAGACGTTTGAAACTGGATTTAAAATCACTTAAATGCCTTTCCTTTTGTTCGTATTTTTGTTCTTCTTATTTTTTTATTATAATTATTCTTATTATTACACCTAGAATTTTCTATACATTCTACGTCGCCCGAGAAAATTCGAAGACATTCTCACGATAGATAAAGTTTTCGGAGAAAATTTGAAAGGACCCCTAAAAATTTCGGCTAAGGGAAAAGCTCGTCAGGTAATCTCACGTTTTCGGAAAGCTTTCACTGTAGGCTGTTATTTTCGGGAAACGCGAAAAACAGCCCTAAAAAATTCGAGAGGTTCAAACCACTCCTAGGACGACCGAACAGATCAAATTTTTTTAGCGATGCGAATTATTCATTTATATTGCTTTTAAAGCACTTCAGGATGCATAACGAGCCATTTCAGATCATTTCCCAGAAAACGGTCGTTGGGTGCCCCTGCGTTTTGGATGGGGAGCTAGGTAAACCTACTTCACTTCCGGTGGAAAAAAGTATAATGATGTTTTCCGGTATGTGTATTCTTTGAGAATGCGCAGAAAAAAAAACAATTTAAGTCAAAATCGTTCTCCTATACTCGTACTCGTCCTCGAATCTACAGCTAAATCTTAAGGTCTCTCTGTTAGTGGATTTTTATCACTTAGAGAATACTATTCTAACTATAAACACACTGCGGAAACAATTGCACCCAGCTGAAGCTAAACCTGTACACTAACGAGTATTAGAGTATATTTCCAGAAACCCCTTACTCCTAAAACAGTCGTGGAAATTATGTGAAAAAGATTACCTAAACCTGTTGTGCCGTGACAACGTTTTCGGGATCTTTTACTGTAAAACTATTTAACTTGTTTTGTCAGTTTGCTTTTGCTTGTTGTGCTTGCTTGTTTGTTTGTTTGTTGTTAACGCTTGTTAACGTTTGTTTTGATTAGGCGATGGGACGATAGATTTTTTAGAGTTCCTAGAAGTTATGGCGAGCAGGATGGGTGAAAACTCGTTTGAAGATGACATGAGAGAAGCTTTTCAAATGTTTGACCGAGACTGCAATGGGTATATATCCAAGAGAGAGTTAAAGTTCGTCATGATCAGCCTTGGTGAACAGATTACTGAGGCTGCGGTGGAGAACATGATGAAAGAAGTCGACTTGGATGGTGATGGCAGAGTAAACTACGAAGGCGAGTAGTGACGACTTTTATTATATTTTATATGCTTGAATTGTTTTTGCGGGTGTGAGAGTTTTGGATGCGAAGCTTAAAGGCTGAGAAAGGCTTCGCAGCTCTACTGCCAAACCGTTCCTCGCACGAACGATTCCGCGGGCTATGAAAGCTAAAATTAAATTGTCATGACAAATAAAACAACATCTCCAACCTTAACTAAACGGCGTCATTCCGTGGGCTAATCCAATGAAACACTAAAAAATCGCTCATTTTCAGACTGCTTAACCAAAATCGTTCCCCGCATAACTCTTTTGATGCAAAATAGTCCGAAATTGACGTCCACGATTCATCCTGTTTGGTGTACTGAAGTGCTGGGAACATCGATATACTTTCAAACGAAGATTTTTTTAAATCTTAAACAAAGAAAGGTTTATTACAGCACACGGTGAAAATGAAGAGTCCGCATTGGCGAGGTTGACGTTCCATGAAAATCTGTTGATTTGGCAAGAGACAAGTGTCCATTGCGTTGTCCACATTAACAGGTGTCCGCATAAAGCGGTTTGAATTTACAGAAAATATAAGGGCTTTCCCCAGGGACAAAGAAAACTGTCCTTGATAATGAGGTGTCTGCATGGTATCCGTAAAGCGGGGGTCGACTGTATATAATTATCAGGACTATCATCATCATCATTATCATCATCATCATCATTTTTTATTTGATTTTATTATTTTATCTTTGCAGAGTTCATAAGGATGATGAAGAAGTAAACATACAAAATTATATTTGATTTGCACGGAACACATTCTCTTTAAGGAAAAGCATTTCTACTGCAGAATAGCTATAATTTTAACCCAACACCCTTTTTGGTTTGTAAATAGACCTTGTAAATATTTGTCGCTATAATTTGGTAAAAGAAAACTCGTTTTGTACATTTTTATTCAATTCAGAGAGACGCTGAAGTTACCCGCAGTGTGACCTGTTAAAGTTTTTTCGTAGTTAACGTTGTTCAAGTGTTGTAGTTTTTTTTTTGTTATTTCACGTACAACATGTTATATGAAATACATTATTAGCCCCATTTCGATCTACGTGTAATTTCGTCACAAGAGCTTCGTACACCTCTAAATTTGAAATAAAACCCTATTTCTTCTATTAAAGCTAATTAATTTGTTATTGAGAGAGTTTCGCTTAAAGAGCAGCAGATGATGAACTCAGGTGATGAAACCGGGGGTATTTACCATTTACGAGGAAAATCTGGAAATTCGGTTTGGAATTGTTGGGAAGGTGCATAAAATATAAGCTACGTGAAATAAAGTGGCTAAAGCCGTTAAACAGTGCTCAATACACTTTTTAAGTGTAGAGCTTTGAATAAGAAGATATAACGAAGAGACAAAATTCTCTGTTACTCCGAGTTTCGTGCTCACGACAGTATTTTTAAAATATAAGCTATATATGATTTGTGGCGATGCAATCAGTTTTCCGATTATTTTTAGTCTTCCCGCCCAATGATTTATTAAAGTATATTTTGTAGCAGGTGCTCCTCCCATAACTTCAAATTTAATATTGCGCGAGATTTCCAACCGCACGATTAAACCCTTCCAAGACTTCCAGGTTTCAATCCGGCACAACTCAGTGTCAAGAGCAATCACGGGAAGAAAAAAAAATGATGCCAAGAAGCCAAAAAAGGAGTTCATCTTAGGTGCAAGCTTACCATTTCAGAAATTATCCAGGATCTGGAAGGGTTTTCTTGGGATCTGGGATTTGTACGAGATTCCAGAAAACGCAAAATTTCTTGAAGGGGTACGGGATTTGACCACAACTCGGCAAGCGGGATTCCCCAAAATGTTCGCTCGGGATGTGGTGTTGGAAAAGAAAATGGTATTCGGGATGATAAAGATGACAGAAGTTCCGGTTGCGGGATTGTCCGTGACAGCAAAGGATCCTCCATTCCAGACTCTAACTACCGTATTTATTCGAATAAGCGCCCAATTTCAAATTAACACCCACCTCGAATAAGCGTCCATCCTAAAGGCAGAAAAAGTTAATAAGTGTCCATCTTCGAATAAGCGCCCACCCTCTCCTCCACCCCACCCCACCCACTTGAGTGAATAAATTTTGATAAGAGACTTCCCCGAGGACGGAGTTTTCTTCAGAGTATTTTACAGAAACCTTGCTTTGTAACTTCTTCGCGTTTTGTTATTAGCATTTATTGTTTTGTTGCAAAATAAACATACTTCACTTGCTGAAAATGGTGAAAATTTAATAAGCGCCCAGCCTCGAATAAGCGCCCACTTTCAAGGTCCAAAAATTTAATAAGCGCCTAGGGCGGTTAATCGAATAAATACGGTATTACGCATATTTAAACTGAAAAAGGTCATTTATTATAGCTTTGAAGTATGTTGATAAGATCATCTCAGTGCTCCTTTCTTCTTTGAGGCCTATTTTTTTTTATCTCTAGCGACGATAAATGAAGCAAATTTCAGTTCAGTTACGAGATCGAGCAGTTCGGTAAGAGTCCTTATAGTCTTCATGCCCTCTACTTGAGTCTTTTCATGTGTCTTACATAACCGACCTTACCGACCAAACCGACCTAACATCATGCTCCTTAGATTCCAGTCTTCACGCTTCTCGTGCAAAAACAGCTGAAGACATGGCTGTTGTGTATTGTTTCAGTACGTCTAGGATGTTAATTTTGTCGATTCTGCGTAATCTTCGTTAAAAAGAAGGACACCTTGGGGTGACAGTCTTAAAAGGGAAATGGCTCGAAAATCAAAAACAAGTCTAGAAAACGATATAGAACGCTCGCGATGGGAAGAAAAATGGGAGCTTACCCCGAAACTGGTGGAGCAACTGTCGAGTAGAACTACAACAGAATCCAGCGTAGGTGAGACTTATCATAAAAAACCTGACAGAAAAAAATGAAAGAAAATGGTTTAAAATGTATGCGCCTGAGGCGAAAATAGTGATTTAGAAGTGGTAGAAGGCGTCATGCAAGTTCTGAAGTTGATCATGATAACATCATTTGGAGATGACAATCACAATATTAATTTGAGCTTAATGTAAATGTACAGCAACTATCACCTGCTAGAATGTAGCTGTTGTGTATAAACTGACAGTGCATGTAATTCCCAAGTCCCATGTGCTGCAAGATTACAGTTTAGTGGCTGCAGATACCGTGTACAAGCTGTATTCCTAAAACAGATAAATCGAAAACTAAATTGATATTGAAAAATCCACAAAGAGGATTACCCATCACCATGGATATACTTTTTGGGCATAGTATCTTTTTTTTGTACTTCTTCTATCTACATGCTTAAAGAAGGAAAAATAGGCATTACATGTACATGCTATTCTTAGTGAATATCAAAGTGGATATGCAATGTACATGTATGAGAAATATAAGACCTACATGTACTTTTAGGGCCTGTTTACATGGAGTGGGGGACCCCGGTCTAGTGGGGTAAGTTTCTTTTGTTTTCACGCTCTGGGGGACACAAAACAAAAGAAACTTACCCCACTAGACCGGGGTCCCCCACTCCATGTAAACAGGGTCTCAATCTATTGGATACCTTAATACCCAGCTATTTTGACTTGAATATGCAGATATACTACTGTACATGCATGTAGTGACTGTGTATCAGGGCTTAAAAAAAGTCCTGTCTGGTAGGCCTGGAAATAGCCTCCCACACAGGCATTTTTAGTGGAGCTCGAATTTCGTCCCCTCCCAACAAACGCCTGCTCAACCGGGAACAAAATTCCTTTCCCATTGTTATATTTGGGTGGTAAGTGACCAATCAACAGTTTTGAAATAAAGTGATGACAGGCTAAACACGACTCATATTACATAACCTCATAGTAGTGTAAAAACGTGACTCCATAGTCACCTTTTTCCTTCTTTTTTTTTTCCTTCACTAAGGTTGTGCAGTGCATGGAGTATTCTTAAATCTTACTAAATCTTAGGTATTTTTAGGTATTTTTATTTATTTGCCACACAATTACATTACTTAAAGATGCCAAAAGAAAAAAAAAAATTGTAGGAAGAGATGGCGAGGAGGCCTAAAAGAAACTATAGAGCTTATGTTAATTAGGCCTCCTCAATTACAATTTTTCGAAGATGGCATAAAAATTACGGCGACGGGTACAGTATAATATCAGGTGAAAAATTAAACTAATCAATATTACGGAAGTTTACATGTACAAATGTTGAATATTAAAAGGCTTTTTCCCAAGATTTTTGTTGAAGTATACTAATAATTATTACAAATAAATGCCTTAAGTGCTCTTTTAAAGGAGAAAGGTGAGGAAGCGTTGATGATGTTGGTGTTTAAGGTGTTGTAAAATTTAGGTCCTTGATAAAAAACGGAAAATTGCTTGGTTCGAGTACGACAGAAAGGCAGACGAAATTTACACGAGTTTCTTGTATTATACAAATGAATTTGACTTTGTAAGGTAAATTTACAATGAAATTTTAAAGGTAGAGTATGGTTTTGATAGGAGTACATGAATAAGCCTAGTTGTATTAAGTATATATCATGAAATTTTAAGATACCAAGATTTACTTTTGCCACTGTGAGTCTAACATCAATTGGAGGTCATAAAGCTTTCCCAGTTTTTCATGTAGATTGAGTAATTAACGGGTTACCCTGCGGTCAAGGTCATCTTTCCAGAATTTGGAAAGTACAATGTGATTGGCTAAGCTTGGAAAAGGAATATCGTTCTCGGTTAATCTGTCATTTTTGGGGAGGGATGAAATATGAGCTTCTTTAGAAATGCCTGTGTGCGAGGCTACTTACACAAAGGACAAGCTGAATTTTTTAACCCTGTGTGTGTGCCTATTTTTAGGGGTAAGAGGGGTATTCTGCAGTTAAACCCAGTTAATTGAGTCTTAATTTTTATAGAATTTCACCCTACACAGAGAGCATGGAAACGCAAAGGTTCCATTTGGTAAATACGGTCAACTCCTGTTCACTCAAACCTTCTAGAGAGGTAGAAAAAATTTTGAGTTATGGGGAGTTTGAGTTATCGAGAGGTCGAAAGTAAATAACTGGAAATAAGGAAATAAGGAAATCGGATGGAAATGGAATACAAGTATCATGCACACTTCACCTCATGGACTCTCAACAAAGCTTGATTAATTAATGTACAGGGCAGGACACTGTAATTGAGTTGGTTTGAGTTAGCAAGGGTTCGAGCTATCGCGAGTTGAATGCATTCTTATTCAAACCTGTGTCTGCTGTATGAAATTGGGCAGTGCAATATTAAGCTATTGTTAATTCTGCTGTTTAGATGCTGTTAAGAAACTATTGATCAGCGAATCACAGGTTGAAATTTATCTCCGTGGTCATCCCCTTGGAACAACTGATGCCACGCAAACCAGGAAAGATTTAGAGAATGCTGTTACAAACCTTACAAAACTGGTTACTCAAGATAAACTGGGAAAGGTATAGTACATGTAATATATTGCCTTAAGTGATCACCCAAAATGGATGATTTAGTGGTCGCTTACAAGAGGTGGCCACTCACCAAAATCAACAAACAAGGGGTTTCTTATGGGACGAGGTCTCAGTAATGTGTCTTTTGGATGATGATTTATGACCTGCAATTTGCAGAATATGGTTCCATGTCATCACTGAAAGTTCTTGTTGTACTCTGAGTGATGTAATACATGTGCAGTGAACAGAGACCACTTCATGAGTCAAGTGATTGCTTATTAAAGGTTAAAAACATTGGAAAACAATAAGACCGTCAGGCCAAAAAGTGATGGTGGGTTTTATGACAGTACGATGTCTTGCTGGATTAACAAATTGCAGTCCAATCCAGTTACATTTCCTTCTTGTAAACAGGCAGAAAGAACACAAGAGGCCTTACTTCTTCTTTGTAAAGTTCACTTCATGATGGAAGACTTTCACAGTTGTGTCAAATACTGTAACCAAGCAGGTGCTGATGATATCTACATTGACTCACAGTCCAAACGAAAATCAAAACTTGTTGCTGATGGATTTGCATACAAAGGTAATTAACATAGGTGGTGGACAAAACACTGACCCCCAGTCCATGGACTACCCTCATGGACTATGGACTACCCTAAAATGGACTACACCACTGAAGTTTAGTGACTAGGGTTAGGAAACTGAGTGAATCAAGTTTCAGGTCAGTTTTCCTAGTATAGGGACTTTTTAAATGGAACCTGATTCACTCAGTTGCCTGACCCTAATCATTAAATTAACTTCAGTGGCGTAGTCCATTTTAGGGTAGTCCATATGGGTGGTCCATGGAGGTAGTCAATGGACTGGGGGTCAGTCTTTTGTCCACCACCATTAACATGTAGTAATTAGTATTATGTGGCTCAAGAACATATTCATGCCCCCCAATCCATGCAAAGGGAGTAGCAAGGGAGTCAAAACTTGCTTTCCTTGCCACTCGATCACAGGGACCTTGCTCACAGTTTACATTACACCCTTTTCCCCATGAATTAAGACTCAAAATGTGTTGAGCAGACATTTTTGCCTAGCAAGGCTTGTTCTGGTGAAAGAATGGACAAACTTAAGAAGAGTACTTCAATACAAAGTGAACTTACTGAAGTCTAGTTTGTGTTTGGGACTCGTACATGTATATAATTAAGCATACTATTCTGACTACTAAATGTATTGTATGTCCTTTTAAAAAGTCATGTGTTTGATTATGTTGGAAACAGCGTAGTCAAGCGGTTAGGGCGCTGGACTTTTAATCCTGAGGTCCTGAGTTCAGGTCCCACCCTGGTGGCTGGTTGGATTTGCTCTTGGTAGTCCCAAGTTCAAATCCTCATCAACGCTAACTTGTACATGTAAAATAGCCAACTGGTTCGCCTCCTACCTGAGCTGGGATTCCTAACTTTGTTTTGTTCCATTTGAAGTATTTGTTTCATTATCCCTGAAAAGCCCCAGTAGGGGAGAACATGCTAATTAAGTATTTATTATTTTTTTGAATTTATTTACGTTATAACCTGGAAAAGTCAATTGCTTTGAGGTGCATCTGGAACTCTGGCCATGGGGAAACGCGCCTTAAGGAACTGATTGCTGATGATAATAGCATTTAATTTTGTATTAGTAACACAAGTAAAAGAACGTTTCACCTAAATACTTGTATTAATTGATATAATGTATTTTTGTATCTTCAGCTATGGCCCTTGAGCAACTCCAGAAGGCTGGAGAGTCTTCTGTCAGTGATGATGACATCATTTCTTGTTATGAATGTGCTGGTGATATTGGGCTGTGGCTCATGACTGATCAGATCTTCTCATCAAGAGGGGCAGCGACTGCACAGGTTATGCCACTTGGACAAACACTGGAGGTAGCTCTTCAGCGGTCTCCAATACTTCTCATTAAGAATGGGTAAGAAAAAAATTATCATAAACTGCTAGATGTCCCTTTCAAATTATAACAGAGCATAATTATAGTATAATTTGCATAATTATAGCATAATGTATTTACCAATAATTATAATTAAGAGATTAGGACGATAAACTGTAGGCCCCATCTCATGACCCTTGCTCGCATAAAATCCTGTGGTATGTTAAAGAAGCCACGCACTGTTCATAAAGAGTAGGGGATAGTTCCCGGTGTGGTTGTCTACCTCTAATGGGGGAACAGGATGTTCCAGTCTGCAGTAATTGGCGCCATATGCTGTTGGGATGACCCTACCAAGAATTGGCAGACCTAAGTAAATTAAATAAATAAACATATTTTTTGTAATGAACATTGGTGTATCTTCTTATTTTTTTCATTTTCCCTAACACTAGGAAGGTGACTCAAGGAATTAACAGATTCAGGCATTTGCTCAGAGTTGTAGAGACGAAAGCTACTTTTGGCTTGAGAAAGGTACATACAGAGGTTATAGATGACTTAAAGCAAATTTTAAACTTTTAAAGAAGTTTACCTTGATATCAGCATTTCATAATCACATTTGCATTGTACTTTTTGGAGTTCACCCAATTTCATTGTTAAAGGTAAAGTGAGACAAATTTCTTGTCTGATTACATGTATGTGTGTACAAATAATTGATAACGTAATTTTGCTTGAGAACTGAGTTTTCGGTATAATTTGTATTGTTTTTCGTCTAAAATGAGACTTGATTCACAAAGCACAGTTCACGTTATAATAATGCTTGATAACTGATTATTGACTCCTGATACTGTTTAACAACACAACTTCCTGAAATCAAGAATCAAGGATCATGACCCAGCAACGGACTGTCAACTTACTTTTGAGCAGTTTTGTTCGCTATGTACATAATTATTACGTACATCTTATTGTGAAACGTACTCACTGAAGTGACAAAAAATTCTTTTATTCTTCACAGGGACTGGCTAAACTGTTATCTCAGGTTCTTCTGCGAGGAATTTGTGAGAGGAATTATGAGAAACCCTTGCATGTTTTACTCAGCTCACCAATAATCAGCTCCACATCATCACTGCGATCTACATCAAAGACAGAGTCAAAGGCTGCCACCATAAATGTTATAAGCAGCAAGAATGCCATGTTCCCTCTTAAGCCGCATTTATACAGTGGGGATAGGTGAATAAATCCTTTTTTTATTTTTGTTGCAATTTATCTTTAGGTTTCTTCTAATTGGCATACAATTTTCTCAAGGTTTCTACTGTAACTTATCCAGTCTAGGGACAGTCATTGTTATAGCAAGGGCACCCATGGTACTTTGACATCAGTAATGATAATACAGCTGTATATTGTTCTTGTTGTCGAGCGATAAAGTTGGAATCTAGCCTTGTTAATAATAATAAATAATAATTATTATTGATTTGACATATTGGGAATAGAATGTGAGCCTATTTGCAATTTTCCTTGTTGCTGTCGTAGTTTCAACCCATCTTCATGTTGTTTGTCTTATGTTGCTGTTTTCAAGGCCATATCACTTACGTAACAGGGTCTCTAGAATGTCATGGTAGTTATAGTCTTAAACGATGGAGTACCGACGAAATATTTGTTGTTATAAGTTGCCCATGTACTTGTATTGATCCTTCCCACTCATTGTGCTTAGATGGACATACACTCCTGGCCCCGGTTGTTCAAACGTTGGATAGCACTATCTACCGGATAAATCACTATCCAGCAGATAAGTGTTTGGGAAACCAAACATTATCCAGTGGATAGAGATTTATCCTTCGGATGGCACTATCCACCTTTTGAACAACTGGGGCCTGACCAGTAATTCTGTTAAGTGATATTGGGTGTAAAGCTTAATTTTTGTTTGCTCAAAGAGTGGGTTGAACTGATCAATTCTTATAAAACTTTGTAAATACTGAACATTTCTACTATTTTTTGAAATTTCAGCCTATTTTTTCCTCAAAATGAAACAGAAGAAACCTTGATTCTTCTACTTTTAGAAGAAGCTATGGTGGGTCACTATACCAGATAAGTTAACTCACTAAGTAACCTACTATGCAGTCCAAACGAGGCTGGGGATAGGGGAATATTAAACATGATCAAAGTATGAAGGGACCTGTACAAGCCTTCTTATTACATTTTTTGGAATACCAGTGTTACAGTAGTATTGGCAAAGAAGAAATACGGCTCATTCAAGTATAAAGAGGGCAGTTACACTGTACTTCTTCCAGGTTTGCATTGTAAAAGGGAGACAGTGGAATTCACATAAGACATTGTTGCAGAGCATTTTGTTTCTTCTAATGAAACATTTTGGTTTGGTTATTTAAACAAAGTCCAACTTACTGTAGACCACGGCTTGGCAAATCTTTTGATCTCCAGATCTCTCTCCTAGTGGGTTATTTTAAGAAGGTAAATGCTTTTCCAGTCTATGCCATGTGCTATCATGAAAAAGTTCACAATAAAATTTAATGGTATTACAGGTAAGATGAAAGCTTTGGGTAAAGTGAAAATGACACTGGCAAAGCTTTGTTGAAATAATTGGCCCTTTGTGTTTCAATTTCATCTGTGACATGATTGTGTTATTTTTATTTTTATCCCTACCAGGTCTCCAAAGATGCAGAATTGAGTCAAGCCCCTGACAAGTCTGCTGCCCGTCATAAAACAGTGAAGGATTCTGAGAGTGTTTATGACTTATTGACAGTGGCATTGGTTCGGAGGGCACAGTATGGCATGCTGGCAGAGGTTTGTAATATGTTTGATAGATACAGAGGCTTGAGTTGTAAATCTACTTACTGGTACTTCTTCTTTAGTATAAATTACAGACTTCATAACAATAAGAAACTACTTGTGGTGCATGTATATTATCGTAGCTTAATCTAGGCTAAATGCAGACATTGTCTTTGTGGTTTATAAAAGCATAAATCGTGGAAAATTCATGCAAGTTTTTGCTGTTTTAAAAAGTATTATATATACATGATATAAAGAAGGTTTGCATAACATAGGTCAGAGGGTTTTGAACAACAACACTGGAAGGGCTTCAGCCTTAGTTAACACCTCCTTGATCTGCACAATTCTTTATATCATACTTAGTTTCATCCAATAATTGTTAAATATATAGCAACGGAGGGAATATTGCTTGCTAGGTGGTTTCAACATTAGCCCAAAAAGCTGTTAAAAGTTGGTAATCCAAAAGAATTAAGTTGGTGGAATATGACTGTTTGGCTGAGTGTAGTCCTAAGTAGGACTGTTGTTGCAGTGGCAGATCCAGACCTTCACATTGGGGGTGGGGGAGGAGGGGAGGCAGTCATCCAGACCCTGAGATAAGGGGAGGGGGGCAGGCCCCCTGGACCCCTCCCTTGGATCCACCACTGTGCTGACATTGTGACTGACCTTTTGACAACCCTTGCGGTAGTCATCTTCAGAGTAAAAGTGAGCTGTATCATGTCAGTTGATGGTATTAAACTCTGGTTATTGACCTCTCTGGCCTCTCTTTCATTACTTAACTTTTGATTTTTCCCAGTGTTTAGACCGAGGAATGAAGGTTGCATTTGAAGAGTTTCATCTGTGGTTCCAGTTCGCCCTTTCTCTCATCAGCGCTGGCAAAGTAAGTACTAAAAATGAATTTAACTTAAAAGTTGGATATCAAATTTGTAGTTCTGTGGTTGTTTATCAGCCATAAGTTGCATTCATCCAGTTAAAAAACTCGAAGAAAATATCTTGGACAGAAAGGGACTGAAGGGGACTACAATCAGGGACAAAAGTAGTTGACACACTTATTTAAAACGGGTGCTTTTAACAAACATTTAATTCATTTATTATTTCATTCCTTTTAAACGCCGTAAATCCCCCGACCCCCCGAATCAATGTTGTCTGAAGTAAAAAAAAGACTTGAGGGTCCAAAATTCAACATTGATTTTGGGGGGAAGGGGTTCTGGTAGACAGAGGAAGGGGATAAGTATATCCACTATGCAAAAAGGGGCCATTTTACGGAAGTGTGTCAACACTTTTGTCCCTCATTGTCTGAATGCAAAATTGTGCTACTGCACACAAGTTGAGCCGTATATGACACTGATTTTAACTGAAATTAAATGAATCAATGACATAATTATGTTATTGGTGATGGGGGTGACATTGACTTATTCACGACCAAATTATAGGGCCAATTCGAATTACGTGATGACGTAATAAAAGGGCTGCGATATCCAGAATAAACGTCGATATGGTTTACATGCTAAAAACTGACGCTGAAACTCGCACACATGTACAACTTTTGATGAATTTCAAGGGTATGCGTACTGAAAATATTTTTAATAAAGTGAATATTTCTCGTTCTTCACTTTATCCGATTGTCAAGGCGCAAACAATCACGGGTAGGGTAAGGATTGACCCGTAGTGGAGATAGTCACTGGCCAGTCACGGAAATATGGAACGTTAGTGAGGAGCGGCCGTCACTGGGTTCAATATCGAAACTACGGAAAAGTGAAGGTAAATTCATGGCCAATTCAATAAAAAAAACTAAGGACAGCGTAGCAAACATTGCAAGTGTACACGAAAACAATTACTTTCAATCCCACCTCGTGACACCCTGTGTGACATGATAACGCAACGTAAATAGCGTGACATGAGCGCATATGTCTGTGTATTTGGACTGCATTTCTCAAGCGAAACCCTGTGTTGTTGTCTATTGTCGGGAGTGAAAATGAAAAGAGAGCTTTGAAACGTGAACTGGTATTTGACTCTCAAAGAAAACGACAGCTCAAACTGAGGAAAACACTGCTTCCTTCGTGTTACAACGGTTAACCAAGTTTCGGCAAACGGAAAGTAACATATTAAGTCTGTTATGACCTCTTGATGTCGATATATATGCTCCTGGTTAACCGTTGAAACTCCTTATTTGCACCACATCGCTGGAATTTTTCTCGCCAAGAATACGTATTGTGAAGCACTTTCTACATAGCCGAATCTTCTTTTGGAATTAGGGCATAAAAAGGAAGATTTTCCAGAGCACGGCCGTCATCGATCACGTGTTATCCCGCTTTTCTTGTCATCAAGTGAACTTCTGGGCCAAAGTAATTGCTGTTTTGGCGATGATACAAACTGGTGTGTCTATCTTGAAAACAATTTCTTTGGTATTCTGTGATTTACGAGCTGGGAAATGAAATAGTTGTCCACCCAACACCGATAAAAAAAAAATGCCACTGAATAAATAGCAGGCGGTCATCTAAAATCATTACAAAAGTACATTCCTAACCTGGTCTAACCTGTTCGACGCCTACACACGCTAAAGGTTTGGATCTGCTAGATTTGAAAAGGTCTCCAAAAAAAATCATCTATTTATAGGGCATAGCACAAACGACTGGCTCATCATTTATGAGGTTCATAACCTGTATATTGTTCACGTCCTTTCACTAATGGCACAAGTCAATGTCAACAATAATGCAAATTGCAGTACTTCATTCGCTTAAGTTAACCATTTACCAGAACAATTTTCATTGTACCTTAGTGTTTCCATCCTTTTTCCACCATTGATAATACTTGTAAAAAAAAATTACATCCGCAGCAACGGGATTGATCACAACACAAATGATTTCCTCTCGACCCGACAGGGTATCAGGAACGCGCGCGGGAGTACAAAATTAAGTAATGACAAAAGCTTCGTACATTTTACTGTACGTATATTACAAATCAGGCCGAAACTTTACAAATTGTTGTTTATATACAAAAAATTTGTCCCATAGAGTAACGTCATCGCACAAAAGTTCATCAGCGTCAAAAATCTAACCGGAAAACACAGATACATGTTTCAGACAATCAGGCACAAAAGCAGTTGACACACTTGTTTCAAACGGGTGCTTTTAACAAACATTTAATTCATTTATTATTTCATTCCTTTTAAACGCCGTAAATCCCCCGACCCCCCGAATCAATGTTGTCTGAAGTAAAAAAAAGACTTGAGGGTCCAAAATTCAACATTGATTTTGGGGGGAAGGGGTTCTGGTAGACAGAGGAAGGGGATAAGTATATCCACTATGCAAAAAGGGGCCATTTTACGGAAGTGTGTCAACACTTTTGTCCCTCATTGTCTGAATGCAAAATTGTGCTACTGCACACAAGTTGAGCCGTATATGACACTGATTTTAACTGAAATTAAATGAATCAATGACATAATTATGTTATTGGTGATGGGGGTGACATTGACTTATTCACGACCAAATTATAGGGCCAATTCGAATTACGTGATGACGTAATAAAAGGGCTGCGATATCCAGAATAAACGTCGATATGGTTTACATGCTAAAAACTGACGCTGAAACTCGCACACATGTACAACTTTTGATGAATTTCAAGGGTATGCGTACTGAAAATATTTTTAATAAAGTGAATATTTCTCGTTCTTCACTTTATCCGATTGTCAAGGCGCAAACAATCACGGGTAGGGTAAGGATTGACCCGTAGTGGAGATAGTCACTGGCCAGTCACGGAAATATGGAACGTTAGTGAGGAGCGGCCGTCACTGGGTTCAATATCGAAACTACGGAAAAGTGAAGGTAAATTCATGGCCAATTCAATAAAAAAAACTAAGGACAGCGTAGCAAACATTGCAAGTGTACACGAAAACAATTACTTTCAATCCCACCTCGTGACACCCTGTGTGACATGATAACGCAACGTAAATAGCGTGACATGAGCGCATATGTCTGTGTATTTGGACTGCATTTCTCAAGCGAAACCCTGTGTTGTTGTCTATTGTCGGGAGTGAAAATGAAAAGAGAGCTTTGAAACGTGAACTGGTATTTGACTCTCAAAGAAAACGACAGCTCAAACTGAGGAAAACACTGCTTCCTTCGTGTTACAACGGTTAACCAAGTTTCGGCAAACGGAAAGTAACATATTAAGTCTGTTATGACCTCTTGATGTCGATATATATGCTCCTGGTTAACCGTTGAAACTCCTTATTTGCACCACATCGCTGGAATTTTTCTCGCCAAGAATACGTATTGTGAAGCACTTTCTACATAGCCGAATCTTCTTTTGGAATTAGGGCATAAAAAAGAAGATTTTCCAGAGCACGGCCGTCATCGATCACGTGTTATCCCGCTTTTCTTGTCATCAAGTGAACTTCTGGGCCAAAGTAATTGCTGTTTTGGCGATGATACAAACTGGTGTGTCTATCTTGAAAACAATTTCTTTGGTATTCTGTGATTTACGAGCTGGGAAATGAAATAGTTGTCCACCCAACACCGATAAAAAAAATGCCACTGAATAAATAGCAGGCGGTCATCTAAAATCATTACAAAAGTACATTCCTAACCTGGTCTAACCTGTTCGACGCCTACACACGCTAAAGGTTTGGATCTGCTAGATTTGAAAAGGTCTCCAAAAAAAATCATCTATTTATAGGGCATAGCACAAACGACTGGCTCATCATTTATGAGGTTCATAACCTGTATATTGTTCACGTCCTTTCACTAATGGCACAAGTCAATGTCAACAATAATGCAAATTGCAGTACTTCATTCGCTTAAGTTAACCATTTACCAGAACAATTTTCATTGTACCTTAGTGTTTCCATCCTTTTCCACCATTGATAATACTTGTAAAAAAATTACATCCACAGCAGCGGCATTGATCACAACACAAATGATTTCCTCTCGACCCGACAGGGTATCAGGAACGCGCGGGGAGCACAAAATTAAGTAATGACAAAAGCTTCGTACATTTTACTGTACGTATATTACAAATCAGGCCGAAACTTTACAAATTGTTGTTTATATACAAAAAATTTGTCCCATAGAGTAACGTCATCGCACAAAAGTTCATCAGCGTCAAAAATCTAACCGGAAAACACAGATACATGTTTCAGACAATCAGGCACAAAAGCAGTTGACACACTTGTTTCAAACGGGTGCTTTTAACAAACATTTAATTCATTTATTATTTCATTCCTTTTAAACGCCGTAATTCCCTCACCCCCCGAATCAATGTTGTCTGAAGTAAAAAAAAAAAGGACTTGAGGGTCCAAAATACAACATTGATTTTGGAGGGAAGGGGTTGGGGTAGACAGAGGAAGGAGATAAGTATATCCACCATGCAAAAGGGGCCATTTTACGGAAGTGTGAACACTTTTGTCCCTCATTGTCTGAATGCAAAATTGTGCTACTGCACACAAGTTGAGCCGTATATGACACTGATTTTAACTGAAATTAAATGAATCAATGACATAATTATGTTATTGGTGATGGGGGTGACATTGACTTATTCACGACCAAATTATAGGGCCAATTCGAATTACGTGATGACGTAATAAAAGGGCTGCGATATCCAGAATAAACGTCGATATGGTTTACATGCTAAAAAACTGACGCTGAAACTCGCACATGTACAACTTTTGATGAATTTCAAGGGTATGCGTACTGAAAATATTTTTAATAAAGTGAATATTTCTCGTTCTTCACTTTATCCGATTGTCAAGGCGCAAACAATCACGGGTAGGGTAAGGATTGACCCGTAGTGGAGATAGTCACTGGCCAGTCACGGAAATATGGAACGTTAGTGAGGAGCGGCCGTCACTGGGTTCAATATCGAAACTACGGAAAAGTGAAGGTAAATTCATGGCCAATTCAATAAAAAAACTAAGGACAGCGTTGCAAACATTGCAAGTGTACACGAAAACAATTACTTTCAATCCCACCTCGTGACACCCTGTGTGACATGATAACGCAACGTAAATAGCGTGACATGAGCGCATATGTCTGTGTATTTGGACTGCATTTCTCAAGCGAAACCCTGTGTTGTTGTCTATTGTCGGGGAGTGAAAATGAAAAGAGAGCTTTGAAACGTGAACTGGTATTTGACTCTCAAAGAAAACGACAGCTCAAACTGAGGAAAACACTGCTTCCTTCGTGTTACAACGGTTAACCAAGTTTCGGCAAACGGAAAGTAACATATTAAGTCTGTTATGACCTCTTGATGTCGATATATATGCTCCTGGTTAACCGTTGAAACTCCTTATTTGCACCACATCGCTGGAATTTTTCTCGCCAAGAATACGTATTGTGAAGCACTTTCTACATAGCCGAATCTTCTTTTGGAATTAGGGCATAAAAAGGAAGATTTTCCAGAGCACGGCCGTCATCGATCACGTGTTATCCCGCTTTTCTTGTCATCAAGTGAACTTCTGGGCCAAAGTAATTGCTGTTTTGGCGATGATACAAACTGGTGTGTCTATCTTGAAAACAATTTCTTTGGTATTCTGTGATTTACGAGCTGGGAAATGAAATAGTTGTCCACCCAACACCGATAAAAAAAATGCCACTGAATAAATAGCAGGCGGTCATCTAAAATCATTACAAAAGTACATTCCTAACCTGGTCTAACCTGTTCGACGCCTACACACGCTAAAGGTTTGGATCTGCTAGATTTGAAAAGGTCTCCAAAAAAAATCATCTATTTATAGGGCATAGCACAAACGACTGGCTCATCATTTATGAGGTTCATAACCTGTATATTGTTCACGTCCTTTCACTAATGGCACAAGTCAATGTCAACAATAATGCAAATTGCAGTACTTCATTCGCTTAAGTTAACCATTTACCAGAACAATTTTCATTGTACCTTAGTGTTTCCATCCTTTTTCCACCATTGATAATACTTGTAAAAAAAATTACATCCACAGCAGCGGCATTGATCACAACACAAATGATTTCCTCTCGACCCGACAGGGTATCAGGAACGCGCGCGGGAGCACAAGATTAAGTAATGACATACGCTTCGTACATTTTACTCTACGTATACTACAAATCGGGACCAAACTTTTCAAATTGTTGTTTATAAACAAACAATTTGGTCCATAAATAACGTCATCGCACAAAAATTCAGCAGCGTCCAAAATCTAGCCGGAAAACACAGATACATATTTCAGACAATCAGGGACAAAAGTAGTTGACACACTTATTTAAAACGGGTGCTTTTAACAAACATTTAATTCATTTATTATTTCATTCCTTTTAAACGCCGTAAATCCCCCGACCCCCCGAATCAATGTTGTCTGAAGTAAAAAAAAGACTTGAGGGTCCAAAATTCAACATTGATTTTGGGGGGAAGGGGTTCTGGTAGACAGAGGAAGGGGATAAGTATATCCACTATGCAAAAAGGGGCCATTTTACGGAAGTGTGTCAACACTTTTGTCCCTCATTGTCTGAATGCAAAATTGTGCTACTGCACACAAGTTGAGCCGTATATGACACTGATTTTAACTGAAATTAAATGAATCAATGACATAATTATGTTATTGGTGATGGGGTGACATTGACTTATTCACGACCAAATTATAGGGCCAATTCGAATTACGTGATGCCGTAATAAAAGGGCTGCGATATCCAGAATAAACGTCGATATGGTTTACATGCTAAAACTGACGCTGAAACTCGCACACATGTACAACTTTTGATGAATTTCAAGGGTATGCGTACTGAAAATATTTTTAATAAAGTGAATATTTCTCGTTCTTCACTTTATCCGATTGTCAAGGCGCAAACAATCACGGGTAGGGTAAGGATTGACCCGTAGTGGAGATAGTCACTGGCCAGTCACGGAAATATGGAACGTTAGTGAGGAGCGGCCGTCACTGGGTTCAATATCGAAACTACGGAAAAGTGAAGGTAAATTCATGGCCAATTCAATAAAAAAAAACTAAGGACAGCGTAGCAAACATTGCAAGTGTACACGAAAACAATTACTTTCAATCCCACCTCGTGACACCCTGTGTGACATGATAACGCAACGTAAATAGCGTGACATGAGCGCATATGTCTGTGTATTTGGACTGCATTTCTCAAGCGAAACCCTGTGTTGTTGTCTATTGTCGGGAGTGAAAATGAAAAGAGAGCTTTGAAACGTGAACTGGTATTTGACTCTCAAAGAAAACGACAGCTCAAACTGAGGAAAACACTGCTTCCTTCGTGTTACAACGGTTAACCAAGTTTCGGCAAACGGAAAGTAACATATTAAGTCTGTTATGACCTCTTGATGTCGATATATATGCTCCTGGTTAACCGTTGAAACTCCTTATTTGCACCACATCGCTGGAATTTTTCTCGCCAAGAATACGTATTGTGAAGCACTTTCTACATAGCCGAATCTTCTTTTGGAATTAGGGCATAAAAAGGAAGATTTTCCAGAGCACGGCCGTCATCGATCACGTGTTATCCCGCTTTTCTTGTCATCAAGTGAACTTCTGGGCCAAAGTAATTGCTGTTTTGGCGATGATACAAACTGGTGTGTCTATCTTGAAAACAATTTCTTTGGTATTCTGTGATTTACGAGCTGGGAAATGAAATAGTTGTCCACCCAACACCGATAAAAAAAAATGCCACTGAATAAATAGCAGGCGGTCATCTAAAATCATTACAAAAGTACATTCCTAACCTGGTCTAACCTGTTCGACGCCTACACACGCTAAAGGTTTGGATCTGCTAGATTTGAAAAGGTCTCCAAAAAAAATCATCTATTTATAGGGCATAGCACAAACGACTGGCTCATCATTTATGAGGTTCATAACCTGTATATTGTTCACGTCCTTTCACTAATGGCACAAGTCAATGTCAACAATAATGCAAATTGCAGTACTTCATTCGCTTAAGTTAACCATTTACCAGAACAATTTTCATTGTACCTTAGTGTTTCCATCCTTTTTCCACCATTGATAATACTTGTAAAAAAAATTACATCCACAGCAGCGGCATTGATCACAACACAAATGATTTCCTCTCGACCCGACAGGGTATCAGGAACGCGCGCGGGAGCACAAGATTAAGTAATGACATACGCTTCGTACATTTTACTCTACGTATACTACAAATCGGGACCAAACTTTTCAAATTGTTGTTTATAAACAAACAATTTGGTCCATAGAGTAACGTCATCGCACAAAAATTCAGCAGCGTCCAAAATCTAGCCGGAAAACACAGATACATATTTCAGACAATCAGGGACAAAAGTAGTTGACACACTTATTTAAAACGGGTGCTTTTAACAAACATTTAATTCATTTATTATTTCATTCCTTTTAAACGCCGTAAATCCCCCGACCCCCCGAATCAATGTTGTCTGAAGTAAAAAAAAGACTTGAGGGTCCAAAATTCAACATTGATTTTGGGGGGAAGGGGTTCTGGTAGACAGAGGAAGGGGATAAGTATATCCACTATGCAAAAAGGGGCCATTTTACGGAAGTGTGTCAACACTTTTGTCCCTCATTGTCTGAATGCAAAATTGTGCTACTGCACACAAGTTGAGCCGTATATGACACTGATTTTAACTGAAATTAAATGAATCAATGACATAATTATGTTATTGGTGATGGGGGTGACATTGACTTATTCACGACCAAATTATAGGGCCAATTCGAATTACGTGATGACGTAATAAAAGGGCTGCGATATCCAGAATAAACGTCGATATGGTTTACATGCTAAAAACTGACGCTGAAACTCGCACACATGTACAACTTTTGATGAATTTCAAGGGTATGCGTACTGAAAATATTTTTAATAAAGTGAATATTTCTCGTTCTTCACTTTATCCGATTGTCAAGGCGCAAACAATCACGGGTAGGGTAAGGATTGACCCGTAGTGGAGATAGTCACTGGCCAGTCACGGAAATATGGAACGTTAGTGAGGAGCGGCCGTCACTGGGTTCAATATCGAAACTACGGAAAAGTGAAGGTAAATTCATGGCCAATTCAATAAAAAAAAACTAAGGACAGCGTAGCAAACATTGCAAGTGTACACGAAAACAATTACTTTCAATCCCACCTCGTGACACCCTGTGTGACATGATAACGCAACGTAAATAGCGTGACATGAGCGCATATGTCTGTGTATTTGGACTGCATTTCTCAAGCGAAACCCTGTGTTGTTGTCTATTGTCGGGAGTGAAAATGAAAAGAGAGCTTTGAAACGTGAACTGGTATTTGACTCTCAAAGAAAACGACAGCTCAAACTGAGGAAAACACTGCTTCCTTCGTGTTACAACGGTTAACCAAGTTTCGGCAAACGGAAAGTAACATATTAAGTCTGTTATGACCTCTTGATGTCGATATATATGCTCCTGGTTAACCGTTGAAACTCCTTATTTGCACCACATCGCTGGAATTTTTCTCGCCAAGAATACGTATTGTGAAGCACTTTCTACATAGCCGAATCTTCTTTTGGAATTAGGGCATAAAAAGGAAGATTTTCCAGAGCACGGCCGTCATCGATCACGTGTTATCCCGCTTTTCTTGTCATCAAGTGAACTTCTGGGCCAAAGTAATTGCTGTTTTGGCGATGATACAAACTGGTGTGTCTATCTTGAAAACAATTTCTTTGGTATTCTGTGATTTACGAGCTGGGAAATGAAATAGTTGTCCACCCAACACCGATAAAAAAAAATGCCACTGAATAAATAGCAGGCGGTCATCTAAAATCATTACAAAAGTACATTCCTAACCTGGTCTAACCTGTTCGACGCCTACACACGCTAAAGGTTTGGATCTGCTAGATTTGAAAAGGTCTCCAAAAAAAAAATCATCTATTTATAGGGCATAGCACAAACGACTGGCTCATCATTTATGAGGTTCATAACCTGTATATTGTTCACGTCCTTTCACTAATGGCACAAGTCAATGTCAACAATAATGCAAATTGCAGTACTTCATTCGCTTAAGTTAACCATTTACCAGAACAATTTTCATTGTACCTTAGTGTTTCCATCCTTTTTCCACCATTGATAATACTTGTAAAAAAAAATTACATCCACAGCAGCGGCATTGATCACAACACAAATGATTTCCTCTCGACCCGACAGGGTATCAGGAACGCGCGCGGGAGCACAAGATTAAGTAATGACATACGCTTCGTACATTTTACTCTACGTATACTACAAATCGGGACCAAACTTTTCAAATTGTTGTTTATAAACAAACAATTTGGTCCATAGAGTAACGTCATCGCACAAAAATTCAGCAGCGTCCAAAATCTAGCCGGAAAACACAGATACATATTTCAGACAATCAGGGACAAAAGTAGTTGACACACTTATTTAAAACGGGTGCTTTTAACAAACATTTAATTCATTTATTATTTCATTCCTTTTAAACGCCGTAAATCCCCCGACCCCCCGAATCAATGTTGTCTGAAGTAAAAAGACTTGAGGGTCCAAAATTCAACATTGATTTTGGGGGGAAGGGGTTCTGGTAGACAGAGGAAGGGGATAAGTATATCCACTATGCAAAAAGGGGCCATTTTACGGAAGTGTGTCAACACTTTTGTCCCTCATTGTCTGAATGCAAAATTGTGCTACTGCACACAAGTTGAGCCGTATATGACACTGATTTTAACTGAAATTAAATGAATCAATGACATAATTATGTTATTGGTGATGGGGGTGACATTGACTTATTCACGACCAAATTATAGGGCCAATTCGAATTACGTGATGACGTAATAAAAGGGCTGCGATATCCAGAATAAACGTCGATATGGTTTACATGCTAAAACTGACGCTGAAACTCGCACACATGTACAACTTTTGATGAATTTCAAGGGTATGCGTACTGAAAATATTTTTAATAAAGTGAATATTTCTCGTTCTTCACTTTATCCGATTGTCAAGGCGCAAACAATCACGGGTAGGGTAAGGATTGACCCGTAGTGGAGATAGTCACTGGCCAGTCACGGAAATATGGAACGTTAGTGAGGAGCGGCCGTCACTGGGTTCAATATCGAAACTACGGAAAAGTGAAGGTAAATTCATGGCCAATTCAATAAAAAAAACTAAGGACAGCGTAGCAAACATTGCAAGTGTACACGAAAACAATTACTTTCAATCCCACCTCGTGACACCCTGTGTGACATGATAACGCAACGTAAATAGCGTGACATGAGCGCATATGTCTGTGTATTTGGACTGCATTTCTCAAGCGAAACCCTGTGTTGTTGTCTATTGTCGGGAGTGAAAATGAAAAGAGAGCTTTTGAAACGTGAACTGGTATTTGACTCTCAAAGAAAACGACAGCTCAAACTGAGGAAAACACTGCTTCCTTCGTGTTACAACGGTTAACCAAGTTTCGGCAAACGGAAAGTAACATATTAAGTCTGTTATGACCTCTTGATGTCGATATATATGCTCCTGGTTAACCGTTGAAACTCCTTATTTGCACCACATCGCTGGAATTTTTCTCGCCAAGAATACGTATTGTGAAGCACTTTCTACATAGCCGAATCTTCTTTTGGAATTAGGGCATAAAAAGGAAGATTTTCCAGAGCACGGCCGTCATCGATCACGTGTTATCCCGCTTTTCTTGTCATCAAGTGAACTTCTGGGCCAAAGTAATTGCTGTTTTGGCGATGATACAAACTGGTGTGTCTATCTTGAAAACAATTTCTTTGGTATTCTGTGATTTACGAGCTGGGAAATGAAATAGTTGTCCACCCAACACCGATAAAAAAAAATGCCACTGAATAAATAGCAGGCGGTCATCTAAAATCATTACAAAAGTACATTCCTAACCTGGTCTAACCTGTTCGACGCCTACACACGCTAAAGGTTTGGATCTGCTAGATTTGAAAAGGTCTCCAAAAAAAAAAAAATCATCTATTTATAGGGCATAGCACAAACGACTGGCTCATCATTTATGAGGTTCATAACCTGTATATTGTTCACGTCCTTTCACTAATGGCACAAGTCAATGTCAACAATAATGCAAATTGCAGTACTTCATTCGCTTAAGTTAACCATTTACCAGAACAATTTTCATTGTACCTTAGTGTTTCCATCCTTTTTCCACCATTGATAATACTTGTAAAAAAAATTACATCCACAGCAGCGGCATTGATCACAACACAAATGATTTCCTCTCGACCCGACAGGGTATCAGGAACGCGCGCGGGAGCACAAGATTAAGTAATGACATACGCTTCGTACATTTTACTCTACGTATACTACAAATCGGGACCAAACTTTTCAAATTGTTGTTTATAAACAAACAATTTGGTCCATAGAGTAACGTCATCGCACAAAAATTCAGCAGCGTCCAAAATCTAGCCGGAAAACACAGATACATATTTCAGACAATCAGGGACAAAAGTAGTTGACACACTTATTTAAAACGGGTGCTTTTAACAAACATTTAATTCATTTATTATTTCATTCCTTTTAAACGCCGTAAATCCCCCGACCCCCCGAATCAATGTTGTCTGAAGTAAAAAAAAGACTTGAGGGTCCAAAATTCAACATTGATTTTGGGGGGAAGGGGTTCTGGTAGACAGAGGAAGGGGATAAGTATATCCACTATGCAAAAAGGGGCCATTTTACGGAAGTGTGTCAACACTTTTGTCCCTCATTGTCTGAATGCAAAATTGTGCTACTGCACACAAGTTGAGCCGTATATGACACTGATTTTAACTGAAATTAAATGAATCAATGACATAATTATGTTATTGGTGATGGGGGTGACATTGACTTATTCACGACCAAATTATAGGGCCAATTCGAATTACGTGATGACGTAATAAAAGGGCTGCGATATCCAGAATAAACGTCGATATGGTTTACATGCTAAAAACTGACGCTGAAACTCGCACACATGTACAACTTTTGATGAATTTCAAGGGTATGCGTACTGAAAATATTTTTAATAAAGTGAATATTTCTCGTTCTTCACTTTATGCGATTGTCAAGGCGCAAACAATCACGGGTAGGGTAAGGATTGACCCGTAGTGGAGATAGTCACTGGCCAGTCACGGAAATATGGAACGTTAGTGAGGAGCGGCCGTCACTGGGTTCAATATCGAAACTACGGAAAAGTGAAGGTAAATTCATGGCCAATTCAATAAAAAAACTAAGGACAGCGTAGCAAACATTGCAAGTGTACACGAAAACAATTACTTTCAATCCCACCTCGTGACACCCTGTGTGACATGATAACGCAACGTAAATAGCGTGACATGAGCGCATATGTCTGTGTATTTGGACTGCATTTCTCAAGCGAAACCCTGTGTTGTTGTCTATTGTCGGGAGTGAAAATGAAAAGAGAGCTTTGAAACGTGAACTGGTATTTGACTCTCAAAGAAAACGACAGCTCAAACTGAGGAAAACACTGCTTCCTTCGTGTTACAACGGTTAACCAAGTTTCGGCAAACGGAAAGTAACATATTAAGTCTGTTATGACCTCTTGATGTCGATATATATGCTCCTGGTTAACCGTTGAAACTCCTTATTTGCACCACATCGCTGGAATTTTTTCTCGCCAAGAATACGTATTGTGAAGCACTTTCTACATAGCCGAATCTTCTTTTGGAATTAGGGCATAAAAAGGAAGATTTTCCAGAGCACGGCCGTCATCGATCACGTGTTATCCCGCTTTTCTTGTCATCAAGTGAACTTCTGGGCCAAAGTAATTGCTGTTTTGGCGATGATACAAACTGGTGTGTCTATCTTGAAAACAATTTCTTTGGTATTCTGTGATTTACGAGCTGGGAAATGAAATAGTTGTCCACCCAACACCGATAAAAAAAAAATGCCACTGAATAAATAGCAGGCGGTCATCTAAAATCATTACAAAAGTACATTCCTAACCTGGTCTAACCTGTTCGACGCCTACACACGCTAAAGGTTTGGATCTGCTAGATTTGAAAAGGTCTCCAAAAAAAAAATCATCTATTTATAGGGCATAGCACAAACGACTGGCTCATCATTTATGAGGTTCATAACCTGTATATTGTTCACGTCCTTTCACTAATGGCACAAGTCAATGTCAACAATAATGCAAATTGCAGTACTTCATTCGCTTAAGTTAACCATTTACCAGAACAATTTTCATTGTACCTTAGTGTTTCCATCCTTTTTCCACCATTGATAATACTTGTAAAAAAAAATTACATCCACAGCAGCGGCATTGATCACAACACAAATGATTTCCTCTCGACCCGACAGGGTATCAGGAACGCGCGCGGGAGCACAAGATTAAGTAATGACATACGCTTCGTACATTTTACTCTACGTATACTACAAATCGGGACCAAACTTTTCAAATTGTTGTTTATAAACAAACAATTTGGTCCATAGAGTAACGTCATCGCACAAAAATTCAGCAGCGTCCAAAATCTAGCCGGAAAACACAGATACATATTTCAGACAATCAGGGACAAAAGTAGTTGACACACTTATTTAAAACGGGTGCTTTTAACAAACATTTAATTCATTTATTATTTCATTCCTTTTAAACGCCGTAAATCCCCCGACCCCCCGAATCAATGTTGTCTGAAGTAAAAAAAAGACTTGAGGGTCCAAAATTCAACATTGATTTTGGGGGGAAGGGGTTCTGGTAGACAGAGGAAGGGGATAAGTATATCCACTATGCAAAAAGGGGCCATTTTACGGAAGTGTGTCAACACTTTTGTCCCTCATTGTCTGAATGCAAAATTGTGCTACTGCACACAAGTTGAGCCGTATATGACACTGATTTTAACTGAAATTAAATGAATCAATGACATAATTATGTTATTGGTGATGGGGGTGACATTGACTTATTCACGACCAAATTATAGGGCCAATTCGAATTACGTGATGACGTAATAAAAGGGCTGCGATATCCAGAATAAACGTCGATATGGTTTACATGCTAAAAACTGACGCTGAAACTCGCACACATGTACAACTTTTGATGAATTTCAAGGGTATGCGTACTGAAAATATTTTTAATAAAGTGAATATTTCTCGTTCTTCACTTTATGCGATTGTCAAGGCGCAAACAATCACGGGTAGGGTAAGGATTGACCCGTAGTGGAGATAGTCACTGGCCAGTCACGGAAATATGGAACGTTAGTGAGGAGCGGCCGTCACTGGGTTCAATATCGAAACTACGGAAAAGTGAAGGTAAATTCATGGCCAATTCAATAAAAAAAACTAAGGACAGCGTAGCAAACATTGCAAGTGTACACGAAAACAATTACTTTCAATCCCACCTCGTGACACCCTGTGTGACATGATAACGCAACGTAAATAGCGTGACATGAGCGCATATGTCTGTGTATTTGGACTGCATTTCTCAAGCGAAACCCTGTGTTGTTGTCTATTGTCGGGAGTGAAAATGAAAAGAGAGCTTTGAAACGTGAACTGGTATTTGACTCTCAAAGAAAACGACAGCTCAAACTGAGGAAAACACTGCTTCCTTCGTGTTACAACGGTTAACCAAGTTTCGGCAAACGGAAAGTAACATATTAAGTCTGTTATGACCTCTTGATGTCGATATATATGCTCCTGGTTAACCGTTGAAACTCCTTATTTGCACCACATCGCTGGAATTTTTCTCGCCAAGAATACGTATTGTGAAGCACTTTCTACATAGCCGAATCTTCTTTTGGAATTAGGGCATAAAAAGGAAGATTTTCCAGAGCACGGCCGTCATCGATCACGTGTTATCCCGCTTTTCTTGTCATCAAGTGAACTTCTGGGCCAAAGTAATTGCTGTTTTGGCGATGATACAAACTGGTGTGTCTATCTTGAAAACAATTTCTTTGGTATTCTGTGATTTACGAGCTGGGAAATGAAATAGTTGTCCACCCAACACCGATAAAAAAAAAATGCCACTGAATAAATAGCAGGCGGTCATCTAAAATCATTACAAAAGTACATTCCTAACCTGGTCTAACCTGTTCGACGCCTACACACGCTAAAGGTTTGGATCTGCTAGATTTGAAAAGGTCTCCAAAAAAAATCATCTATTTATAGGGCATAGCACAAACGACTGGCTCATCATTTATGAGGTTCATAACCTGTATATTGTTCACGTCCTTTCACTAATGGCACAAGTCAATGTCAACAATAATGCAAATTGCAGTACTTCATTCGCTTAAGTTAACCATTTACCAGAACAATTTTCATTGTACCTTAGTGTTTCCATCCTTTTTCCACCATTGATAATACTTGTAAAAAAAATTACATCCACAGCAGCGGCATTGATCACAACACAAATGATTTCCTCTCGACCCGACAGGGTATCAGGAACGCGCGGGGGCACAAGATTAAGTAATGACATACGCTTCGTACATTTTACTCTACGTATACTACAAATCGGGACCAAACTTTTCAAATTGTTGTTTATAAACAAACAATTTGGTCCATAAATAACGTCATCGCACAAAAATTCAGCAGCGTCCAAAATCTAGCCGGAAAACACAGATACATATTTCAGACAATCAGGGACAAAAGTAGTTGACACACTTATTTAAAACGGGTGCTTTTAACAAACATTTAATTCATTTATTATTTCATTCCTTTTAAACGCCGTAAATCCCCCGACCCCCCGAATCAATGTTGTCTGAAGTAAAAAAAAGACTTGAGGGTCCAAAATTCAACATTGATTTTGGGGGGAAGGGGTTCTGGTAGACAGAGGAAGGGGATAAGTATATCCACTATGCAAAAAGGGGCCATTTTACGGAAGTGTGTCAACACTTTTGTCCCTCATTGTCTGAATGCAAAATTGTGCTACTGCACACAAGTTGAGCCGTATATGACACTGATTTTAACTGAAATTAAATGAATCAATGACATAATTATGTTATTGGTGATGGGGGTGACATTGACTTATTCACGACCAAATTATAGGGCCAATTCGAATTACGTGATGACGTAATAAAAGGGCTGCGATATCCAGAATAAACGTCGATATGGTTTACATGCTAAAAACTGACGCTGAAACTCGCACACATGTACAACTTTTGATGAATTTCAAGGGTATGCGTACTGAAAATATTTTTAATAAAGTGAATATTTCTCGTTCTTCACTTTATGCGATTGTCAAGGCGCAAACAATCACGGGTAGGGTAAGGATTGACCCGTAGTGGAGATAGTCACTGGCCAGTCACGGAAATATGGAACGTTAGTGAGGAGCGGCCGTCACTGGGTTCAATATCGAAACTACGGAAAAGTGAAGGTAAATTCATGGCCAATTCAATAAAAAAAACTAAGGACAGCGTAGCAAACATTGCAAGTGTACACGAAAACAATTACTTTCAATCCCACCTCGTGACACCCTGTGTGACATGATAACGCAACGTAAATAGCGTGACATGAGCGCATATGTCTGTGTATTTGGACTGCATTTCTCAAGCGAAACCCTGTGTTGTTGTCTATTGTCGGGAGTGAAAATGAAAAGAGAGCTTTGAAACGTGAACTGGTATTTGACTCTCAAAGAAAACGACAGCTCAAACTGAGGAAAACACTGCTTCCTTCGTGTTACAACGGTTAACCAAGTTTCGGCAAACGGAAAGTAACATATTAAGTCTGTTATGACCTCTTGATGTCGATATATATGCTCCTGGTTAACCGTTGAAACTCCTTATTTGCACCACATCGCTGGAATTTTTCTCGCCAAGAATACGTATTGTGAAGCACTTTCTACATAGCCGAATCTTCTTTTGGAATTAGGGCATAAAAAAGGAAGATTTTCCAGAGCACGGCCGTCATCGATCACGTGTTATCCCGCTTTTCTTGTCATCAAGTGAACTTCTGGGCCAAAGTAATTGCTGTTTTGGCGATGATACAAACTGGTGTGTCTATCTTGAAAACAATTTCTTTGGTATTCTGTGATTTACGAGCTGGGAAATGAAATAGTTGTCCACCCAACACCGATAAAAAAAATGCCACTGAATAAATAGCAGGCGGTCATCTAAAATCATTACAAAAGTACATTCCTAACCTGGTCTAACCTGTTCGACGCCTACACACGCTAAAGGTTTGGATCTGCTAGATTTGAAAAGGTCTCCAAAAAAAATCATCTATTTATAGGGCATAGCACAAACGACTGGCTCATCATTTATGAGGTTCATAACCTGTATATTGTTCACGTCCTTTCACTAATGGCACAAGTCAATGTCAACAATAATGCAAATTGCAGTACTTCATTCGCTTAAGTTAACCATTTACCAGAACAATTTTCATTGTACCTTAGTGTTTCCATCCTTTTTCCACCATTGATAATACTTGTAAAAAAATTACATCCACAGCAGCGGCATTGATCACAACACAAATGATTTCCTCTCGACCCGACAGGGTATCAGGAACGCGCGGGAGCACAAGATTAAGTAATGACATACGCTTCGTACATTTTACTCTACGTATACTACAAATCGGGACCAAACTTTTCAAATTGTTGTTTATAAACAAACAATTTGGTCCATAGAGTAACGTCATCGCACAAAAATTCAGCAGCGTCCAAAATCTAGCCGGAAAACACAGATACATATTTCAGACAATCAGGGACAAAAGTAGTTGACACACTTATTTAAAACGGGTGCTTTTAACAAACATTTAATTCATTTATTATTTCATTCCTTTTAAACGCCGTAAATCCCCCGACCCCCCGAATCAATGTTGTCTGAAGTAAAAAAAAGACTTGAGGGTCCAAAATTCAACATTGATTTTGGGGGGAAGGGGTTCTGGTAGACAGAGGAAGGGGATAAGTATATCCACTATGCAAAAAGGGGCCATTTTACGGAAGTGTGTCAACACTTTTGTCCCTCATTGTAGGTCATTTCGCCCGATGGCATTTCTCCCAGACTAAGTTGATTCTCCCGATGTGTATTTGTCATTCTTTGAACCTGAGAAAAAGGAATAACCATAGAAAGACGGTGACTGCACACTGATGTGAACTCCAAGGTAAACTAAAATAATATCTCGGAGAAGTAGGTTCACCATGTGGTAGTGTTGTATGTCATCAGGCAAATTGACTTACGTCCTAGTGAACGACTTCGGGCGAATCAACCTCTGGGCGAAACGACCGCAATTCAACTTCAAAAGCCGAGATTAAATCCAAGATGTGACAGATGACATTAAAAATAAATCTGCAGTAAAAAATTGGTCTGCACTTTCTGGTAATTGTTAATGCATAATTATCTGTCAAGTTGTTTGATGGACAGAGCCCTACAAGTATATGAGTAGCCTGGGACCAGGCTGTGAATTATGAAGGGGGGGGAGGCAGTGGGTGGGGGAAAGGCTCCACCCTTTCCCTCTCTCTGCAGTGCACCATTTTGCTCGCTTTGTCACCGATTTTTTTGTTGTTGTTGTTTTTTTGGCTGTTTCAACCCATTTTTTGCCTTTTTACCCCACTAAGGAGCCTGATCCCAAGCTGATAAAGACGGGTTCAAGATTGGGGGAACAGGCGAGAGCACCTAATCAATTAGGGGGATTATGACAATCAAATATGTGATCACCAAGGATTATGAAAGGAAAATTTATGTTAGAATATTCGAGATTAAAGTTTAAACATGCTCCTCAGGGCTTCTAAGTGGGTAAACAAATGAGGTTTACACTTTTGTTACTAACTGTCGTCTTGTCTTGTTTTTTTTCCAGTACCTGCGTGCCCTGTTAGTCCTTAAACAATGCCATCAGCTCAGGCCAGATGATTCGCTAGTTTGTCTTTATGCTGCCAAGCTGTGTTTCAACAATCTTCACATGGTATGTTGTGAAACTACGTACAAATAATATCACCACTATGGAGTTAGCCAAAGAGTTGTGTTAAACTGACCTTTTATCTTGCATTTCACGTTACAGTCCTCCTACCATGATTTTTTTCAAAAAAATGAACAAGAATGTGAATAGTATATATGAACGTCCACTTTTCAGGCGTACATGCCTTATGTTGATGGTATAACTGGAAACGTTTGATGTAAAATCTTACAATGTAGGTAAAAAAAATTGTTTTAGAGTACGTAAATGTACTCTAAGGCTTTGTTTATGAAAAAGTGGATCGTTACGTATCGGATATGTTTCTGTACCACTCTTAAGCGCTGCGAACCAGTGTTCACGCTTTACCTGATAGGTTTTCATGTTGATATGAAATGTAAGTCAAGACTTAAAAGACAGCCTAATTCAGGGTCAAGCCTTGACTGTTAGGAAGGGGTTATCCCCGAACACCTAACCCTTTAAGCCCTAAGAGTGACCAGCATCAAATTTCTCCTTGTAATATCACCGCTTTGTAAAACAGAGTCGTCATGAGAATTACGGACATGATCACACAAGATGAATTTACTTGATATTTTATCATCTTCCCCTCACTACTTCTGTAGGAAATGAATAGGGGCAACAAATGAGAATTCAAATTTTGATGTTAGGGTTTGACGGGTTAATAGACCCTTCCACGGTTATTTTTAACCTTTTACTGGGACATGTTAGCCAAAATCCGTCAACACAGCTAAAAAGAACGCCTTAAAATTTGTAAAGATGTTAAGTTTAACTGATACAGAAGTTCGACTGACTTTTTTTTATGTTTTCTTTTCAAGTGTGACGAAGGTATGACATTTGCAAAGAAAGTAGTTGCTATGGATGATGAAAAAGAGTTATCCTCCAGAGGTTATCTGGCGCTTGGTATCGGATACAGTTTGCAGTCTTGTGAAGGTAGGTTCCTGGTACGTTTATTTACACATGGCCTTCAAGCAAGCTCTGAGTTTGAGAATCGCGAGACAAGAAGGGTGGTAAGCGAACAGTGAGCAAAGCCCTGGTCTTTCGCAGCTCACTCGCGCGGCGTAACCTTCACCGACTCTTGTGGCAGTCCTTGCAGGTGGTCAGCTACATTATTACTAATTTTTTGGATCGTAAAAGTTTTTGGCCTAAATTTTTGTATTTGTCGTTTGTAATCCATGTTAGTCTCTTCCATTATCGTCTTTTTAGTTTCCTATTTACGTCTTACGTGTTTTTCTGTGTTTTTCACCGAGACGAATATTTTATGGTTTCCTCCTATCACAAGATTATTGTGTGAGTTGCAAAAGAATGACTCCAGTAAGGCTGAGGTAGAGAAGGTCACAAACGTAGTTTGTGTTGTCTCCATCCCTCCCCACCCACCCTCCGTTATTGTGCAGAACCGTTATTAAGCAAACCCAAGATAGCCCCTCTAAAACACAAGCGCACTAGACACTCAAGTTAATACTTTTGTCAAAAATATTTTTTGAAAACTTTTTTTTTGTAGCATGTCTTAGAGGAGAGCGACAACAGCTTCAAAAACAAGCAACTGATGCTCTGCAAAAGTGGGTTTTTGGGTTGTTTTGTATTTTTTTGTGTTGTTTTTGTATTTATTGGGTTAGTAATTGAAAGTGTTCAATTTTTGACGTAAGAAATTACCCATTTTATGAACTGGGCGTGCCTTGACCCAGGTAATGAATTGAGTTGGCTTATTTGTTCTTTATTGTATAACCCAAAAAAGGCCCAGGGTTTCGATGTCATACCAAACGCATACAAATTTCTGTGTTTACAGCCTCCATCACCACGCGAACTGTTGTAAACCTAAACATTTGATTACAGTTGGTGTGAGTGAACTTGTGTAATCTGTTACACCAAATTTACCTGACTCGAACAAGTTATTGAGTGTGTTTAACACTCAAAAATATAGCTTAATAGAATCGCTTCTTTTTAAGTTATTTTACATGCAAGGTTTCCCTTATGACACCCTTAGAGGGATAGCACTTTTTTCCTCATTTTCAGAGCACACAGTCTAGACCCAGATGACAGTGAAGTATTGTTTCATCTTGCTCTTTGTCAAGCTCTGATGAGACAGGTAAATTTTATTTATCGACTATTACATATGATTGCTTCAGTTTTCCACTGATCAAAACCGCTCCTGACCTTAACGCTTCTCCTGAACTGCTCCCGCTCCTTTTCCCGCGCCCTTAGCTCCCTCCTGTCATGATTGGTTCTTTGTCCTGATTGTCTGTGCTTTTTCTGATTGGCTAGGGACAACACTTACACTTCTGAGTTAATAAAATGCTCCATCATGCGTTTTTTTTAAACTTGTTTTTAAGCTTCTACTTGACATTCCCTTTCGTAGCCAATGTTTTTCTCAGTATATGCTGTACGTCGTGAACGAACGCAGTACAAGATAACAGCCTACATAGCAAGAGTTCACGTGCGGGGATGGCGCGTAAATTGGACCATGAGCAACTTCCTCCTCACCTTTCCCTTTAACTTTTGCGCCGATTGCGCAAACGGGAACTATTTTTTTGCTAACTATACATCACGTTTCCCTCAGTTCAAATTTGCTGTAAGTTGGATACCGTGCGTGTTATAAAATATGGTAAATTCAACGCTTTTCGTGTTGATTTTCATGCAGATTACAAAGGCGCTGAAAAATATCCGAAATGCCATAAAAATGGACATGAATCAGTCATTATACCTCCATCTGTTGGCTCTGGTACTTTCCTCTCAGAAAAAGGTTGGTATCTGTTAGTCTTGCAGTCATTAAAAAAAATTTAGGAGTACAGTGTCATAATTTTGCAATTTGTTTCATCAAGAGAAACCTGTCTTATAGGTTCATTAACCGGATTATGGACTGGAAAGTGAATATATGAATTTTTTTCTATTTGAGCTGCGAAAGAAAGATGCATGGCTTTGCCAGTTATTTGCAGGGTATAACTGCAAGGAAGTGAAGCCAATTTCTGCGGGTCAGTAACATTTCCCTTCCCATCAGCTGACTGGTTCTCTTTCAATTGAGCTAACCGGAAAGTGGTGCCGGGAAATTTTAAAAAAGAGTTCATGACTTATCTATCAGATATGTCCCTAATTTACCTTAGACTCCAAGTCTTGTTTGGCCGAAGAAAGCACAGCAAGCTCTACAAATTTTAAATAGTTAGTTTTTAAGCTGAGAATCTTGTAAGCTCTTTGTCATGTCAAAGCACGTTTCAGTGCTGCGTTTTTAACACTTATTTAATACAAGAGTGGGATTTGTGCTGTAACCTTGGGTTTTCCCTGCAGCTGAACATTTTTTGATATATACACCTAATTGGAATACCGTTATCATAGAAAAACGCCAAAAGGAAAAGAGAAAATGTGAAAAGAAAAATAGGAATTATAGACTCGCTAATAAACTTCTATATGGTTCACCCATTTGCAACGTACGCGTACAGCCGTTACATTTAAATTTGTTTTTACGCCTCTATTAAAACTCCATGCTGCAAATGGATGTATCCTAGTGTGGTTTATTGGAAAGCTATTTAATTCTTATTTGGCTTTTTCTTTTTTCATTTTCTAGCCTGCGTAACAGGCGCTTATGAGCCAAGCGAGGCGAACGCGGAATTTTGCGCGAAGCGCGAGAGAACTCCTCCCCTCGTCTCGCGATTCGCGCAAAATGCCGCCTTTGCCTCGCTTGGCTCCTAAAGCGCCTGTTATGCAGGTTATTCATTTTCCCTCTAGCATTTTTCTAGGACAATATTATTGCAATTAGGTGCTCATCAGTTGTCCTCCTTTTAATTATGTTGTTATAAGACGTTATTACCACCTCTTTTGATTGTAGTTTTTAGAGGCTTTGGAAGTCTGCGATGCTGCCCTTATGAAGTTCCCCGAAGATTTCAGGTTTGAAGCTACGTTTCTTTTCTCTTCTAGTTTTCCTCCTTTGTTAACTCTGCTTTAAGCGATTTAAAATAATTCCGCCTGGAAAAGCCAAACACATTGCATAAAGAAACAAACAAAACCGTATTCCTTGGGGGGGTCAGATTTGTTCGTGGTCCCAAATAAATTCGTTCTGCTCGCCGGCGTGACATTTTGAAGATGACATCTTTCTCAGAAATGATATCTTTTTGAACTCCAACCAGATTCACTTCAAGGGAGGACTACAATGTTTTTTGAATTTTCTCCATTTTATGTACATCTTTTCACATCTTTTATTTAAAGGTTTTGAGGTTTTTTTAGCACACTGGTCTTTCCTCTGTTTAGTTTGCTTCTTCTGAAAGTGAAGTTGGAACAGTCATGCGTGGGAGGAGATCAAGCATTGGTCACATGCAAACAGCTCTTAGAGACCTGGAAGCAAGTCTACGATTCTGACCTATCGGGGTGAGTCTGGTTCAACAAGCTGGTTTATTACGGTTATCGTAAGGAACCCATCTCCTAGTTGTATCGCCAAAAACTTCGAGATCGCACGACAATACATTTTCCGATCGTCCTACCTTCTTTTGGACAGCCACTGACATGGCGCTGGTGAAGATATAGTGCAGGACAATAAAACTCGTTTATTTCTCCAAACAGAAGGGAGAATAGGTACGAGCATTCGGCGAAAAGATTTCTGGGATCGTATATCGGGGTGGACCCAATAAGCGATGATTGGTTAAAGGCTGCCATTCGACATCATAAATCGACCAATCATAACTAACACCTGTCTACCCAAACGATCCCAGAAGTCATTGCACCGAAAGCTTGTAACCCATTCTTCCTGTAGTTACGGAGCGGCAAATAGAGACATACTTACACTGAAATGCGAGTAATCAGAGCGAGAGTGAAATATTATCGCACCTTCTGGAGTTAATGCTAGTCGTAGCTGTGAGATGCTTGACAATCGTCAGATTCAAGAAAAAGGTTTTTTTCTGTACAGGCTCAATGTTCGAAGTACCTTTTTTGCAAAGTTCACTTTTTTTTTTTCGATTATCATCTCTCCTGTTTTCATCGCAGGTCCGTGGAACTTCAGCGGGCAGGGTCGGGTTTATTAGACAAAGTCATCACAGATACACGAAGCCTAAAGCAGATTCCTCTCACAGAGTTCAGCAGCGATAAGGATTCGGGTGAGTGGTCGTTTTTACGTCAGCACTGAGGCTATCTTTGCTTGATTTTAAGGGAACTCTACGCTCGCTGACCAGTATTACATGACCGTATTGCGGGTTCAGGAGTCGACCCTTCGAGGTTGCTTGTTTTTTGAAGTCATCCGCTGACACGTTACGTTTTCAACCGATCACTGGCTCAACTCCAAGTGGATTCTTTGCAATTGTTACATGTTTATTGTTTGAAATAAATTAACGTATAAATTTATCAACGGGAGCTTCGCCTTTAGCCCTAGCTGTTATAAACTGAGCGACAGACACAACAAGGAAAAGGTAATTCATTGAACAACAGCACCGCATTGGAAACCCGGTCATACCAAAAACATGGAAACATGTCAGGTGCAAAAAGCATGATTTGTTAATATGTCTGAAATATAATGAAAGGGTTTACGCCTTTTGAACCATTATTGCAAAAATGCAAGCACAAAACGAGAGTAAACTTAACATGCTTGACAAACATTGTTTTTTAGCGGACGGTGCGGGTTCGATTGCTGCCTCAGTGCGTCTTGAGCAGGCACTTTCAGATGAAGCAGCATCGGCTTCCGTTAAAATGAGTGTCCCTGTGGTACTGGCTTTGCAGGCAAAATTGTGGCTCGCCATCGGTAAGTTCATAAAACCGCTTGTACTTTGCAGTAGTAGTGACTGTTTTCTCCCTTTAATGTCAATTCTTTTTCTCCCGGATGCCTGTGGACAATTAAACCATGACTACAGTCTCAGACAGAAATAGTTGGGACACTTCCACTGGACACAGTTTTTTCCTTCTCGCCCGTTTCCTCTCCCTCCCTAATGTTGTTTGTTGCAGTTAAATCGAAATCGTGTACACAAACATTGAGTAAGCGAGAAGACAAAAGTTGTCCCAACAATTTTGACTGAGACTGTAGCTGTACAAGGGTCGTTGATGATAGAGATCATCGTTAGAACTGCCAATAAAGTAATATAAGAGTGGCCAGTAAGAACTGTTTAAGTGCGCTTTAAGACCTTGTCACACTCGGCAGTTTTCTGCAACTTTTGTCGCGAGGTAATTGCGTATAGCCCGCGAACAGCAAAAGCATTTCCGGTCGTCGCTTTTCTCCCTATTTTTGGAGGGAGAGAAGCGACGACCGGAAATGCGTCTGCTGTTCGCAGGCTAATTTCGATATAACTTTGCAAGAAAAATTACCGATTGTGACAGGGGCTTTAGGAATTCAACATTCCTCAGGATGATCTTCAGAAAATCTGCTGAAAATCATGACCATTATTTTGCTTTGGGTTTCTTCATTTATACAGCTGACGTGTTTATCTCCATGGAGAAGGACGCGGAGGCAAGTGCATGTGTACAGGAGGCTCACTTAATATTTCCTATGTCCCCGGATGTTTTGTTCCAGGTATGATGTTATCTTTGAACAAAACCTTTCGTCCATAGTATACGACATAACAAGCTTGAACCAGAAACACAAATCTGATTTTTGTCAAATTCTATTAAGCTTTTTTGGAAAGATGAAACCAAACTGCTATGACTCGATAAGACTGCCATTTACGATAAGCGGAATAAGCGGTAGTATCGTTGGGGATGGAGAATTAGAGGAATAACTGAAAATAACGGAAATCTTCATTGTGCGTGACAGTAATTCTTCATTGAGCGTTACTGGAAATCTATCATGATATTAAGTTCAACCAGTTCTATTTGACAAGGAGTTCCTGAAATATATTAAAACGTAGCACGAAAGAGCCCTGGCTGTTGACTTCAATGTCTTAAAGTCATGCAGCAGACTACAAGACCTATTAAACCACAAATGGTAGCCCTTGAAAGCCTCGACGATTCCGCTCACAGTCATTTTAGCGTTTTACCATTTTTAACCGTAATAGCTTTACCATCAGACAGTTTAGTTGGGGCTTAAATAAAAACTAGCTTTATGATGAATTCTAACTCGGAATAACTTCAAACTATTGTCTTTTACTTTATGTTCTTTACAGCGTGGTCGTATCTTTGAGATTCAAGAAAAATACACCGATGCTAAAAACTGCTTTGATAATGCGATCGCAATAAACCCTGCGCATGTTCCCAGCATTCAACACTTGGTAAGATTCATTTCCCTCCATTTTCAACCAGTGAGCTTGTCTAGTGATTACGTTGTTAGCTTGCCCAAATTTCTTCATGTGAAAGCATATTTAGCAAACGCAGTATCCTTTAAACCGCCGCCTGGTTAGCTGAGTTGGGAGAGCGCTGGTCTACTGAGCGAGCGGAAGGTCGTGGGTTCAAACCCCGGCCGGATCAACACCCAGGGTCTGAAAATAACTGAGGAGAAAGTGTTGCCTTTGCAATGACATCTGTAAACGGTTAGACTCTATAGTCTTCTCGGATAAGGACGAAAAACCGTAGGTCCCGTCTCACACTCACCGCACTTTCACTGATTTGTTCTTGTGGCACGTAAAAGAACCCACACTACTGTTCGAAAAGAGTAGGGGACGTAGACCCCGGTGGTGTAGTCAACCTCTCCTGGGCTGGGTGGGTTATCTGTAAGGACACACTTAAGGTGTTTCCGTACAGTTTTTCAGAGGCCATACTGAAATTTTTCAATCGCCTTAAAAGTGGTTTTCTCCTTGTCCGATCGCTATAACATTTTCAGCAGTAATTGTCTATGGATTGAAATTTGTGAAAATGTAGTTTTAAGTAAAATCGATATTACTACGACAACAATAAACAAAAACCTTTGAAAGTGATGAAAGCCGAATTTTGTGCGATCTAGACCAGCTACTGAAAATCCAACACTAGGAACTTAAAGTTTGGTGTTTAGCAAACAATCTCCTGAGAAGTAAAATTTTAAATATATTTTAAATTTTCAATAGCTGGATAGATTGTGTAATAAAAACGTTATAAATGACTCAAATTATTCTTAACTAGCGTCAGAATGCTGCTTAGTATCATATTTTGATGCTAGGAAACTTTGGTGTATTTTCGTTCTTGCGATCTTGAAAATCAACCCGTTTTCTCACCACCTGTATAAGTGCAACTTCATTCAAAATGTGGACTTTTAGCGCTTTTTTGTATATGTCTGAAACGACTCGAACGAATTTTTTTTAAAATCTCCTCACATAATCTTCATAATGTATTTAATAAGGTCTGAAACTTTCATTGAGATTGATTCAATGCAACATATTAAAATTTCTAATTTATTGTGTATCTCTCGTGTCACTTACTCATTTCTCCTTAAATATATTTAAATCTGATTTGTTTTAAGTGAATGATTTGTTTCTTGCAGGGTGCCCTCTATCAGAAAAACGGAAATCTGGTCATGGCGGAAAAGGTCCTCCGTGATGCCATCAACATCGATCCAACAGCATTCCTGGCTTGGTGAGTCATTAATTTGCGGTAATCTTAGGCCCCCTACACACGAATCCAGATATTTTCGAAAACGCATTTTTTTTTGTACGAATCAGCCTTGAGTCCACACGAAACGGGTGAATCCGCTCACCGAAACCGCATTGGTTTTGAAACCGACTGGTTTAAGGCCCCCTCCACACGACTCCACCGCCTCAAAAATGTTCGGATTGTTGTGGACGGTACCTTACGCACTTGATACATAGAGCTGGCTACCCTGAGATAACCTGCCAGCGTAGCGTATAAACCAGGTTTCCCTGTTATCGGCTAGCATTCCATCCATAGACAAGTCGAAGGGCCAATTCGTGCGATAAATTTTCTCATCACGTTGCAAATTCTGTGGGTAAAAATTGCGTTGAACAAGTACGGTCGCCTTTTAGCCTATAAGCAAACTCTCTATTTGGGAATCGAGAGGCGCAGGCGTCTTTTGCGCCTGACCTGCGACAATGAAAAGCTGGATCGCGGGCTAGACTCCTCAATGTATTTTTTCCAAATTTTGACGAAGCTGACATTCTGTCTCGGTGCTGGAAACATTTTTGTCAAAAGTCGAAAGACAATAGAACCATCAATAAATCGCTTCGGGTACCTATGCGACAGACACGCGGCAGTATAGGTTTTTGTACGCGGTTGATCGGCTTGCCCTTGAAAATTTGTTTTTTTCAATTTGACAACTGGTTTTTCCCCAAAGGAGACCGATTAACAACAGGTCTGAGTGTATGACTGGTAGCACTTAGCTGAAGCCAAGTGAGGTGTAATAAAGTAATAACCAAAGGTTAGGGAGTGCGGGCGAGGTCGATCGAAGGACGATCTTGCTCCAACTGTGTAAGTTTCATGTGATAGGAAGTCAAAATGCGCCTGATCAGATTTCGAGTGTCAGAAGGTCCAAACGCTGCTTTCCATTCATACGAGCCGCGCATGCAAAATAGCAATCTGGAGATTAGGTTTGCATGCTCTTTTGGGCGTTCGCATGTAAGTTGTACTTTCTTTCAGGCACTTATTGGGCGTGGTGTTAGAAGAGCAGAACGAACACGAGGCTGCCAGTGAGTGCCTTATGACAGCTCTGGACTTAGAAGCTACACACCCCGTCTTACCGTTTACAGTCATCCCACGGTTCTTGTAAAACGCGAAAAGTCGAACCAGTGTACACTGAGGCCACAAGCTAAGCACTGAAAAGCATCGAAGTTGGCGGTTGTTTCTGTCATTGCGAGATGTTGTGCGCAACAAGCTAAGGACAGAAAAGCATTGGCAGATTTGGCGGTTATTGCTGTGGCTACGATCTGTTATGCGCAACAAGATAAGCACTGCAAAGCATTGCAGTTAATTCTGTGGTTGCGAGATGTTGTGCGCAACCAGCTAAGGACTGAAGTGAGCATTTGAGTTGGCGCTTATTTATGCAGATCCCATCTGTTGTGCGCATGACTGGTGTCGAAGATGTGACCAAAATGATCCATGCGTTATTCTAAGGTATCCCCTTGTAAATGACTGGATACAAAAAATGATGAGAAACTGGAGGAGTTTACGCTACAGTGCTTTTGTATCAAAATGAAAATAAAGTTCTTTTTTTTTTTTTCGTTTATTCATGCTTCACTGTTTGCTCGCGGTGCTTTGTCAAGCGAATAACACTCATCTCCATAAATATCGCCCTCTTTTGTAGACGCCATGAGTTGCCGACCTTCGTGCTGAGCGACCATATAGTCTTACATTAGAAGTCAAAGAACCTAATTAACATACTTAAACGGACACCTTATTTCTAGAGCTACGACTGGAATCGTCAACTGAAAGTACAATTCTATGAAAAGGTGCCAAAAAAAGATGGAAATGGAAATATGGTGAGGAGTATTTCTCTTCTTCGGGCTTCAAAAGCATTAGAAAATCCCTGTACCTGTCAAGGCATGCTGGCATGCTGACATTTTATCACAGGTGTAAAACTCAAATGAAACGAACCATTCAAATAATACTAAGCAGAAACAAAGGACATCGCTTCCGATCGCATCAGAGATTTTCTGTTACCGTCCACTTGAAACATTTTTATCTTTTAACGGTTTTGCATAAACAACATTCGTGCACACGTCAAAACAATGCTATCCTTCCTAAACAATCCCTCTCTGTCTCTTTCCGCGAATTCTTTGCTTCATTTCTAAGAATTTCGTTTTCTCTTCCGGTAGGGCTGTTTTTCACTTTAACGCGATCTGATTGGTTTAAAACGGATCGTTTTCTGAGAATAAGACCACCTTTCAAAGAATAGGTTTCTGCATTCCTTCTTCCATGAGGAAATAGCTCTTTCTTCTTGTACAATTTTATGCTTCAAGGCATTAAAAAACAGAGAATGATGCAGCTTCAGAAAGCCGGGACACTGAAGATTAAGTAAGGTATGTTATAGTTACATAAAAACCGCAGGAAAGGGTCCAGATGATTAGATAGACGTTACATATATATAACGTCCATAACCTGAACCACATTTTAGACCGGTCAGTAAATTAATAGAGTGTTTGTCGGGTATTTTGTTTAACCAGAATTCAACAAGGGACACGACTAGCAGCTGTTTGGTTCTTCACTGCAGGTGAGATTAGCAAAGGAAAAAACAGGATGTTCATCCTTTATGTTTGAATTTGAATAGCTGGAAAGTAAATATGAAATCAAGACCCGATTCAGATAAACTTTGAGTTTTACCAGCTTAGTGGTAACATGAATGATCAGTTAGACAAGAATTGAAGTACCGAAACTATAATAGCGTATAAAAACTTTCGTTATGAAGCCTTCCTTTGACTGCGATATCATGAACGTCGCTCCGGAGGTAATCGAGCAGATATGGATCTAGCTTGAACTTTTAATGTGAGCTAAGTCTCTTATTTTTGTATGTTCGACTCAGTTAAACTTGTCTTGAGTGCAACTTCCTTTTTTCGTGTTTTTGATCAGTTACAACTGCACACCTCTTTAAACCTGCATAGGTTTAGGGTCTGACGGATTATGCTCGAATAACCGATTATTATGGTGTTCGGCATCGCCCACAAAACAAGGTAAAACGCTTAAATTATTCTCAGCTGTAGGTATTAGTCCTCTAATTGTGCCGGTCTTTAAACCACACTTTTCTTCCTCGTATCCACTAAACATTCCTACACAGTCATTGATATTGCTTTTGAAAGAAAAAATTGTTAGTGTTGGAGTCGGAAACCTGGCTTTGCAGGTAATCAGGCGGAGGTAGTCGACCGTAGGCCAAAATGCTCTTGACACGAGAACCTCTTTTGGACTGGGGCATTCAGCTCCTAAATGACCACGCTTTTATGAATTTTGTAAATCCTTGCTGGCGCTAACCTTGGAAAAATTAGTATACAGACGGTATACAATATTCAAATCACTGTAGTACAATGTCGGATTATGCTTAGACCAAAACTGTTTGTGTTGTGCTGACATTACATATATTTCGGGATAATGCTAATATAATATGGCTCAAAGGTATTCCCGCCGGCTTATTCCATCTTCATCTGTGGTTAACTATACCGACATTTTGTCCGCTGTTTGAACTCGAAAAAGTCGGAACACTTATTAAATGAACTTAAGCCGTAGCAACACTCGAAAGTTTTTTTTAGTGTATGGTATAGCCTGGGCCATTTTGTAAATGACGATTGGCCGAATTCAGTTTTAATCTTCGTGGACTAAAAGGAATGCATGGACGAACTTGGTAAGTTCGAAAAATATCTGTCACATATAGAATAAGGCAAGATGTGCTTTTGTTCAATGTCAGCGAAAACTGCTTGAGGAAATGAATTTCCCGAGCTTTTGCAATGCGATTTACAGTCACGTTTTCGACTCAGGAACTGACCAAAACTCAGTGGATTAACCAAGCCGAACCACAGAATAGCTTTACGACCCCTTTACCAGTTTGGGTTTGGGTTAGCAAAGTTTAGGAACAAACAGTAACCACCCGAGAGTAAGTACCTGTTAGGCTAAAATTTGCCAGTAAGGCCCAATCTGTACAAGAACCTATTTAGCCTAAAATTGAAACAGTTTCTTACATTCTAAAATCTATGTAAAAAAAAAAACCAGTTTGTACACTTGGGCTAATAAGATAAGTCGACAACATTCAGAATCCTTTTTGGAGACATAGGTTCCTCATGCAATGTAATGGTATTCAGATTATACATAAGGAATAAGCTATAATAATAATCATCATCTTTATTGAGGAAACTTTTTCATAAAAGATATGGTTTTCAAAAAGGACCTCAAAACTAGATATATATTATACAAACAAAAAAAAGCTATAAAATTGCAAAGGGATTAAAAAGATACAAAAAATGCATAAAAAATTAAAAATAAGTAAAAATTAAACGTAAGTAGCATAGTTATTAGAGGAGACTGGTTATGAAAAGCGGCAAACATCAATGATAAAAACAACAGTGCTGCAGTTTATGTTCAAAGCACCGTGAAAGTGCACAATCCTTTGTTTTCTGTTGGCAAATTGTTACGGAATAAATTAATGCAACGTTTTTATTGGTCAATACAATCAAAATGATAGGAATTCTTTTGAAGGTTGTGCACTATCAGGTCCACAAAAACATATAACAAAGGAGTCTGACGGGTTTCATAACCATTCCACTCAATTAACTATGTAAGTAGCTATATTTAAGTTTTTAAAAAAACTTAAAAACATTACGTTTAAAACTATTTACATTCCTTGAGTCTTTGATCGTCTGACTGAGGGAGTTAAAATCGGAAACGGCATGATATTGTGTTCTTTGCTTCCCCCAATTTCTTTTGACACGTGGTAATCTAAAATTGCCTTTGTTACGTGTATTATGCCTATGAAGTACGTCTTGTCTAATCAAGTCCATATCGTGATTAATTAGGCCATTCATGCATTTGTATACGTGTACACACCTTCTTTGAAATCGCCTTTTCTCTAGAGGCAGCCACTTGAGAACGGCTAATGCCTCAGTGGAGGATGAGTACAATGGTCTATTTAAAATAACTTTAGCGGCCTTATTTTGCAAAACTTGCAAACTAGACATAAGGGTAATATTATGTTTATCGCCCCATACTAGATCAGCATATTCAAAAAGGGGCATAACAAGACTTTTATAGAAAAGTAGACGCGCCCTCTAAATACTCTTAGCTACAATGTGTTTTTTCTCCAGAAAATAAGAATCTATTGTGCTAATTATACCATTTAAGTAAGAACCTGTTAAGGCTAACTTGGGAAAATGCAAGTTCCTACTGTATATAATGTCTGACATGTGATCATTTCAGTTTGTTTTGTGCCGCAAATAAGTCATGTTAAAATAGTTTCTTTATTAAATTTGTTAGTCATAAAAGTCGTGTTCGACCTGAAGAAAAGGATTTGGCTGGTAATATTTCGTGGGCCCGTCAATGCTTGGTTTGACTTTTTCTTTTGTCTCACAGAGAAGGCGCCTCTTGAGGTTTCTACATAATCCACTTAGAGAATGGGAATATAATGGCATCTCGCGGTCGAAAAATCCAAGGTTTGTGGCTGCCAATACGGTATTGTTTTTAGTTGTTTTCAATTTAACACATGCACAGCAAACAACTAGTCGTCTTCTTATTTCTGATAGCGTTCTAAAAAGTTAGGTAAAGACGGTTTTTTAAACCTTCATTGTCAATTGTAAAGTCAATCGAAATATAATATTTAAAACTTAATGCTTACGTATGATTCATGTGATCTGTGACTACTTTCGAAGGTTTCTTTAATTTTATTGCAATCTAATTTTACTCGACGTTAAATTCGTAGTTTTCAGCGGTTTTGCTTAATTTAGAATCGCAGCAGTGCTTTAATGGAAGTAATATTTTCTTTGGTTTCCTTCTTTGCCGCAAAGGAAAGTCGTATGGTCAGAAGAGACCACCACTAACACACATTCTAAGAAGCATCCTTGAAAGATATCCAGATGGAGGACAAATCTTAAAGGTACCTTGACAAGTTTCTTCTCTAGGAAATATTTCAGCAGCATCACAAGAGTGTTAGCCAGTCACTAGACGAAGTATACAATATAGAGCATAATAAATTATAACAATTAACAAGAATCTTTGCTATAAAAGACCTACAAGCCCTACACTAATCTAAACATCTCGGATGCGAAATGTGAATTTGTCACTTTATGATGTGGACTTGCAAATCCTGTCAAGTTACAAGCCAAAATATTATTGCAACCTTATGAGCTGATAAACCTCTCTAATTCTTTGAAGAGAAATTTAATAAACTTAAGAGGTTAACAAATTTCATCGCTGAAGTTAAGCTAGGAGTCAGAGGAGTCAGACGTTTGATTCTCTTATCCAGAGGACAGCATCTATGCCTACTAGCTTCCACGTCTTGAAAAAAGGATAAAGGGCCGATTCTTTGAAAAGCAAAAACGAAATGCAAAAACTCCAAATTCGTTTTTATAAAAGCTTCAGAAATAAATATCGCCATGCACTGGGAAATTTTTTCGAAAGATTTTTCATTTAAATGTTAACAACAAAGGATTTTTGTCAAAAGACGCAAAACTGAGTAAGAAGGACAAAACCTCCAGAGTGACTGAGTCTGTGGGAATGACTGTATTTAAGGCAAAACAAGTGATTAAAAGTACAAATATGTGTCAAAAACCCTGCTCATTGAACAACTCAAAAAATGCAGTTGAAAGAGGGTCGCACGATCGTATGACCACGCTTAGGATTTCAGTTACATTGCATTTTCATATGAAATAATGTCGGCGTATTACTGAAATCAAACTTACTTTAGGAAACCTTAAATAATCCAGTACTCAATTTCTATCTTCACCAAACGAGAACTTAAACTTTTCAGTGCTCTCTCAAAACGAAAAAACTCCAGCGTTAACGTCTGAATTATGGCTCATAAATATCCATATGAGGTGAAACTGTCTACAGCCGGTAACATTTACACGAAAGCGTGGTCGTCGACTACGTTTGTTTAACTTAAAAAGAAACCAAAACAGCAATATTAACATGTGATTTTCTTTTCGCTCATAGTATGAATAAGGCCATACAGAGTAATGCAATAAGAAAGCCTTGGGCATCTTAATATCCTCAACGATTTCAATCAAATGACTGTTTGATTTGTCACATTACAGGAAATTATCCAGAATGCGGATGATGCCGGTGCCACGAAAGTGTCATTCCTTCTTGACTCCCGTCCAAATTTCTTTGGAAAGAACTCGTTGTATGAACCTAGTCTTGCAAAATTCCAAGGGCCAGCCTTGTACGCGCAAAATAATGCTCTATTCGAGGAAGAAGACTGGGAGAACCTGGAGAGACTGATGAGAAGCAGTAAGAAGGACGATCCCTTGAAAGTGGGTCGCTTTGGCATAGGCTTCAACTCTGTTTACCACATGACGGGTAAGTGCAATAACAAGTGCCTATCTGACACTTCCTTGCCCGGAAAGGCCTCAAAGTACCCTCAGGTACTTCAGATTTAGTCGCCCACCTCATGAAGCCATTATTGGTGACTCTTCACATACACAACACCCTCGTTTCCGCCTTTGCTGTACGTTAGGATGTATTTTAAGCTTGGTCTTTTCAGGGGCACCCAACGAGGATATAGTTCAAAACCAATTAAACATAGCATTGTTGAACGTATTTTAGTATTTAAACGGTAGATATAGGCATCCTTAAAATTTTTTCATCTGTTCGGATTTCCTAGCTGAAAGGCTAGTGATCCGAAAATTGTAAGGATCAAGACTTACCTTTTCGAAAATTTCAGCCAGAAAAAAGGCTCCCGAAAATTCTAGGTAGCCTTTTTAGAGTAAAAATCCGTTAAAATGATAGAATGATAGAAAAATGATAGAATGTGCATGCCTTTTTATGAGGGCAACTCGTCTGCCAACACTGGTTAACCTTTTAATTTGATACTAAGAAACTTCTCGCCATCACACTCTTAGATCTCCCAAGCATAGTGAGCGGAGACACGATAGCATTCCTTGATCCTCACGAAACACACTTTGGAAAAGCAGAAACGGGCCAACAATTTTCCCTCGAAGACCAGCTTCTCCAAGACTACCGAGATCAGTTCAAGCCATATGAAGACGTCCTAGACTGCAAGATTTCGAGGCAATATTACAGTGGAACTTTATTTCGTTTTCCCCTTCGAAATGAGCCGTCTGACTTATCGACAAAGAATTACACAGCGGAGAAAGTTCGAAAATTGTTTCATGCGCTAGAAAAGGAAGCCTCTGTTATTCTCCTTTTCCTAAAGAATATCGAAGAAATAGCTTTATTTGAGACCGATCAATCCAACACTACGAGGCAGGTGTTTATCGTGAAGCTGAGTGACAGATGCAGACAAGAGATTCGACAAAAGAAGAAATCACTGTTAAAGCAAATAAAGTTGTTAAGCGGAAGGTCGGTCAGTAACACAAACATTTCCCTAACCTTAGAAATTGAAGAATACTCAGCAAAAGGTATGGTGCGGAATCACAAGTGGCTGGTTTACCATCAAATCGATGCTCGAGACTCAAACCTCCAACGCTTGTCTTCCGAATTAGGTCTACTTCCGTGGGTTGGATTTGCTACCCCTTTGGTAGCATCACAACGTCAAGCACTCTCCTCAAATGGAGGAAGACTTTTCTGCTTCTTGCCGCTTCCACCGGATGCTGATTCTAAAACTGGATTTCCAGTTCATGTTCATGGCTACTTTGGTTTAACGGACAACCGACGAGGGCTTAAATGGCCAGGCCTGGACTGTCAAAATGATCCGACCGCTGAATGGAATGTCCGACTGTTGGAGCGAGTTGGAAGTCAAGCATACGCCTTCTTGTTGGTTGAGTTGGTTGAAAAACAGATGAACGAGCCATGTGACATGTCGATAAAAGCAGATTTATTTTACCAATCCTGGCCAAACCTCCGTTATGTGGAAAATCACTGGAAGGGAATGCTGAAGCCAATGTTCTCGATTTTGAGGGAAAAGACTGTCTTATGGTCCCTATCAGGCAAGTGGGTTAGGCCCCAAGACGCTTATCTTGACAGAATAAACAGCTCCCCTGAAATTAGGCAAGTGGTTTTAGAAACATTTACTCAAGCACACGAGTCCGTCGTTACAGTACCACACCACGTACTTGAAGTGATTGACAATATGAAATGGACCACACTTAGCATCACGCCTTCATTCATGAGGAGTCTTTTAAAAAAGAAACAGAAGGGATCGTGGAATATAACGAGTGTTCCCAAAACGAAGAAGCTTAAGTTACTAGAGTACGTTCTCCAAGACGACAACCTGATGGATATACAGGGCATACCTTTACTTCCCCTGGCAAATGGAAGCTTTGATGAATTTCGTTCACTTGAATACAACCGCGACTCTAGGGCTGCCGTTTATGTTTCAACAGCAAGGCACCCACGTTCTCTTTTCTACAACATGGACAGCAAATTTCTTGAGGACACCGTTCAGTGCCCTGCCTTAGATAAATTGTCAAGGGCCGCTTTTGACGTAAGAAAGACACAAAAGACATTGCCCATGCAACTTGTGAAGATGAATCAAACCATTGCACTCAGTCTTCTACGACAGGTGTTACCAAGAGAGTGGTTTCAAGCCGAGCACTTCGCTTGTTGGTACCCGGGACAAAATGGACATCCTCCAGAATCTTGGTTGCCTTCAGTGTGGAGGTGGATCCAAAGTGATTTTCCCAATGATCTTTCGCCTCTTGAGGGGTTTCCTCTCATTCCCCAGACAAACTCAGGATGCCGCACCATAGTGAAGCTAAAATCATCGAGCCTAGCAATTAAAAAGAGCGACCAAAATCTCCATTTACCGCAACAGATCGTCTCTTTGCTAAAAAAGGTTGGGTGTGTTGTTATCGAGAATCTTCCGCCATTTGTGAATCACGTATCTATGCACAAGTACATTGCCTCTGCTGTTCCTACCGGCGTCTTGAACGTCTTACATGCTCTTGGTCAACAAACATGTGTTATGAGGATTTCAGCATCGTGTTCTGCAGAGGAAAAGCGAGCCTTGCGCGAGTACCTGTCGTCGACGTTTTTGAGTTCCGATCAAAAGAACCTTCTTCAACACCTGCCAATTTTTGATGGGGCTGATAGAAGATCATTCCTTGCGACGAAGGAGGGATTTCAAGTCCGCACAGTAGCTCCATTTAACTTTGAACTTCCCCACTCCTTGCCACTACCGAATGCCTCTAACATTATAATCCCAGGGGATTATCAGTCACACTCCCTACTACAACACCTTGGAATCCAGGGGATGACTCCAACAGTTTTCCTATCTTCAGTTGTCTTTAGTGGAATAAAAAACGGCTTCTACAGTCAGCAACAGATTTCAACTCTGATGAGCTGGGTTTTGAGGCAGTACAACTTAATGCAAGATCTCTCATTCCGTGCATCACTTCAACAGCTGCCTTTTGTCCTTACTCAGAGTAAAAGATTAGTTACTCCTTGTGAAGTTCTTGATCCTAGGCAACCTGTTTTGCGACAACTTTTTGAAGGGGAGAGCGATAGATTTCCTCACGAAGACTTCGTAAAGGATGACATTCTTCAGATCCTGCAGCAACTTGGAATGAGAAGCTTCCCAAATGAAATGGATATTCTGCACGTCGCTAAAACAGTGCAAAATTTTGCAGACGATGTTGCATCGCGTAAAGCGTTGGCGCTCCTGAACTTCCTCGATCAAAATTCATCGATGTTAAAGTCAGAATGGGTTGTTCAAGGGCTAAAGAATGAAAGATGGATCCAGCAAAAGAAGGATCCTCCTCCTTCGTATCCCCGTTCCATGCCTTGGTTTGTGGGCAAAGCAAGGTTCTATAAACCGTCCGAAGTTCGCAGCCAGTCAAAGGCCTACCTTTTTGGCGTTTCTTTTCCCTTGGCCACTAAGCTCTGCAGCAATGCACTTGAGGTTGCATTCGGTTGGAGACAGTTCCCTACCGTCCAACAGCTTCTTCAACAGCTCCGCTCCGCGTGCTCTGGACCAATTAAGTCAATGAATGGGAGCGAAAGATATAATTTTCAAGCAATGCTTACAGAGATCTATCAAGAAGCCTCAAAGAACGCTGATCTCGTCATTAGCATGATAAAAAATGATCCCTCATTTCCAGCATGGATTTGGCATGGCCATGGCTTTACGCTGCCATCCGATGTAGCGTTTGTACGGTCCTGCAACATCGACTTCAAGCCTTACCTTTTTGAGGTTCCACAAGACTTTCATACATTTCGTCCCTTTCTTCAACGATGTGGAGTTCGTGAAACATTTGCGATTTCAGATCTGCTGAGAGTTCTTGCAGTGGTTAAAGAAAAACACGACAGAAGTAGCGTGCGTGTTGATGATGTAGCAGACGACCAGAAACTATCTTGTGATATTCTCCAATGGATAGTACGAGATGGGAAACCCCTGGATTCAGAACTTCGACAAAATCTACTGGTGCCCATTATGACCTGGGATAACACCTTGAAGTTACTCCCGTGTCGTGACTGTACTTTCTGTGATGCGACCTGGTTAAAGAAAGGAGGGTCAGAAATTCCAATCATAAGTCAATTTCCTATGATCCATGACACCATTTCCACAAGGGTTGCTCAGCTATTGGGTGTCCCACCAATTAGCACACGTGTCACGTGTGCAGAAGCACTTGGAATCGAACAGACAGGTCCTCATGAGCCAGTAACCACCAGACTTCATAACATCCTGGACGAATACAAAGAAGGTGTGGGAGTTTTCAGAGAACTTGTCCAGAATGCAGATGACGCTGGTGCATCCGAAGTCCAATTTGTTCTTGATTGGCGCAGCCACCCAACGAAAAGGCTCCTGGCAGCCGGTATGGCAGATTGTCAAGGTCCCGCACTACTGGTGTATAACGATGCAGTCTTCACGGATGACGATTTAAAGAATATATCAAAATTGGCAGGTGCAACAAAAAAGGAAGACCTTGAGAAAATAGGCCGCTTTGGTCTCGGTTTCAGTTCGGTTTATCACTTCACGGATGTACCGAGTTTCGTTACCAGAAATTATGTTGTATTCTTTGATCCACACACAAGCCATCTACAGCGGCACATAGAGAATCCTTCTAAGCCTGGAATAAAACTGGATCTGGAAGTGAACCCGGCAAATTTAATGTACTTCCCTGATCAGTTTGCACCTTTTGATGGACTGTTTGGTTGTGAAACGAATTTGTCAAGCATCCGTAGTAACTTCTATTTCGAAGGCACTCTGTTTCGATTTGCTTTTCGAACAAAGAAAGGAGAAATCAGCGATAAGATTTACAGTAAGGAGGAGATTCAACGCCTTGTTCGTTCTTTTGAAGAATCATCATCAAGTCTGCTTTTGTTTGCCCAAAACGTTAAAAAGGTGACATTTCTGGAGATAAAAAAGAATTCTTCTAGTCCCACTTCTCAGCAAGTGCTGTATGAAATTTGCAAGGAAACAGTCGACCTTCATCAAGGCGAAAAGACATGCAGGAACGTACCTACCTTTCTTCAGTCATGTGCGACGTGGACAAGGCAAACGACTGGTCAGAACAGTTCTCTGATTAAGACTCCACCCTCTCCAAAGCAGTCAGAGTTGGTAACGATTTTTTCAAAGGCGACCAGTGACAAAGGAACGAAAAGGGAGGAAACCTGCACCTGGCTTGTCACCTCTTGTCTGGGAACTGGACATTCATTTCAACTGGCAACAAGCGAAGAAGGCCGGAAACAGGGGCTGCTATCAGCTTCTGGAATAGCAGGGAGGATTTCCATTAAAAGTGACAAACTAAAAACGAGCTTTTCGATTCTAGAGCCTGTTTGTGGGGAGGTCTTCTGTTTCCTACCACTGTCTATTCCAAGTGGTCTACCAGTGCATGTAAACGGTTACTTTGCCGTCACGTCAAACCGGCGGGGGATTTGGGAAAGCACCACAGCCGAAGGTGAGAGTTCCCAACCTTTAGAAGTGAGATGGAACAGACGCCTTATGGAGGATGCAGTATCGGAAGCCTATATAAATTTTCTAGAGGATATCATTCTCATGCAAAGGAAAGGAACGATTCCTTTATGCGAAAGCTTTGCGCTTTGGCCCAATCCAGAAGCACTTCAATCATCCGTTTGGACGACGCTTGTCAAGAGCGTTTATCAACGAATTAGCAGCTCAGGCCTTCCTTTAGTACACCTAGAAGGAAAATGGCTTCCAGTTAAGCAGTGTATTTATCAAGATGCAAAATTACAAAAGCTTTGTAACAGTGAAACTATCCTTGCAATGTTTGGCTATAAAGTAGTGCAACTTCCTTTCTTCGCAAAGAAAGGTTTTAAGCTGGCTGGATGCGAGCAAATAATCGAAGAGCGAACGATGTCACAGGAAAAGTTTCTGAAGGAGGTTTTTTTCCCTAACATATCTAGGATTCCTGATAATTTACGGAATCCTATTGTTTGCCACATGATAGACCAATGTCTACTAGGACACTCGCGTATTCAATCTGATCCTCTAAGAAGCCTCTACACTTCCCTTCTTTCAAACAACCGATGCATACCCTGCGGACTATGTGCTAAGGATTTAGCATTTCCAAAGGAACTCGTTAATCCCAGTGGTGCCGCCGCAGTTCTGTTCACATCAGATGATAAACGGTTTCCCGTTGGCACGTGCTATCAAAGCAAAGAGCGCCTTCTTATGCTTCAAAACCTGGGTATGGTCAATGACGTCCTCGACTGGAGCACCCTGCTTGAAAGAGCAAAGACGGTACCACTGCTCTGGAAAGGAAAAACTGAGCAAGACGCTCGAACAAGGGTTTCATGTCTTGTGAACTACATAAATGCCAATTTTACAAAACTAGAGCTCCCCTCGAAACCAGTCGAGACAGAACTTAGAGGAATCAGAATGTTTCCTGTCCTAAAAAAGCCTGCAAACTACCCAATGCAATGGAAAGGGTCCAATGATGGAAACGTTTTGCTTCCAGCAGATGAAATGTATGGCGAGGAATTTAAGTTTGTCGTAGGATCATTAAGAGCGATCCTTGACGAAAGCGAGAGTCATGGTTGTGGACAGCTCAGTAAAGAAGCGCGAGATCTCTTTGGATTCAGCTGTCGTAAACCAACTGTCCAAGAAGCCCTTGCTCAGCTGAATCGTGCTATTGAAATCACAACAGAAGGTTCAACTGCAGCACACTGCTTGGAAGAAGTTTCGCATCGTATTTATGGCTACCTTCAAGAACTTCTTTCAAAACCTGAAGGTGAGATCATTGTTCAGGAGTTGGGCAACAAACCTTGGATTTTAATCCAAGGAAAATTTCTTTCACCTTCTCAGCTCGCCTTTACTTGGAGAGGAAACGGCGAACCTTACCTTTTCGAAGTGTCACAGACTCTAGCTGAGAATTACGGACGCCTTCTCCGTGAGACAGGAGTAAGAGACTGTTTCGGTCCAAGTGACATCGTGAGTACCCTTTACAAGCTCAGTGAGGCTAAACATGGTACACCTTTGTCATCTGCGGAATTCAGAGTCACGCGTTCGTTAATTGAAGAGCTACTAGAAGCTCCACACAGTGTCCTTAAAATGGAAAATGGCAACATCCCTCTACCGGACCACAATTTGGCTTTACATCCAGCAAAGGAGTTAGCCATTAACGATGCGCCGTGGGTAACTTCAATGGGGAATACCGCATATGTCCATGAGTACGTTCCCATTGAATTTGCATACAAGTTGGGGGCAATCGACATTCGATCAAAGAAACTAGCTAAAATATCACGTCCGATCGGTAAACCATTTGGCCAGAGGGAAGAGCTTACCGATCGTTTAAAAGGCATTTTAAAGTCATACCCTTGTGACGTTGGGATCTTGAAAGAACTCGTTCAAAACGCTGACGATGCTGGGGCAACTGAGATACACTTTATTTATGATCCCCGAAACCATCCCACGGACCAGCTGTTGAGCGACAATTGGAAAGAACTACAAGGACCTGCCTTGTGCGTTTACAACAACCGACCCTTCTCCGAAAAGGATTTGGATGGGATACAGAGACTAGGAATTGGAAGCAAATCTGAAGATCCAACAAAGACAGGACAATATGGCATTGGTTTTAACGCAGTGTACCACCTCACTGACTGTCCAAGTTTCATTTCAAATGGAGACACCCTTTGTATCCTTGATCCTCACTGTCGCTATGCTCCTAGGGCGACTAAAGAGAATCCAGGACTACTCATTGGACCAATTCGACAAGAAGAACGGTCCGATTACAGAGACGTATTTCCTTGTTATCTTGAAGATCACTTCGATTTAACATCTGCTACAATGTTCCGTTTCCCTCTCAGAAACAAGGAAATGTCCGTGAAATCATCGATTTCAACAGAGCGGGTTACTCATGATCACATGACGACATTTATGAATCTGTTTACCGTTGAAGCAAAAGAAATACTTCTCTTTTTGAATCATCTACAGAAAATAACGCTTTCTAAAATTGAAGAGGGACAGCTGAGAGCCATATACTCGGTTTCTGTTCAATTAACAGAGGAGGATACCTCAAAACGCACAATGCTTTCAGAACACATCAAGAAATCCAAATCGTCCAAAACAAAAGACATTGAATGGCTCGGAATTACATACCCCCTGAAGGTGGAAGACACGATTAGAGAAGAAAAATGGATCATTCATCAGTCCGTTGGTCTGACGACCAATGATTTAGATGACAATGTTCCGGATGGTCGACCATATGGTCTTCTACCTCGAGGTGGCATAGCAGCCAAGGTATCAGAGAAGTCAAAGTTTTCATCATCATCATTCACTAGGAGGATGGAGACTAAACATAAAGCGTTCTGTTTTCTGCCTTTGCCATTAAACACCGGACTTCCTGTTCATGTTAATGGCCATTTCTACCTTGATTCTGCCCGACGTAATTTGTGGTGTGATGAAAATGAAGAAGGGTTTGGAAGCACGTGGAACCGTTTTCTAATGACAAAGGTATTGGCTCAGGCATACGTCTCGTTGATGTTGGTGGCTCGTGATTTCCTTCCTGGAATGAAAATGGATGAGGCAGGTTGCTTTTCCAAAGAGTACTACGTCCATGAAGGAATGCGTTGGTATCATCAACTCTTTCCTCATTTTGATTTAGTCTCAAGTCAGTGGACCATTCTGGCGGAGTCGGTATTTCGGAAGATTTCCAGTCAAGATGAGAGGTTAGTCCCCATGTTAAAGAAAGAACCCTATCAAATATCGCCAGACTGTCAACCTGATAGTCAAATGTCAAGTGAAAATAGCGGTAAAGATGTGACGCGGTGTTATTGGCTAACTCTGTCACAGGGTTTCTTCAACACCATAACGATTGCAACTAAATCAGATGTCAAATTTTTTGAGATGTTAGTGCAAATGGGTTTTAAGCTTCTCTACTCGTCCGAAAGACTGTTCAATGACTTCAGAAAGGCAGGTGTTAAAGTAAGGCAGATTCTTCCTGAGAGTGTTCTCCAATTTCTTAAAGAAAATCCAGCTAATGTGGGAAAACTTCCTTGTCACGTTAGCAAGACGAAACTTGAGTCGGTGGTAGGTGTTCTTAGTCTTTTAACTTACTGCATGAAGGCTCCTAAGTTTGCAGAAGAAATGTTTGGGTTACCTTTGTTGCTGACAGAGGACAGCGTTCTCAGGTGTTTTCAAGAAGATGAAGCAGTGTTTCTGAGCCTTTTTGCTGATTTGGTTCCTAACGAAAGTTTCCTATTTATCCACCACACTCTTGCTAAAACTTTACTTCGCATCGAGGAAGAAATCATCACCGCAGATCAACGCGTACTCAAGCAATTTGACCTCTCCGCGTTAGCGTCACTACTCCCCAGCAATGAAAGTGCCAGTTGGTGTCAAACAGATGACATCGTTACGTGGGATATCTCCAAAGGGCCTTCAGAAAAATGGCTACGACGACTTTGGGAGTTCATAATCAAGGCTCACAAAAAGAACCCGACGGCGTTTTCCCTTGACCCCTTGAGCAAATGGCCAGTCCTACCAACCAAGTCGGGCAAGTTAGCTCCTCCCTCAAAAGGAAAAGTTATCCTTGACTTGACAAATCCAGAAACGTGGTCTTCTGGCCAAGAACACGTCGTAAGACTGTTACTTACACTTAATTGCCAAGAGGTTGATGACAAACTGATCAGCAGTAGTGATATGCAGGATGTATCGCCAATACTCAAACAGCATCTGTCTCAACCAAACTCTTCGGAGGATATTCTCAGTGTGTTAGGCCACGTGATGAAAGAAACGGACATATCTGGGAAGTTATCTGACGATGATATGATCTCTATTTTGCAGTTCCTTCAAGAAGATGTAACGTCGTTGAAAAGGAGCCTGCATTTATCAACTTTAAAGCGACTGCCATTTTTCAAGACGTTTCATGGAATATTTGTGACCCTTGAAAATGTTTCGTCAATTTATGTCGTCCCAACAGGGCTACCTAAGAAGGAATCAGATGTCTGGATGACGGGGAATAACTGTTTGTTCTTGGCACCTGAACCAAGGCTTAACCGTCTTTATCAAGAGCTATTAGGTGCAGGGGAGAAGACTCACACAGACTGTTACATCAACTTCATCTTCCCAAAGTTTCCAGAACTTGAGCAAGAAACTCGAATGCTTCACCTAAACTACGTTAGACGATTTCTACTTCAATCATTCCTCAATGAAAGCCAACGTCCCAGGATAATACATTCTTTACAAAGCTTAGCTTTCATTCCAGACGCGTCTGGTATACCGCGCACAGCGTCTCATTTTTATGACCCGGGAGTGAAAGTTTTTGCAGTGATGTTGGGTCCAAATTCAAAGCCACCACAACCATTTGATGAGCATTCTGGCTGGCTAGCACTCCTTCGTGAAATTGGGTTGAAGCAAGAAGTAAGCAAAGATCTCTTTTTAACTTTTGCCAACGAAGTGGCAACACAAGGAGGACACACAAACAAGTCAAGTCGTCCTGCGTTAGAAAAGAAGTCTAAGGCGCTGGTAAAACACCTTTTGAGGGAGGAGTCTCTACATGATGAAATGTTCCTATGCAATCTCTCTACAATTAAATTTGTTGCCTCTCAAAAGGCAAGTGATGAGCTAGTCATTCTTCACAAACAGTATTTAGTTGACAGTGGAAATATAGAGCAGCTTCCACCTTTTGCTCATTTTAAGAATTCAACACCACAAGCTTTTGAGAGGCTGGTTTGGACAACAGCGTGTCTTTTACCTTCCTGGGCTGTTCCGGACAACACGTCTTTAAAGCTTTCAAAACTACAAGTTTGCCAGAAGCCCACTTTAGATCAAGTCATGGACAATGTGGTAAATCTGTCAAGGAATCTTGCTAAGAGAGAAGATCGAGACCAACCAGAACCACGACGTCGACTGCTGAGTCAAGTTATGGTTGAAGTGTATACGTTTCTCACAAAATCGAGCAATTGCGGGGCAAAGGATTCTTCTGAGTCACACACACCAGCCTGTGTAACAATCACCAAGCGGCTTTATTGTAGTCCTTGCATTCTTGTAGAAGGTGGGCGCGTTTTCGTTCGCTGTGACCAGTTGGCCTATGATCTTGATGAAGAACTACCTCCATATCTATATAGAGTCCCCAGAGAATACGGAGCTTTCGAGCACTTGTTCAAGCGACTCGGAGCAATGGAAAAAGCAACTCCGGTGCAGTTTGCAAAACTCCTGAATCGTCTTAAAGAGTCATGTGGTGAAGAGAAGATGCATGCCAACGAGATGACAATCGCAAAGCATGCTGTGTGTCGCCTTTTTTCTACTTTATGGGCCTGGCAAGAGAAACATAAGGAGGAAAAGAGATGCCCAGACAATCCCCTTTCTGCCATCAAGAGGCTCTATCTTCCAAACGAACAACAAAAACTTCAAAGTTCGACAGATTTGGTCTTGTTTGACTGTCCTCGGTACCGTGGCCGCGTCCGGGAATGCAAATATCAGTTCCTCGATTGCTTAACGAAATATAACTTAAATTTTGCTACTCCTGCTCAACTTGTTGATCTTCTACCAATTGACCTGCAAACAACATCGTTGGCATCACTAGTGAGGGAGCAACTTCAACCGGACTGCAAAGATAAGAAGTGCCGAGCTGATGTGGAGCAGAAATGCCAAGCTACAAATCTACTTCGTCAAGTAGTCTTTTCACCTCAGCTTGTGGATGGTGTTTTGAGAATACTTAAGTACCAGTTTCAGAAAGCCAAGTTGGACGAGAAAGTTCGCAACAAAGTTTGTAGCTTTCAAAAAGAACTAGGCATGAGTTGCATGGAAGTATTGTCCACTGAATTAATAGAGATTGAATCAAATACACCGATCCCAAAGAGCCAACGTTCGAAGCACATTCAGTGTTTCGTGGGTGAGGAAAATGGCACAAAGCACATATTCATCAAACATGGCGCCGATCCTAGTAACGTTCGCAGGGTTCTGTGTAAAGAGATAAACCAACTGACTGGATGTTACATTAGTGAAGAAAGCTGGCTGCATCTGGCCGCCATTTTAGACTGCAAAACACCCGACGACATTCCATCCACTTTAGACAACGCTGATGTGGCAGAAGACGTGGAGGGAAGTGCCACACAACAATTAGAACCAGACCTTGGCTCGGTAGTTCCAGAAGAATTACACTACCTTCTTGTACAATTTGACGATTTTTATTTTCGGACAGGGGAATTTGTTGCGTTTGAAAGGGAAGACTCCACAGATGAAGAACCAAAGTACATTTACGCAAGGATCATCCACCTCCTCAAAACGTCACATCCTGTCAAACCGAGAAAAGATCGGACGAAGAGGAAGCAAAAAGGAGAAAACAATTATCTAAGCAGGTATCTGATAGATATTGGACAGGAGAGAAAGGAGGTGGATGTGTTAAATCTGTACAAGATAAAGCGGCCACCAAAACAGAATCTTGACGAGGAGGATAAAATGCAAAATGAACCTGTTTCAGAGTCAATGGAGCTTGTGCCTTACAGTGGGAATAGTGAACAAAGCAAGAAATCTAAAGCGCAACCGTCGGCATCATCCCAAGGTGCAGCAGAAAGCTCCAAACCGACAACGTTGGAAGATGCCTTTAAAGAAGTTCGGAAAGCCTTGAAAGAAATCTGGAAGCTTCCAGAGGATAAGAGGAAGAAAGCTCTAAGACGACTCTACCTCCGCTGGCATCCGGATAAGAACATGGACATGCAAGACATTGCAAATGAAGTCATGAAGTTTATTCACAACGAAGTTGACCGATTAAATAAGGGCGGGTCAGGAAGTCATGAAGATGACTTTGCAGGCGCACGGCCGGATTTCTCGGACTTTTTTAGGAACTGCAATCAGAGGGCTCGGCGAGAGCGTTCAAGCTGGGAGAACTTCCGTCGCAGTAATCCGGGTTTCTCAGGCTTCGCGTACTCGTCATCATCCAGGAGACGTTACACAGGACGCGACCCTACCCTGTCTAGGATTTGGATGAGTCAAAGCAGAGAGGACCTTCGTTCCGTGAAGCACCTCTTGACCGCTCGAGATCCACTGTACTACCTAGTGTGTTTCCAGTGCCATCAAGTTGCCGAGAAAGCTCTCAAAGCAGCACTGTATGCACTATCAGGAGTCGCGGAGAGCCAGCTTAGCAGCCACGACTTGGTGAAATTGGCCTATGACTTGTCCTTGTTGCCAGGAGCCCCGGATGTAACTCCACAGGTTGCCAAGCTGTCCTCTTATTATGACACCACTAGGTACCCCAACAAATACAGGCCAGCGAGGGCTCCAGCCGAAGTGTTCACAGATTCTCAGCAAGCTCAAGAGGCCTTCAGAGTAGCCACGGATGTCTTGGATACGCTTGCACGGTGCTGAAGACTTTAACCGCCCTCCGCACTCCCTGGACCCTTAAGGTCTAAAATTGTAAGGGCACTGACTGAAACTTTAGACCTAGAGGGCCTAAATTTTTCGAAGAAGTTAAAAAACAGTGGCCGTTAAAAAAAAGGCTATGTTAATTGTATAATCAGTTTGACAGGACTAGATACTAACTAGCGCTATAATCGCATTAAAGAATTCTCTTTCTACCGTGAAAACTAAATTAATGAAAACAGATCAAAAAGTTAAATGTCTTTACTAATCACCTACAAGGGGCTAAATAGAGCAGTTTAGTTCGTAGATACGTTCCTACTGAAAGATCAAAATATTCAACCAAGTATTGACTAGATGGTCTATGCTCAATATTATCACCTATCATACTAACATCGACAAAGAAATTATTGAATTATTTACTTTCTACAGCATAGACGTAACCTTAAGTTCATTAATAGTAGTTTTAAATAGAAGCTCACACAAAGCTTATCACTTAGCAGCTTTTTTCTTGTTGTTTTTTATAAGAAATGATTCTGAACCACCGTTTTAATTAAGTTACTCTTTTTCTAATAGTTTCTAACAAACTTTGTAAAAAGGGTCAAATTTCATGCTTTGAGTGCTATATTAATACAGTTTTCGTGTTACCCTTCAAAGTTAAGGTTCACGTCGTTAGTGCCAGTTCGGTTTAATCGCTTTTTTCAATCATTTTCGTAGTTTAAGGAGAACAATACTAATACCTATCAAGGGTATTTCCTGTTCGAATTAGCCGTTTTGTTCTTCTACCATAAAACTAGCGTGGTGATATGCTCACACAGCAGAAGTTGAGGGAATAGAGCTTATGCTTTGTTATCACTTAATCAGGACAACGTTGTTTAAAATATAATTTGACTAGTGAGATTCAGACATTTGGAAAAGTTCTTTCTCTCTTTTATGCAAAATTTGAGTAATCAAATGTCTCTGCGGTGAATACATTTGCGTTGATGTAGTAAAGGCATAATTGTGCTACATTAAAAATGCCTGTTAATTATTTGGTACTGTGTTTTAGAGCTCTCAGAGCCATCTTGCAGATGAAAATGACTGTATGTTCTTTCGTTAGACTTTTTTAAATAAACTTTTTGTTCTACACTGCTAGCAGGTGTCTATCCAGAGAGAAAGAAATAGCTAAGAAAAAGATTGAAATTCTAATTGGACCTCCTGGAATGATGCCTTTACTATTAAAGAAACCTCTATCATTGTTAGAAGGGGAGTCTGGTTATGAAAGCCGGCAAACATTAAAGTTGAAAACAACGGCGCTGTAGTTTATGTTGGGAGCTCCCTGACCGTGCACAATCCTTTGCTTTTGTTCACAATTTGTGACTGAATAAATTAATGCGATGTTTCTATTGGTCATTAAGTTCAAAATGATAGGAATGCTATTGAACGTTGTGCACGGTCAGGTTCAAAGAAGCTGACAAAAACATATAACAAAGGAGAACTAACGGGTTTCATAACCACTCCACTTTAATAACTATGCCTCTATCTATAACAAAACAGGATGAGGACCCTAAAACTAAAAAAGAAGAAGAACAAACCTGGGGCTACTGCCATGTAAGGGCTACAAGACTTTATGTGGGCTATATATAGGTATGTGCTGCTGAGAAGGGAATGGTTTTCAAGCAAGCTGTTTAGTCTGGGATAGGGTATAGAAATCAGAAAAGAATAGGGTATCATTTTCAAGAAAACTGATCAATTAGTTGAAGATTTTAGGCTAGACTCGGGTAACCGGGAATTGCCAGTCAAAAATATAAAATAATAATAATAATAATAATAGTAATAATAATAATAACTAGGACACCTGCCGTCTGTAACAGACAGTCCACTATAATCTAAAGATGCAGTGAAACCTCTGCTCTGCAGACACCCACCAAGACCCACACTGGTGTTTGTGTGTCTGAAAAATACAGGTTTAATATACCGAAAATATGGGAACGAAGTACAGGAATTATAGACTTTTATGTCTGCTAGTACAGGGTATCCCCTGCCTCATACCCCGACACCTCTCTCTCATTGAAAATTTGTGTGCAAAGGAAGGTGGAAAGGAGGAAACAGGCAAGAGGTCGCTTCTCCTTTCTTATTTGTCCTTCCCATGGTATATTGCACTTCATCATCAGTCAAGTGCATTTTGTGCTTGCCTTGATACAAAATACAAAGTGCCTGAGGAGGAGGCAGGGGTGTCCCCTTTATATGAGGTCTACTTAATAAAGGTACAATACTTCATGTAACCCCTGCCTTCTCTCTATAGACCTTCCCTGCACTCTGCTCCAGTGAGCACACAGTGAAACAAGATTAAGGTTAATAGACTCTTCAGAGTCTCCTCTTTTTCTGTAAGGTTGTCAAGACCAAACACTCACCCTTACAGGCAGCCATCTTATCTACTTAGGGAGCAGGGGATGGTTTAGAAAGAGGCAAGAAAAAATTGGGTGGACAATTTCATATAAATCACTGTATTTTATCCATCCAAGTCTAGCCTACAGTAAGCTCTCCATTGGGGCATGTAGTGAGAAGTCATGCCTGGGCACAAGGTATATATCACAGGTAAGTGTACACCTCCAAGGCTGTGGTCTATGAAAAATTCTAGGGAGCCCTAGGCTCTGAACCTGTGAAATCCAGGGTGCCCAGCATATGATTTCTGATTTCTATGTAAAAACTGAGATTTCCTAGTCTCCTAGAGGCGAAAAAAGGCAACAAGGGACACTGGGCACTGCCAGAGCACAGCCCTGACTGCTACTAAGATGACAATAACAAGAGTCTTGAGGTATCCATTGTACCACCACCTGAGCCAACTTGACAAAGAAAATCCTTCCTAGTGGCAACATAACGTCATTAACCATTTTCCAAGCTGCTGCCGCATACTGTAATCTGTTAAGTTCACCAGCTTCTGAAATACTCTCAAGTCCTTCTAATAACTTATCCCACTCAGATGGCCAGTTTAGGTTCTCTGACCTGTGCATGGGATGTACCTCTTCCAAAACTGGAGCTTTCTTTGTTGCCTTGTCTCTAGCTGACTAAGATTTTGTTTCCTTCAAGAATGCCTCTGCAAACACTGGTAGATTTCTATAGTTTCTAAGAAGCTCACTGAAGAGAGAAAAACAAACAAGCATTGCTTTTGGTTGGTTGGGGAAAAAATCATAACATGCTGTGGGATCATTTGTTATTTAAGCTAAATAGCATGATCCCATGGCTAGTTAGTAGTTTTTATGCCTGCGGACCAGTCAACCATGGCACTTTTACAAAAAAGAAGGAAAGAGAAACAAAACACTTTATGTGTATGTCTAAATAATGAGAAGATTAAGTTCAGGACTCACCATTTTTCTTTGTATTGGGCCTGATATTTGTTCAACATTTCTTTCTGTTCCTCACCACTCATTTCTAGCCCAGGGATCTTGTCCAGTAAAGTTCTGCAATGTTGGAGCTTTGAGCGGAAAGTATTCACCTACAATATTGATATTGAACAACATATTTATTATTATAATTCTCTGTTGTTGAAGAAAAAAATTAAGCGTAACCAACCAAACCTTCCTCCAGCTTCAAAAATTTGCAGGGCTGCCACCAAGATTTCAAGTTGCTGGGTACATAAGTTCACGAACAGCTAGGGATTTCTTTTGGTTCTATTTTTCTTCTGTTTTCCTATGAAAGTAGCTGGGGGCTACATTCATAGTAGCCGGAGGAAATCCCCGGTCCACGCCTCTTAATGACAGCCCTGAGTATGGACAGTGGAAGTGTGATATTTCCCACATGATTGCATTGCACCTATAACTTGACTAACTTGCCATGTCAGAACATGGCAGTTTGAGTAATTGATTTTGATTGGTTTATTGTCTAAACATTCGCATAATTATGTATAATTATGAGAAATTTTAGCGGGATTGTCGCTTGATATTCAACAGATCACATCAGTGGCCTGCTTGCGTGGAGTTCAAACATTTCAATAATCTTTATCGTAAACAGCAAAATTGCCCTTGTCTTCAAAACTGAATGGCTAAATTGAACTGCGAATGAAGAATCATTGTGGAGAGTCGGTAGGTTTTTCATTTAGAGCCACTTTGTGGTTTCCGCAGTGATTTTGTTTGTGCGAAGTTTCTGACACCAATGTCATGTTGTCATTTGACCTTCTTGCTGTTTTCACCGTCAAGTGTAATGATTTTGTTAGCTTTTCTTTCTTGTTTCATTGTTTTCTTCGTTAAGGACCAAATAGCTTCTTTTCACTTAAAGGAAATTTTTGTGTTTTTTAACTAGGTTTTCCATGTGTGTATTTAAATCATTGCGTGATTGCGACCGAGTTTGAATTACAACCAGTTCAGAGTACTGCATGAAGTTGATAGTTTGAATGTTTAACATGAATTATGATCAACAAGAGTAAAGCAATTCAGTCAGCTGTTCTGTATCATGTAGACATTTCCAAACGGTATTTCTTGGTTTGCCACTTGAAAATCATGTTTTACTTTTGGCATGAATTAAACAAAGGAGTAGTGACGTCACTGAACAGCATTAATGGCCAGTTGATTCAGACGTTACTGAGGGAGTAATAACGACTCGAAGTAATCGGATGAAATTCAGGATGGGTCAAAGTGACCTAAGATTGGTCCACGGCCTTGTGCTTATGCTTGAGCTTATGTCGACCCTGTTTTCACTAGTCAAAGCTACGACATAAGCAGAGGTACAAGAAGAATGACCATGTCCGTTTTTCTTGTGTTTATACTTATGCTTATAACGCGGCAGTTTTCACTTGCTTACACATGTACTTGTGCTTATGCTTATGCACTAGTGAAAACCAGGCTTAAGTGAGGAATAAATCTTTGTTACACGCCGTAGCTACGCTGTACGAAGTGAGAAAGAAAGAAATTGAAATATAAACTGTGCGTAGCCTTTGTTTTTCAGTACCGCAGTCCAAGTGGCAGGGTATTCCGCAGTTACTCCCTCAAAAATTTAAAAGACGAGAAAAGCTGGCAATGGGTAGCAAAATCTCTTTACATCCCCCTATCACTGCCACCGAAAAGTTCCATTCATAAATTTGAACTACTATTAATGGCCGCTGTGTTAAACTCTTGGCAGTTATTCCTCTTAAAAGACATAAATATTTAACTAGCTACCTTCTTAGTTAACTCTTGGGGATCACTAGTCCTCTGTAACGCTTGAATCGTTTCAAATATTACAGGAAGAAGGTTAAATTCTTTGGCAACATCGATTTCTTCGGTTTCATAGGAAGCCATGTTTCCTTCTTACATGTATTAAGTCCCAGGCCTCTCGGAGGAGTTTTGAAGAGAGGTCACGCAGCTGGAAGATAAAGTACAGATAACAGTATACTGGGTATACAGGGTATACATGGGTATATAGGGTATTACAGGGTATACGTGAGTATGGACATTCTATTACTATTATATGAAACAGTAGGTCCATTTGGCGTAAGCGTAACATGAAAGAATAACCAAGATAGCAGACCATTTTATAGCATTTTTCTGTAAGAAGGCCGAGGTTGACCTTATTTTGATACAAACCTCCTTTGTTTTCTTATGAAAGCCCGCTTCCCAAAACCAGCATAAGAACAACATTTATTACCAAAAAAAGCGATTTTCCCTACCCTTTCCATTTTATGACCTAACCAAAAAATTGATACCCTATTTATGACCTGACCCTTAAATCAAATACCCAATGTTTCAGACCTGTCTTATAATTATTTCCCCCGTTCAGACCAATGTTAAAGGCAAAAATGTTTATCTGCTTTTTATTACCTTAAAGGACATGATAAGGAAGGCAAAGCACGGATGGGAGGAGGGGACATTCTTCTTCTTCTAAAAAAGTGCATTCAAGACTACAGTGCAAAAATCGTTACCCTATTTATGACCAAAATGGCGGCAAAATAGCCAAAATCGATACCCAATTTATGACCAAAACGGCTGAAAAACCCTACCCTTTGGGGCTGCACATACCTATATAGCCCATTTTAGGGAGTCCCCCCCCTCCCCGGGCGAGGGCCGAGGTTGACCTTATTTTGATACAAACCTCCTTTGTTTTCTTATGAAAGCTACGCTTCAAGAAAAGTAATAGTCAGCATAAGAACAACATGATTATTACATAAAAAAGCAGGAAGGTTTGTATCAAAACAAGCTCAACTCCAGCCTCCTTTCCATCTTTAGTCAGCTGTACATGCAAAATGGGCTTTTAGCATGTTCCAGGACTGAGGAGTTCGAAATGAAATAGTGGGGACAATGAAAAAGACAAGATTGGGGTAGGGAGAGAGCTAGGGCGAAACAAGGGAAAAAATTCCCCGATCCTGACTCTTCCTCCTTGCTCTTTTCTGCCTTTTTTCCTCTGCTCTCCATTTCAAACCATCTGAATGCATACCTGGAGCAGCATAGTGCAAAATTAAGACAGCGTAAATGTGTCAATGAGCCATGAGTCACCTAACTCTAATTCAAGGCCTTGCTACCATGACTCATAACCCAATGACTCAAATTGAAGATTCATAAAACCAGCTTTCAGGAATTTCTGTTTCTAGCCCCCCTATTTGGCAATTGTGGATAGCACACACTCTTTTTTCAGCCATCACAGCCTGTAGTCACAGGCAAAACCACCAGAACCATATTCTCAAGCAGATCTGCTGCCCAGGGGTATCTGCTGCTTTCTGAAGACAATAAACATTAAATCATTGAGACCCTCTTAGGTTGGGTGGGTGTGTGTAGTTACAAATGGTTGCATTTCAACTGTCTTACGTCACTGGAAATAGTGATGTAAGACAGTAAGTTGAAATGTACCCTGGGTGCCAAAGGCTTTTCATGTGGTGTATACAGAGCAAATAGGACCCTGGGACCCAAAATATTGAAAAAAATATGAGAAAAAGCGATTTTTTGGCTAATTTTTCACATTTTTGGGGTATGTGACCAATCAAAACGCTCTATTTTAATTGGGTTAATAATTCAACATTTAGCGCCCTATGGCGCTGAGTGCATTTGCTCTGCCTTGTTCTTGCGTGGAACATTACTTAAAAAGTGACCCACGTGAAAAGCTTTTCCGGGCTTTTTCTCATGGCTTCACTGCTCGTTTTGGCCAAAGACATGTCAGGCTGGGGCCGACGAAGCTCCTTGGTACCTACTGTAGTTGAAATGCAACCATTTGAATAACCATGACATGGCCTTTACAAGACAACAAAATGTGCAAAGAAATAATTGAAACAACAGTTTTACCATTTGCACCCTAATAATATTATTGTTATGTTAAATAAGGTGATTTTTTTCCCTCACCAGAGGAAATAAAAAATATATAAGAAGCGAGAAAGTGCCAAGGGCAAGGTGCCAGAGAAAATGATGGCTGTGGATTGGATTCTGAAATGAGACCCTTAGTTATTCTGTTAGTATATTTTGTTGAATGTCCTCCTGATAGTTTTCATAATTATTCTTTTCTAGGAATCTTGTCTTGAGATCCTTCAGAACCAGTCAAACCATGAGGGAAGAAAAAAAGAAATCATATTTATCCCCACTAGATGGTTTTCGTTTTACATTTAAATCAAAGTTAGTATGGATCATTTTTTTCCCTCCCAGTTATTACTGTCTCTTGTTCTGCAAGCATAGGGTGCAAGAAATATAAATGAGATATCAACATGTAAGCCAAGCTGTTGTCTGACCCTTCCTAGCGACTTTCCACTTTTACATTTACTGTGTCCCTAATCATGGCATTATGACTGACAAAGATTTTCCAGCAAACTCAATTTATCACAAACATCTGCTGTGACAGTGATATTGAATTACCAAGACCTTTAAATCTAACTTATGGTTTTTAAGCAAATGGTCTTCGGAACAACATGTTATTTTCCCTGACGGTTTTAAAAGTGTGTAAGTTCAAGAGATGCAGTCCTGCAAGCCAACAAAATATTGTGAAGCCACAAAAGAGTGGATAAGAAACCACAAGACCTCACATCTACACATGAGCACTTGAAAACTCCTCAACCACACTTCATTTCAATAACTGAAAATTGGAAAAAAAAATTAAGTTACATATTTTGGTTTGTAGACACCCCTTTCTCACTGACAACAAAAAATCAACTATGTTTCACGGATTTTGCGTAAGAAACAACCAAATAAGTCCTTTAATACACTATACAATCATTCCAGTAAAATACAGAGGTGTTATTCGTGTTAAAACTCCATTTCACTATAGACATAAAGAGTCATTTATAATGATATTACCTCCCCCTACCCATTTTGACAAGATACATTTCGCTCAGTGACTCGCCCAAAACTACTGATGAACACCGCTTATATCTTTATAAAAATTAAAATTATCATAGTTCATTTGAGGCAGGCAGAAGGAAGAATCATCCATTCACCTTACTCGAGAATACAACACATGTTCAAAATTAAGTGAGTCGCTGATATAAACAGAGGTCTGCATAAGCCACTCTTCGCGTTCGATATGTTTCTTGTGGAACAAAGTCTCCAATAAATGGGGTGGACATCCTTCAAGAACAGAAACAAATCGCGTGTGATAAAGTCCAGCACGAGAGTTGGACAATCCAAAGAATTAGTCAACAAAGCATACATACATAAGGAGAATACAAACGAGACTAGCGAAAATTATCCATTGATCTTGCATTCCGATTCGAGCGCATGATCGCAGCGTGATCTTTATGCACAGAAGTTCTAGATCAGAGTACAAGAGCTCTTTTCTTTGAAAGGGTTTTGATTGCCCGGAACACCAGTCACCAGAGGATCTTCTCGCTGGATTTTTTCCACGTAGCTTTTCAGTTCGTTTGCGGCTTCAGACACTTTGATGCGGCGCACATTCTTTTCTGTTCTAAGCTGATCCACTACGATTTTCTGAAGTCTGTAGGTCTCACTTGTAGTCACATACGACATTATGAAATCCAAAAGGCAAGGAACGGCCTGCTGAACGCTTTAGGACTGTGTCTGTCACCTGGAATATTTCTCTTTCCAACAGTAGAGTGATGCTACAGAGTTTGATCTTCACACACAACACATAAAATGAAAGCCGAGCAGTGGGTGAGGTTTCCTACCGAGTATGAGCAGTAAGGAAAACGGAAGTAGTACGAAGATTACCGAGAGTTTACGGAAACTGTCGAAGATCGTCGTACTTCAAAATTGTAATTTATAATTCTTCTTTAAGCAAAGTATCAAGCTCTTTTGAAAAAATCCACTTTTCAGCATAAGGCAACCAAATCTGTCTATTTCATGTAAAATCAGGTGAAAAAGTTAGTAAAAGGCCATTTTTTGGTTTTTTGATTAAATAACATTTTTGATAGATTTTGATGAAGCACTTGGAAGAATTAAAAATCTAACGATCATGTCAGAGGATCTAGGAGGGGTGTGTGTGGGTGTGTGTTGGGGTAAGGGTCCATGACACACCCTTTCGCTTTTGTTCTATGTTACCTAAAAAAATTTTAGTTTTTAAATGATAATAAATATGCTGCTACTGTATCTTAATTACAGGTGTCCAGGTCTGACCCAAGATCCTTCACCTCAAACCCTGACCTTAATCAATGCACCTTTGGTACACCTGGACCATCACCTGTAAGTTAACCCCAGCAACTCATCAAAGTTTTTGCAATCAAATAATGCAAAATTGTTTTTCCTAGATCCTGGTTTAAGGGGTCCATGACACACCCTTTCGCTTTTGTTCTATGTTAAAAAAATTTTAGTTTTTAAATAATGTCAAAACAGGTGGGTCTGTCCTTCACCTCAAACCCTTCTCCCTTTGGTACATCCTGGTCTCATCAAAGAATCAGCAACTTTTTTTTTTTAGCCTCTTCTTATTCTCCTATATCCTGGTCTCAGAGATTTTTTTTTAGCCTCCTCTTAAGCACAAAGAATTAAGAAAACCTCTGAATTACCAGTATATGTGCTGTGGTTCAATTCTAACCTTAATTTAAATGCTATTTTCTGTTGTGATTAGTTATATTTATAAGAGGAGTTTGAACCACTTGTAAAATCGAAAAAATTAAAATTTAAAATCAATAAATTTATACTATTTTATTTGTATAATGAACAAGAGTAAACAAGTGTCACATATTTGAGTATTAATTTGTTGAATGAATATAATGTACAAGAGTACACCAGTGCCACATATTATAATCATTTATATTAATAATTTCCATAATTTCATTACATTGACATCTCCTTGATAAGCAAAACTAGATGACAATAAATAAACAATTAATTAATGATATATTTCACAGTAGGTTTCACTCTATATCCAATTGCAATAGAGCATTTTACAGTTGTGCGCTTAGTACCTTAACATTAGAGTGAAAGTGATGCTATGATTGACTTTTTTAGATAAAAACTTGGTGCTTTCTTACGGAAACTAAGCCAAAAAGCTGACCTGATTTACACGAGAAAATAAAAAGGAAGAGTAAAGTCCTTTTCTTACTTCCACCATTGAGAACAACTGTTGGTTAAACAGTTCTTTCTGCAACAAAATCACAGAACTAACTGAATAATGCTCTATGAAATATTATTGTAATGGACTAAAATATAAATGCAAGTGGGATGATTTAGAATCATAACATCCTTTGAGAAAGAAATGTTCAGCTCTGTCATGCCCTTTAACTTCAATGGTAGGACAAAGAAAATATAACGACCTATCAATTTTGGTGAGACTGGAAGAAAATAGTCAAAAATCCAAAACAAAGTAACACAAATTAAAGTAGATGAATATTGAAAACTTGCATAATTTACTTGAATGATCAAAATTTACAAATGTCACTCTCGATTCTAAAAGAACTTAAATGCCCTTGCAGAGTGGAGCCATGTACTTTTGCGCCTGATTGTAATAATGAGGGGGCAGTATATTAAATGGGGTGGTACCCTGAAGGGGTGAGGGAGGGGGGGCTGCACTGTAACTGATTTATTACCCTTCAAAACCCTAATATCAAAAGGAAAATTTTCATTTGCTACCCCTGTACATTCCTGTACATTTTCTATAGAAGTAGAAGGGAAAAGTTGTCAAAAGTACTGATTAAATTCATCTTGTGTGATCATGTTTTTTTATATATTTTTTATTCTCAGACCACTGTGTTTCTATATGCACTGAGACAAAGAAGAATTTGACACTGGGCACTCTTACAGACTGAAAGGTTAAAACTTTGCAGAAATTGTACCTTAACACCAATGAACCAATGAAAGTAAATATGATGAAAGTAAATGCCCCCCCTCCACAAAAAACAAAAAAAACAAAAAACGAACAACAACAACAAAACTTTTTGTAAAACCACTCAAGAAAGAAGGGGCTAAAAGTAACAAAAAAACTGCAAACTTATGGGCAAAAAACTAAAACAATGGCCTCAAAAAAAAAAAAGACACCAATGCACCCTTACCCCTTGTTCTTTGAAGAATTCCAGCACAAGGAACTGATGTAACTCAAGTTGCCTCAAGTGGTTGTTATTTGGTAGCTACTCCCAAAGAGCGAAAAATCTCTATAGCTTTTTAAATTACAATCATTTAATCCATTAAATTATGGTATACGTGAACTTACAGGTGTCCAGTAAGCCCATACAAGAATCAATTTCATGGAAAAACTGTTTGTATAAATACAATAATCTCATTTAAATTAAATTGACAATCTGTTGGCTTGTTTGCCATAAGATTAAACGTATGCGGGTTTCTTGAGCACATCTCTAAGAGGTAAATAAATAAGTCTTCCCAGAGCTAAGTTCCAACGTAGGTCAAAATTCGAGGGCGGTTGCTACTCAGATAGATCTTTGTTTACAAAGCGTAGACAGATCACAAAACCACATCTGGATGACTTGCAACAACAGCAAAAGCAAAACTCGGGTGCAGATGAAAAAAAAAAGTTTAAACAGTACATCAGGCGATAAATTTTCAGTCAAACTGCAAGAAAAAGGAATTACGGCGCGGGACAAAAACCAACGAAAACGAAAGATATCCTCAAATGCTGCACACCAATGCTCTAGGCGCCAACAGTCAACAAAACACAAGCACACGCACGCTGCATATATATATAACTGTTGTTCGACGCTAGAATAAAGTACACGAAGACTTCTCTTTGTAGGGATTCAGCGAACTTGAAACTCCAGTAACCAGCGGATCTGAATTCATATTTTCCTCGACATACTGGGCGAGAGCTTGCGCTGTCTTGGATACAGGAGTGCGAACAAAGTTAGCCTCCAATCGCAGCTGTTCGACGTAGCTTCTGTTAACACTTGCTGGTGAAGCCATGATGATTTTACTCCAAAAAACACAAAGATCGCCTCGATAAACTTGCAGAAAGCTTGAGAAAAATGAAACTGACGACAGGAGTTCGAAACCACAGCTCCAACAAAAGACGCCTGTAAAATCTCATTAATAAATAACGACTTGGGAACCAAGCTTGTTGGTATCAGCGGAGTAGGGACAGTCTGTCCGACTCACTAAGGAACCGCCCCTGAGAAGCCAGGTTTTGTTTGTGTTTTTTTCTTAATGTTAAAAAAACTCTTTAGTTTATTGAAAAACCGGTTGCTTTTCATTTAATTAAAAAATGGTAGCTGTTAAAAAGCGGAACCTCCCTATTCACGTTATCCCGAGCCCCTCCCCCAGCCTGCGCAAGAGTAGCAGCCCTCAGTCCCCGCCAAGTCCCCGCAGGGTGTCCTCCCGCTCCTGCATTCCCGCTTATTCCCCCAGTTCCAGTGGCGCGCGCTGCGGCTCAAGAAGTTCTGTTCCTCGCGGGTTCATTTTTGACAGTCTTTTCTCTCTTTCTTTCATTCTTTGCTAAAAACATGTCCAAGAGGGCCGGAGAAGTTGAAGATCAAAATGATACCAAGAAGCTGAATCCTCAGCTAGCAGATCCGATCAACATAACGAAGTGGATCGAAGACAACAAAAGCTCATTTCTCCCGCCAGTATGCAACAAGATGATGTGAGTAGTCCTCAAGTCAGCGTAACTACAGCATCATGTTATTTTTAGGCGCAAACTTGAATGTTAAGAAATTTATCTTTGATTTCAGGGTATCCTTAAGAATTTCTTTGATTCGCTGGATACATTTTATGTTATCCCAAATATTGTTTAAGTTAATCCTAAATACTTAGGCAAGTTTTAATTCAGTTTACGGTCAATTTTTCGAATGTACCGAGCAGAATGTATGCTTTAATTATACCTAAGCTTTGATATGTACATGCTCCCTCTATCATTTCTCCAAAATTCAATGAAATAATTTGACAAATATGTCTGAAAAAAGTGGTATGATACAGCAGGACTGCTTTGCAAACATGCTTTTCACATGTCCAATATACACATTTTTTATGCTGGCGGCAATATCAGAGAGAGCTTATGTGATCAACACAGAAAATGTAAGGATATATTGCATTTTTAGCGGTCGGAAAAGACATCTGCTAATTAACAGAAATTATATCCTAAACTGCCCCACCGGGATTTTTTGATAATTGAATGGATTAACACTTTGTTATTTCTTTTAGCTAATTATAAATATTGATACAGCACCATGTAGGCATTATTAGTTTGTGTTACTTTATTGTATTGACTAGTGAGCCGTGCACACCTAGGCAAGCAGACTCTGTCTGTACCCAGACTCCTTTGCTCTGTGGACGTTGTTCCCGCCATTTTGTTCAGATTTTGTTCTGTTGTTTCCATTTACCTTATTGACTGGCGCGGCAATTTATCATGATCAATTTTAATTGTGTGTGTCCAACGGGTGTGTCTGGGGAATGGGGATCTAAAATGGGTATAGGAACATAGGTGGATTAAAATAACCATAGGATACCTCAGAGCATTAATGACTAATAATAATAATAATGTTCTTCCAGCTTCAGTCCCTGAAACATCATTGCAACATAGCTGTACAAAAATCTCTCCTACCATTATGTATTTCAGACTACTTACAAATGGACAGACTTAGAACTGTGGGACTTTGCATTTTGTAGTTGTCTCCCTCACAGCCATTTTAACCCTTTTAACTCCCGAGGGTGACAAACACCAATTTTCTCCCAACAAAGTCAATACACAATTAAGAGAAAAAGTTGTGAGCATTGATAAAATGATCACCAAAATAAAATGCTTTGATCTTTTATCAAATTCTCTCAACGTATTCTTTATGGAAAAGTATAGAGACCAGTTTGGAGAATTTGTATGTGGATATTGGGGCTTAAAGGGTTAATGTAGTCACTCAATGCTTCTATGGGAAGGTGTGTTGGATAATGATGCTACAATGGCTGCAAGGGAGATTTTGCAGACGTGGGTTCAATGGAAAGACAAGCAGTCTGGCCCCAGCTGTTCAAATGGTGGATAACGCTATCTACTGAATAAATCTCTACCCAGTGATTTTTCTGGTGGATAGTGAGTGCTATTCAGGATTTGAACAACTGGGCCCTGTAGGGCTAAGTGGGTACGTAATAAAGGAACTCTGCAACTAAGTACTGCAGGGAAGGTTCCGGGACAAATTTACATGTTGTAGTAGTGGATTGGGAAGCATGTCACCACCTTTAGAACAGCCCGCGCACAAAAAAAATTGTTTTTAAGGGACAGAAAATAACTGCAATTAATTAATACTGACAGATGTTTTACTTTGGTAGAATATTGTTTTCTAGCTAGTTCAGTAGCCACAAGAAAGATAGGAGACACTTTAAAACATTGAGCATTGCTTGGAGTCCTCAGTGCACAATCTTGCACTGAAATGAATAAGTAAATAAATAAAGTCAGTCAATGGAACAAACCTGCTAGGTTAGCATGTTGTTGTTCAAGGTCTTAATGTGTCTTAAAAAACACATTATTGAGGACAAATGAACAAAGATAATATATTGAATGAGCTACTTGGTGAAATAATATTATTTATTTCCACGGTGTTTTACCTAAACCATTAACTTTATAAATTATGCGTTTTCTGTTTCTTAGGTATGATGCAGGGCAACTTAAGATTATGTGTGTAGGCGGGCCAAATGTAAGAAAAGATTATCACATTGATGAGGGAGAGGAGGTAATGAACTACCAGTTTATTAACCTTTTAAGTCCCAATAGTGACCAACATCAATTTTCTCCTAACAATATCCATAGATTGTCAAGTGCAACATCTATGAGAATTAATCAAATGATCACAAAGAGTAAAATCTCTGATCTTTTATAAATTTCTCCCAACTAATTCTGTAAGGAAGCGTATAGAGATCGGTTTGGAGAATTTGTATGTAGATACTGGGGATTAAGGGTTAAGTCATGTATTTTAATACTAGTAATTGAAGTAAAATGTACAAATTTGAGGCAAGTTAAAAATCGTTTTAAACCGTTCAATTAATTCTTTAGCAAAGCTTCAACTTGCAGCTTTAAAGTTTAAATTGTTTGGTGTCTATTATTTGTCGCCTAATAGTAGTTGTAGGTCAAAATAAAATTCAGGTCAAAGGGGTTTCAGCTTAGTCCTTTGTGTCCAAACTCTAATTTTATTGTTCATTTATAATATTATAATCAAAGCTATCAATGTTCTTATTCATGTAGTAATTAGGGCTAAGAGACAATGAAAATTTATAATCAAACTAGACTGAACCATTTTAACCTTAATTTCTTTGACCTACCGCATACATTAATTGTAACATACTATTAAAATAATTAGCACTTTTTGTAACCAATATACTTGAAGCTCATAATTATTAAACTTTAAGAACAGCTCCGGATGTATGTCTGCTGTAGTCATATTACAATCAGCACACTCTTTGGGGTCTGTCTTCAACAAAATTTCCTGAATTTAAAGACACTTTACTCTTTATTGACAATGTACTTCTAGATCATCTTCAACAACTGTTATGTGCTGATCAATAAATTTAAAAAAGATAATCAGGAATTTTTTTGCAGGGACATGTAAAATCAATATTTATTGCTTTGTTGATATTTATCTCATTAAATTTTAATAATATTATTATTGAATCTCTTGTTAGTTTTTTTCAATGATCAAAGGAGATATGTGCTTGAAGATTATTGAGAAAGGGAAGCCAAAAGATGTGATAATAAAAGAAGGAGAGGTAATGTGAATTCCATCTATGGTATGTGGGGTTTTATCTGGAACACAGTTGGAACACACTAGTGCAGGGTGACGAGTCACAAAGACAATTAAATCACTTCTTGTATGCTGAAGAATTTGTCACCATGAAAAGGTGTATAAAATGAAATCAGTTTGAATTTGTGCAGCTTGCTGCATACCAGGGTTGTCATTAGGAGCTGGGGATTTTCCCTGGCTACTGAGAGAGTGGCCCCCAGCTACTTTTATTGGAAAATAGAAGAAAAATAGAACCAAAAGAAATCTCTAGCCGTTTGATTCTCCACCTACTTGTTGTATTTACACGGCAACTTGAAATCTTAGTGACAACCCTGGCATACATATTTTGTAAAATAAGTGGCAGTAAAAGAGTGATGTGGGTTAGACACTAGACACTGTGCTCATTACCAGCAACAGTTGTTGCTGTTAAAAGAAAGGAGTATATAGCGAGAGAGTTCCTCTGGCAGGATAATATGCTGAGGATTTGCTGAGCTGATTTTTTGAATGTCCTTTTGCCTAGGTATTTGTACTTCCAAGCAGAATACCACATTCTCCTCAGCGTAAAGAAGATACAGTTGGTCTGGTAATGAACCTCGTTAAATTTATTAAATCAGCAATATGCATTAATTATTATATTAAACCCATCAACAATGCATGGGTGTAGGGAAGGTGCCTGGACAAACTGAGGGAGCCGCAAATGAGAGCAGGAATCTCGGTGGAGAATTTTGCAGGATACTTACCAAAGGACATCCAGAGGGAAGGGGGGACTGGGAACAAAAACAGCTAAAGCTACTGCACACTAAGGCAACTTGAGTGAAAAGATTGATCTCAGAAAAAGTTATGTAAAAATATTAACAAAGCCCTGAAAATGCTCAAGACTACCCTATATGATAAGTTATGTAGACCACTGGCCAGAGTTGTCTCGTGTTTAACCTCACCTAAATGACATCTAGCCATATAATTTTCTTGGGGTATTTTTTGTTTGTATTTTTCTTGTTTTGGTTGTTATTGTGCAGCATCCAGTATTACCATACTCTGCCCATTATCCTCTCCAGAGTAGTTTTGATTGTAATCAATGATTTGCGCTTTGATCACAACATGTTGTGTGTCATAAACAATTTACTGTTACAGTGACTCACATTGTAAAGAACCTAAATTTCTCAGATGAGCACTTTTTCCTTAGGTTATTGAACGTGAGCGACTACCTGAGGAATCAGATGGATTAAGGTGAGAAAGAGAGTGATTTGGAACAGGTTGTTTGAGGGTTGGAAGTGATAAACTTGAAGTCACTATTTTGTATGCTCCTTTAATTCAGTTGGTATCATCTTGAAAGCATAGTTGGTTATGCCAATACCACAAAATATTAATTTGCTTCTGAATCCTATCAGAACAAGGAAAGAAAAGATTAAAAAGCTGATTATTTGAGCCAAGTGGCCAATCAGGTGGGGGCTAATCTTGGTTTACACAGCATGTAGAGAGGAAAATTAGTAAGCTGCAGTGTTTACTAGAGGCTTTGACTGGCAAGTACCTTGTTCATAATTTGCCCTAGCCAGCTGAATCAGGCCTCTATTGACAACAATTTTCATGATTTAATTATTGCAGAGCTCAGTGGGAGGTGCAGACAGTTACCTGCGTGTCCTGAGTGGGGAGGGTGAAAGTCTTGGTACTAAGGACATACTTAGCATATGACCTGTAGACACTCACTGAAGCCATGTTTACATAAATTCAGTCACTGTGTTGCTTTTTGTTATCAAGTCTTGAATAAAACCAGGAGTCAGGTCATGTGTCAGATAATTTTCAGCTACTGTAGAACTCCGGTGACTCGAACTTTGAAGGGAAACCAAAAAATGTTTGAGTTAGCAGGAAATTCGAGTTATCGGGTAAATTTCAGTGAAATTTTGATCAGGGGAATTAAGGAAATTTAGTTTGAGTCAACAGGGAATTCAAGTTGTCCAAGTTACCAAGGTTCTACTGTATTAATATTACTGTACTGAGTTAAATATTGTATAAAATTACTTTTATTTGTCAGGTACTTCTGTGAGGATGGAATGACACCTCTTTGGGAAAAATGGTTCCACTGTGAAGATCTTGGCACTCAGCTACCTCCAATTATCAAAGAGTAAGTTTGAATACATTGTGTTAAGCCAATAGCCTTGTTTCTAGTCTGTGGCAGAAAAGAGGGGGTTGGTACCCTCGCCTTGTTCACTCCCCACCCCCAACCACATTTTGGAAAAGAAAGATTTGGATGGCTGCTTTTTTAAATTCTAACTGAAATGTTTGTAAATCTTTGAGTCCTGTTGCCTTAGCTGAGAGGTTAAGGGCTTGTCACTTCTATAACTTACTGTTATGCAAAAGTCCATAGTTGTCCAATACTCCAAAAAATTTATTCATGACTTTGGTAAATTTCTCATTGTTTTGCTTTGTTCTTTATTGTTGTCATTGCTTTTGTGCAGTATTGTAATGTGAAGACAATTAATACAATACAATGCCAGGCATAAATTTGTCAGAGTATTGGACAAGTTCCCTTCAAAAGTCCAGTGGAAGGCACTGAGAAAAATATCATAACAGTCTTGTTAATTTCTTTTTAAATGATATATTTTTTATTACGATTTCTGTTAAGGATTGTATCACTCTGTGTTTTGTCATGATTTTTTTCCAGTTACTTTTCATCCAAGGCATACAAAACTGGAATCCCAGACCCTGGTATGCTTATTTTATAATATATAATGTCTTCATGTTAAACCATAAGAAAAAATTTTAACCTGGTTTTAGCCAGGCACCCAGTACATTATCAGGGTTTGAGCTAGGATTTGATCACTGGGGGACAATTTGTCCCCTTGGCTAAAATTTTGGGGGACATTTTCATTTTTAGGGGGACAGAAATTTGTACACCCTTCCTTCTTAGCAGGGCTTCTGATAGGTCTCGGACGAAAAAGTCAAATTTCGCGGGATTTTTAGGGACAAATTCGCAGAGAAATCGGCCGATTTCGCGGGAGTTTTCGGGGCAAACTTCACCGAAAAGCAATCGGTAAAAAACGGCCGATTTTGTGGTTATTTTCAAGGCAAATTTTGCTAGAAATCGATTGGTTTTGCACTGATCAGACCAGCCTTTTTAACGTTTTTCTAACAGAGGTCATCATTTGCTCTTTCAACAACAATACGCTCCAGAAATGAACCAATGGCAAAGCCTTTAACATGATGGCTAGTGTCCAGTTTTTTGCAACATAATCTGTTTGCACGTTTCAGTGACAAAGTTCCAAGATAAATTTGCAAGTTTACGGCAAGTAAATAGCTCCTATAGCTGAAATTTCAAATATGTTGTACAGACATGTATTTGATAAGATACCAAATGTCGCGGTATTTTTCGTGTTTTTGTGAATTTCGCGGCTCCGCGACCACGCGAAAAATCAGAAGCCCTGTCTTAGATTTCCGAAAAAAATAGCCGTACAGCATGACTGAAACGTAACTTTGGAATGAACTTTAAAGGTGCGATAAAATATACTTTCCACGTTCTGTTTCAGCTTGCAACTTCTGTACCGAAATAAATCTTTTCGTGTGTGCTTCCTTTCGAGTTTTTTCCCTAAATTTTGAAGAGGACAAATTGTCCCCTTGGCCGTTTTTTAAAGGGACAATTCCAATTACAGTGCGGGATTGGCGCAATGGCGCGGCCTGGCTCAAACCCTGCATTATACTATTTTGTTGTGCCTGGTCCCTTGAAAAATAATTGATGCTAGGAGGGACATAAGAGGTGGCCTTGGTGTAAGGATGCTCTTGGTAAACTTGACTTTGTGTGCTTAATTTAACCCACAGAAAATATTGCAAAGGACCCTCCTGTCAAAGTTGACCTTACAACAGCAGTTGATAACCCCTTTTCCTTGAAAGAGGTTTGTGATCAACCAACCAAAGGAAATTTGTTCTTAACTATTTGATGTACTTCTGTGAATTTGTAATTATGTGATCTGAATTTCATTTTATTCCAGTGGATTGCTGAAAACAAAGGTGAAATTGAATGTGGAACTAAAGAATTGTTTGGGAAAGGAGAATTCAAGGTACAATAAACCAAGTGAATTTGTATGTGTAATCAATGGTGAAGAGTAAGGGCTCAGGAAATTATTACGATTTGGACAAAACACTAGTGAAATTATTCCTAAATTTCACAAGTATACCATTTGATTACCTATTAATATCGCGTAGTTACTAAAACATGGAACCACCTACAACCACCTACAACCACCTCAAAAAAATCTACAACCACCTACAACCATCTACAACCACCTCAAAAAAATCTACAACCACTCGCAAACAACCTAAAACCATCTAAAACAAGGTATAAATGTATCAAATAAGGCGAGACGACAACATGTCACGTACATGAAATACGAGAATCGAACAAAACATCCACCTCCCCCCAAAATCTTACTCTCCCTGGTCCCCTGTTCCCTTGTATCATCAACCATTAAGCTTAACACAAAACTTCCACCGCACTGTCCTTTTATGTTGGGAGGGCTGGAATATAAGTTTGATTTTGTTTCCTCTCTCTTGTGAAACTCATCGACAATTTGATTATAATTTAAGCAACAACTGATGGTTTGTGATTTTTAATTGTTTTAAAATCATGTTTCAAATGTCACAGTACCAGTGATTACATATGGTGCGAAATCTGGAATATGTCTGGAAAATTTCATTTAGAATCTCAGTAAGAAATAAGCGTTGACAGGCCAAACACGACTCATAAGCTCGTGATAATGTGAAACGTCACCTTGAGAGTCTGCTTGAACAGTGGTTCTCTTTCTTTTTTCTCTCGCGCGAAGGTTACTAGCACTACACAGTGCAAGACGTGAAGCATTCTAAACTTTGACTGAGTAAATCTTGTTTTTGCCGCACTAAGTCTTATATTTAGAGGTCATGAAGCAGATTTGTTACATGCATACTGAGTAATCATTTCCTGTGGCTTATGCTTCTGTACTAGGTGTCCCTTTAAGTCTTTTAATATAATTAGCATGATCTCGCATTTCATTTCGTGACTTAAGCCAAAGGTTGATGATAGAAGGGACCAGGGAGAGAAAGATTTTGGGGGGAGGTGGATGTTTTGTTCGATTCTCGTATTTCATGTACGTGACATGTTGTCGTCTCGCCTTATTTGATACATTTATACCTTGTTTTAGATGGTTTTAGGTTGTTTGCGAGTGGTTGTAGATTTTTTTGAGGTGGTTGTAGATGGTTGTAGGTGGTTGTAGATTTTTTTGAGGTGGTTGTAGGTGGTTGTAGGTGGTTTTAGGTGGTTGTAGGTCGTTCCATGTTTTAGTAACTACGATTAATATCGTGGGTGACGAATTACATTAGGAAGCGAGGATTTTTGACATGTTTATCCTGGATCATATCGATTGACACTCTCACTGTCAGCATGGCTTAAGTTGAAAATTTGCAGAATTTTCTGACAAAATACCTGCAAGAATCCTTCTTGATGTGCTCTTTTGTGTGCTTAGGTTTTCCTATTATCAAAGCATCTTGTACCCTGACATCTTCGAGTGCCCTTGTAGAACCAGACATATGCAAAACCTATGCTCATGCTATTTGTTTACTATGTTGGACTATGTTTCAGCTATGTTATGTTCACTACGGCCTATGTATTAACTATGTAACACACCAAACAACATAGTCCAAAGTATGCAAAATCTATGTTGAAACTATGTTTAGGCTATTCGAAAAGCACATAGCTTTTGAATACCTATGCAAATACTATTCAAAATCTTTTCATAGTCTTGACATAGCTATGTATTTACTATGCAATAGAAAGTTCTGCTTTTCCTTCCGATTAGCATCCTATGTATTCACTATGCATAAAAGTAAAATAGCTTTTACATAGCATTTCGATCTTCACTTTTATTTCCAACAAGTTTCTTAGCTTTTACATAGTGCTATGTATATTCTATGCTATGTGATGAAACATATTTGCAGCCTATGTATTCACTATGTGACATTTTCATTTAGCTTTATCATGAGATAAAGGCTACATAGCTTTTACATAAACATATTTTTTCCTATGTCACTCATATGAAAAATATATGTAGTCTATGCGTTTCCTATGTGATATTCCAACATAGCTTTTAAGTGACTAGGCATGTTGATAGTAGCGCTTACAGAAGGCTAAGCATACTTCCAAAGTAAAAAGCAGTGTTTTAAACTAAAACACTGAAAAATCATGTACTACAATTTTTTTTTGTGCTTGAAGATAGTTTCTTAGTGAGAAGACTTTTGTTAAGCATTGAATCGCTACATCCATCATCCCTGTCTTAACTTTCCTTTCTAGCTTTTCCCTAGAGTTCTTCACTTGAAATGATACTTCCATGCATCATTTTCTTCTTTTACATTGGGTTCGATCCTTCGTCTTGATTGTGGACGTCTCCTGAATATAACTGCATGGTCAAAACTGCGAAACGCTACCTGCCTCGGTGGATGTTTGTCAGCCATTTTGTTTCCACTAGTTCCCAGGGAAGCCCGTGAGTTCAACACATGCGTATTTTGCGTTTTATCGTCACGTGGGCCTTTTCAACCAATGAAAAGGTGTGAAAATTGTCTGTTTCCACGCGGGCGCTTTCAAGTCAAAGAAGACGAGCTGTAAGCGTGCGTTTTTACAAGAAGACGCTTCTTTTTACTTCAATTTACAGTCTTTTTCCTGCCAGGTTCAACAAAAAGTATTCCTAACGTTGGTAAGTGATGTTTTTCTCAATTAAGTTTCGATTTGCCTGTGTTGTCTCCCCTTTTCGCGTATCTGAACAAGGATCGGTCGATCACGCTTTGATACTCCTTCGTTTCAATTCTAAAACGTCAGGTTGTTTTTATGTTCATTTGCCTTAAAATCTCCACTTTTCTGTTTGCAGACACTTATTCGTTGCAGTCAAAAGGAAACTGTATGGCACTGAAGAGCACGACATCAGCAAAAAGTGTACACGATAAGCAAACTTAAACTTGGGGTTTCGATTCTGAAACCTCCATGAAAATACTGCATTTGTGTTACTATTAGTGTTCGTGGTATTATATTGCCATAGTTTTTCAATTTTTCGTTTCAAAACCTATTTCTTACCAATGTAAAAGGTATTCTAGTTCATATTTTTATACTATTTTTACTATTTTGGTGATTTTTACGAACGTATTTTAAACACTACATTTGCTTAAGCAGATCGAAACCAACATACATAAGAGACTATGTCAATTCTATGTAATTTCTGTTTGAACTCTAGTTAAAGCTTGTGTATGTGATATGTTTTACCTATTCAAATACTATTAAAATCCTATTTCAAACCTATGCAAAGACTATTTGTTCTGTGTTTTCCCTATTTTAATGCTATGCAAAGTATATGTCACCTTTAAAAAGGCTATGTTTTTCATATGTTTTTTCTATTTCTAGGCTATCTAAATTCTAAGCAAACCCTATGCAAAAGCTATTTAATCAACTGTTCCCTGTTCAATTTTACTATGTAAACTCTATTTCAGTCCTATGTGAAGGCTATTTATTTTCTATGATTTTTCTATGAGGTTGACTATGAAGTCTAAAATCTCTTTCCACAAGCTAAGTAAACTGTATGTATAGGCTATGTGGAAACTATGTCATTTCTTCCTTTATTCCTACCTTTAAAAACTGCATAACTTTTAAATAGGTTCCGTTTGACTAGCGAAAACATAGCATTTTCGATACAAAAAACATAGTCCTGGCATAGAAACAACATAGGATCTGGTTAAAGCAATGTAAGAGTGATTAACATAGGTTTTGCATAGCTTTGTGACATAGCATTTGCATAGATTCTACATAGTGTCTGATTCTACAAGGGTGTTGTTCAACATGAGAAGAGGAATTTGTTATTTCCAAGCAGCCATAAACATAATGTTCTTATTTATCAAGTAAACACCAATGCAATACCAAAATATTTCACTGAAACAGTTTTTGGTTGCAAAAAGCTTGAGTTATGATGTAACCATGGCAATGGTGATCTTTTCACATGTGTAAATAACAATGTAACTTTCATGTGGGAAGATATCATGTTTTTGCACAGAAGCTCACCTGATACTTCACTGATGATGTTTATACAGTAAATTACACTTATTTTACTAAATAGCAAATTCTTTAATGAGAACCTTGAACCTATTTTCTCATTTTCTTAGATTTTCATACATGGTGAAGGCGAACAGTCTAGCGAATGGGAAGGGGAAACATGGCTTTATCAAATAGTAAGTTTAAGAATGAATGTCATTGGACTCATGGGACTTTGATAACAGTAATCATCAAAATAATTCATACTTTTATACACTTAACTCATGGGTGGATCCAGGATTTTTCTTAGGAAGGGGTGCACCACTAAGACATGGCATAACTAACTGGTGACGTAAACAAATTTTAAAAGTGGATACGATGGAGAAGGCTTTTGACTAGGCAATAGCATAAGGTGAACTGCTGAGAATACATGTCAACTGATACAGCAGATTTTGTATAACTGTGAAGCAACTACACAGTGTTGATATATTAGAAAGTGGCAGATCATCTCAGGGGAGGGTGTGCACCCCTCTGCACCCTCCCCATAGATCTGCCCTCGTAACTGTCTCTTATATTAGCAGATACCTATCTCCAAGACACTTCTGTAAGATAAACACCTGGTGTAGGTCCCTTCTCTGCCATTTTTCTGTCATTTAACTGTAACTAAACTCTGCAAAAGACAAAAGTACATTCCTTTGGGATGGACAGTTCGAAGTGGTTTGAACAGGATCTGTCTTGGAGATTTCACGTGACCTAATCACTTTTTAATACAGTGGTGTTTCCACAGTTTCTTTCTTCTCAAAGCCTTATCCCAGATGGTTCTCCAAAGATTTACATCATGTTTTTTTTCCTTAATTTAACAGACTACAATATTGTTGTTCCTTCTTGATAACAAAATGATCAAGTTTAGCTCTTGCTGTGTGAATTAACTTCCTGTACGTGGAGTGTGAATTTTTTTTTTCTTCTTAACTCGGAATTATCTGATATAGTGGTAAAACAACTACCCCTAGTAATCAAAAATAAAGTGTTTAGTACCCCTTTCTGGCATTTGTCACAATCCCTGCAATCTAACATGGAAACAAGACTTGGGTGAAAAAAAAAAAAAAAAAAAAAAACTGGCAAAAATGGCACACAACAAGGGTAACAAATGTCAGCAGACATTTTACAGGACTCCTTCCTGCAAAACCCATCATCAGGAGGGAGGTCCAGGTGCGCATTGAAACAAAAGTGGTGAACAAAAGACTGTAAAAGAAATCCTTAAACTAAGGCCCAAACTTATTGAAGAGATGTATGCACAGGTTTGTAGTTGTACTCAAAATCTGTTAATTAAGGAGAAATTTACTTGCCTGCATGTAGAGCTTGCTAGAAATAGATTTTTTGGATTATACCCCCCTAAACTTTGCTTTCATTCTAGAGCAAGTTATGCTGTTGCTTTGTGACAAATGCAGTAAGGTCTGTTAATAAGTCTTTCATTAAAACCTTGTAGTCACATACATGGCCCAATAACAAATGGATTAAAGACATATTAATAATTTTCTCTTCAGGAAGGAGATGCAACTGTCACATTAAATGGTGAAAGCAAGGATCTCTGCAAGGATGATGTTATTATCATTCCATCAGCTGCCAAGTTAGTCCTGGCTCATTTTATTTACAACTGCTCCTTAGTTAGTTTTCAATAGCCTGTCACACTAGGTGATCTTTTCTCGACCAAACCTTTAAATGCATAGTCAGCCTACAGTTTATACATCAATGGCTAGAATTGCTGGCAGGGATGAAAGTGTGACATGAAGAAAATTATTTAGAAAACAATCAAACTGCCAACCTTTTTGGTTTCAGCTAAAACTACACCTTTCTTGTGCTTACTCTGTGCTGTTTTTAGCTTCTGCTTTCTCAGTTTGGTTTCATACTCATGCATAATATTTCCAGGGACAGATCAGGATGACTTAAAGTACATAGAAACTCAATAGCTGGCAAACTTTTTTTGTCGGAGAGGGGCATTAAATGATCCGCACCAAACTATCCCCAAGTTTGTCTTTGTGTATTCTGCTCTATCTAAAGAAGTTTCTCTCTTGTAAATTTTACTGTTTTTTAAATATATATATAAATTATATTTTTTTTATTTTTAGCTTTTAACCATTCACATATTGAAGAGGCAAATTAAAAAGGATGCAGAAATACCCTGAATAAATTTTGTTTTGTTATACAATAGGTACACAGTTAAGAGATCCAAGGATTCCATTGGTATGAGTGTGGTTATGGACCCAATGGCAAACAAGTGAACACTGCAATGAACACTTCAGTTTTATTTAAAAAAAAAAATGGACACATTTAATACACTTTTGAAAACTGAACAACAACAGTGTAGCATGCAAAATAATGTTATCTTACTTGATGGGGTTAAAAAATTTGTAGCCTGCTGTGCGGGGAATATTTTTCTGGTAGCAACTGAGCACTAACTTTAGTGGGTGAGTGATGTGCAAGTGGAAGAGAAGGGGAGACATGATCTCGATTTTCCAACTTTGTTACTAATAAATTAAAAGCCTTATGCCCACACACCAGTCACACCGTCTACAGTGTACTTTCCAGTATGGTTTCCTGAAAAGCAGGATCTAGGATCAGGGATCCTTGATCCTCAATCTTGGTTTTCCAGGAAGCCACTACCAGTCTTTATATTTTATAATTAAATTTGGTGACTTCACTCAGGAAAGATGCAGTGCAAAAAAAGAAACAGAAAAAAAGAAATGTGCAGCTAGCCCTTCACTGCAGGCTAAGGTAGTAAAACAAAAAAAACTGATGATGGTATAGAGATCAAACTTGCCTTTTCTCTCCTAGATCACATTATGGAGAGATTATTTGTCAACCTCGTTCCCAGGGTTCTCTCCTACCCGCCTTACGGAACGAGGTTGATTATTTGTCACTTTAACTTTGAAATCTGTGCATGAAATTGTATGGTGTTACCATTCAAATGAAACCTCTTCAGCAGAACTTATGGACACCTCTTTAATGCAGATACACATCTGATCTCTTTTATGGACAGCTCAGCTGGTCCTAATGATGTCAAACATCAAATAATTCACGCCTCTGCAATATGGATACCTCTCTTATACTGACAGTGAAGTCTGTCCCTTTAATGTCCATATTAAAGGAGGTTTGACAGAATGAACTATTTTTTAATTGTTGGTTTTGGAATTAGGTTAACAACTGAGTAAATTTTGTCAAACATTACCTGGTAAATATTTCCAAATTGTCAATGTCTTTTGTGACTAGCAGATGTTTGTATGATACTTTTGGAAAACCCCGGTTATGTGGAAATAAAGGGTTGTTACTGGTCAACAGAGGTTATTTTTTTTCTAAATGTGACTACAATCTTCAATGACTTCTTGTAGTTGGCAGAAAAACCCCTGCATTCCATGTTGGATGCAATGATCTCTTTTCTCCAGCTGTCTTCTGAGACAGGACACATACCCATGATTTTTTTCTCTCTAGGTTCATGGCATTTACACATAAGGGTGTTTCTTAGTGCCGCAGAAACCCTTGTTACCAGTGGCCATTAATTTTACCAATTGACAATATTAAGGCCCAGTACTCTCTTTTCATACATTGTAAGAACTCCCCGGAGAAAAACTTCTCAGAGCAGGGGAGAGAACCAATAACAAACTGAACCCACATATGGCATAAATAATGATGTGTCTTTATTGTTCATTAGATAAAAGTACATATCTAATGTTACAGGAAAAAGGATTAAAAAGTTCAGATGAATGCAATAGAACAAGGAAGTATAAAAAGATTTAAAATGCACGAAGGAAGTAAAAAAAACATTAAAAGTATAACAAGGTGTAAAATGTTTTAAGACGGAATCCATCATGAAATTGAGTAATTTCAACTTCCAGTGGACAAAAACCTTGTACCATTGAATATAACTACTTAGACAATTTCGCATTCTTTTTTACATTTTTCAAGCGCTATAGATATAATTAGTTATCTGTAATAACACCAAAGACTATTTCTCATGGGAGCCCGAGAAAATAACTGTCAAATTTCACAAGAATTATGAAAACACAGGTAAAATTCTGAAAATTTCATTTGTAAGGTTTATTTTGTGAAATTTGACATTTATTTCCTCGGGCTCGGATAAGAAATTGTCTTTGATGTTATTACAGATATAGAGGACATTACATGGCCACGTGGAGATACGAAATTTCTCTTTGAGTGTTGAAAAATATTTCACGAGTGAGTGCAGCGAACAAATGAAATATTTTTTCAACACTCATACAACAACATACTTTTATAAACACCAATGAACTACCAAACCATTTCACTTTAATAGGTTTTTGGTGTGAAAGGTGCGATTTATTACGTAGCCATAGCAACAGTGACTTTTTCACACATGAAGATAACATGTTATTTTCACATGTGAAGATACCAAGTTTTTGCACGAAAGCTCACCTGGTATTTCATTGGTGTTCATGTAATAAAACTTATTACATCTGTAGCCCTTGAAAAATGTAAAAAAAAAAATGCGATATTTAAATCATTCTGGTACAAGGTTTTGTCCACTAAAAATTAAATTATTACTCAATTTGCTGATGGATTCTGTCTTAAAAATATACATAGCATGATGGAAAGTATAAAAAGATTATTTAAAATGGTAAAAAATATAGATAATCACTATACATAGAATCATCATAAAAGGTCATAATATTATTTAGAAACTGATTTTTTCACAAATGGATTCTTAAAACATTCCGTGTTTATCTTGGGTCTAATATGGCATCCTTTGCATCTCAGATTGTATTTAACTCAGTCTTCTCTTGTGGAAAGCAGACCTTCAGGGGGTGGTTATTACACTGTTTAACTTTTTTCATGGTAAACAATTTAATCATAATAATTATAATGGCATTAACTCCAGGATTTGAAATTGGTGGGAGTTGAGTGCTTTCATTTTCAACATTAGAAGAATTTATACTCCAGCAACAAAAAGGCCATTTTACAGTTATCAATGAAAACGAGCCTGGAGTTGACCTTGTTTTGATACAATCCTTCCTGCTTTATTATGTAAATTATGTTGTTCTTATGCAAACTAGTACTTTTTAAGTTTAATTTTCTACATGAAAACAAAGGAGGTTTAATTTGTAACAAGCCTCAGCCTCACATTTACTTGAATGCTAGGGTACCAAGCCCACAACTGTAAAATGGTGTGTTCTCCCAAGGCTTGGAAATGCCCTCCACCCAGTGGCTGCCAAAATGTTCTATAGCACACAGCATAAGCTTGCTGAACAAGTTCTGTTATTGGGTTTTTCTTCGCATATACAAACAGCTCAAGGATTCATGCACTTGCTTTAAGGCAAACTCATTGCACAAATTCTAGTGCATTCCATGGGTTTCAATATTCCTCATCAGATTTATGAGAACTGGTATTCAAACTCTGTCAACTCGAGTTAGTTATGCCATTTCATATTCATACCATTTTCTTTTTACAGTGAAGAATCCTGCCTTCGTGAAGTTAAAAAAAGAACTTTATTTATCATTTTTTAAAATTTATGTTTTGTTGTCAATCACCACCTAGTAAGCAAAATTGCATAATCCAGCTGGGAGTTTTTATACCTCCTTATAATAAATTAACATATGGAATTGCGCCTTGCAGTTCAAAAACATCAGCAAAATTTCATTCTCTTTAAATACAGACAGATAATTTACCTAGCCATTGTATATATCAGTGTGATATTTCATAACAATTCTCTTATTATACAAATAGATATAGTACCTTGCCACTGAACATATTTGTTGAGAAGATGATTCTTTAATTTTAAATGAAGATTCAATAAATATGTAAAAAAGACTATGACAAATTTTGTGGGATTTTACTCGTCCTATAATGAAACAGTCACATGAGAGTGATAAATGCACTGTATTGTAGAGGACTGTACATAATGTAAAATAGACCTGTCCCTGCGGGCTTGCCTTTACCATGCAAAAAACAAAATGCCTGAGGAGGAGGCTGGAACTTTCCATTTTTTTTTTTTTCAACTTTAACTGGGACCTGATAGCAAACATCTGTCACCACTGCTGAAAAGAATTCCTTAAAATCAGTGTAAAGTTGCCCTTGGAAGTGATTTGTTGAAAACTAAAAGATAAAGTTCTGCAAAGTTGTGGAATTTTTACAGTGAGGCGCAAGGTTGTGCCCCAACTATACAAACGTCTGTGAAATTTTGCGACTTCATGGGGCAGTGTCTTTGTTCGTTTTGGATCTTATCACCTTAAGTTTAGACTTGGTAAGTTTTCTAATTTTAAGGCATTCTTTCGAGCAGTGTTGATTGATATTCGCTAACTGGTCATTTTTAACACTTTAAAAGACAACCACGGAAGCAGGGTCTATTTGACCCCCTCCCGTGACAAATAAATAAATCCTGGATTAGTATGTCCAAATGCGCAGAGCTAGATTCATAGCCACATAATTTAATATCTTATGATTCATCATCTCCAGTCACAAACATGTGCACCTGTTGGTCTGATGAGATCATGTGAGCACAGCAATTTGTACCGACCAAACCCGCTAATCACAAGGCATTTGTAATGACCACACCCGCTCACCCTCGCTCTCCACATGTGCAAATCTTATGATTCATCATCTCCAGTCACAAACATGTGCACCTGTTGATCTGATGAGATCATGTGAGCACAGCGATTTGTACCGACCACACCCGCTAACCGCAAGGCATTTGACTTTGTATACAGCACTGTACATGTGACAGGATTAACCTGGGAGTCCGAATGGCTATGCCAAGTGTCCATGTGGTTTAGAATTTCAGAGTAGAAGGTAGAGTAGAGTGGCAGTTCGTAGAAGATGATGTTTTTAATTCCTTTGATTCGATATCTGAAAATTGAAAAAAAAAGTAACCTCTGATAAGTGAGCAACTCAGGACAACAACTGATCAGGACTTTTGCCACAAATAAAGCATTCAAAATAACTCTGCCATATAGAAATTTATCTGTATTTTTTGAGGACGCTTTCCATATTTTGAATAATCAGATCTTTTACAAGCCGCTCCCTGTGAATATCGCCCCTGTGAATATCGCACTATGCTTAACCCAATCTAGTTGACTTGGGTTACCTGTCATCTTCATACCCTAAAATTAATCCCAGTTATATGTCCCTTCCTGTATTTGTAAAACAAAAATTTATTCTGGTCAAAATTAATTTACAGTGTATGTACCTGTAGAAGAAATAAAATCTTTCCGTGAACAAGAGAAATGGCCTTTTTCCCTGCAGGAAATATGTTCTAGCCCTCTGTATGTCCTTCTTCTGCGAATATCTGAAATTTGACAGGCAAATTGTTCTAAAATCTCATGTCAAGACGTAAAGGGACAACAATGAAAAATATGAATAAAATTTTAAAAAATGGCTGAGCATCCCCTACACTTTCCATGTAAGAAATTGAACATGGAAGCAAATTAGAAGCACTCTTTTTGACCAAATAGTTCGTGGAATTAGGGAATTGAAGGAATGTAAAATTCTCATTCAAATAATAGTGAGTGGTCATTCATAAAGAGTCTGCCGAAAAGCTTACAGAAAATAAGAATGACAATTCAAGCTATAACTTTTGAATGGAAGATGTTATTGGAAGACTAAGGAGATTTAAGATATCACAATGGTGATGGCAACCAGAACATAAAAAAGTAATTGGCTTCAATCAATAACAAAGGAAAACAACAACTCTACACATGCAGCTCTTATTGAGGGTCACCCACCCCTTACTGAGTTTTTTCCAAATCACTTACTCAGATATTTGAGCACATTGAATGCCTTCTCTTTTGAAGTAGTTTCTAAGCCGGACAAAGTCAAAGTATGATGGAACAAATATGGCCGTGTGACCCATGAGAGAGCCTTTGAACTCTGGTAAAACCTGCAACATACACCATGAAAACTAACCGTCAATCTATCATTCTATTTATTTCACTCTTTTCTAAGTCAGTCTTAAAAGTAGAGCCTGTTAATTCACTCTTTAATGCAGATTATGGCAAGTTCACAACTAACAAAGAGCACGAATCTAAAACCTTGTAAATTGTAATACCAAGCCTAAAACTAGACTAATGTGACATTAATGCACCGATAGTTGAACATATAAGAACTTTACTTTGTAGCTGATTCGTATCTATTTTCATGTTGATTAATTTTTTATTTAATAATAATTTAATATCCTTTTTATCTAACGTTTGAGTCAAGTCTATGTCATTTCATATAGCTGAATTGGACTTGCCAGTATAAACACTGCATTAAAAACTATAGGGAATTAAAATACAACAAAATATAAATGGGTGTTATACTCACCCACCTTGGCCATTCACCTCTATTCTTACCTTGCCGGCCCCTCCCAGAGAATGTAAACTGTTTTCCCTGTTCTGTGCAGCACCAATTTATTTATTCATACCCCTGTCTGCAGTGCTCGCTGGCTGAAACAGCTACATTTTGTACCTTTCATGCAATTTGCAGCTCACGTTGTTTTCAAATTATTATACCAAAATTTATTAAAATAGTCTCCTTGACAGTATATAATTATACCTCATTTATGAAAGTATTAAATCTTTTATCAGCTGCCTCAGCAAAACTGGAACATTGAAATCGATGAAACGCCTGAGAAAAGAAGGATAGAACAAAAGTTAAAGTACTATAATTATTAAACTGCTTGACTATTCTACTGATAATAAGAGTTTCTAAGAAGTACTTTCATGTACATTGTACAAGTTGGCTTCATCTTTTTAGCAGCCTAGCTTGTGGACATGAATCAGAATGCTAGACTAATAAAAGCTATTTATTGAGTAGTTAAGTTCCTTGTTCCAAAGATAAAAGAAAACCTACAAGACAATGTTCACTTCCATGCAAAGCTGTTTCTCAGTTTTTTTCTCATACATGTATGTAAGTAATTTAACTTATTACAAGTACTGAATCCAGAGTCTTTACCTGTGGAACCTGAACAGCAACTTGACAAATAGAGCCTGGTACATCACAGGGACTAGCTTTCACTCTTCCAGCAAAATATGGAGACAGTCAAGAACAACAAGTGGATCATTAATGCTCAATATCTGAGGAACAGCACTTTTATAAAGCTGATGGTACATTTCCACTAAAAAACAAAAACTTTTTTAAACATTTCAAGGAAGTATTGCGATAGCATCTTTGTACGTAAGTACGTTCATACAGTGGTAATGCTGAATTATACATTTGTATATGGTATAATGGTGTTATATGCTTCCAAGCAGAAGAGATAAGAGCCATCCAGCTGACTTAATTTTCTCACATATACCTAATAATATTTTATTATGGTGGATATAAAACTAGCAACTAAGTACATTGTTCAAACCTACTCAGTTAAAATTGCAGTTTTCTCAAACCTAAAACAGGCATGGATCCTTGAGCTAAACCTTAAATGGAAGATCCTGCCAGCAAGAACACCAAAGTTAACACAAAGTGAGTCACTATTAATTTGGTAAGGGTTGTACGATTACTTGAACCTTGTACCAGAAACATTCCTGGAAAACAATAATAATTAACCCAAGGCCAGATCTATTGAACCAAAATTTCTGGAAATTTCAGTCCATTTAATTTGAATGGATCAGTTCAGTCCAACAGGAAAAGGTTTTGTTGAAGGTTCAACTAATTTGTGGTCGACCCTTTTTCTTGGTTGGAGTGGTTGGAGTAGAAATTTTCCTTTCCATATGACCACTCCTATTTCAAGTACCAAATTTTCTGGAAACTTCAGTCCAAAACTGAATCAATCAATGCCATTAACTTAATGCACATCAGCCCCCATTTCTGATTTGAAATAAAATGGGACCATTCCAAAGTTGCAACCTATCACCCTCATAAAATTTTCAAAAATATTGGTTCAATGGATCATGCATTGGAGCTGAGGCAGATAACACCCTCCGAGATCTCCATAATTCTTCAGATGATACTCAGCACATTCAATAATTTATTGTTAATTATAAAAATACGTTATCAACTTAAAAAGGATATTGTAACAATGTCTGTTGAATAATGAGTTCATTTCTGGGGAAACAAAGCTGCTGAAGATTAAGGTCTGTCTGTAAAACTTAGACCTGAAAAAAAAAATCATGGCAAACTAGTAAGCACAATGAATGGCAAACATAATAATTATGGCTGAAGTAGATGCAACGTACCAATTTTATGGCTGAAAGCATAAAAAACTGGAACACTTACCAACCATTTAGGCACCACATTCTGACACGTGAAAAATCTACATCATGTGAGTCTTTTGGTTGTAGATGAAGATGCTGAAATATGTGCTGTGGGAGATTAGAGACCAAGGCATACAATAATTACATCAATATTGACAACATAACATAAAATTACAAAGTAAATTTAAATTTTTGATAATTTTTAGTCCTTGTGTAAACAAAAATAGTATTGTGATTATTACACTAGTCAAGACTTACTGAGAACTGACACTACAGTTGCAACCCATTCCACCAAAAGTCTCAACAGAATTTCTAAAAAGTTTATGGAGGTAAAAGGAACACAACTTTGACCGTTCTTGTTTTATTCCTCTCTGGGCCAGAAGATAAATTTTGCATCCTCATGAGTCACTGAGATAAAACTGATCCCAGAACTACCGCTAAGATTTCAAGTTTGCTAGGTATATATGCAAATGGTGGGCAGAGAATTGAACAGTTTTTGGTTGATCTATTTTCCTTTTGTTTCCCATGAAAGTAGCCAGGAGTCATATTCATAATAGCCAGCAGGGGAAATTCAATTTGTAGACCCCAGCCCTTCGTGAAAGCCCTGGATCCACTCCATCAGGTGTGGATCAAAGTTTATAGAAATTTTGAAACTGAAAATGGGAATAGGATTGATTAAATGGAAGGCAAATTTCTGGCAAGACCTAGTCATTCAACTGATTATAACACTCCACCTTCCAGTTAGAACCCAACCATGGCATTCAGTTTTCCAGAAATTTTGGTTGAAGGGTTGCACCCTAATGGACTAGCTAGCTAGGTACATGTACCTGAACATGTTCCCAGTTCTGCATGAGAAAGACATCCGTTTGATCCAATATAATAACTTCAATGGACGAAAGAAAATCATACTCATGGGACTTCTCCCTACAATCAGATCACAGGTTGGATAACATTATTCATTGATGATGGCAACCTGAATAGTTGGCTAGCTGCCATAACACAAGTAAACTTACTGTATAAAGTACCCTATGGCATTTACAGTTAGATTGGAATTCTCTAGAAATTTATGGAGTGTTTTTGATTACAAATCAAGCAGTGTTGTTTCGAGGAGAAATTTGATGCTGGTCAATGCTCATTTAATAATTTTATTACCCTTCATTTCCTATGATGGTCCTTAGTCCAAGAGGTGAAGCCACAATAATATCTGAAGAATAAAACTTTGCATATAATTCTAGAGACTTTTTACTGGCTGATATTCCTATCCGGAAACAATCATCAATGTTTCCTGCAAACATCTGTTTAAAGTCTTCAGTTTTGTTGTCTTTAGAAATGTCAGATTCCTCTTCCTCCCTATACTCTTCAAAGAAACGCTTTTTGTTCTTAACTTGACCCTGAAAGAAAATATTTACAAAACTGTGTAAATTTAATATTCCATAAACATCCTACACAAGCAGTGTTCTCCCTAAATTTTAGCTCAGCGGGTAAGGGACTATTCTTGGCCAGCAAGGCAAAAAATATCCCCAGAGGTGCACTTTCCTGAGGAGAAGAGGGGATAGTGGAGTGAGGTACATGGCCCCACTCCTGCTGAGAAATTTAGGAGCTAAGTTCTCTGAGATGTCATTCCCTCATTTTAAGACCTATTTTACGCAAATCGGCCGTTGTTATCTTTACACAATAATTCAAAATGTTTGATTCCAGTAAAAAGAAAAGCTGTGTACACTTTCGTACTTTTCCTTATATACTTTTTCATTTTCCTTGTGAGAATCAAATCGGATCACAATAACTTCCTTTTTTAATAAAAAATCTACTTTTTAAAAATTTTGGTAAACCTCCAAGCAGCTGCAGGCAGTAAGAAGTGTTGCTTCAGGCAGTAAATTTTATCAGTTACTGCCTGAATAAGAGAATACTGCACAAGCCCTTTATTTTATATTAGAAATTCAAAATTAAAGGATCAGGCTGAAAATGATTCCGTGCTTTGAAAGGTGGGCATACTGTATTAGGGATTGTTAAGGAAGGAACTCGCAGAGCTGCGAATAACAGACAGTCATCACACAATTTCTGCCTAAAATTTGATCTAAAAGGAAATCATACCTGCATGTAAAAAAAATGGAAAAAACAGATAGACCAAAATATACCAAAGATTTTTTTGTGAATTTGCAAAGTAATAATAAAGAAATTAAAACTCAACATTCTGTGTGTCTGACATTGAACATTTTGGTTTGTCTGACTAAAACAGTGACCTGGTCGGACGACATAGTCTGTTCTAAAAAGGAAAAATATTTGCAGGTCTGAGCTTGTGAGTGTTGTTAGATGCTTTGATGCTTCTTTCTCTGCCTATTAATTTTACAATGTATATTTATAATTCTATTTGGAAATAGTTATATAGGATGAGAGTAACATGAGAAATCTAAAGGGAAATAAACACCAACTGGGATACCACCAGGGCTGTAATAAAGGGTGCAACCAAAACCAGCCCTTACATTAATTTAAGCTTATTGGATCAGATGTTACTGAAAACAAGTTGAGGGTGAAAAGCTTATGAAGAAGAATGATATAAAATACTTAGTGAGATGTTTATTATTATTTTTACTACTGATGACAGTTGTAACCGCCAGACGGTTTTACTGTATACCTGCCCAGTCTCAAGTATTAAGCACGAGTCTCTCGCCTGTGGACTTGAAACATCGATCTCACGCATCAAGGACAATTTCTCACGCCTGACTCACAAATCCAGACAAATAATGTTCTTCAACACAAGATTAATAACAAAGATTCAATTCAATTTCCACAAAAATTTTCCAAAAAGGCATTAAAATGATCATGACTTTGTGTCCTAACGAAATCAAAACACACTAAAAGTGTTGTCTTTTAAACTGTCTTTTATTCAGAAGTTCTCAAAGGTCGTTGGAAGATCTTTGGACATTTTTGGCAGCACTTGGAAGTCTTAGGAAAATCATCGCAAATCTACAGAAGTCACCAGGACGTTTTGAGAAATCCAAGTCATGACAAGGCGAAAAACTCATGCATGTGACTTGAAAAAGTTGGTAGCTAGGTAGATGAATATATTATTGTTGTAACTGGTTTAAAATTTCCTTACACTATTTCCTGGACAGATAAGCTGCATCATAACTTCAACTAACTTCAACGCTGCATCTCGAAAAGGAACTAAGATCAACACCTTTGGTCTTGTTAGTCCCTGATCACGTTGTTCACTATTAAGAATAATACAGTGTCACTTGTGAGAAAAAATGACAGTTCATCACAATCAATAGCTGTATATTAAATTTTATGACAGTACATCTTGTACAAGTGAAAGTTAAATTCAGGTAACCTGAGATGATATTGATTCTCGATTTCCTTAATCTCCTAGCCCTAGCTTATAATTATTCAAAAATTAGGGCTAGGAGACAAAGGAAATTGAGAATCAACCTAGGTTAAAAAATTTAACCTGAATATAATTTTGACCTGTAACATATCTACACATGCAGCTAATACTGGCCACCCTTTCAGAAGCTATTCAAACAGCCTCTGAGAAGAACAGAAATATTAATATTATTTCTGTAGTTATTATGAATCACTACCTCCATTATCAAGCCTTGGTTTCTACAGAAAATTCCAATTAATTGCCTATAGTACATTTCTCCTCATAAATAAATGAATAAATAAAAGCTCACCCAATCTCCTTCTTATCTTTCCAGGACTGAACAATTTTTCGAGTGTTTTTTGTTACTCTTGAACGAGTCCTGTAAGTAAATGATTGTCAGATAAAAATTATTTATTATTATTTTCAAATGTAATTACCCAAGCACTGGTCTCTGTCATTATAACATTCCAATCATTCCACAGGCAATATTTTTTTACAACACGTTGCCTCCCTTTAAGCTAATACGAAATGTTATATGAATCAGGGCTGTCACTAAGATTTCAAGCTGCCGGGTAACTACAACAAGTAGGCACCTGGGAATCAAATAGCTAGAGATGATTCTTTTAGTTATATTTTTCTTCTATTTTCTTATAAATTCAAAGTAGCCAGGGGCCACGTTCTTAGACCTGCCTCTTAATGATAGCCCTGTGAATAACACATGAAATAAAGCTCTTTCCCCCCTAAGTGACCAAGGTAAAAAGCTCAAAAAGAAAATCAAGGGTTTTTTTTGTAAAATCCTTGAAAACTAAAAAATAGTATGCTTAATAGTCATCCCCAGATTAACACTTTCACTGTCGGAGTGAGCGATGGGGTCATGTTCAGTGGTTCTTACTACAACAACAACAAACTTTACTTATAAACAGATAATATTACAGTAGCATGGCCTACAGCTAGCAAGGCTATTCGAGGCAGGACAATGAGTGCAAAATATGAAATTAAGACTAAGGCTAACTAAGGAAAGTTTACAGTTTGCAAAATAATAAATGAAATAAAAATCGTAATAACACATGTCATCAGTGACTTTCTTCAATTGATTTGTTAATCTTGAATTTCTTTTCATAACACTTGGTCTTCTTTCCTTAGTTTCTCAGTTTCGATTATAGTTGAAAAAAAGTTTAAGCATTTAGTACAAATTTCGTAAGAAGCCTGGAGTGATCGAGAACGCGTCTGACCAGTACGCTCTCAGTACCAGTGTTCAATTTTTGAGTCTGTGGAGGAAACCAGTGGAATTACCACTGAAACAATAATATTGCTCATCAGCAGTATATTCACATGGTGCTGTTTGTTTCTCAAAGTGAGATTGGAGAATTTTTTTGAACTTTGACTGAAAGAGTTAACACATGACTGTAATGTCAAAAATCAGACGAAAAGCAGATCAACTTGTGGCCTCATTAGCTGCCAGCCAATAGTTTCATTTGTCACTTGATGTCTTTGGAAAAGTGCATGGCTGTATGAGTGCACAAAGTACATGAATGAAGGTAAACTTACTTTAGTATATGATTAAGAGCATGAAGGCAATAAAGCCTTCTAATCTCGTCACCATTCTGGAATGTGCGGTTGGAGTAGAAAACATCCTGTTAAAAGTCCAAGAAATATAACTTACGTCTAATTAATCATGATTACCGTTTACAATGGATTGTCCTTTAAAATAATCACTTTTTCCTTAGCAAAAATCAAACTTTTACACCATGAGGTCAACACAATATCACTGCGGATGGATTATTATGCAAACCAACATTATTATCTGAGCATAAAAGAGGTTTAAGACTCTAGGATAAAGCTCTATTTAAGACACACAAGCTTTCAATTCCATCTCAGAATCTTTATCATGTGATGGAGTGTGACATTTTGTCATGTGATTTGCAATGTGAATCACATGACAAAACTTCCTGGGAAGCTTGTAACCAGCTTCCAAGTTCAATGTTGGAGCCGGAGAAAGTATATTGATGACCTCCCAGACTCAATCTTCTCTTAAACATGTCATCTTCCCATGCAAAAATCGAGAAGGATTATATATTTAGGATAGGGCCAGAACACTTTAATATTACTGTTCTAAAGCTCTACGTGCAAATAAGCCCCCACTCACCCCCCCACCCCCAAACCTGCTTTACTCAAGTGTCAATGTATTCATCACAACATGCTATAAATAGGATACTCAGGGCTCGAAAAAAGTCCCATCTGGTAGTCCAGAACAAGTAGGTTTTCTTGCGAGGCTGGTATCGTGACTTAGAAAGCTTACTTGCCCAAGGAGCAAGGGTACAGGTAAGTGATCCCCTGACAAAATCATTGACCAAGAGGAGCAGGCAAAAAGTGAGAGCTGCTGGAATTCAAGTATTTTTCTGAGTTTCGGCTACTGTTGTTTACATCTTAACCCCAGCTAGAGACAGGAACACTATGTCTACATGGCCATCCCAATTATTACGTGAGGGTCTGGCCATTGGCAATGTAGAGGCAGCAATTTCTACCTCATTATTGTTTTAACACCCTGAGTATTGGTTCAGGTCTGGTTCCCGGGATCAGACCCATCACATCCTGCTCTGCAGACCAGCAATCTACCAGCTGAGCTTACTCTGCCACGGTTAACATTAATTTTGGAATTTAAACATTGTGAGAAACAAAATGTAAAAATATCCTGGGCAAGACAAATTAATAATTATATACAGTGAAAACTTGCCTGGTATGAGTTTATGTGCTGAAAAAGATTTTGTTGAAGTGGAGTGAACAAACCTGTAAAGAAGTAATTACCATCAGACATTTGTGCACAAAAAATTACTACAGTACGCTGCAAACAGAGTTCCCTGTCGAAAGAGGGGCAAAAGGACATTGTAGTTATTTTTCCTTGGCTTGATTTTTTAAGGCCTGTCTCTTCTCCTGCAAGCAACATCTAACCAGGATGTTATACTCTGGCCTTTACTTTCACAACTTGGAAACCTGGCATGTTTTCACAAGAGTGACCAACCTCAATTTTCTCCTAACACTAAATACACAATCAAGATATAGGTTATAAGAATTAATGAACTGATCACAATAGGGAAAAAGTTTTGACCCTTACTCAATTTTGTTTACTCTTTACTGATTCTAAATGTATGAATTTGGATGATACAAGGGCTTGAAGAGTTAAAATCAAAAACTAAAGAAATAATATTGCACTCCATGAAGACATAGTTAAAATAATAGCTGAAATTAAAAGTAACACAACACTAAAAAGGAAACCAAACAGCATACCTTCAAAGCTTAATTTTTCATTGATTTTTTCCCAACCTTGAAGAAGACTAGCTCTCAGCTAGAAAACAAAAAGAATGTAGACATGCACTTTTTATTATTATATTTTTAATAATATTATAATAGTGTCTTGTTCCACAAGTACAAAATGTTTAGTCCTTTCAAATCTAGAGGTAACTTATTTTCATAGTATCTCCCTCATCTCTATCAGTTTCTTCCTAAGTTTAGTATAACTTTTTCAGAACATTGCAAATGAAAACACAAACTAATTCTGTGTAGGTCTGTTAACACCAGAACTCACAACATTTCAACAGGTAGCCATGTTTATTACTGGTATGTCTGTAAACGACAAAACAAAACCCCAGGGGATTGCTGAGGAAAATGTCCTGACAGGGATCAAGAAGGCATTAATTGCCACATTATGCTTATGCTTAACCTGAGGTCAGGCCCAATTTTAGCAGTTTCTATACATTCTGTCCTACATGGTCATGCAAAAATTGGGCCTGATACAAAGTCTCTCACGCCTGTGCTGCTGCAGCCAGATTTTGGCTGCAACACTGATTGGTCATTAGAACAGTGCCAGATGATCTGATTAGCTGTCGCAATCACAGGGATTAGAAAGTACTAAAATCCTCAAGCAGCTTTTATCTCTACCATCCTCGCGAATGATCTGGAAGGCTTGTGGTTTCTGGTAACAAAACTAAACTTATTTTATTTATTTGGCATGGAAATTTCAAACTTTTGCTTACGTATTCCCTGGATTTGCTTGAAAGTTATGGAATGATGAGAATAGATTGCGGATATAGTTGGAGGTTTTCAGGTACAATTGTCTGTAGCATAAAGCTAACTTAAGCCTTCCTGAAAGTTGACAAGTACCAAGCAAATAGTACAATATTAAATAGTCAATAGTACAAAATTAATAGTCAATATTTCAACTGGCTTTGTAGGACAACAATCTGAGTGAAGACTGGAAAAGTTGGGGAGCATTAGAAGTGAAACCTAACGCTACTGGGCAAAACTTGTTGTCACTCATAAGCATCAGGTTCGCGAGGTACAGGGTATGTCTGATGTGAAGTTGGATGTTTTGCATAAACAGGTGTTTTATTCAATTTAAGCATTAAATTGATTTTGTGGAATTTTAATGTTACCTTTCATTACAAACAACATGTACTATTTAAAATTGTTTGCAAATTTTAGACTATTCATTACAACTATTTTAACTTATTAGAAATCTAAAACACTAAGAGACCTAATAAGTACAATATTTGCTTTAATTTGTATTATTATTATTATTATTATTATTGATATCACATTTACCTTTAAATCTGTAAATGTTGTTTCCTTATTGACATAAATGTGTACACTTGGTAAAGACTTGACAGATGGAATCACTTCAGTGACACTGCCAAATGAAGCAATCTGAAAATGATTTAGAAATAAAAAGAAATACAATAATGAACATAATTTTGTTAATAAGAATTAACAAGTACAGCTGTAAGAGGCAAACAAAACAACCCCATAATTTTTTTTAATAACCTCAGTCAAAGTTTTGGTCTAATCCAGAAATACACTGATACAAAAAGAACAATGCAACTCACTTTGCTGGTTTTAACTTGCCAGGACTTGAGGTCATTAAGATGTTTTTCTGCAGATTCTTCTAGATCTTGTTCAAAATGAACTACAAATGGATCTTCAGTTCCTTTAGAAAAAAAATGAAATGTAAGATATAAATAATAAAGTATTTCGTGTTTAGGCCTCACGAAACATTAGACAAGAAGATAAAATTTGGACACAATCATTTGCTGTGTTTTGTGATGCTGATTAATTATTAGGCCTCATGAAACATTAGACAAGAAGTTAAATTTGAACACAATCATTTGCTGTGTTTTGTGATGCTGATTAATTAGTAACTATATCATGAGACAAACAATGAGCCAACTTTTCTCGTTTGAATACTGTCTACAACTCTGAACAACATTAAAGTCAGGAAATCAATTACTAACTAATAACTATCGATCAGCAGTGGCTAATTGTACAGTACCTTTCAAATGCCTTGTTTTGACATCATCAATACTGTCATCATCACTTTCCTCAAAGGTTCCACTTTCTTTTCGATAGTCATCAGTACCAGTTTTATTTCTGTCAATGACATCATCATCATCGTCATCATTATTATCACTAGTGTCATCACCATCTTCATTGCCATTATAGCTGTTTTCGTGGATAACAGTTTCTTTTGTATCTTCATTAGAACTTGCAACATGCACCACATCACTGTGACTCTTATCTTTGTTCTGTTTTATTATCGTTGTTTTGTTATCACTCATTTGTTTTATGGCCTTGTCATTTTTATTTTCATCCTTGAATTCAGAGTCATGCTCGATTTCCTCGTCACTTTCCTCCTCTTCTTCTCCTTCACTACCATCCTCTCTCCATTTTTTTGTCAAGTGGTTCACGTCAGATCCAGACTCAACTCCAAGCAAACCAAGCAACTGTTGATAAGGAGCTGGACCATCCTCGCTGTCTGAACTGTCTGTTTCATGATGCTAGCCGTTAAAAAAAGAGACACCGATTTTCTTTTTGCCAACAAGCACATAATGTGATTTACTGTCTTTGGTAACCAGGTGTTATGTCATACTGTAAGTACATGTAGGTGTAATACATGTCAGGGGCACAGCCAGCCTTTTTTTCCTTTTAAGCCCACGTCATATAGAAGTCCTTGTGGGGGTGAGGGCACAAAAGTGAGCCATAAAAAAACTGACCTATAAACAATATCTTTTTACTGCATGGCCATTCTTTTTTGCCAAAAAATGCAACGTTAAATGAGTAATTAAAAGTGAGTTATCAAATCAACAGACGGCCTTTTTCAGAGAAGGCGCCACAGTGTATGATGTAATTGGACAAGTGGATATACAGTTAGTTGTTCTTGTTCATATCTGTCAGTTATACTAATTATCGCGTTATTATAAATGCGTGTTACTTACCTTAGTGATACTATCTTCCTGTTTCAGTCTCTTTATTGCTTTTTTGTCACTATATGTAAGATAATTCAACAAGAAACAGCCTTTAAGGACATTAACTTGCCGAACAACTACTACTCAAGTTGTTCTACAAGCTGTGTTTGTCCCATTGCAAAAGGTAGTTTGGACATCACAAAATAATAATGGTAGTAAACTGAAATAACATGAGTCTCTGTATGGACATCAGTGGCATGTTTTCCATCAAATCGTCGATTTTTCAGGCAGAATCATTATACATGTATATCAAGAATATTGTTTTGCACGGTAACGCTACTAGTGAGCTCACCGCAACCACAACGATGACGGAAAAGAAAAAAAGAAGCAAAACAAAACCTCTGAAGGTGCAGCACACTTCTTGGCAGGTTTCTTTGCCATCACTGCATGACTAACACTTTTATCTATATACGATCGTCACTAGCTTCATTGATGGCGATCGTTGCGACTTTGATTTTGTCAGAAATACTCATGCAGAGGCTCAAATATACAGTGGCACTAAAGGCTAGATCATGACGATCTATACTATCACTGAAAGAAACCTGGCAATCTGTACAAAATTAACATTGATTTATAGTCATTTAACCCCAGTTCCTTAGCCTCCTATTTTTAAGTCAAATAGCTCCAAAGAAAAAGTCCCTTAACCTCATAAATGAGACACCTTATGATCACTATTTAGCATCTTGAACAGAGTGTCTTTTTAGACCGGAAGCCTTTAAAAGGGCGTAAAGGATGCATGACAATGAGCAGTTTACATATGTAAAAACAACATTTTTTCTCCAAAAATCTAATTCCATGATGGTAGTTTGAACATATGACTTAACTTTGAATGCAAAATGAAACTAATCAGGGTCATAAAATAAGTTCTCCTGTCTTAAACAGGGTATTGAAGTTCACTATTTCTGTCTTAAACAGGGTCAGGGTTTGAACCCGGGCAGCACACCTGTAATTACCCCACACTTGCCATGACATGATAATGAAACTTAACCAGCTGTATGAAACCTAAACGTCCGAGCTTTCGACTGAGCAGAACGTTAGATGTTAGCGGATACTTCCGACGCTAAGGCTTATGTAATTGGTTCCTGATCTTCATTGCAGATTTCAGTAGCTCAAGCGAACAAGTTAGTTTTACCGCCTAGGTAAAATCAGAGTCAGTTTTCAAGTCACACTTGTATTTCCAAAGGTCTAAACATTGCCAAATAAAAACCATGTTAAGAAACGTAACCTACTCCTCATCCACAGAATGCTTCTCTTTGAGCTCCTTAAAATGTCGTTTCTTGCTGCTCTTTGCTTTGTTCACACTCTTTTTCGACCTCTTCTGTTGACCGCCATGCCGCTTACTCTTCGCCATCTTGAAATAACAAACGGAAGAGGACTGGGGACTATGTACTCTTTGCCAAGTGATCACGAAGAAACGAAGAGCTCCGAAGAGTCCAGCGGAAATACTACGAAACATAATCGGTAATCTGTTCATGTATGCTACATTGGTTCATCATGCTACATTGGATCGTTCGTCTGTGCTTCAACGAACAATGTCTTCCACTGTGAAGGTCGGGGTTTTAACGGTTAGTGACCGATGTTCTCGAGGCCAGGCAGAGGATAAAAGTGGGCCAAACCTACAGAAGATATTGAGGTCCTCTTCTGCACTAAAAGTGAACGAAATCCTTTCTGACTGTGTCCCGGACGAAGCGAACGAGATCAAGCGAGTTTTGCTCAAATGGTGCGATACCGAAAACGTCCACGTAATACTTACTACAGGGGGTACAGGTTTTTCTCCAAGAGATATCACACCAGAAGTGACTTCAGAAATCATTGAAAGGCCTGCTCAAGGTCTCACGCTACAAATGCTGAGTGAATCCTTGAAGGTGACGCCCATGGCCATGCTTTCCCGAGCAGTTTGTGGAATAAGAAAAGGAACCATCATTATAAACTTGCCAGGGAGTCTTAAGGGATCTCAAGAATGTTTCCAGTTTGTTTTGCCCACTTTGCCCCATGCTATTGAAGTGTTACGGGGCAGCCCAAACGTGGGTGTCACCCATGCCTCCATGGAACATCCCGCCCATCCTCAGAGGGGTGACACCCATCACAACTGCCCACACAAGACTCAAGGCAAGACTGTTAGAGATCTCAGTAAAGTTGCAGAAAGAGACCGTCATTCTCCATATCCACTTGTTTCAATGAGTGATGCTCTCTCGGTGATAAAGGAGAATGCCAATTGTCTACCTAAAACAGTTGTGAGCATAGAGGATTCATTAGGCCACATATTGGCCTCTGATGTTTTTGCCCAAGAGCCCTTTCCTCCTTTTCCTGCATCTGTCAAAGATGGGTATGCTGTGCTGGCTTCTGATGGTCCTGGAGAACGTGTTGTACTTGGCCCAGTTACGGCTGGAGGAATCGCAGCTTCTCAGGTCATTTCAGGTCATGTGATGCGTATCACCACTGGGGCACCGGTGCCACAGGGAGCTGATGCTGTTGTCCAAGTTGAAGACACAGAGTTACTTGAAAGTGATGATGGTGGTAGAACAGAGAAAAGGATAAAAATCCTCACATGTCCAAAGCCAGGACAGGACATTAGACCCATTGGCTTTGATGTGAACAAAGGTCAACAGGTGCTGTCAGCTTATGACAAACTAGGACCAGCAGAATTGGGTCTGATGGCTTCATTAGGACTGACTGATATTGAAGTGTTTCAAAAACCAAAAGTTGCAGTCCTCTCCACGGGAAATGAGGTAGTAAGTCCTGGTCAAGTTGCGAAAGCAGGTCAAATCAGAGACAGTAATAAGATTGCATTGAAATCAATGATAAATTCCCATGGCTTTGAGTTCATTGATCTGGGGATTGCAGCTGACACTCCTCAAGATCTGGAATCCAAACTCTCTGCTGGCCTGGAATTAGCTGATGTTGTTGTGTCCTCGGGTGGAGTATCAATGGGTGAAAAAGATTTCCTGAAACCTGTTTTAGAAGACCTCATCGGTGCCACCATCCATTTTGGAAGAGTGTTTATGAAGCCAGGCAAACCCACAACATTTGCAACAGTCACAGTTGGTGGGAAGAAGAAGCTGATATTTTCTCTTCCTGGAAATCCTGTCTCAGCAATGGTGACATTTAATCTGTTTGTTCTCCCAGCCTTAAACAAGTTGACTGGATCCCAAAGCCCTGAGTTGACGAAAATAAAAGCAAAGTTACTACAACCAGTCTCTCTAGATGCCAGACCTGAGTACCACAGAGTTGCCTTGTCATGGAAGTCAGGCGACCTGGTCCCTTCGGCAACATCCACTGGCAGTCAATGCAGTAGTAGGCTGTTGAGTATGAGAACTTCAAATGCACTCCTTGTCTTGCCACCAAGGAGTGATGATCTTACTAGGATTGAGGCAGGAACAATTGTTGATGCTTTGATTATAGGTGAAGTCTAAAATATAAAGTGGTGACTATTAAGCGTGAATTTTCTGATAAGACAGAATTCATATAAAATAAAATTCCTTCCAAAAAGAGATAGTTCCTCCATATAATTAAACTTGTCACAAGTTGATGTCATGAGTTTCACAGCACAAAAGCTGTATTAGCAAACAGAGCCATGAAGCAGCCATGTGAAGTTTGCAAAGCAAGACAAAGGACTTTGTTAAAGTTTTTTTTAAAGTTGTCCTTCTACTTATAGTAGTAATATTATTAAGTAGTCTGTTTGAATATTCTCATTTAGTGTAACTTAGTTTGTTGTGAACAATACCCACCTTGTGAAAGGTTTGAACCCAGGAGTCATTTCAAAAGTAGGTTGAGTTTGATCGTCAAGCTCTCCCCTCCATGCTGGTAGTATACAAAAATTTATACCAATGCGTGATGGAATTTATGAACAAAATGACTCAATGAGAATGCCAAAATGGCTCAGTGTGTTCAAAAATGAATTTTCTTATTAGGAGAATTCAGAACCTTATCGCACCAAGAAGTGAACAACAGAAGTATGTTGCCATTGGTTGATTACAACAGAGAATCAAATAAAGTTGTGTGAAAAAAAAACTGTGGGTTTTTGGTTCAAAGTGAACAACAGAAGTATGGATTGGTTGATTAAACTGCCTTTTTTTTCAAAGCTGGGGAAACTGCCTCATTTTCAGCTGGGGATCATAATGTTACGGGGGGGATACTGTTGCAAATTTGAGCAACCCAAAACCGTCATCTTATGTCAAGACCTGATCTGCTGTTCTTAAGAGATGATCAGTGAAAGAAATGTCTCCAATTCAAGACCTTGGTTCTAAATATAGTGCGCACAAGCCTTTACCCAATTTCAGACCCAAATAGTTGAAGTCTATACTGTGGAACCTCGATTTTCGAGGTTAGCCTAGCCTCCTGAGGGGTTCAGACCGTGAAGACAACGCAAAGAGATGTGAGCAGAAAAAGACAGCGAGGGGGTGGGGTAGGGGGTGAGAGCGAGAGATCCCTCTTCTCTCCCTAGTCCCTCTCTTTCTCCTTATTTTTTCCCCCTCTCTTACTTCGCGCCGCACTCCACTATCCGAACGCCTGGCTATATTTTGCCCGTGCCTGTACGCCGTCTTCCCAGGCCTTCTCGGTCAATGCATTTCATAGCCCACTCGGAATAATGAGGCCTAGGGACTAGACAAGGTTATATTGAGAAGGGTAAGTCACTAATTCTTCTAATTCTTTTTGAGATAAAACAAAAATTTTATTTGTTGATTTTAAGGACACTGTGGAGAGCGGTGGCACCCGAAAACGCAGAGACTATTAACGCTAGTGAGCCCTTATGCCCTGAGAATTTTGGGTCAAAGCCATAAAGCCCTCACTGTATACAAATATTTTACTTTCTTTTGACGCAAATATCCTGTTTAATCGTTTTAAAATTAAGATAACTGATATATCTACATTTTGTTTACTCATTTCAAACACGATAAAGTCTATTGTTTATCTCGGAACTGGAACAACAGTTTTAACAGTTTTTTCAAGGCTGTCTTTAAGTTAACTTCTACCGAATTGTTCCCACCGTCAATTATGGTTAGTAAGCCACAAACTCTTAAATTCATTTTCACTGCACGAGGATATATCCTACGGCTTTGATATGCTTGTTACCATTATCTGGATAGTGGGTAGCCTGGTTTCCACAGGAGTTGGTGTCATCATGTAACCCACCAGTACCAAACCCAATTCTAGAGTCACAGGAATTGCAATGGTTTTCCTGGTTACTAATGATGCCGATCCTGGCTTTGGAATGGACTCTGCCGACCACATGACTGTTGAACCCTTCTTTATTACACTCAAACTGCAGGGACCCCTCAGGACCAATCAACAACTTCCACGTGTCGCGACCCAGAGAAGTAGCGCGAAATTGTCCGTCAGCGATCAAAGAGTGCAGAGAACTGGCGCTCCTGTTGATTACAATGAAATTAAACTGCTGACCGATCTTCATGCCGAGGCAGATCTTGGAGAAGGATGTGTTCCAGTAGGAGGGAAGTTTGGTCTCTTGGGAGTCAAACCCGGTCTTCCCTCCATCAAGGTTGAAAGTTTCTTTGTTGCTCCAGAGCGAGGCATCGTAATGAAAGGTTTGCTGTGGAAGAAAAAAACAGTTCAATGGCCTTTGTATGATTTAAAGGAGAAATTGTAAGTATATAGCTTAGCTTAGACTGTTCACTGTCCCCTCTTTCATCGTGAGATCGTCGAGATATAGCGCGTCTTACCTTAATGGCGGCCATCTTGATTTTTAAATGTATCGCGGGGGCGGGCGTCGGGGATTATATCTGTAAGGGGAGGGCGACGAGAAAAATATTTTTCCCGCTTCCTCCCAAACCGCCCCCACCCCCTAAGAAGTTTTGACACTCATGAAGATGGCAGCCCGTAACGCAAAGCACTCGATCTCGACGATCTTACGGAAAAATATAGGACTGTGAACTGTCTAAGCTTAGCTAAATTGTAAGCATTCGTTTCTTAGCCTGAGAAAAGCGAAATGATGTCTGAGAAAAGCGTAGAAATTCCACTGCTGATGACGCGTCACTACCCAGATCTCGATAGTCCCTCTGATTGGCTGAAGCAAATCTGCCATGTAGCAGGACCAATCAAAAGCATTACCCAGATCTTGACAGTGATACGTCATCAGTATGGCCATTAGTTTGCAATACCATAGTCTCCCTCTACTCGCTCGAAGCAATTCTAAAACCCCAACGACGAGGGTTTAGTCGACCTAAATGCACGTTGGAATCAACCTAGCCGGGGCCATATTATAAGGCGACACAACCGTAGAACAGTTCGAACATTAAATAACATGTTGCCAAATAAAATTTCACACCTTGCTACCGTTCATCTTCATGACCGGTGTCCATCCTCCATCTCCACATCCAAAATCTCCCATGTGACAAAGAATTGGAGTAGGTTTTGAATCAAAGATGACTGTTACTACCTGGCTTTGGCTCAACCTACACACAGAGACAGTTTTTGTATAGAAAATCATGAGGCATTAATGACACTTGAACACTAGTGATCCCTTACTCCAACTGGAGTTAACATTTAAAACTTCGTCCCCTTGTTGCTTCAAACCCTCCAAGCTACATCGTCCGAAGGCAATTGAACCGTAGTATTCCTAAAGTTAGACAAAAAATCTGAGATGACAATTTTGCCCAAATGACCCATTATGATAAATGAATCAACTGAGCCTCACCTCAAATCAGGCTCTACTTTTGTTTTGCTTGGTAAGTGATATTCCGAGGGGCGAGGCGAAACGAAATAGAGCCTGATCATTGCTCGACCATGCAAGAGAAAATGTATGAAAGCTGCTAAAATTGGGCCTGATCTCTAGGTAAATGAGCCTGACGCTTTTAGAAGTTACATGATCCAATAGTATTCATTACTGAGCTTATGAAATATAACATGTCGGTTGAAACTGTATGTAATATACAACTCTTTTACAGGCTCCTTCTCAGGCTCTCAGCGGCAAATCCATGGGCCTGGGAATGAGTTTGCCATGTCCTCCCCCCATAACCCATAGTTAATGTACTTTCTATTCGTAGAGGGAATCTTCCTGTTTGTAAGCATTTGTCGTGAATTATAAGTAGATGTTGAAAAAGACGTTGATCATGTTACCTACTTTTGTGGCTCAAAATGATACAAGTCTTGACATGACTTTATAGCTGAAAAAGAAATAACAAGCCATTATTCCTATTTGAATCGGTTCAATTTTCTTATCTAAGATAATACGAGACGATCTTCGCAATCCCAGTCGGCATGCTGTTCACACTGGCTAGGCAGTTCGTCGGTTTGTTACACACAGTACCCACAAAATTGAAAAGGAAACCGCGGCCGGAACCTTAGTTCTCTTGCTACATTATTGCTGAGCGCGATTCGAAATTAGCGCACAAGTTCGAGTTACTGATGAGGAACAAAGGACAATTTCAAGTTTGTCTTTCTTATCAAATCACATCGCGGGTAATCGACTGAGTCGCGGTCATGTTGAAACGCAGACTACGGATTGCAGACTGTGCAGACACTGCAGACTGTCCTGATTGTGCAGACTGCAGAGTGTAGGCTGTGCAGACTTCGCACCGCTAGACTGCAGCCTGTTCAGACTGCAGACTTTGCAGACCTTACAGACTGTCCAAACTGTGCAGACTATCCGGACGGCAGACTGTACAGACTGTCCAGACTGCAGACAACGAAGACTGTTGATTTTTCAGACTGCGCAGACTGTCCAGACTGGAGACTATGAAGACTGCAGACTGTTTTGACTGCAAAGACTACGCAGACTTTTGCAGGATGTGCAGACCGTGCAAACTGTGCGATTTTTTTTCACAAAAGCGTAACTTAACGTTTATTACCTACTTCGCAAGATACTCCAACAAAACCTTCTCTGCAATTGCAATAAAAAGTGAGATGGTTGAAGCTTGACACACACGTACCTCCATTGCGGCACGGCGAGTAAACGCAAGAGGTCTGAAATAGTAATATTTCGAAATATCATCGAACATTTTCTACAAAAACAGATCAGTTATTCAGAGTAGATTATCACTGAATTTACAACTACCTTCAAGAAGGAACTTAAATGATGGGAGGTTATGTTTCTTTTATACTTGTCGGGGTTGCTGTACTTTTCAGAGGAAAGCAACTCGCACCAAATCTTTTCGTCGGCTGCGTTTTCTGTGGCGGCCAGATTAACAGACAAGCAAGAAGGATTTCTCAAGCAATTTATGTTGCAGGAAAGCTTGTCGGAGACAGTGAATGTTTCAAGTCTAGGAACATTTAGATAGTGATGATCGTCTTGCATGAAAAAATCTTGGCGAAACCCGGAGTCCAAACCTGTAGAAAGGACAGTATTTAAAAAAATTCGAAAAACAGCAGAGCATCGAAAACGCTGTAAGTTGTTAAATATATTTTGAAAGCTAAAACGCCTTTATAGCGCAAAATGTTTTAAATCTAAAAAGAACTTAATATCAGTGTTTTGCGTGGACCCTTAAAAATATCAGGACAAGATTTATAAAATTAATTCAGGAAATGTTTATATGACACCAGACATCCTTGATTAAAACTAATTCAATGTAATTTAGCAAAGAAAACCACATTATAAAGAAATTGTGTTTCAGATTTGTTATTTCAATTTGAACGACAAAGAAAAGGCGCAGTACAACCAGCAAAAAGAATTTTTTTAGGCTCCTGCATGGTACGTGTATGAAAACCATAACCAAAACCGCCTTCGTTCCATTCGATATACTTTCGAAGCAAAAATCACTCTGAGAATTTATTAGCTTAAATATCACGCATCTCTTGAATCAAATTCGGTTTCTATGTATCAATTTTATCATGAATTTCAACAGAAAACAGCATTGTCATCCCTAAAATGTTTGTTGCCAGACGCCTTTAGCGTCCTTTTGTTATCGGATATTTTGCCTAGTTTTGTCTTGTGCACTTCACAGAATACAAAGGACTGAAAAGTTACTGACACAAACTTGTTGTGGCCGTTAAAAATGCCTGAAAAATAACAACTTTTACAGTAGCGAAGGCACTGAGATAATCAAGCAAAACTGACCTTGTGTATAAGCTGTCTCAGCAACTACTGACAGTAAAACTTTCAAAAGAAGAAACCAAGGGAATAAAGAACACATACTAGTCGGCGACTAAAGTTACATTTTTAATATTACATTTACCTTCGACCAAGACTCTGCTGGAGATTGGTTTGTTTTTTAAATGTCAAAAACAATTTTTGTCAACACCAGCCAATGGCAGCTCAACGAACCTTGGCAATTTCTCCAACCCTTAATATCATTAGTTTCCAATCTGCAATAGTCAAACCTTGCTTGCAAAATCTTAATAGGTACGTAATATAGAACAATATGTGGTGGTTATCTTTTTGCTGTAATTATTGAAAAAAAGGTCGTTGTTTAGAGTTTTAAAAATCGCCAGTTTCCTTAGAAAACAGCATTATCTCGGAATTTCTATGCATTAGAGACGGGGAGGAAAATCGATGGGAATCGTTATTGTTCTTTGCTACCAAGAAGCGATGATTGTACGAAATCGTTGTTGCTTTAATTTTGACAGTGGCCGTGTATTCTGATAAGATTGTATCTGATGTGGGTGAAAATTTCCGACTAGAAAGAAGTTATGTGAAAAATAAGTGGGAAAAAATGAAGTAAGGACCCTGGAAAATGGAAGTGGAAAGCTCACTGTCTGATTTCAACAGAAAATCAAATAACGTTGGCAGGTTTAAAGGTGGCTTGTGGGAAAAATATATAGCCCACGAGCAGGCTCACTCGTGCGATCACAGGTGGCCCAAGCGTAATATGGGCCACCTGTGGCGTAATATGAGAGTTTGTATGGGAAAAATAGAGTTTGAAACTTAGATGAAATAAGTGAAGTAAAAGCGATAAAAGTTATCAATAAAGTGTAAATATTGTCTCTTATTATTACACTGTCAGGTCAGATGATGTAAAAGTACTCAAATCGCGCTGAAACTTCGTAAAAACAAAGACAACAACTCCAGGTAACAATATTTACACTTTATTGATAACTTTTATCGCTTTTACTTCATTTATTTCATGTAAGTTTCAATCTCTACTTTTCCCATACAAACTCTCATATTACGCCACAGGTGGCCCATGTTACGCTTGGGCCACCTGTGGTGCGATTTCGGGGAAAATGTTTGCGGTGGAGACGACAGGCAGCGTCAGCCGGGGAGAATAATAAGGCGAGGAAATGGGCGAGTAAAATAATGGGGAAAGAATTTCCCCGAAGTTTTACAAGTGAGTCTGCTCTAGGCTAGTAGGAAAATGCCTCATCTTCCAGCTAGAGATGATACGTGGAGTGATACAATAGGAAATTTTTCTGGGCTAGTGGCACATCATCCTATTTCAAACCATTCTTAAAAGATGAACAGTAAAAGAGACGACCTTAGTTCTAGTAGAGAAAGCTGTTGACAGGACAAACCTTTACCCTATTTCAGACCCCAAAATTTAGATGGTCGCATGAGCAAAACAACTTTCTTTAATTTACCAGACATTTTTTGACGGTACATTCGTCATCTTCAGTATTACTGTGAAATTGCCGTTGAGTTTAAATCGCGCTCAATGTAACAGTTAGAAAGTTCGTTAAATTGCTTCTACAATATTGCGCACTTAAAAGTTTAAACACGTGACGTTAAGGAACTTACAGGGAAAGAGTCAGGTTTACGTGTTTCACCTGCTGGTTAAGGTCGGGTTTCTCCCATTCTATGAGCATGATTCCTTAAGCTTGACTTGATACTTAGTAGCCGCAGAGTCCAGGATCTCGACGAAATCTGGTAAGCAGGATGTTCGACAAGACTCTGAACTCTGTAATTTCAAACAAAACGGGTTCAAAAACCTTTGTCACACGGGAGATTTTGGATGTGGAGAGGAGGATGGACATCGGTCATGAAGATGGATGGCTACAAGGTGTGTAACATACCAAGGTAATATATTTTACACCTGATAATATACGACTGAGAGGTTTTTGAACGGCTTCAAACTCTCTGATATAGATCCACTCATTCTTGCACTAATATTTAGGTTCGGAGTTATATTGGTCTAAAAAATTGGACGTAAAGTTTAGACCTGTATTTATGAGATATAAAGACACTCATTAAACATTAATTTCTTATGTTTTTAATTTTTATGAATCATTAATGAGTTTTTGAGTTACACCTCTTGCTGTTCATTACGAGAAAATACGCAATTATTTGCGTAAAACGGCGACCAATAGTGCGAAGATACATTCATTAGCGCATAGATACGAACATTTGCGCATAAATAAGATTCAATTATACCATTTTTTACATTTTAATCAACGTTCAGTATCACTTTTGGGCATTCATATGCGTCATTCGGCATACAAAAGAGAAAAATATACTTTCATTAACGTCAACATCAAAGTCATTAAGACCATCTTGAAAGTCAATAGGGGCAACAAACAAACATTAAAGTGCAAAACACCATTCATTAACATTTTTATGACACTCAGTTTGCAATTCAATAGGATTCCTGGACAATCTTAGGATGGATAAGACAAACATTAATGCGCTTGTACAATTAATTGAGCGTTCTTTACATTTAATACACCAAAATCGATTTTTAATTAAACAATAGAAATTCAAACAAATTTGGCCTGAATTTTTACGCTATCTGGTTTAAAGGACCACACTGTACTGCGCCAATTTGTGTTTGTCGACGATTGCGGCTATACATTCACCAGAGTTCATAGGCTGTAACAGGGGCACCCAACGGCAATATTCGGGAAAATATCTGTTCGGAAGACGATTTGAGAACTAGAATTTTCGGAACATTTGTTGTAAAATTTCTTGCTTCCCTGCCTCTCCTAGGATTTTCGAACATCTACAAAATGGTATAATTACCCATTTTAAACGGATATTTACACTAAAAAAGGCCACCTAGAATTTTCGGGAGCCTTTTCCTGGCTGAAATTTTCGAAAAGGCAAGTTTTGAGCCCTATAATTTTCGGATCACTAGACTTTCAGCTAGGAAATCCGAACAGATGAAAAGTTTTTAGGGGATAAAAATATGACTATATCTACCGTTTAAATACTAAAACACGTTCAACAATGCTATGTTAAGTGGTTTTGAACTATATGCTCGTTGGGTGCCCCTGCTGTAACATATCTGCGCAGAGATCAGAATCTGTGTTAATCTCAATATTTCAACTGGACAATTCATTGCTTCTCCCGGCACAGGAACAACAGTTTTCACAAGGCCTCTGTATTTTAGTTAACTTTTACCGAATTGTTTCACATCGTTAAGTTAGAACGCAACAGTCTAGAACTTTTTCATTGCAGAAGGATATATCCTACAGCCTTGGTATGCTTGTCACCATTGTCTGGAGACCAAGTAGCCTCGTTTCCGCAAGAGTTGGTATCATCAGGATCTCCTCCAGTACCAAACCCATTTCTAGAGTCACAGGAATTGCAGTTGTTTTGTTCATTTTAATGATACCTATTCTGGCTTTGGAAAGGCCACTGCATTGACTGTTAAACCCTTCCTTGTTACACTGGGCCTGCAGGGAGGCATCGGGACCAATCAGAAACTTCCACGTTGCACGACCCAGTGTAGTGGCTCGAAATTGTCCGTCAGCAATCAAAAAGTACAGGGAGCTGGCGTTCCTGTTGATTACAATGAAATTTAACTGCTGACCGATCTTCATGCCGAGGCAGATCTTGGAAAAGGGTGTGTTCCAGTAGGAGGGCAGTTTAGTCTCTTGGGAGTCAAACCCAGTCTTCCCTCCATCAAGGTTAAAGGTTTCTTTGTTGTTCCAGAGGGCGGAATTGTAATAAAAAGTTTGCTGTAAAAGAAAATCACTTAAAGGAAAAAGCATATAGTAAGCTTGAATGAGAGCATTAGTTTTTTTTTATCGATATGATAGAGATACTGCAGTTAAACAATTACAGAAGATTCAAGGTAAAGACGGTAAATTCCCGAGGAAAACTTCTGCAACAGCTATCCGTGGGAGCTCTATCAACCGATGAAAACGAACGCCCGCAATTTAAAAGAACCACCAGCAATCAACTGTACTGTGCAATTCCATAGTCTCCCTCTAACTATGAGAATTTTTAAAACCCATGAACAAACATGTTTAGCCGACTTAATTTTGCATGCTGTTATCAGTCGGACTGGGACTGTGACACAAAAGAAGAAAAAGATGGCCTTCATTGATTAACATCAAGTCAACATATTACCTCATCGCGGAGCTCTCGCGCGCACGAAGTGCGCGCAGCGGAACAACATGGGTAGGAGAATTTCCAAGAAATTTTGGTTCTGTCAAAATCGTACATACGTACGTCCCCTCCATCTTAGCGGATGTGAAATGTCTAACTTACTAGCTTTATACAAAATGTGTTTGACTCGATTTTGGACATTCAGGTTATGATCAACTGACAGCTGTCAAAATAGGGTATTCGCTAACCAGTGTCACATTACTGAATCGCAGGCTCAGGTGTACAACTCATTGTTGTGACGTGTTTTTTAAAGTTTTCCGCTCACCAGTTATGGTCTCAAAGTGATCGCAGACTCAGAAAACTTTACTTTAGAAAGATATCTCTTAAAAGTTCCCACGAGAGCTTCGCTTTTCGCCTCTGCTAAATCTATATATCACCTTCGTATGTTACACACCTTGTTGCCATCCATCTTCATGACCGGTGTCCATCCTCCATTTCCACATCCAAAATCTCCCATGTGACAAAGAATTTGAGTAGGTTTTGAATTGAAGATAATTGTTACCACCTGGCTTTGGCTCAATCTACAGAACGAGACAGTCTACATTGTAATGACTTCTTTGTTGTTCACTACAGTAGAAAGCAATGAAGATCCATTCTTCTTCTCATGAATGAACCCAAGATTTGGAAGGAATTCTGACGAAAATGGTACCATGCCTTACCTGAAATTCTATCAAAAACTGCTGATAACCTTAAGCAAATCACCCGAGTAATAAATAAATCAATAAGTCTAGCGCTTTTGTGAGGTTTATGTTCCAATAGTAATTTTCTTAACTGAACTTATCAAATGTAACTTGTCAGTCCGGGAATTGTAAGTATTCGGCTAAGCGGTTTTCCCAATAACACTCCTTGCTTCAACTTCGTTCTCAAGGCCTAAGGAAAAAAACTAATAAGAATCAGCCATCCAAACTTCATGTGCCTGGAAACGAGTTTGGCATGGCCAATCCTCCCAGTTAATGTTTTTAAATTTGTAATGGGAGTCATTCTGCTTGTAAACATTTGTCGTGAAAATAAATTGTAAATGAATGTTGAAAAAGACGTTGATCTTGTTACCTACTTTTCTGGGTCAAAATGGTAAAAGTCTTGACATGACTTGACGGCTGAAAAAAAAAATTGCAGTAAACTTCTGGTACACCAGAGACACTCATTGACTAATCAAGTCATCACTCCTTGTTGGAGTCAATACAGTTGTCTTATCTGAATGAGTTGTAGACGAGACGCGCGAGATACTAAATGACCACGCGCGTGGCTGAAGGCGATGAAATTATGCGAGAAGATCTCTCGATTTAGGTCGGGCATGCGGTTCGAATTTGAAAGGCAGTTTGTCTGTCCCTTACACGTAGTCTCCCGCATCTCCTCCGCAGATGCTCCCGCTGATGGGTATTCCAGTATAAAAATAGCAATGATTAAACAAAACGTGTGATGGACTATGTTTCCCGTGCGATTTCTTTTTCCCTCTCCCTAAGCCTCCACACGGCCAAGAAGAGGACTTTGCGGAGGAGAGAGATCCCTCACGTTCGCCGCTACATTTCCACAGAACGCGTCATGTTATACAGGCACGCAAGTTCGAGTTACTGTTAAAAGTAACAAGACAATCAATTTCAAGTTTGTCTTTCTTGTCACACCACATGACGGATGATCGCCTGAGTTGGTTTCGATTGTAACTGGTTGCAGTAGCAGCATTTCCACTCCACCCCTCCCTCCCATTTTTATAAAAGTCATCAGTTAACTTTTCTTACCTATTTCGCAAGATACTCCAATAAAACCGTCTCTGCAACTGCAGAAAAAACAGTGATGGTTGAAGCTTGACACACACGTACCTCCATTGCGGCACAGCGAGGAAACACAAGAGGTCTAGATCTGAAATAGCAAGTATCTCGAAATATCATCCACAAATTTTCTACAAAACATATTATTTAGGGTACTGGGAGTGAATTTACATAAGCTACCTTCAAGAAGGAACTTAAATGATGGGAGGTCTTGTTTCTTTTATACTTCTCGGGGTTGCTGTACTTTTCAGACGACAATAACTCGCACCAAATCTTTTCGTCTGATGCAATTTCTGTGGCGGCCAGATTAACAGACAGGCATTTCTCAAGCACTTAAGGTTGCAAGCATGGGTGCCGTAGACAGTGAATGTTTCAAGTCTAGATAATGATAATCTCTCGCGTGTGAAAACATCTTGGCGAAACTCGGAATCAAAGCCTGTAGAAAGAGCAATAATTAAAATTTCGACAGAATGCAGAGCATCAAGAAGAACGGTATTAAGATTTTTATTATATTAAGAAAGCAAGAACCTTTACTGCGGAAAAGGTTTTAGATCTAAAAAGAAAAATAGAAAAGGTAATATCAATGTTTTTGTGAAGCTTAATAAACTAAAAATCAAAACAAGATTTATCAAATTACTGTTCATGATGATAATTTAAATATTCAGCAAAAAAAAACCACAGCCTCAAAAGATTGTGTTTCTCAGATTTTCTCATTTTAACTTGAATGAGTAATACAGCACAAAAACAGAACATTTTAGGGGGCAAAAAAGTACGTGGATAGAAACCAAAATTTGCAAGTGATATACTTTCAAAACAAAATCCTCTAGGAATTTATTCGTTAAAACGTAATCTCGTGAATCAAATTCGGTTTCCATGACTGGTATCAACTGAAACTAATACATGCATGTACGGTATTTTTTTTGCTAAAATGTTTTTCTCGTATTCCTTTAGATTCGTTGTAGAATCCGATATTGTACAATTTTGTTCGCAGCATACACAGAATACAAGGAAGTGAGAAATTCTTGTCACTAGCTTGAGAGTCTGTAAAAAAGATGGTTGAAAAATAACAGTAGCGAGGAAAGATATAGACAAGCAAAACTGGCCTTGTGTATAAGCTGTCTCAGGCATCATTACTGAAAGCAAAACTTTTAAATGGAGAAACCAGCGGAATGATGAAGAACACATGGCCGACGATTAACGGTTACAGTTTTAATTATATGACATTTATTAGTGCAAGACTCTGCTGGAGAGTGGTTTGTTTGTAAATGTTAGCAACATTTTTTTGTCAACACCAGCCAAAGGTTGCTTAACGAACCTACATCAGTTTCACCAACCTTTAATATCATTTTTTAGATTCCCGACTAAGCAAAACCTTGCTGTGTTCGCAAAATCTAAAACGGAAAAAATGAATATGCCTTAGTTGTCATCTTGTTGTCATTATAAAAAAAATCTCAATCTTAAAATTCAGAGTATGTTCTTTCTTCCGCCGGTTTCCGGCTTGAAAAAAAGCATAAGCTCGAGCTCGGAAATATTCTGCATGAGGCGAAGAAAAATCAAGGTCAAATTGATCGGTCATTTCTTAAAATTAGGTGTATGTTCATGATGGACTTGCAATCCAGTGGACCCGAGTTCAACTTTCCCCCTGACCGCTAAATGGATTCTCGTTTTCGGTAGTCCCTAGTTCAAATCCTTGATCACGCTTGTACAAATAGCCAAACCGGTTTGCCTTCGGCCAGTTTAGTCTAGCTGGGATTTTTAACCCTGTTATGTTTAGTTGAGTTATTATACATTTTACTAACTATCTATTTTCCCATTGGCCAAGAGCCTACAGTCACTTTTGGAAATCGACGCAACCTACAGATTAGTTAGTTATCTGCTAGCGGAAAACTAACTAATCAGTAGATTGGGCGCGCAATGCATGATTTCCAATGGTTAATAGAATTAAGCATGATAGCGAGTCTAAGAGGACGCAAATAAAGAATATGAATAAACATGTTTTCATATGTCTATTCATTTTCTTTGTTTGTGTCCTCCAAGACTCGCTATCATGCTTAATTTTAATATATCGAAAGTGGCCAAGTGGTTGTAATGGAATTGCACGTGGCGCAACGACAGGTAACGACGTGATGTTTAATGTCATCTATTCTAACTTAAAGCATTGTTTTTTTTGGAAACAAAAAACGGAATTTGGAAAAGCGACGAAAACAGGATCCCCCCACCCCCCACCCCTCCTTACAGATCCTGATTACTGTACACACGTTTTTTTCTGATATGTACAAAAACGTGAAACTAGAGAACTATCATTAAGCTCAGACAACGACGCCCAGGTCGCTACGTCGTGTATCATTATTTTTGTTTACCGCTTATAGCCTATTATTATTGTAGTTAGAATCTAAAGGTTGTGAAGTGGTGCTACAAACACGAGCCCATTATTAAGAAAGCGCCATGTCCCTTTTCTTTTCTGAAATCTCAGTACCTCTTCCTGTTTCCTTATTATTGGTCTGCAGAATACGTGCTAGTTTTTCGCGTTTTTTGGGCGAGGAGCCTGGGACACGCGCGTGTCTGGTGTTCCTCGCTCGCCCTACGTCTTTCCTCCCTCGCTGTCTTGTATGCATGCATGTAACCACTTCTCGGCCAGTTAGCTCAGATTTGCTAATAAGCCGCGGGAGGTCCGGTTTCAAATCCAGGACAAAACACTAACGATCTTTTTTAAATACTGTCAAGACAATGCTGGCCGTGTGTAGTGATCATGACTTAGTTTGGATGACAGCATTATTTGGCGGTATCATTAAGCCGTTTGCCTCGTCTCATTGATTCTCACCTCTCTCATTTATTTTAAAATTTGAAGGTGAGGTTAAACAACCTACATTGCTGTTGGAACAGTGTAGGGGACGTTTCTTTTTTGGTGGGAATCGTCACTGCCTCTTTTATCACTTTCAACACATCACACGTCTGTCTCCGCAACGGCTTGTCTGCGTGTAACAACTGTCTCAGTCCTAAGTGCCTCCCTCAGACCGGTTGGTGGCCTTAAATCTGATTCAGTCTTTTGTGGAACCACTGGATATGATCGCAGTTTGAGAAAGATTATCCCCCAGCTGTCTAAAAACGTTTCAGGTCCATTTTGTTAAGCTGATGAGTCCATTTCAGCCCCGAACTGTCATGAACTGTTATATTTTTTTGCTTGTCAACACTACATTGCTAATTACGGGTAAAGTACCGTTCTTTATATTTAATTTTCATGATTGGTTTGAATTCTTGTAATTAACTGTCCAAGCAAAGGCCAATCATAAGAGCTTGGAAAACACAACACGTATAAAAAGCTAATACTTGAGGATCAGGAGGGCGTCGTTTTCGTCGCGCATTTTCCATCAAATCGTCGGTGTTTCGCTGCTAGAGAACTTGAGGAGCCACGATGACGACAAAAAAGAGAAAATCAAAATGTAATTACACCTGTTTGATAAGCAAAACAAAACTCAACGTTGTCATATTTGAACAGAATGGCAATTCGATCGTCGCGTTAATCTAGAAGATCGTTCCGACTTCGATTTCGTCAGAAATACCCATACAAAGTTTCAATACTCATATTACCATGTTCGTCCCCTTTTTAAAATGTAAACTTGCTTCCAATCTTAGAACATTCATTCACTCAATAGTGGGTATAAATCAGGAGCACCAAAGAAACATTCGACGATTTTTATCTGTTTCCACGTTATTCTTCAGTTTCTTTCTTTTTTTTTCTTACTTATGTATTCATGCCTTAGCAAGTGAGTTTGGCTCTTTATTTTAATCTACAACTGATAGTCTATTACAAGAGAGGTTTATTACGAATTCTCCCTGACGTTTGGTTAGGCTTTACTAGTACAAACAATGAGCTATGAGGAGCAACGATTTTTATCTTAGTTTTCTAGCGTATCTTTTATATCCAATGTATAACGGTTACTTTAAGTCAATCTAGAAATAGTCTTTAGTTTATCCACAAAAAACGAACAGCGTCTAGAGTTTACTTAAGCTAGCTTTCGTTTGGCACCAGAAGTAAATTAACCCAGATAAATTTCTTCTTACTGCACCAAAATGTATCCCATTGTCTTAATATGCTTATTGCCATTATCTGGATACAATTCAGCCACGTTTCCACATGAGTTGCTCCCATCAGGCCTTCCACCAGTGCCAAATCCAATTTTAGAGTTACAGGAGCCGCAATTGTCTTGGTTGTTATTAATGATACCGATTCTTGCTTTGGAATGACCAGGTATACCAGAAACAGCATTGAACCCTTCCTTGTTACAGTTTTCCTGCAAGGACGCATTAGAACCAATCAGCGACTTCCACGTGTCGCGACCCAGTGAAGTGTTGCGGTATTGCCCATCAGCGATCAGAGAGTACAAGGAATTCGCCTGCTGGTTGACGACAATAAACCTGATCTGTTGGCCGATCTTCATACCGAGGCAGATCTTGGAGAAGGATGTGTTCCAGTAGGAGGGCAGTTTAGTCTCTTGTAAGTCAAACCCAGTCTTCCCTCCGTCAAGGTTAAAGGTTTCTTTGTTTCTCCAAAATGATGTATCGTAATGAAATGTTTGCTATAGTAGAAAGGAGGAAGAAATAGGAAAAATGTTCTTTAAAAAGAAAAGTGAAAATTAAGGTTTCTTTTTTCTTCTAAAGACAAAATCCTTACCGGAGAAGAGGAAAAAAAGATTTTGCAATGAAAGATCCATTACAATGGAAAGAATATCTGGAACGTCCTCGCTTCTCCAGCTTTATAATATAAAATGAAATTAGCCACAGCTGGCGAAATGGCGTTAACCGTCACCAATAAAAAACAAAGTAAACAAATACTGCACTCTTTAATCATTGATGCGATTGAAAAATGCCGAATTGAATATAATTATATTTTATTAACTCTCGCGTAATCGCAAGTACTGAGACCAGGCTTCTGCGTTTTGATGAAAACCTTGACATCGTCTGACAGAAACGGCAGGTGACCTCTGCTACTGACCGAGACATTCCAGAAGCTTAAAGGTGTTCTTAATACTTAAATCTTTCAGATCCAAGGACTTGGCATGTACCAACGAGAAGAAAAGTTAGAGCACCGAAGGCGCCTCAAACTTGGAGGCTGGAGTTATGCTCCCCCAGAAAATTTTATAATGTTACGTCATTAGTATGGAATTTCTGTCGCTGAGGTGCAGACGTTCCTCCTGATGAAAAGTCCCTAGCGACGAGGAGCAAGGAGAAACGGCTGTATTCGCAGGCTAGGATAATTGAAAATTACCGCTGACAGAGGCAAACCTGCATGTATTTAATTATTAATAACACATTTTTTTTCGTCGCCAACTAAGGGAAAAGTTACTCAAATGTCTTACCTTGTTGCCGTCCATCTTCATGACCGGTGTCCATCCTCCATCTCCGCATCCAAAATTTCCAAAGTGACAGAGAACTGAAACTAGTTTGGAGTCAAGGAGGAGAGTGACCAACTGTGTCACGTTTAACCTATACACAATGAAATCTCATTTTAGTTTTTCCAGCTCCTAACCGTCGGAGAGAAAAAATGGAATGTACCGTAACTGGTTGTAAAAAAAAAAAGGTTCGCTTTTTCTTACAAAAATAAATGAATCAATGGAATTCAATACAGTCTTAGTTAAATCTAAATTTCTCAGGTTGCCCATCACGTTACTGGGAGTTACTACACGATTAATGTACTTTGGACTGATATAATTTCACCTCCAGCACAGGTTGATATTTATTTTGGCTTTATGATACCAAGCTGTTCTGCTCTTCAACTAACTGTAATAAAGTGTATTTTAATAAAGTGTTCTGTAGGAATTAAATTCGGACATCGAAGATGGCTAAACAGCGTAGCAGATGTTCAGAAAAAAGGGCAAAGGGGCGACCGAAAAACCGCGAAAATGGTGCGCATGATGTTTATCCCATCTGACGTCAAGAACCCCTATTTTACCCGCGAGCTACCTGTAAGACTTGGATTGGTTGTTTTGGACTACTACGCAGAACATGTCACACAGATATTCAGTAGTCAGTTTTGCATGTTTTAATTATTGAAGCTCACGTACTTTCTCCAACCCGTTTAATAAGGACAACAGTTAAGACGGAGAACGGACACTTTTCTGTGTTCTGAAAGTCTTAAAATCTCATGTCGTCAACCCCGCTTTATGGTCACTGGTGACCACTGGCTACCTATAGCTGCCACTGTCTATTTCCTCGTCACAACCACGCACTAATTGCATACAATGAACCTTTTTCAAATAACTACAGATTTCTGTGGGTTAATACGATTTTGTTACTAAAAAAAAAGAAACTCCAATTAAAATAGCGTGCAAGTTTGATTTTGATAAGGCAGTCTTTCTTCCCATTGGCCCTTGTATGGTCTGAGCTCATTTTAAAATGCCTGTAACAAGCCACTCCACCCCTCAACCGCCAAAAGGTATGTGAAAAGGTAAGGACGTGGACCTCGGGGCAGGGATTATCACCGTAAAAATTTGTTGAGTACCCCCTGGGGATAAAGTGCTTGCAACAAGCCACTCGAACCTTTAACCATTAGAGACGAATGGAATGGTATACGAAGGGAGTACCTTTTCTGCAAAAATGATGGGCATAAAACGTAAGGAGTTAGACCCAGGGCTAAGCTTGCCCTATAAAACTTAATTGAGGACCTTCCGGGGGAGTTTACGATAATTATTATATGACAGTTTGGGACTCGGGACACAAGAAAAGTGTTTGTTTTCCATATTAACCAGGTTTACTTATGAGCACTGAAATATCTGAACTTTTGTCGGTACAAACGAACCATTCGTTTTATACGGGTGTTCGTATTAAACGAAACGGCGGGGTTCAACCGCATTTCATCAACAACTTTTTTTGCTGGAGGGCCTTCATTGCAGGATGGTGGTGTTCACAGATTATGGTTTTTATTATCTTAACAGTACCAATCATTTGTTTTAAAAATTCAACAGTTTTTACAAGTTTAGGTCTCTAATAACCCTAAGTTTCCAGAGTGGAGAACAAAGGCTGAAATAGAATTCATCAGCCACGATACGAATTCTAACATGTACAATTAATTAAGTGATATCGACTTTCCCTGCAACACAATTGTATTCCGTTTTTGAGGCCTGACGGCTGATTTTTGGCTTATAAACACAGTACTGACGCACTCCGAATGATCCCCCGGACTTTAAGTGATCTATCCTCATCAATTAAATTACTATGCATAGGTTTACCCACTTTTCTGTGAGCTGATTATAAACATCTTGGCATGAGGACTTGGCAACTGTAAAAAAGAAGTAGATAACGTAATAAATCAATCAGTTAAAAAAGAAATGAATTTAAACCTATTTTGTTTAGAGATAAAGCAAATTCTGAAAACCATGGCTGTCAAAACTCGGTTGCCATGGTAACATCAATGTTGACGTACACGTCACAACGCCTTTAAAATTTTCCAAGATAAATTTTAGGTAAAGCCGCTAAGTTTGGTTGTCCTAACTTGAAGGGGGGTCCCGGTCTGAATATCAATTACCTTCTTCGCAAAATTCTCCATAGAACCCTTCTTTGCAACGGCAGTCGAACGAGTGATACTTATAGTTCGCTACACAGGTGCCTCCGTTCTGACAAGGTGATGACATACATGGAGTCTGAAATAGTTTAAGAAAAGGTTGATGTCAAATGCCATATAATTAAGGTAATTTCGTTTTGCGTAAAAGTGTTGATGGCAGAAGTAAGAAAAAAAAGGAGAAAGTGACATTCGACTGAATAACCCCGACTTGTTATCGTGCAGTAGTCACTTTTACGTCGATTAGTGTTCGTGACAGGTTATTAAAAGTCGCATAGACTGGGATATCAAAAAATATCTTACTTTAATAAACTCTATGCAAATATTTTACCCCACCTTGATGGAAAAGTGATGAAAACTCTCGTTCCTTTTATATTCTTCAGGACTGCTGTACTTTTCTGAGGATAACAACTCACACCGCAACTTTCCATCTGCTCCTTTGTAAGCTGCCAGGTTGAAGGAGAAACAGGAAGGATCGCCGAGGCATTCAAAGGTGCAGTCAAGGCTGTCATACACTGTAAACGTTCCAACTTTAGAAACGTTTAAATAATGGTACTCGTCCTTTATAAAAACATCTTGACGAAGACTGTGATGATACATGGTGGTAAATTCTGAAGAGAAAGAATGAAGGGTTAAATTTACCTTTTTAGAATGAATGGGTCGTGCATATTAGAAATCTCTTAATTTAGGGAGTTCCTGGCTTTAAGAATGGCTTTTAAAGTGGAACGCATTAAGTGAGCTGAAACTCAAAAACGTAGCTAAAGTAAGAGGTCAGAGGAAGAAAAATAGGGAATTATTTTCTGATGGAATTAAGTATTTTTCTGCCAGTTCTTAGGTACTTGATATTTATGACTTTTAACAGTCCGGGCCACTATCAGATCTGAATATATGATGACGTCACCTACATTTGCAAAATGGCGCCCTCGCCGAGAAACACAGGGGAAGGTCACTTCCAGGCTCTTTGCTGCACCTATAAGTGTCTTTTCCCCATTCTAATTTGAGAGCTGTGACTTTAGACAGCGAGAAATCAGGGGTGTGAAGAAAACATGCCGTCCGATTAACGTTTGTGCGTTCTTGGGAGGCAAAACGACCGAACACGAGAGTTTTTCAGCTCAAAGAAATGCCGGACAAGGCGCAAAACATCTAAAAAAGAAGGTGAGTTTCAATTTTCTGATCCTTGAAAAAAAAGTTTTTGAAATCTACATAAAATTTGCCTGTTGGTGGTGGTCTTTTTGGTGTAGTGCATAGCGAATTCAAATAGTGCTGTGCTTTGGAAGATGCAACAGTCAGTTGCGCCGTTCACGTGCCGCTGCTTTTCATTGTATCGCAATGTTTATTTTTATCTTGCAGTCGGATGGAAAAGCAAAAGCACCTTGTTTTTGTGGCAAAAAGATGCCGCCAGTTTGTTCGTGGAGAACCGTAACCATGGTCTTGCCTGATCACAAAGTGGCAATAACAAAACAGTTCAAACACTGTTAAGCTTATTCAAAAGCTATTGTCAAGGAAGGGAATACGCGCTCCGCAGTCAGAAGACTCGCATTTATAGAAAAACACCAAGCTGGAGTCTACTGAGTCACAATGCATTTCTCCATATTTGATGCAGCTTCAGTTGAAGCTGTACTTAATTCTTATAATTTAGTATCTATAAATCACTATCCGTGATAATTTAAGATCCTGCAAAGAAAACTCACAGCGTGATACAACACTGCAAAAAAAAAAACATTTTTATTTACATTCACGGACTAACAAAAATCGCTTAGTTATTCAGATCTAGCAGGCACTTTGGGGAAAATTAAAACCCTTATTCAGCCGTAATAAAATGCTTTACGCTTCAAAAACTGAGGTCACAGAAAATGCTCTTGCATTAGAGGGAAAATCCTTCAGACCAGACACAAAAACCACAGTAAATCGATGTGTGTGCCATGACCTCTCAGTGTGCAACAAGCGGCTAAAATCTCAGTGAAAATGTACAATCTTCCAGATCATAATCTACCCAGCAGAGGAAAAAAACTTCATTGAAACGAGCAGCATTTTGGCATGAGTTAAAATTCGTGTAGGCCTACCACCCTACTTAAATGTTATTAGAACACGATAAAGTCCACCTCTGAACTGGTGAATGGTATTTTAATATTTTCATCCGCAATGGGTTTTGCACAACGAAAAGACAGACATTGATTAATGACTGTTTACGACCCTTCGCGAGTGCAATTTACAGAAATTTTATTTATTTTTTTTACCTTCGCATATTAATCCAAGATGTTTGACGATTGAAATATTGAAAATTGATATCCAGCACTCCTTCGATCGCAATTAGATTTTAGCGCGTATGGTATTGTTGGTTTTCACATGACGTCACTAAAATTCAAAATACAAAACTATCGATCCAACTGAGATTTTACTTTCATGGTGTATTAGAGCAGCTGAAAACTAATTTTCAAACAAATTTTCGCTTCAAAAGGGTTCTTGGTTTTGTAATAGAGTACGCTTGAATTTCTAAGCTTTTGCGTGACGCAGCATTTACATTACGGCCGAGAAAGCTGTCATTTAGGTTAAAAAAGTAACTTTTTTCGAGGAATTTTGCTATCTAAACAGTTCAAGTATTAGAAAGAGTATTACTTTAATGTTTATGAGTTCCTCTAAGGGTAAATTCACGCTTTTGTAGCAAAACTCGGCAACAGATGTTTCTGTTGGTTTCCGTCCGCTATGTTGGAGCTCATCCGGATGAGCTCCAGCATGTCGTCTCCATACAAAGCTCTATAAATTTGGGTAAAACATTTCCTCGGATATCTCGTATACGAATTATTCCTTCGACCCAAATCTTGGCGAGGGTCTTTGTATATTTACCTCCTTTCACTTCCCAGATTCTGGGCTTTATCTGTCGAATGGTTTTGATTTTTATTTTGATCTATTTTGAATGGCGTGACACTGAAAACTTGCAATTGCTCCCGAAGAAGCATAAAGCATACTACTCTAGGCCGAAGCAGTGCTCGCAAAAAGTACTCCAAACACGACTTCTTTATACCTTTCCACTTAAAATGTATCAGTATTTCAAGTATTCAAATTGCCTACTCTTCCCTTTCGATCGGTGTCGTCGAGTTGCTTCGGGGCTCTTGATATCGGAAGTCCAGGCGTTTTTACAGAAACCTTCCTCGATCATTATCATCTTGATATTTGTAAATCGAACGCTAAGACGCATAAAATCATCTCGATTAATCGGTTTGGTAGTACATGCTGTTAAGTTTCTTCAAGGAACATCCCAGCCATAGCGGAGAGCCTCCCAGGGGGGTACATGTTCCCTTGTTCCCTAGAAAAAAATGGAGTTTTTCCTTGTTCCCCAAAAATAAATTAAGATGTTCCCTGAAATTCACTTTCATCAAGTTCCCCTGTTCCCAGAAATTCTGTTGCATGTTCCCTTGATCCCCAGAAATATTAATTAATGTTCCCCAGAATTTCAATCATATTTCAGTTTTCGATGGTCAGTATTTTCGTAAGTTTTACCTCGTTAGTCATAGTAGAGATAATCCTCAGGAAAACGCCTCTTTCGTCTCCTTGATGAATGCCGCATCACCTCTGGTTCATCAACAGAAATTTCTGTCGCCTCTGCAGGGCCGTAGCCAGTATGAGGCAAACTGAGGCACTTGCCTCAGTCATTTAAGGTTTGATCCCAGTGTTTTGTTTAAACGTAGTCATCATAAAGACCCTAAATAGCTAGGCGGGGAATTCAACCGTAGATATTGCCTCAGTCCTTATTTTTTTTCTGGCTACGGCCCTGCTCTGTAAGAGTGAGGACATCACTTGTCTGTTGAATTTCATCCTGAAGTAGGATCCGCTCTTCCTCCTTAAGTTGCAAAACATCTTGATTATGTTTGTAGGTCGTCAAGATACAAATAATGCTATCTACCTCAATGTATTTCTCTGAATTTTCCGAAAAGCATATTAAGAAATAAGCGTTGACAGGTCAAACACGACTCATAAGCTCGTGATAATATGAAACGTGACCTTGAGAGTCTGCTTGAACAAAGGTTCTCTTTCTTTTTCTCTCGCGCAAAGGTTACTAGCACTACAGAGTGCAAGAGGTGTAGCATTCTAAACTTTGACTGAGTAAATCTTGTTTTTTGCCGCACTAAATCTTATTCTTGGTTTTCACGTGACGTTACGGGCATTTCCAAATTGGGTTGTCGGCCATGTTGGTGTCCCTTCCGACCGTGAAATTTGTGATAATAGTATGTCGGATCTCGCAACTCTTTCGTTCTCTTCGAAATTTTGCGGTCGTAAATGGAATTATCGGACGGAAAAAGCGATCAGGACTCAGATAGGACCAGTGCGAGTATCCTTGATCTTTCCGAGTTCGCCAAAAGCCTCGAGAGCCAAGTAAAGACACGATATATTCAGAAAATGTTCCTACTTGGAGTTGACCCGGTCAGCATTCCAACCGAGCAGTTCGACCCAGAATGTTTGCCACGTATTGAAGCCACTGATTTGCTAGGATATCTGGTTTTAGAGACTAGCTAGTATACGAAACGGCAGTTCAAGGCCTACAAGAGTTTGGAAGCCTTCAACCAGATTGTTTGGGGATTCGTGACCTCTGTAAGAGGAAATATTAAGTGTACCTGATAATGTAACTAACCAAAATGCCTTGCTTTGCGACAATATTTGTCTCTGCAAGTCCAAAGCAACCTCAACAGATAAACTACTAGAGTGCCACAGCACAGACTGTAAGAATAGTAAATTTTTTCATTTAAGTTGTCTTATAAAAAAAGGATGCCAAACAATTGTAAGACTAGCTGACAGTACTGTGTGTAAACAGCCAAACAGGTCAGTGCCACCATGTACTTCTTCAACTCAGTGGAACAGTTTCATCATTACCTGTGCCATTGTCTGTACCATCAACATCCAACATCCAAACTGATTCTGTTAGTGGAAGTGATGATGATGTTGAGATCAGGTGAAATTGACAAACAGAGTGCTTTGGCAAATCTTACACAGATTCAGGCTACCAACCCAGAATTGTCAAAGTGCCCAACATGGGACACAGTTATGACTGGAGGTTGATCTGTTTCAGAATCAATAATTATAAAACTGTATTTCCTTGAAAAATAGCTGGGGCAATAATGTTTATGTGCTTCCAAAGGGGTATAGGTAATAATTATTATTTGCGGCAGATTTTACAGTGTACCAAGGGAAATTATTTTGAAAAATAAAAAGGGGTACATCATTCCACAGCAGGTTATTGAAAGGACAGCTATTCTTTGATGAAATATGTTTTTAGAAAATATTATGCTAAGGGTTTGGTCTTAAAGGAGAACTCCCGGGTAAAATAGACCTTTTTCTAAATGAATGGCCTACATTAGTTACCACTAATTTAAGTGACTGTTTGTTATAACGAAGATATTTCACCTGAAAGAGGAATTAAAAATGCAAATAGCATTCCAACATCTTGAAAAATGTTTGCCTGCTCAGAAATGGGTCAGCGTTTTCATTTTTTGAACTAATGGTGATCAGATCAGCGTCTAATTGCTCATTGTTGATAAATGTACATAATATTGTACTCATGAGAAAAACATGTCACTAGAATCCCGGTTTCTCAGTCCCTTGATTTCTTAAGCCCATAATTTTACTCCTGATATCTGGAAATCCTGATTGCTTGAACCAGTTATTATTTCCCTTGTGGGTTAAAAAAGTCAGGATTCCACTGTAGATACATACATACATAAAGTTTGTGGCTCGATATCTCCGTAGAAGAGTGCTCAGTACATAAAGTAGAGCGTGAAAAATATTGTTAGCGGAAAAATAACATTTCTATCCCTACAAGCCTGTTTCGTGATTGCTCACAACATACATACATACATACATACATACAATTGTAAACAATGTGCCCTCCCGGTTGTCACCATAATGCCTTTATGGCAACTCCTGAACTTGTAGTGGAATGTTTTTCTGCCCAGTGGCAGACCTAACTAAAGGGATATTTAGCATCTGTGAGTCTGGGTCTGCCGGTTGCCTACAGTACTGCGTAGAATTAATTGATCGCTAAGGTACCCAGGGGCTAGTCCCGACATACATTTAAAAGCTAACACAGCATCTCTAAAGTATAATATTGGTCTTTTACGGGTAACCAATTTAATGATTTAAGGATAGGTGTTACATGATCATACTTACGCTTTTTAGCAACGATACGTGCTGCAAAATGTTGTACTAACTGTAATTTAACTACATTCTTCATGGTAGTATTAGACCAAACAGAAGAACAATAAAATAACCTGCTGAAAACTACTGCATTAATTACGGGTTTGAGTGTTTTTGCTCAAATACCTGTTTCACTGTCATCTCAAAAGACAATTTTTTAAAACTTTTCTTGTTGTTTGAAACATTAACAAATTATGTAATTAAAAGAAGTAAGAAAATTGATGACATGAGAGTCTACATCTTCAAAAATTGTCATTTTGAATCAATTAAAATGTTTTAGATATTTGTTAAGGACACATTCTTACTGACCTTCACCTACATTAAGTTACTGTTCACAGAAGCACATAATTATGTTAAACTTAAAACTGGCAATACAGTGAACTCTCTAGTAAGCAGGACACCGTTGAGACCAGCTCTAGGTGTCTGCCTTAATTTAACTGTAACTAAACTCTCTTTAAAAGAGAGTTTAGTTACAGATGAACAGCTCTAATTTGCCTGAGTTAGGACCAGTGAAAGCTGTCCGCTGCACAGAAGTGTCTGGTATACCGGGGTGTCCATTTAAAAGAAGATAACTGTACAACTGAAACTAGTCAAATGGTATTATAGGTGGGCATAAGTTAATAAGTGCGGAGCAAACCCTCACAATACGATCAATCATAGGAATCTGTGATGCAGGTGGTCCATTTGGGTTGCAAGCAAGGAAATCTGTTGGAAGTGTGCTTTCCAAAATGGTATACTTGCGCCGCAACAACCCTATCACCCTCTCCACGTGGATACGAACACTTGCGATGCCTCTGGTTTTTCCACATCAACTGGATCCAACTGGGATTTCCCTTTGTGAAGGCTGGAATAACCAGCTTGGCTTGCTTTAAGCCAACACTTTCTGCAATCGTGAACCCTCTATCAGCCATTACCATGTCTCCTGGTAGCAATTGGTCGAGAAATCCAGAATGCTCTGTCAGATACTTATCAGAGGTGCGGCCTCCCAGGCTTCACTAACAAAAGACACAGTTCCTTGGGGTGTAATACCAATGAGAATCTTGATCGTATTGTGGTGTTTGTACGATGAAAATGTTTGTGCTCTGGCTAACAGATTTGACGGCCTTTCGATAAACACCTCAAAACAGTCAATGATTACAGTTACTTTCCTTCCAAATGCATGTTGAAAACACATTGGCATTGTTTTCCATAACTGCTCCCCTATCTGGCCAGGAAACAAGAGGAAACAACCTGGTGTCCATAACAACCAGCCAGGAGGAAAAAAAATCCTTGACACAGTGGGCACAGATACCATGAAACGGTAAGCCAGATCTTGAAAGGGTACATTCAATCGCAGTTTCATCAGGACCATGACAAATTCCTGAAATCTGCTGAGGGAGTGAGTTTTGCGAGTGACATGTGGAGACACGTGTTCAAAAGCAACCATTAGAATCTCAAATGATGGCAGTCCCGTATAAAAACGGACCTTGTCGTCAGATTGAAAGAAATCTTGGTCGGGTGCTTGATATCCGCTGAGCCTGGAGAATATATATTCAAACTCTTCAGTCTGAGTTTCAGCGTCGACTGGTGGAAATGTGGCAGATTCTTCTGTCTGTGTTTCAGCGTCGTGAAATACAACCGCCATTGTTTCTTCATCGCTCGCACAAGCGGCTGAAGAAATATCAGGCTGTTGAGTATCAGGCTCTTCAGGCTGTATTTCACCGCTATGGTCTTCGACTATTTCGGATGAAGTACTCGTTGACGCTTCCCTAAAGTCCATGTTAGCAACCTGTTCGCCTCTTTGGTCCAAGAGCTTTCTTTTCCTTGCAGCTTCATTCTCTTGTCGTTCAATGACTCTTTCCTTCGAGCCTTTGCTCTCTCGGCTCTTTTTGTCGCAGCCTCGACGTCTTTCTGTTTGTGTATTCGTTTACCTAAGTTTAAGGTCGGTATCCAATCGACGTTAAATTTGTCCCAGTTCGGTGACGGCCTTCCTGACACAAAGTGGCGTTCACAAACTCGCTCGTTTTCCAGGACGTTCTTCGTATCAGTATCGTCTCGACTTATCGCCGAAATCCAACTATTTATCCTCTCAGTGGTGAGATCTTCGAACTCTTCGCCTTGATGTTTAACAACTGATGGTATACGAAAAAATCCTTGGGTGTTTCCCTTTCCACTTTTCCTTCCACATCCAACGACAACGCACAGAACCATCTTGGTTTGTTTACACTTGAGGACACCAACATGGCGGATAGCAACCGTTGCCAAGCGGTGGGTCACGTGGGTGAAAACCAAGAATATTTAGAGGTCATGAAGCAGGTTTGTTACATACATACTGAGTAATCATTTCCTGTGGTTTATGCTTCGGTAGGTGTCCCTCATAGGATTTGATTTCAGATGCAGTTGTAAAGTGTTTTATATCCTTTGACCTCTGTTTATTACGGCTGAATAAAGATTTTAGTTTTTTTGGTTTTCTCCGAAATGACTGTATCTGAATAACTACATGCATGCATGCAAGTTTCTTTGTCCGTGAATGTGATTATTTCCTGCCATGTCAATATGACTCTGGGCCCAGCTCTATAGTGTGGTTTGCAGGATTTTGAATTTCCACGGATAGTGCGATCTTCAGATATGAGTTGCACACTGTGGCTTAAAACTAAAGCTACACCAAGTTTGGAGAAATATGCCGTGCGTCAGTCAAGATAATTCTCTTAGCGCTCACACAGTCCATTTAGTTTTTCTTAACATAAGTGAGTCTTTGAACTAGAGCGCGGTGTCTTGTTGTTCCTTCGTAGGTATTTTCTTAAGTTTTTCCTTGATGCCAAATCCTTTCTGCAAGCGGCTTAAAACTGACGTAAAATCTTTATCTGAAACAGTCCTCATACCGAGTTCAAAACACCATCTTTCTGTGGGCTTTTCATTTCCATTGTGATAAATTGCACCGGTAACCGGTACAATTACCGTTGTGTCTGATATATCCGCAGATTGAGCTTGAATTCCTTCTGTTTCAGTTGCCATTTATCAATAAATGGTTAGCGTTTCTAGACATGGAACACCAAAGAGAAAATTACCATAAAAATGGCGGTCCACCCAACGGAGTCTCTCCCAAGGTTCCCACGCATTCTAAACTCGTCCCCAGTCGTCACCAGTTCACTTGTGAAGATTAGTCACCAGGCTTAGTCGTCGGAAATGCGTGAAATTACAGAAACGTCGGAAATGTCTTCATAAACAGTTAATGGAAATCTCTCCAAAAGTTAGAAAATGGTCGAAAGTCAATGTTGGTCAATGTTCCCTTGTTCCCGAATATCCCTCAACAGTTCCCTTGTTCCCTTAAAGTTATTTTGAAATATCCCTTGTTCCCTAAAAGTAAATGGCGATGTTCCCTTGTTCCCTAAAATCCCTGGGAGGCCCTCATAGCGCTCTTTGCTGCGACATTTCTGTCGAACTTAGTCCTTTCGCGGTCAAATCAATGTGTTGGTTGCGTTCTGGACCAATCACATTGCAGGAAATTACATATCCAGATGTGGTTGTGGCCCGGACTGTTTAAAGTCATGTAGTTCTATAAATCATACTTTTTGTGAGCTTTAAAACTGATTAAGATTTATTAAGTTTGAAGCAGCCACTCGACGATGGCGGCAACGATCGAACGTCCGAAAACAATTTGTGTAATGAAAAAATAACAGCTCCGCACGTGCATCACACTTTGGGGCACATTTCTTAGGGCCTGTTTACATGGAGGTGGGGGACCCCAGTAAGGTGAGGTAAACCGCGTAGGTGGGGTAACCCGCCTGTCCATATAATCTCTCATTTTAAAGGAGCTGTGTCACGAAATTCAGGCAAATTAGGAAATTACAAAATGCCCGTTAAATTGAGAGAAACATAAAAATAGCCTCTTAAAACTTTAAAGCAAGGTTAAAATAACATAACAGAAGCAACAGATGCTACGGATGGGCAAAACTGAAGAAGGTTGAGACGGATTGAAATTAGGGATTTTGAAAACTGTTCAGCTTAACAGTTTTTCAAAGTTTATCCCTGCTGCTTGCAACTTCAAAAATAATGCTCAGGAGACATATTTGTTTGTCTCGGATCTCTAATTTTGTCATCTAGTTCAAGTACAGTAGTGGTTTTAATAGCCAAAACTGGACATGTCTGTATATCGTATCGCTAACATTGCAACAGGATTCCTATTGTTAGGGAATAGATTAGCCTACGCACAGTCCCAACTGATAAGTACTAAAGAACGAAGGTCAGCTCTAACACCACAAGCACGACCACCTGTAAAAACTAACATCTGAGAATGCCAAGCGAATAACATTCCGAATATGGTAACTGAAAAAAAATTCACGAGCTAAGCGTGAATTAAATAAAGTACAAGTAAAAACAAAAGATCAAAAACTAAACTTAAAAGATAAGATAGATCTGTCTAAAAATAACTTTCAAAATACTCCACAACAAATGTATACTTTCAGTTGAAAATATTTTTTTTTTTAGGTTATGAGCACTGTCACTCATTTAAAGTAGGCTGGATTAAGAAATGTCCTTTTTGCAACCTCAATTTACCCATCGTGGTTTAAGCAATCAGCCGTGGAGTCGTTTGTTTTAGGTACCAGCTGGCGTAACAAGCCTGCCTAGCAATGGAGGGGGGGGTGGTTTTGGTAAGGAATGGAAACCCATGTAGCCCGTCTGCAGCTCTTGACACTTAAAAAATGTCTCTGCTAGAAGTTTCAGTACTTAAGCTGTTGAATAAAGAACTAGCTAGGGAAGACAATCGTCTCACGATGACCATAACAATTTTTTTTTTCCACTTCTTAATTTTCTCACTACTGAGTCTGAGTCGTGAATGGAGAGACAATTTTAACGATGACCAAACCAAATTGTTTGCCAAGTTTTCCCCCAGTGACTAGTGCTATTTTCATTTCCAAGGGCAGAAGCGTCTTTGCATTTTAACCATGGTGTCTTTAAAAAGAAAACATAGTTTACACCCACAGTCCTCACTTAAATCGGAGCTCTTACACATTCTCTCTAACGCACTCACCGGAATTTTTAGTTACCAAGGAAAGTCATATGTTACATACAAAGCACAAGAAGTCATGTCCGTCTATGTCCTTCTATATAAATAAAAGAAAACTAACCTTCCATTTGAGCAAAAGCCGCATTTGGTATCACAGAAAACAACGGAATGAGGGAAAACGAGCAAAAGTAAAAAGAGAACATCGCCGATTAGTGGGGAGAGACTGTTGGAGAAGTCCGTGAAATTGAGGAACCTGACAAACACTGTAAAACATTGACTCTTTTTCTAAAGCGATGGGTGTTCTCAAAAACCATTAATTTATATGCAATATTAAATGTTAATTATCTATGAATTTCTTTTCAATTGTGTGTGTCGCTTCTGGCAGCCAGACTAATAAGAATATCAATCAAACCTGAGTTGTTATGTCTGATCAGCGCGTCTGTTGTATTGCATAGTTAGTAAACAGTCTTTGGAAGTTTAGAGATGCTTACCATTTACACAAACCACCCAGGTGGAAATCTGGTGCATAGATATAAAACTTTTCACCATAACGTACCTTGTTTACACCCCAAAATTTGGCACAACCGTTGTCTTCGATTTCTCTTGGGACGACTGTATTAAGAGGTGAAAAAATTGGAAACAATGGTGATGAAAAATGGGGGTGGGGGGCAAACGAGGTGTATAATTATGGTCTCGGTGAAAATGGTAAATAAAATTTCACGTAGTTTGAGAACGATCCGCTACAAATTATATCCAAATCGGCTGAACAAACTGAAAAGAGTACAAAAATTACTTCGTCTTAAATCTTCTCTGAAGGTTGGAATGACACAAACAAGCGGAATGTCCAGCCCCTCCAGTTTTCCCAAGTAAATGTTAAATTACACAGGTGTTCAAACTTCTTTTTCATCCAGACGCGGTATCATCATTCGTTTTGTCTAGGTATGGAGTTTTTTTGTAACTGCGCATGCATTAAGCACCAGATTACTGTAGAAACAAGCGGACTATCAGCCCGAAATGCATGAGTTATACAGGGGGTCATGAGCTATTGACTCAGGGGGCCATGAGGGCGAGAGGAATAATTGTTTTAGTAAAATCCAACTAGGTGCTCAAAAATATCGAGACAAAACAACTTTAACTAGCAAAACGCTATTCAACCGCCATTGTTTTGGTTTTCAAAGCCGGCGCTTTTCGCTACTAGTGGGCTATAACATTTTAGCCTAGTAGCTATAGTAGCTCAACCAATCAGAACGCAGCATTGATAATAGACCACTAAAGTTGGATTTTACTAAAGAAAGATATTTGCACCGCTCTTGCAGTATTAAAAAACCAGTTACGTTGGGCCTTAGATAATTTGCACCTCGTGACATTGACGTCTATATTTATATACTATATATTTCTATAATTGGCACTTCCACCCAGCCCTGGATATATCATGTGCTTCTGAAAACAAAATTATAACCAGGTAACATTTCTGGGATCACATGTAGGTTTTTTTTCTGGTGTATAATTCTCTTGAAATCAAACATTATTTTACGAAAGACTTTAATGGTTTACATCCGGCCGACACTCAACAATTAATGAATAATTCATAAATAAAAGCATTCATTGAAGTGTAAGCCATTCTGTCCAGTCAAAAATGTAACAGTACGAATGCAATACTAGGATAGATTAAACAAGATTGCCGTTACCGGTCTGCCATCCTCGTTCTCCTCCATCTTGAAAAGACCTCAAGACGATGTGCAACACCGCTGACAGAGTACGTTGTGTAAAACCGCTGAAAATTTATTGGAAACCCCGCCAAAAATCCCGCCAAAAATATCCTAACTCGAAAATCCAACTCGAAAATCCAACTGGAAACCCAACTCGAAATCCTGACTCGGTAAATAGGCAACCTCGTCTGCGCATTGCATTTTGCGTGTTCTGTGTTAAATTCAGGGTAAGGATTTACTAACGATGACAAACACAATAACCCGAAGCGAGGATTCTGACATCGATGTAAAGATTCGAACGAGCTCTGATATACATCGCTATGTGTACGGCCCTAGACGTAAAATTGATGAACACAAAATTCCACCATTTTAAATTCTCTTGATAAATTCTCTTTAAAATTTTGTTGAGCTTGCAACTTTTATTACATTATAAAGTCAATAAACGCCTCCTTTGAGTCTCCTGTCTATACGCCCCCAAGGGGTCCCAAAATTCAATAAAGGTCCCAGCGGGCGTCCGAGCTTCTAATGGATCAGCAAGAACCTTGACTGCGCAAAATATTTTAGATATAAAAGAGCGCAGTCAATCAGATTTAACAAAGAAAACTCATTATTAAACTGAGATTGTATTTCAGATTTTCTAATTTCACTCTTGAATGAAAAAATAAAGTAGCAATGGAACCCAAAACACAACACGAAATTTTAGGTGGCAGAAAAGTACGTGGATGGAAACCATTCACACAACTGCATCCTATCCTTCCCAAGGGAGATACTTCCAAAGCAAAATCACTCTAGAAATTTATTAGCTAAAATATTATCTCGTGAATCAAATTCGGTTTCCAAGTATCATTTGAGTGCGTGGTTCAAACTCCGATTCAGTCTCCTCTGGAACCGATTGATCACAATTTGAGAAAGATCATCCCAATCTGAAAACTTTCCCAACCCACTTTATGACTAATTTAAGCCTATGAGTACATTTCAGTTCCCTGAGTTTCTATTTTTCCACGTTAACACTGACCGTTTCTAATTACCGATACAGGACGGTCCTTATTTTATTTTCATTACTACAGTAGTTTGAAATTTGTAAACTCTTCAAGGACGCTTATAAGAACTTGGAAAACAGACCACGTAGAAAAGCTAATATACTCGCATCACCAACTTCGTCCTCTTCAAGTGCTGATCTAAGTAAAGCACAATAATGAAAAAAAAACAATTAAAAACTGAAAACTCACCTCCAATCTCAAAATAAGATAGTTTTGTTAGCGGGTAGAGTAATAGCGAGACTGGATTACAGTAACCAATAACTTTTAATCCTAGTTTCTCATTGTGTCTTTACTTCTAATGAACAATGGTTAACTTTAATTCAATCTAGACATAGTCTATTGTTTATCCACAAAAAACGAAGAGAGAAAAAGAGTTTCCTTAAACTACACTTTCTTTTTGGTGCCAAAGGTAAATTAGCGCCGAAAATCAGTTTCTTTTTACTGCACCAAAATATATCCCATTGCCTTGATATGCTTCTCGCCATTATCTGGCCCCAACACACTAGCCTCGTTTCCGCATGTGTTGTTGTTATCATGATCTCCTCCAGTACCAAACCCAATTCTAGAGTCACAGGTTCTGCAATCGCCGATGTTGTCACCAAGGATACCGATCCTGGCTTTGGAAAAACGAGAATCTTTAGACACAGCATTGAACCCTTCCTTGTTACAGATTTTCTGTAAGGAGGCCTCAGAACCAATCAGTGACTTCCACGTGTCAAGACCCAGTGAGGTGTGGCGGTATTGCCCATCAGCGATCAGAGAGTACAAGGAGTTCGCTTGCTTGTTGATAACAATAAACTTGATCTGCTGGCCGATCTTCATACCACGGCAGATCTTGGAGAAGGATGTGTTCCAGTAGGAGGGAAGTTTGGTCTCCTGTGAGTCAAACCCAGTCTTCCCTCCGTCAAGGTTAAAGGTTTCTTTGTTGCTCCAGAGAGTGGAGTTGTAGTGAAACGTTTGCTGTGGTAGAAAGGAGGAAGAAATAGAAAAATTGTCCTTTAAAAAGAAAAGTTCAAAGGTTTCTTTTTTCTTCTAAAGACTACATCCTTCCCGGAGAAGAAAAAAAAACCGAATTTGCAATGGAAGATCAATTACAATGAAAAGAATATATACAACGTCCTTGTTTCTCCAGCTTTATAAAATGAAACTAGCCGCAGCAGGCAAAATGGCGTTAATAGTCACCCGTAGAATAAAAAGTAAACAAATACTGCTCTCCGTAATCATTAGTTGGTGATTGATGCGATTGAAAAATGACGAATTGAATATAATTATCTTTAACTCTCGCGTATCTGCAAGTACAGAGACCAGGCTTCCGTGTTTTGATGAAAACCTCCACATCGTCTGACAGAAAGGGCAGGTGACCTCTGCTACTGACCGAGATATTCCAGCAGAAGCTTAAAGGTGTTCTTAATACTTAAATCTTTCAGATCCAGGGACTTAGCATGTACCGACAAGAAGAAAAGTTAGAGCGCCGACGGTGCGCCTCAAACTTGGAGGACTGGGGTTATGCTCCCCCAGAAAATTTTACAATTTCACGTCATTAGTATGGAATTTCTGTCGCTGAGGTGCAGACGTTCCTTCTGGTGGAACGTCCCTAGCGACGAGGAGCAAGGAGAAACGGCTGTATTCGCAGGCTAGCCTAAGGATAATTGAAAATCACCGCTGACAGAGGTAAACCTGTATTTAATTATTAATAACACATTTTTTTCCACTCGTCGCCAAACTAAGGGAAAACGTACACAAATGTCTTACCTTGTTGCCGTCCATCTTCATGACCGGTGTCCATCCTCCATCTCCGCATCCAAAATTTCCAAAGTGACAGAGAACTGAAACTAGTTTGGAGTCAAGGAGGAGAGTGACCAACGGAGTCACGTTCGAGCTGTACAAAATGAAATATCATTTTAATTTTTCCAGCTCCTAACCATCGCGCATCGCAGGCTATTTATCTATGGTTTTATACACTGACAAAGACGGAGCTTTGATAGCGGTAGACGAAGGACTGTTTCACAGGTATATAACGGGCAATAAAGAGTACTTGTAGTCACCAGCAAAAGTGGCCGGCAAAAGGATGTATGTCGTGGAATTATGCTGTGAGACTACGTGGTCCTGAAGGTGTTAAGACAAAATTTACTAGGAAAGGGCAAAGCAACTAAATAAAAAAGTGAAAGATCAATTAATATAAGTTTTCTTGCTCTTGTAGTGATAACTAATTAAGTTCGTCAGTCAAGGAACACACAAGAACACAAGACACAAGAACTGCGTAAGAGAGTAGCTGTGGGACTCAATTAGCTCAATTATAATTATACGTACTGCGTACTGAAGGTAGCTAAGCTGACGGTTTACTTGCGACACCGCCATCATTGCATTTGCCAGGAAGAACTTCGAACAATAACAATCGAAATAACGTATAACGTAATGACAGCTGATAAATCACTTTACTATCTTATATTTCGATCTCACCCAGACGGGCGAAACAAGCACAGTTCGGGCGCATTCAACTGCACCGACATATTTCGTTATTTTAAGATCCTAAAAAGTAAACTTTGTAATTTTTACTCACATTTTCTTGTCAAAAAGATCCTTACACGATGAAACTGCACAACAAAATAAACAAGGGGGTAATTAATAGGCCAGAGTTGTCATATAAAGCTTGAAGAAAACAAGCCTATTAGAGACCTGTACAGTCTAATTATTCACATTAAAGTAACCGATTGAACCGAATTACTACCATACAGAACTGACCCAAACTACACAATCTAGTGACTTCCCTTAACACTCTTTTGGTCTAGCCGAGCATAATAATCGGCGTATGTCCCGGCACCCAATAAGGGCGAAACAGCCGTCCATGCGGCTGCCACTGCCAGGGTATGGTTCTGCGCATGTGTAAGGTAATGGCCATACCGCGGAAAATCTCGGAGTTGGTACGTGTGCTTCAGTGCTTAAATTGGTATTATTCTCTACAAGACCGATAAACGATGTTACAAGAACAGATGAGAAGAAAAAAGTAGTCTCCTTAATCAAAATAAAGACCAGCTCATAGCTACGGGAATTGGTTTCTCTCTTATGGTCACAAATTTATTCTTATTTCAACTTTCAGCAGGATTCTGTTAAAAAGATACCTTTAATATTAAAAATACTTTCCCAACCATTTTCTGTTTGAAAAGAAGACCTACGATTGTCTTCAGTTATATGTGTGTCCATATTCTATATCAAGACCCATTATGGCTCTTGTCTATATATAAAAATACTGCCTTTTAACCGTCATGGAATAATGGCCAAGTAAATTGTACTTTTGGCACTGAGTGACTTAACGGTATTGTCTGCTTACATAGTTGTCACTCTCACCTGGTTCACATTGCTGTGCATCTCCGTAATATCCCGGATGACAAGTGCAGTTGTATCCTCCCTTGGTATTATTGCAGTAAGCATTGGCACCGCACTTGTGGGTATTTTTTGTGCATTCGTCAATGTCTACAAAAACAGATTATAATTAGTCCATCAGATGGAGAAACTCGCCAAAAATGCAAGGTTGGCTAAAAGCTTTTGCTGTAGAGCCTAATGGCCGGAACATGGCGAACCCAAAATTAAAATGGCCACAACCATGCATTGGACATATGTACCATTCAGGAGCCTATACTTAATGAGAAAGAAAACGAAAAATCACAAGAAAAACATTGAAGTTCCAGACTTAGCCTAGATCAGGCTTCTTAGATGAGAAAAGGGGCGAATAGGAGGCTGTTCACACCATTATTCGCTTTTTTTGCTTCCTACTAAGGAACCTGATTCCAGGCCGATCCACATTTGAGGCTAAGAAATTAATAAAAGTAAACGCCAAAAGCTACATACCAGTTTCACAGAGTAGAAGGTTCATTAAATTGGCAATCTGTCAACAGTTTAACTTTCTCAGTTGTACCACTGAAACATTTGCCAGATAGACAAATATGTGATTTTGCTTCAAACAGTACACATCTTTCCCTGTTAGAAGAGGCCTAGAGTTTTTCCCTGGTATTCGAGATACCAGGTGCTAGCAGAGAGTACACCTCTTTCACTATTCTATATTTATTATAAGGTAAGGTATAATAAAGTGAGAATTTACCTAGTTCACATGTTTCTCCACTGCATTGCAGATTGTATGAGCAAGCGAAAGCGTCTTTTTCTTTGTCGAACAAACAAGAACCTCCGTTGAGGCATCCAGCCATCAGACAACCCTGCAGAAAATCACATTTTACTTGGGTAAGCAAAAGTTGTTTTCCATCGACTTCCTGCAGCTTTTTACACGTCTAGCAAAATTGTTTTAGGGCAAAAACGTTCGAATTCATGTGATCCTTGCAGTGCGTACTGATCTCTCAAGATACTTTTAAGGCGTAGTGCAAATCATATCTGTACAATATATACTTTGAACTTAGAAACCAAAATACAATTTCCATAAATCACAAGCTCGACGGACTCTCCTTGAATTTTTGAATTGCACTGCACATTTTTCTTAGCTGTAATTTAAAAACAAGTAAACCAATTGAAGGCAAGAACACATAGCCGTCAATAACATCAAAAAATTGTCCCGGATTGAAACTGGTAGCAAAAGGCAGTGAACATGACTGGCTCCAATACAAGACATATCCCCGCTTTGGATGCCATTTTTGATAAATGCATCCTAATAAAACTCAAATTTACTGTTTTTCCAACAGAACAGATGTGTATTAGTTAAAATTTATTTGAACGCAGTTCTTACATCGCGTGCGTTGTTGACAAACCTCTCTTCGACTTACCTTAAGAAACCTTGAAAACGTTGTGCCGGTATTATCGGTGAGCTTGGCGTCATCATCTGCAGTTATTGAGAACTCGTGCTTGTTCAGTTCACAATTCCCTGAGGACTCTTTGAAGTTAGAAGAAGTACACCAAGAATGCCTTAAACAAGCTTGACTGCATGACATTTCATCGGTAGAATCGATTCTCTTTACAGCATAGCCATGTAAACGCTTGTTCTCTTGGGCTACTATGTAGGAGGATCTAGATTCTTCTTCGGCCGCCAAATCTGCTCCAAAGATTAAGCAGAATATGACTGAGCAAATCATTTTATCCGGCCTCCTCTGTAATCTCATAGCGCCGTTTTCATCAACAAGGTGTGTGTGTGTGTAACAGAGCGATAAAAGGGAAGTTTTCTCAGGTAGAATTTGCAAGGAACCCTAATATATAGTAATTGTTAATAATAGCATGCTAAATTTATTAATAAATTTGAGCTCGATTGACTTGTACGTTGTCAGTGACGTGTTCTGTCAAAAGCAAAGATAGCGTAAATGATCTAATAGGCGGTCACTCTCAAATAAAGTTTGCACTAGACTTCCCTAAATGCACACTGTCTAATTTCGCAGCTGAAAGGAAATGTATTTTCCGCTGTTATTCCAAGTAATTAGTCGCAGTTGTTTTCGTTTCACACCTGCCGTACCCACTATTGTGCATTCTGTTTTACATGGATGTCCTGATTGGCCAGTTATTAGTACTTATACTCTCCGCTGTCTCTTGTGTACCATTAACGCTCGCGGTTCCATACAGTTTATTCATCTTTATGGTTTGTGTTCTGCTATTCGTGTGATGCCCAACGACCAAAAACAGAGCGAAGGTTCGTCCGTTCCGGCTGAAGTAGGCCAAACGTCTTCAGGTGATAGTGGAGGCAACTCAGCAGCCGTTGATCAAGTCTTTTCCATGTTTAAGGATTTTCTTGAGAAAAAATTAGAAGATAAAAGAAAAGCAAATCGAACAAAGGAGTAAGCTAGATAAAGAAGTTGTACAGCTACGGTTCAAAGGGAACCAGAAACAATTTGAGCCTAATGCCGAATTAGATGCCATTTTGTAAGCATTGAAATTGAAAGTGAAAGCATCGAGCCAAATTTGTCGCAAATCAAGAAACTTTCCAAAGAAGGCAGGCAACGTATTCGAAAGCGACAGAAGCTGATAAAAATCGCTGGTAAATAAGTAGCGACGGCTGGCAGGTTGTAGCCAAGTACGAGTCGGACGAGCTTGCATCCGGCTCCGAAGATGAAAAGCGTCTTAAGAAGGCAAGAGAAGCGCCGAGCCGCAAGAGACGTCAAAAGAAACAACTCTCTAGTGATCGTGGAAAGAAACCAAGAATTGCTTTGGGCGCTGATAATCAGCTTTTTCGTGGTAAGAAAAAGAGCCTCCTCTTTACTTTGTATATTCATGTGTTTTGGATCCGCTTGCGCATCCTACCATATTTCTCGTGTGATTTGTTTGTATTACGGGAATTAATTTAAGGGTAAAATGATTTACGTTCGTTTGAGCGAAGCGAATTAGAACGTAAATGTATTTTCCGCTGTTATTCCAAGTAATTAGTCGCAGTTGTTTTCGTTTCACACCTGCCGTACCCACTATTGTGCATTCTGTTTTACATGGATGTCCTGATTGGCCAGTTATTAGTACTTATACTCTCCGCTGTCTCTTGAGTACCATTAACGGTCGCGGTTCCATACAGTTTATTCATCTTTCTGGCTTACGCCCCCCCCCTCCCGTTTACTACAGGTTTCGTCATTGCTTTTATCTTTCAGGCCGTAGAGACACTTCTGGCGACTTCTTTCGCTGTTTCAAATGCGGCAAATTTGGACAGACTGGGCCAAGGACTCTAGATCCATGTTCTGGCCGACAGCTACCAGTCCCTTAGCTACAATTCTTGCCCTGGAAGGGGGGATTTGTATAATGGGGGTTTTGTTGTCAACGAAGACAAATCGGTATGGGAACCCACCCAAGTATTGGACTGGTTGGGTATAACCTGGAATTCTGCACTGGGTACTTTAAAAATTGTAGAAAGAAGAATTGTTAAGATCATTAATACAATTGATCATATTATTGAAGCCGATTTCAAAGTGTCTGCGAGAGAGAGTTGGCCTCCTTTACAGGTCAAATTATTTCTACCGGACCTGTAGTTGGTAACATTGGTAGGATAATGACCAGACATTGTGTCTTGTCCACTTTGTGCAAAGATAACTGGGATTCTATATTCCGTCTCGACGATTACTGCAAGGAAGAACTGTAATTTTGGAAGGAAATAGTTGTTGATGTCAACACTAGGTATTGCTTTGTAAGTAAAGATCCTAGTTATTTTGTATATTCGGATGCCAGTGCTACCGGAGGTGGAGCAATTATTGACTTTAACAATGATTTGTGTACCAAAAAATGTGGTCGGAGAACGAGAGAGTTCAAAGTTCCAGGTGGAGGGAGTTGTCTGTTATTGAGTTTTCATTGCAATCATTTGCCTCAGTGTTGGGAGGATCACACGTTAAGTAGTTTACTCATAGCCAAGAAGCTGCTAAGATTGTTGAAGTGGGCAGCGTGAAATTAGGTTTGCATAAGATGACCCGAAGGTTTTTTGATATTTGTATTCGATCGGGGATTCATTTAGAAGTGCAATGGATCCTTCGCACTTCGAATCAGCAAGCTGATTATGTAAGTCGTTTAATTGATACTGATGATTGGCAAATTACTGAAGAATTTTATTTTTTCGTGATGGCCGGTGGGGCCCGCATAGTGTTAATTGTTTTGCTAATTATTATAATCACAAGTTCCCCAAATATTATTCGAGGTTTTGAAACCCCAATACCTCGGGTTTTAATTTTTTCTTTCAGTCTCTTCGAGGAGAAAATTGCCTAGTAGTCCCTCCAGTTGGTATCGTCCCACGCGTATTGCATCATTTGAAATCTCAGCAGGCCGTTGGTACGCTCGTTGTATCTCTTTTGCCTTCGGCTCATTTCTGGCCTTTAATTACACACAAGTATAGTAGTTATCTTGTGGCTCACAGTATTCATATCGGGAATGAGGTTCTAATCCGCGGAAGAAACCTTAATTCGCTCTTAGGGTCTGATCGTTTCACAGGAAATATTATTGCCTTTAGATTGCAATTTACTGAGTAATTTATTGGACGGTGTGTCCATTAGCCTAATGATTATTTACATTTGGTGGCGCTGGCCAGAGCAATATGTTGTTTATCTATATGGCACTGGCCTAATTAATAGTCTATCATTTCATGTGGCGCTGGCTTAAACAGCGTATAGTTAATTTATGTGGCGCTGGCCCAATCAATGGTTTTTGATTTACGGGGCACTGGCCCATACAATGGTCTATCGTCTTATGTGGCACTGGCCCCAACAATGATCGATTTTTGTACTGTTATTAAAGGATGTTCTTTTTTGTTCTTTTAGTATATATGTTTTGTTCTTGTCTTTCCAGGCAATCTTATCAAGTAATTCCTGGAAAGGCTTTCAACAATTTTCTTCAATCAACGTTTATGAGGTTTTAGAAGTTATGTTGAAGTCCATGGCGGATACAACTACTAAAGGCTACGTTCGCGTTATTAGAAAGTTCTTAGAGTGGTCTAAAAGTAAACATTTCAACATGCAGTTACCTTTACCTCTTAGTGTTTATTCTCTATATTTATTTGAAGTTCAGCAGTCTTGCACCTCTAGTTCCTCAGTCATTTTAGCCCATGCTGCCCTTAAATGGTTACATTCTTTTGTCCCTAGTTTGGATCGTAATCCTTTGGATAGTGAATTTTGCAGGAATATTATCGAATCTGCTAAACGCCAGAAATCACAGCCAGTTATGAAAAAGAAGCCTATTACCACAGACATCATAAGGAGTATTTTAGATATTCATAACAAGAAAGAAGCTAATTTAAAGAATCTTCGTATCGCTGCGTTATGCTCTTTAGCATTTGCAGGACGACGAATTATGCAATATCGTTCCGAAGCATATTGAATTTCACAGCGATTATATAAGAACCTTTGTACCTCGTAGTAAGACAGATGTTTATAGGGAAGGGAATTTCGTCTTTATTAGTGCATCCAGGTCTAAGTACTGTTCAGTTGGTGTTTTACAACGGTATTTAGATTTATCTGGTATTGACTAATGTAGTTCTCTCCCTTTATTTAGACGGCTTGTTTTTCACCGTAGTTACGTTCTAGCTATACCCTGAAAAGTGAAAATATTTCTTATACTACTTGTAGAGATATCTTCAGGGATACCTTAAGTCAGCTGGGCTACAACCCTAATGATTATGGTCTTCATAGTTTAAGATCCAGTGGCATTACATCTGCTGTACGTAATAGTAGTAACTCGATTCCAGAAAGACTTCTTAAAATACATGGTAGATGGAAACCTGATTCTGCCAAGCATTTGTATGTTGAAGAAAGCCTTGAAAACAGGTTACAAGTAACTAAGTATTTAGGTTTGTAATGTATTATCGAGCGTATATTAATTTCTGCATACAGAAGTATATAAAGAATTGTAAAAACAACAACAACAACAATAACAACTTTGTAATTTTTTTTTTGCAGTCCACTCTGTATTAGTAACTATCTATCTTATAATAAACTGTTTTGGATCCGCTTGCACATCCTACCATATTTCTCGTGTGATTTGTTTGTATTACGGGAATTAATTTAAGGGTAAAATGATTTACGTTCGTTTGAGCGAAGCGAATTACAACGTAATTAAGCTATATTCTGATGTAATGCTGCTCTTAACGTTATATTCTCACGAAGAGTTTCCACAGTTGTAGCGTTTGTTAAAAAACAATTTATCAAAATGTCCAGCCTTATTAAAAATTACGAATATATCACTCGAACACTAAAACGTTATCACAAATACACATTGCCAGATAGTTAGAATTAAATGACTAAAATTCATAAATGGCTGAGGTGTCCAAACAGAAAAATTGAGCAGGTGAAAATCATTGATAGTTTCAAACTGAGAGAGTATGTGTCGATGATAAACTGTCCATGGACGTAAGGATAAAGTTTAACATTCAGCAGCAAAAAATACTAGGTAAACTGCTTTGATCAGTCTTTTAAAAGGTCCGTTACTCGCATTAACTGACTGTCACATGCCGGGAAAATCGGTTGAAATCCCTTTGAAAAGTAGTCCTAACTTAACTTATTTCAAGAAATATGTCTTCCTTTATGTTTCTAACACCAAATTTAATCTCTTGATACTGAAACTTTGTTTGTTTATTGGTCTCAGTGACATGCGTTCAAATTTCATCTTTTGACGGAAGTTCCAGACTTGAAGAGAAAGGCAGAGAAAAGCGGAAAATTGTATGCGCACACGCACAAAGATTATAGTCTTAACCATTACAAAACATAATTAATATTTTGCGCCAAAGAATTATACGTTGGTTAAATGAATACTCCGTCGTTCTCTTGCAGGCAAAAATTGGTTAGAAAAGGAGTCTCTTAAGATATTTTTTATCCTTGAGAAGCACAATACAGCGTTATCTAAGAAATCGTGGCTAAAGTGCTGCATTTTGACTGACAGCAAGTACCGTGTATAAACTCACGAGAAAAGTTCAGACAGGTGAAAAGGAAAGAGCAATTTTCATGCAATTTTATGCGAAAAAACTCAAACCGCGTTAACTCTTTCTAAAGACAGATATTCGCGTCGCTCTCGCAAAATATGAACGCAATTTATGAAATAATGGTCAGGTCAGCCTGTTTAGAATTTTTTTAGCAACTAAAAGCATCTGGCATGAGTAATTCAATCCCTGCAGAACTTCAGCCGAAAAAACATCGTTTAAAATTATTGAGTTGAAGGAAAAGATGGGCCGTTTAAGCAACAAATTCCAAAGTATTAGCTATGGATTAGCATAACAAAGAGGAAACACCTTAACTTTATATCATCGTTGTCATTATTATCATAGTTAGCCAAGACGCCTGCTGATATCGCTTAATAACCAATATATTAAAAATAAAGTGTCGACTACTGTTGACCTTCAAATGCTTATTTCAATAAACATTCTGAACATCAACAGTAGTCGACACTTAATAAAGAATACATGTTGAATAAAATCGCCTGGGTTAAGGTGGCTCGATATAGTTTTTCAAGGTCAGTACCTCCCAAGTTTGAGCGTAAACTACGTCGCCATAAACAAAGATTTGGAAAAATTGACACCACAGTTGTAGGAGATAAAGATGAAAATTTGTTATGATCAGGGTTGCAATGACATCGGAGTTGTCATAACAACGAAATGACGCCATTACCTATTTTACTTGCAGCAGTATTTCTCGGCACTGGAAACTGTTCTTCCAAAATCGTTTACTGGAGCTTTTACCTACGATAGCTGCCTCGATGTTCGTGAAGTTTAAGTAACGCTCCATCCAAGAACTAGGCCGATCAAATGCATGACACGCCCCTGGATACCAAATATTAAATTATTAACTTAATTAAAATGGAGCTCTCTGATTGGTCAAATACTCAAAAATCGTCAAAATTCGACCAAAAAATTAATTTTTCCCACATTTTTGGCGATATTTTCGGTACCAGAGTCCTCTGAACCGTATATGACGAGTTTCGTTGCCATGGGAAATGGGGAACTGGGACTTCTGGCCACGTATCTTCAACGCTCTATAGCCGCTATCTTGGATGTGAGATTTTCGGAGATTGTTAGCAGTGTTTGCTTGTCTTTTTCTCGGCCGTCTGCGCAAATTATCTTGCATAAAGTAGAGTATCTGTTAAAAGCTGAGAATTTCTTTCAATTTGGAATCTTTTCACGCGTTAGTTCAGTAAAAGCCAGGAGTCGACAGGAGTGCGTGCTTCTTCGCTAACAAGCTCAAATGGTAGCAAACTTGAATACAGAGGTTCTCACATCAAAGATATCGAGGTGACAAAATATGTTCAACAATAGCCGGTTATAACAACCATTGTGACAGGCTATTGTTCAAAGACAGAAATAACTCGAGAAAAATGCCATCGTCTTCAGGAGCTGAAAAAATGAATATTTGTGGCAAAGTCTGATGAAAATAAATTCGTCGGTTTATTCCTTTTTCGAATAAAAAGACTAAGTGATTGTTAAAATTAGGCTTCAAGAGTTGCAATATTCTCGCAAGAAAATAGATATCTCAACTTTTCCAAAGTCACGCGTCGGAGGATAAAAAAGCAAAATGCAAGAATTCACGCCTTGTGGTGAAATTGTTTTTGAATACGCTTTTGTTCAGAGCGCATCGCTAAGCGATTCACACGCCATCGTCAGAACTAACTGGAAATGGATGTTTTGTCCAAGCTTTGGCTTTACGTCTTTGGCTATCTGAACGAATCTGAATTAGTCTTCGCTGCGCAAGTATGTTTCGAGTGGTAGAAGATTATATTTAGAGGGCCCTTTATGAAGGATGTGGAATTACCGGAAGAAATAGATCTCTCTGGCTCAGAAAATTTGTACCAGTTCATTCCGTTGCGGTTGTTTACAGAGACAAGATACCTGAATTTATCTTCCACGAGCATATCGAATCGTCATTTCCAGCAAATAGCGACGGTCGCAAAGAATTTGGAAAGACTGGATATTTCTAA